GGGAGAGGAGCGGAAGGAAAATATTTTCCGCATGCCATCTCCGCTGTGCCAGTCTTTGTCGCCTTTCTTTGTACATGTGCAAATGGGTGTGTGTGTGTGTGTGTGTGTGTGTGTGTTGTTTTATCCATCCGCCGTGGAAGAGGAACGCAGCCTATATCAACTTGGATTACTTTGGTCCATCTCTTGGATGTATCGATGTGTGGGTGCCTGTTTCGGCGTTTAGAAGCTCCAGAACATCCATCGATCTAACATCTAGGCTCATCCGTCGGCATACACGGATTATATATCGCAATGACGGGTAACCCTAGGCAAGATTTTGGGATGGCAACTGCCTGTTTGCAAACAAACGGCGGCAAGGCATCAGATTGGCCTCTGCGATTTCAGCTCCCTTACACCCGCAAAGACGACCTCAATCTGCGGACCCAGCACTTGGGCGGCGTAATATGCCAGCGGAGCTTTCTGTTCTATTAATACTCCTCTCCGACCGGCCAGAAGTGCCTCGAAATCTTGCACGCAAGGTCGAGAGGCTTCCTATTATCCTGTCGACCAGGCAAGCCTGTCGCGGTATTGTCTACCAAGGTATTAATACGCGTGATATCCGCCACCTCCCTTCGCCCCTCGTCCCCCCTCGGCCTTTTGACCTTTTTCCTCTTTTGGGGGAGGAGGATACGGAGCAATATACTTCAATTTCGTTTGTTCCTGCCTTGGCTCTCGCTTCGCCTTTGCATACTCGAGCAGGCTGATGAGTCGGAGGCTTTTTATTTTTCCCACCTGTGTTTTCATGCTGTCCAATAAGCCCTTCTCTCCTCTTTCTCTCTTTCTCTGTTCACTCCCGTCCCGCCTGTTTTTTGAGGCTCCCGGGGATGGTTGTACAATGGCGTCGATGCGCTAATCGTGCTCTTTAGCTTACGCTCCCCACTATACAAATAGAATTCTGATGTCAAGCTGCAGCGACTGACAGCCGGGATGACAGGTTTGAACAGGGCACCGCGCCGGTATCTAGTGAGCTGGTAATGGTGAGCTTTGAGGCATTCCCACCTTGTACATTTTAGATAAGAGGGTATTAGTTGGTATTGTGCAGGGTACTCTTGCAGCCTGGGCTAGGGATAACCTGTTTCTTGGGGGTTGCCTTATAATTTCGTCTTTCATCTTTTACTGTTATTGCGCTCTCTCTATTATCCAAGTAAGTACTGGAGCACGATTGTCGCTCGCAGGAGTATATTCTAGAAGCTTGGTGCCTCTTATTCCGCCCTCTCCTCACTTCTCCTGCTTCTTCCTTTAGTCCCCTCATCCCCGCCTTCTCTCCCCGTGGAACAAGACATTTGCTTTGCCGCGAGCCCCTCTGCCTTTTTCCGTTTTCGTCGTCTTCTTCTTCTTCTTCTCCTTCTTCGTTTTATACCAAACTCGGCAGGCCTTGCGGGGGCTGAGGGAGAGAAAGAGAGAGAGAGAGACAGTGGCGTGGAGCGAAACGGGACGAGCACCGGCTTCCCGCTAAAGTGGGCGACGGAAGCAGGAACCCATCCTGCAGTCTAGGTCAACGTTTGAGTGAAGTGCGCCCCCATGTCACGAAGCCGGGTAAACTTTCTACTTTGAGGGTGGGAAAACGGGAGACGGGGGCAGGGATAGATGCTACTAGAGAAAGTTCGAATAAAGGTGCAAGGGTGAAGGGGTGGGAGATGGAGGGGAGAGCGCTGGGCGGATGTGTCGTGGGGCAACAACGGTGCCTTGCATCAAAGAAGACCTGGATGAGCGGGAGGGCTGCATCGGAGATGCGCTGTTGAAAGCGTAGAGGTCAACGACTGCCGCCTCGGGAAGGGGGAGGTGGGACGCGGAACTTGTCCGGCGCCTCGGTCAGCTGCATGGCCTTGGGCTCAGGAGGCATGTAGGCCTGTGTTACCATCCCTCATTTCGTGTTCTTGAGATAGAGTGAAGGGAGTTCAGTACCGCGCGGGCTTTTTGACCTGTTGCTTCTTTTTTTTTTTTCCCTTCTCTTCCTCACGATGGCTAACTGACACCCTTTCGGTCTCGGGAAACGGGCCAAGCACTCCTTCGAACCTTTGATCGCTTGTACTTTACTTCAGTATTTGGTCATTTGACTTGGAAGCCACATTATTCTAGCCCCTACCGAGGTTGATGCCGGAATCGTTCATGGTGGATACAAGTAGGTCTGCACCTCGGGGTTTGTTCAGCGGAAAAAGGGGAGGGGGAGGAGGGACGGACAGGGTTATTGAAAGCGCAGCCTTGGGCGGGAACCGAGGTGGTCAGCGAGTGGCACCACGTTCTGTCACTGTTCGATTTCGGGAACCCCCTCCATCACCAATTGATATTTGTCTAAAATGAGGCAGGGGTCTCCTCTCTGCAAGACATGTGGCAGAGCATCTGGGGCTGCTCAATGGCTGGCCGGGGTGGATGTCAGGTTTGCCTCGCTGGGGGATGACAACGCATGCTTCCCGGAAATCTTCCCTCGAGAAAAGCTGGGCGGATGCGTGCGCCACCCGTCTTGGATTGAGACTGTTCAAAACTGGATAGATGAGAAGTGAGGCTTGACTACCGACGGATAATACTCGAAGAAAAGATATTCCAAATTCGCCTGGGTAGGGTGCTCTGGATTTATGACGAAGTTCGCGGGGGTTGTAAAGGGCGACATTGCCCAGGGCTGGCCCGATGCCGACAAGGGGAAAGCACGTGGCGGAGATAACGGGCCGGGACGGACTGACGCGCCGGGGATGGGCTTGATTTCAGCGCTGATTACATGGAAGCTTTGTGTCCTTGTCCTCTGTTAGAGACTAGTGTAGCTTCTTACGTATTTTACAAGTAACCGGAGGCTTGGTGGACTTTAATGGGAGAATTGGAGAGAACATGATATCGGGTTGGGGGACGTCTGGTCCGGATAAGATCGTCAATCTTTCGATGGAGGCCAAGCCAAGGTGAGGCTTCGGAAGGCAGGGGTAGGGCAGATAAGCTAGCCGGAGGGAGCGGCCGATCCCCCACCATCATCCCAACCTGACAAGAAAAGGGAGAAAGAGAAGGGATTTGAGATCTGCTCGCTCTTCTGCTCCTCCTCCATGTCATCAAACACTTTATTGTTACTTACAAAATCAAGAGCCCACATGCAATGCCGCGTACCTCGATGACGAACGTGGACTGGCACGGATGAGACCATTCAATTGGGATATCACGTGAGAACAAGGATCTGGACTCGTTCGACTCTGGGAACTCAACGCATCTGGGCACTAATGGAACCGTGTGGTTCTGGACCGAAGCAAGACAAGAGTTGCGGCTTTCGCCAGCCCTCGACGCTAAACGATTTCGGGAAGAGGGGCCAATCAAGCCGAGCTGTCGAGCTGTCGGAGCTGGCTGGCAGTTGAAGCTACTAAGCCGTGCGAGCACAAAGGGAAAAAAGAAGGAAGCATGAGAAGGTTCTGGCACCGGCTCAACCATTCAAGGTGTCAACATTGAAGCATGCCCACGGGAAAAAAAGGGGATCAGCTCAAAGGGGGTTTGAGGTGGTCGTTGGACCATGCCAAAGTGGAACATATTGACACATCTTTTTCGAATAGTGTCATTTTCGGCTTAAATTTCAACAGCGGCAAGAATAAGGGGTAAATGGATGGATGCGGTGCAGGGCCATGCTCGAACCCATTTTGTTGCCACGGTGAGGGGAGGAGAGGGCATTTCAACCAGGTTCAATGGTGCGTGGGTTCGGAGGTGGGTAATGATTGAACCATTGGGTCAATTGATCAATCTCTTATTATTGCTTTGTGTTTTTCTCGTGAAAAAGCTTTGGAGCAGTTGGAGAGGCCAGCGAATGTGGGGTCCAGGTTTGGCCCTGGGTCGAAGGGTTCTTTCGTCGCCTCCCCGTTTGGTGTTCATCCACCGATGGATGCACCGATGGGATGCACCGATGGCATCAATTGATGCTCGGGGTCGGGTTTGAGAAGAGGAAACGCATAATGCCTGTATCGGTGGCCACTCCGCTCCACAGTCTGTCCTTCCATTGCATTGAATGGGTGTTGGGTGGGTGGGTTGGTTCGATTGGAATGGAATGGGATCCAATGCAATAACAACTCGGTACATGGTCGATGGGATTCAATGTTGGTGGATTGCACTTGCAAAAGGGGCTGTGAAGCCAATGGAATTGATTCATCCCTGCTCCAGTTAACGTCCGGACTGGCTCTAGTGTAGCGTGGTGCTGTGTGTGGTGCTGCGTGGTGCTGCGTGGTGTAGCGTGTGGGTTGTTGAGCTTGGTGCGTCCGAATCACCGCCGCCGCAGTTTTTCGAACCACCTCTCGAGTGGTTCCCCCGAACCTTCCACCTTGGCCTTCTTCCTTCCTCCTCCCCACGATCTCCCTCCGATCTTCCGCCATCCATCCATCCTCGCACTCTTTCCCTCCTCGCCCTTCCAGGCAAAACCTCTCCTCCCCCAGTTCCCGAGGAAATTCAACGGATAGTCTCTTTTGCCATCCATTCCTCGCGATTTGGTTCTTTCGTCCCCGGATTCCTGCACTCGCCCGATTTCTCAAGCTTCCGACATCACGATGTTCTAGAGCCCCCAAAGCTCCTTCGTCACCTTTCTGTCTAGAATCTGCCCCCTCCCGGTTATTTCCCAAAAGGTCCAATTGTAAAACCCCGAACTGCTGCTCTTCCATCAATAAGCCGAAAAACACCTATTTCCTGGCTATCGCTTCTCTCCTGCTGGTCTCCGAACTCTGTAAGTCAAGTGGGGGTGGCTGTGGCTGTGGCATGTGGCATGTGGGAAAAGCTCTGAACCATCTCCTTTTGCCTCTTTCCAAAGGGGTTTTGGGGGTTTGGGGGAGTAAACCTTGCGTGCCGACCTCGAACGGACTTGCACAATGGTCAATTGCTAACCATCAACCTCTGACGGGGAATAGAACTGTACTTTCGAGCCCACGAATCACATCCATCCGCTCTCCTCCAAGAACAGCTTGTCTGTGCCACCTCATCTCTAAAACCAAAGAAACCCAACGAAACAAGCAATCATGACTGAACTGTCTGCTGCCGAACGCATGGCCCGCGAGCATGCCGTGACCCATCAGGCCTATATCGAGCCCGAGGAGGCCCCCGTTGCCGAGCCTTCGACCTCGTCCTCGGCGTCTCAAGCTCCTACCATCGCTGACAAGGTTGCCGGAAAGCAGGCCAACTCCAAGCCCATTGACACCCAGTCTCACGAGCTCTTCCCCGAGCTCGGCTCCTCCAAGGGAAAGGCTGCCGCCGCTAGCGCCGTTCCCACCTGGGGCGCAAGGACTGGCGGCTCCAATGGAGCTTCCAACGGAGCTTCCAGCGGTGTTCCTGCACCTGCCCTCGCCTCCGTCGCAAAGCCTGCCGTTTCCCTGCCCGGCCGCAACGTGGAGACCATCACCATTGACCCCCAGCATGTCCTTCCCCGCCAGAAGCTCCGACGCCCCATTCCCGACATCATCAAGGATATCAACAAGAAGTCCCGCGCCAAGATCACCATGTCTTCTGCTGCCAACGGTCGATTCAAGTTTGAGGCCACTGGCCCGCAGGACGTGGCCCAGCAGGCTTTGAAGGACCTGGTCTCCCAGATTGGCACCAAGGTAAGCTTGCCTCGTCCCAGCCCCTTTTGAAATCCTATCCATGCGTGCCTCCGAAGCTTGTACCCCCTACCCGAATGGAAGATCCCGAGAGCCGGAGAATATGTGCGTGCGCTAACAGCTCTTCTTCTCTCCTCTCGATAGACTACCATCTCCGTTGCCATCCCCCAGTCTGCCCGCGCCCATGTCATTGGCAAGCAAGGCTCTACCATCAAGGCTCTTCAGGAGCGCACTGGCGCCCGCATCAACTTCCCAAGCTTGAGGAGACTCAGGCTGCTCTTGACGAGGATGACGATGCGGATATCCATGTCACTATCGAGGGCAACACCATTTCTGCTGCTTCTGCTCGTGAGGAGATTCTCAAGATTGCTCGCGAGCGTGCTGCCAATGTCCAGACCAAGGTCCGCGGCATCCCTCCCGAGTTTTATCCCTTCATCGCCGGCCCCCAGAACTCCCGCGCCCAGGCTTTGGAAGAGGCCAACGGCGTGCGAGTCCAGGTGCCCAGCCATACTGCCTGGACCTCTCAGCCCCTCCCCGGCGCCGGTGGCCCTGGCCAGCGACCCCAGTTCTCTGCCGAGGGCGTCGAGGACCACATCTCCCTCGCCGGTGACCGTCCTTCGGTCCAGAGGGCCCGTGCTGAGATTGAGCGCCTCGCCGCCGAGCTTGAGAAGCAGCTCCACGTCGAGCAGTTCTCGGTCCAGCGTGGCCGCCACCAGTTCATCATTGGAAACCTCGGCATCCCTGTCGAGGACTTCTTCGCCGACACGGGCTGCCACATCCTCCTCCCTACCGAGGGCGAGGATGACACCGTCACCATTATTGGCCCTGCCGAGAGCGTGTCGGAGGCGGCCGAGAAGGCCATGGATCTCGCCCTCAACATGCAGTGCTCCAACTTTGACGTCTCCCGGTTCCACCGTGGCGCCCCCAACGGCGCTGCCGTCCACGCCCAGAACGTGACCCGCTACCTCCGCCACCGCCGCGAAATTGAGCGCCTCGAGTCCCTGTACAACACCCGCATCAACACCCCGTCCTCGGAGCACGGCGCCCTTCCCTGGGAGATCTACTCGCGCGACGGCAAGAATGCCATTCGTGCCCAGTCTGAGATAACGTCCATCATGAACGGCCATCCCCGTCCCGTATTGCCTCGGTCCCCATCGACCCCTTCTTCCACTCCCACATCTCCAAGAACGTCACGCCCCGCGTGCGCGAGGACTTTGGCGTCCACATTGTCGTGCCCGAGGCTGGCGAGGGCCGCGCCCCCGTCCTTCTCGTCTTCGAGGGTCCCACCTCGGAGGAGGCCCCTACCAGCTGCCCAAGGCTGCGCCTTCCAAGGATGACGTCCGTGCTTTCCAGCAGGGTCTGGAGGATGCTCGCAACCACATCCTAAACCTCATCAACAAGCAGGAGGAAATCACCTCTGTTGCCATTGAGGTTCCTCAGAAGTACGTATTGAAAACACTGGATAGCCCTCCCCATGCTACCACCCATGACCCCATCGTAGAGAGAATAGGACCGCTAGCGAGACTTTTTTTCTTTTTTTCTCCTTTGCTAACGCGTGAATCGCTCAAACAGGTACCATGAGCGCCTTCGACGCTTCATCAAGAAGGAGCAGGAGAAGCGCTCGAACGAGCAGATTCCCATCCGAGTTTCTTCCCTCGGCACCAAGGTTACCCTCCGCGGCCCGAGCAGTGCCGTAGCAAGCTTGGGCGACAAGGTGGAGAAGTTTATTGAGCAGGAGAAGGAAGACGAGAAGGAGCGCGGCTTCATCACCTCGTTTGACTTCCCGCAGAAGTTTGCCAACCACTTGATTGGCAAGGGTGGTAGCAACATCCGTGACCTCCGCGACAAGTTTGACGTCGAGATCCAGGTCCAGGACGGCAAGGTCGAGCTCAAGGGTCCCAAGGCCAAGGCCGAGTCTGCCAAGGCCCACATTCTCAGCCTGGGCCGTACCCTCGCTGACGAGACTACCCACGTGCTGAAGATTGACCCCAAGTTCCACAGGGAGCTTATCGGCAAGGAGGGCACCCAGATCAACCGCCTCCAAACCCGCTACAAGGTCCTCATCTTCTTCCCCGGTCGGCCAAGCCCGCTGCCGAGGACGGAGCTACCGATTCCGCTAGTGACGCCGGCAAACCCGCCCGCCGACAGCAGAACCCCGACGAGGTCATCATCCGCGGACCCAAGAAGGGAGCTGATGAGGCGCGCGATGAGCTCTTCTCTCTTCACCAATACCTCCAGGAGAACTCTCACACCGCCACCGTCACCATCCAGCAGAAGCAGGTGCCTTCTTTGATTGGCCAGGGCGGTTCCGCTCTTGAGGAGCTCCGTCTCGCGACTGGTGCCAAGATTGATATCCCTGCTGACCGTGATGTCGAGCTCGTCGAGGTCCAGCTCAAGGGAACCAAGGCCCAGGTTGCTGCCGCCAGGAAGATCCTCGAGGAGAAGAGGTCGGTATTCGACGACACCGTTAGCAGGGTCATTGACGTTGACCGCAAGCACCACAAGTCGCTCATCGGCCCCGGAGGCGCCAACCTCCGCAACCTCGTCGTGGAGGCTGGCGGCTCGGACGACCGCAGGGAGTTGGCGAGGACCATTCAGTTCCCCAAGCAGGACGCCGACGGCGACGGTATCAAGGTCGAAGGTCGCACCGAGGTTGTGGACAAGATCATTGCGGCCATCCAGGAGAAGGTCCGCGAGTGGGACAGCCAGGTTGCCGAGACGATTGACGTGCCGACGGAGAAGCACCGCTCGCTCATCGGCCGTGGCGGTGATGTGAAGCGCAACATTGAGAGCCTCTTCGAGGTGCTGATTGACATCCCCGCCAAGGCGAGAACAAGACGGGCATCAAGCTCCGCGGCAAGCCCGAGAACATTGCCGCCGCCAAGGAGCACATCCAGACCTTGCTCAAGGAGCAGGAGGGCGAGACCGTGCTTGTCCCCGGGCCAAGCACCACGCCGTCTCCAACAATGGCCAGATCTTCCGCAAGTTCCGCAACGACTGGAACGTGACGGTCGACCACGCCGGCCAGGGCGTACCCTCGAAGCCCGAGACCACGCGCGCCAACGGCGGCTCCTGCCCCTCATCACGGACGATGAGGATGCCGTCGCCGATGCCCACTCGTGGACCATTGTTCAAAACATCTCGACCGAGGAGGGCGATATCCCCTGGGTCCTCCGCGGCTCCGCCGACAACGTTGAAAAGGCCAAGAAGGCCATCCAGACGGCCCTCGACCAGTCTTCCAAGCAGGACACCACCGGTCTCCTCGTCCTGCCCGACCCGCGCACCTACCGCCTCGTCATCGGACCCGGCGGCAGCAAGGTCAAGACCATCCGCGGCCAGAGCGGCTGCAGGATCACGGTGCCCCGCGACCAGGCCAAGGACGAGCCCATTGAGATTGTCGGCAGCCAGGAGGGCGTGGAGAAGGCCAAGGAGCTCATCCTTGCCGCGATTAAAGAGGGCGCCAACCGCTCCAGGGATTAAAAGGGAGAACCGAGGAGAACAAGGGGTTTGCGGGTTTTCCTCTGCCCTAATGTCATCTTTTTGACTGTATGCATTCAGTGTGTAAGAACTGGTTGGGCACTTGTGTTCTTTTTCTTTTCTTCTCCCCTTGCTTTTATGGTCCTCGCTTCTTGGGATGACAATTGAGGTAATTGGGGAAAGAGGAAGAGCCAAAACTTGCCTTGAAAACAATAACTCATCTCCTTTGTTCTAATGGACATGATGATGAATAACTATGTAATGAGAAATTGGGAAAAGAGAGGGAGAGAGAGAGGGAGAGGGAGAGGGAGTGGGTAGTCGGTGGGCTTTCTCCGAAACCCTCCTGGGGAGGGGAGGAGCAAGAAAAGTTTTTGTGTTTTGTTCTTCAAAGTTCCGAAAACAAAAAAGGGGTCTCAAGAATGGATCATGACTAGATGGTATATGATGTGACTGTCACTAGTTCTCCCAACACAAATAAGAAGTTTTATCTATGTCTACGTTTTGCGTGTGATGCTGTGATGTCGAGTATTATGTCTGGTCTCATATAGGATATTGTTTACGGGACCCAATGTAAGTAGGTATCGGGGTTTTGATACCTTTGGCCTCGGGGAGGTTAAACATATCTCTCGCTGATAAGAGGCGAAGATGACGAGGCGTAGAGGAGGATGGCATGAGGGCGCAAGAGAACAAGGCCCCGGCGTCAAAGGATGGGAACGGATGCATAAACTTGACAATGGTGGAAGTAGATGATACAAGGTCCACGCACATGGGAGGGCGTGGGCAGTAGAGCTACTAGATATCTGACCTTGATACACATTGAGATACATTCAAGACAAGAAGAAAAACGACGGCACACGTTAAGAAACCCGGGGAAAACGAAAACCACGACGGCGGAGACCCATTTTCGGCCTCCATTAGTTCCCATTTGACCACCAAAGAGGAGAGAAATTTACTCAAACAGCTAAAAAGAAAAGAAGAGTGGAAAGAAAAGCAAAACACCGGCCCCGGTTTTGTTTATTTGGAAAAGAAAAAAAGAGACGAGGAGGGGGTAAACAAACGAGGAGGGACGAGGTAACGCCGTGCTTATCACTAAAGAGAGAAGAAGAAAGGGAGGGTAGTGAGAGATGATGGAGGCGTAGATGGCAGGGAAGAGACCGTTTGCAGAGAGATATTCCTTTGGAGGGAAAAAAGGGTTTACTCGTGGATTAGGTCAAGTAGGGACGCCATGTAGGGGGCCTGCAAGAAGAAGAGTCGAGTTAGCAAAAGAAATGAAGAAAGAAAAATAATGGGAGCTGGAGATATGACGGGATACGTACCAAAGCCCTGTTCTCGGCCATGACTTCGAAAAGCCTCGGCATCAAAGGTCTAAAGAGCCTCTCCTTCCAGCCGCCGGGTTCGCCGGTAGCCTCGTTTTCCTTGAGTAGCTCCTCCTCGGCTTCCGTCTTGCCGATATTCCTCGCAATGTTTCTGAGGACGAGGACGGCGCTGAGGGGATCCCGCTGGCCTGCGGGGGTCCGTTGGGGTTCTTCTCGTCGCGCATCGTCTGCGTCTCCTCGTACGTGACCGTCATGATCTTGGCGGGGACGATCCAGTCCTTGCGGGCCTTCTTCGCCGCCCGGTTCTCGCCCGACAGCGAGGCGGGGAAGGCGAGGGCGATGTGCACGCTCAGGTGGCGGGCGAAATCGAGGAAGCGCACGGTGATGGGCTTCGCGTGGTGCGAGCACGTGGGCCAGAGGCAGCGGAACTCCCGCTCCTGGTTCGCGTAGCGGCCCTGCTCGTCGGGCTTGCACCCCAAGTGCTTGTCCGCCACGTGCGCAAACATGGCCTTGCGGTCCAGGAAGTAGGTCCCGCACCGCTCCTTGGCCTGGTCCTTGGGGCCCCAGGGGCACCGAATGTACTCGCGGCCGTCTATGCTGAGGGGTTCTCCCGCGCCCGGATCGACCCGATGATGAACTTTTGCTGCGCGTCCCCGCGCGTGAGGACCTGCGGCGCCGAGTTCTGGTAGATTTGCGAGCAGCTGCGGATGAAGTCGGCGGGCGACGTCGGCGGCTGGCCGGTCGCCTTGAGAACCTCGGCGAAGGAGCCGTTGTACGCCTGCCACGCCGCAATCTGCGTGACGAACGACTCAGGGTCGTGATCGAAGAAGCACTTGACCCAACGATGGACCCTGTCCGGCTCCTTCAGCTTCAGGAGTTCGTCTCTAAGCTGGAGCGGCATCGGCGCGATCTCGTCCGTGACGGGCAGCTTCTTTTCCGGCGTGAGGATAATCTCCTTTTGCACCCTCCGCGCGCCGTGTGATAGCAGTCGTGCGAGGTGGTACACTAGGTTTTCGGGCGAAATGGCGCCCAGGAGGGAGTCCACGTTCTTCACCACGGCGGTGTACTGGTACAGGAAGTCAAGGCACGCATCCGTAAACTCGTCGTCGTTGAGGAGAATCCAGTTTGCGATATTCTGGAGGACGGAAGGCGGCACGTACCCTAGACGGTTCGCCGCGTCCAGGTTCATCGAGATGCGTCCGAGGGCCCGGAGGCCCGTTAGAATAATGCCGCGGTCGTCCGAGTCCATCTGTTGGAGAAGGGTAAGGTAAAGCGGGTCGTCCGAATCTAGAGTCAGATAGGGTGTGATGTGCTCGGCGATATCGAGCGAGTAGTGCTTGGCCTCGATCACGATATCGCGACTAGGGAGGCTGAGAATGATGCAGATGAGATCCTTGATGGGAGGGAAGTTGGCGATGTGGGCCGCGTTCTCGGGTAGTGTCACCATGTTCCGGATGGTCAGAATCGCCTCGGTGACGCTCAGCATTTCGTTACCAAACTTCTCGGTCTGGATGCTGTCCAACACAATCTTGGGCGTAAGGGCCTTGATGCGCTCGAGAATATCCGAAGTGCCGTTGACTCCGTCCAGCTCATCCGGCTCAAGCGCCGCCGCGGGATCCCACGAGATTTTCCACTCTACATCGTAAAATAGGCTCGCCACCCGGAGGGCTGCCTCAACCAGCCCCTCGTCAAGACCGGGGAAGACTTCGAATCGGAATTTCTCTCCGCGCTCGAATGAGATCCTGACCCAGTGGTGGAGCGCGTATGTCCTTTCATCAGGGTTAGAAGATCTTAGGGCGCTTAGGCACCGAACGTAAATGTTTGCGCCCTCGTACGCTATCGAAATCACAGGGTTAGCTCTTGTCCGTTTGGAGATACACGACGCGCAGGAATATGAGATGGGTGCATAATAGACTCACAGCCAGGGGGCACGCGGGGCAGGCGACCCGCTTGGATTTGGCGGATCTTGTGGATGATCTTGGCTCGCGAAAACGCAACAGCATTATTCCCCGGTGTGTCAACAGGCCGGAGAGGGATTGACGTCAATGTGCGTGGGTTGTAGCTTGTGATCACGGACGAAACCGTGCCATGGTTCGGGTTGTAGGCTCCCGATGGAGCGCCACGGGACTGAGGGTGGTGACTAGGTGTCTGGTTGAGGTGGCCCTGGGCCTGGGGGTGCTGGGGGTACCATGCTGGGGGTAGAAGGTTGGCTGGGCGCATGTCGTATTTGTCGCGAGGGACCGGTATCGGGTTGGAAAATGACTCGTTGGGGAGGCGCTTCGCGAAGACCGCGAGAGGCACGAGCAGATGATCCGGGAGTGTCGACAACTGAGCGCTCACGGGTGGGTGTCGCATCATCGCCAGAGACACCCGAATCGCTCACGTTTCTCGTAGCCTTGAGGAAGTTTTCCCGGGTCCTCTTCAGCAAGCCTGAGCCTTTTGCCGTGACATCCTCGAGTATCTCTTTCGGAGGAGGCTCCTTGCCGTGGATTGTCTTGATTTCGTACGCCGCGAGGTTCTTGTAAAACTTCTCCTTCAGGCCAAACGCCGTCGCAGCCTCGTTGTTAGTGTATAGGTAGAGCTCCGACGCCATTCGGCGCCAGGCGAGCTTTTCATCCGAAACCTTGTCATAACCGCCATTCTTGACAATGTGTTTGAATACCCTGAGGAGGTCGAGATGGGTTGTGCCGACCTTGGGCTCCGGGTCGAAGCTGGTGCCACGCTCGGCGTGGAATTTTCGTAGTTTCTCAATGAACTCTTCGTACTCGGGGGTGCGCTCGATAATGTGCGGGGGCATCTCCTTGGGCGGCATTGTGGGCGAATTTTCGTATTTCGAAGCCGCCTCGCGTGTGGGTGGTGGGGGCCCGAGGGGGTGGGAAGTTGGCAGCCTCAAACGCGCGGTGGATGTTGATGCGGCGCAACGATGGGATTTTGGCAGGACAATTGAGAGCTTCAATGATTCTTTGGGGGATTAACGCGACTGGCAACGCTGAGTTTGACAAGCCAGGCGAGCGCATGCAGCTTATCGTGCGCAAGGAATGCGGTCTTATCAGCACGTGAATTATCACGTGAACCCGCGACAGAGCTGAGGCCAACTTCAATGAACGGTGCTGGTGGCGTTGTGCTTAGACGACCCACATCTCTCAACCTCAGCCCAAGCAAGATGACTTACACTGGCAAAGACGCGGAACAAGTGGTCTTCTGAAGGAGGTGCACGAGTTGCACTTTGTAAATAATTACTTAATACGTATAGAGGCCCCAATACTAAGTGATCTACATATAACTTTCTATATAATCTTGGTTATGTTCTATGTTCTTAGAGGGTTCTCGACGCCCACCTTCGACCTGGCTAATCACCGACGCTGGTCTTTGCATCTGGGAAGGGGTGGTGGACTGCTGGTCTGTTGGAGAGCGAGGAGCACCTTCCCCATGCTATTTCATGCGCGAGGGGACGACTTCCGCTTACAGGAGCGGCACCTTCCGTCTCGGTTCGATACCACTTCCCTTCCTTAGACTCGAGAGCTTGCTGATCCTCGTCCTGGCTGTGCTGCGGGAGCAGCAAGCCAGCCATCACCATCATCGCACAATGCATGAAGCTTCCTTGATAGACTTAATATTCAAAGCGTTTCCTATTCTTGCCCTGATATATGCTCGTTACACCCTTTTTAATTCGGTGGCCTCTTTTACTTGATCACCAACTTATTCAGTTCGTGGACTGAGAGCTGAATCTCCCTCCTCGTCTAACCAGCTTCACGTCACCATGTTGCCTAGAAAACTATCTGATGGATTGTTAACGTATAATTTCGATCTTGAACATCTCACTCTGACCATATTTGAGTCTGAAACTGCCGCCATCGTAAGCAAAACGGATTATCACTCCAATCTCGTCTTGACTCTCCGACAATTCAAAGGCACATTGACTGGGAAGAAGGCGAAGAATGCCGACATTGATATGGGATTTCTCTTCATTCTTCACTCCGGAATTCACGCAATTGTAGGAATCATCCCGAAGGCGAAGGTCTCATCTACCGCTCGGTAAAAGATAACGTCATGTTCTAGGAGAGGATTGATCTGAAGAAGCTGAATCCTGGCGTCGATGAGATCCACGCCGGTTTACAGGATCCAGTGTGAGCCGGGAACTATATCATTTCAATATCAGCACGAAGATGGAAAGGTTGAAACACTCTTGAACTCGAAATGCCAAAGTCGAGGCTGCTCACACTTTAGCTAGGTCAGAAGGGCTTCCATCGTCTTTCGCAGACGGGACGAATATGAGCGCACCATCGAGATACTCACGAGCCAAGGTTTTTCTGTAATTATCAAGCCCATGAGATGTGACGTTCCAGAAAACCCTGTCAATCCTGCGACTGCATCCTCGTTCCATCCTACCTATAATTACAGGGTCTCGCCGGCTAGCAGATCCGTAGCTGGAGATCGGGTTCATGGCTCTCAGAGCCCTTGGCCGTCTCAGCCGTCACCGGTTGCATCTTTGAGCTCGCTGCCCCTTGTTGATGGAATCCGGACACCAGCCGAGACTCCCTTTTCTCAGCTGAACATGGCCCAAAGCAGCCAATTTCAAAGGTTAGTCCCACCAGAAAATGATATTAATCTCTTACAAACATCTTTATATATCTGGAGTGTTCCTAACAATAAATAGAGAGTTTACAGACCCGCTGACGACTGGATACGGTTGGGGTCCTTCAACCCAAAGCTACACATCATTGCATTCGAGTGGCTTCAATTCGGCACACAGATCTCTGTCGAGCTACTCCAATAATAGTAGCCAACGTGTGAGCATCCACGATAACGACAGCGCTTCAATCTTCTCCAGTAGAACATTGAGGCACTCTCATAACCCATCCCCTCTTCATCAAGTCAGCTTTCCACTAAACGATTGCGAAGGAAATAATCAATTCAGCCAAAATGATTACCAAAGGTCCACCCTGCAAGAACCGACCAGGGAAGTCAGTCTTCCGCCGATACGAGCGCTTCCATTCAAGGAAAGGGATGTGCTAGACAAGCCACAAATTTCCAAACCAGCACCCCTTGAGGATGTGGTGATGAAGAAACCTCAAAACAGGGTGACAAAATCCAAGAAGAAGCAGCCGTCTTTGAAGCCCCTCCAAAGCGTAAAAGCAAGCCGCGAGTTCCACAATGTGGTCAACTGACGAGACGGATCGACCTAAAGGCTGGGAAACGAGCAAATACAGCGACTGCACCTAAAACTTTACAAGACTCTGCGTGCCAGACAGACAGTAACCCCTCAAAAACCACTGACTATTCTACTGAGGCCTCGGACGACATGGAGAAGAGATTATGGAGCGCGATAACAGCAGTCCAAGAAACCCAGGCAGGAATTATTCAACATCAATCGAAATTGCACAAAACTCTTATCCAGCATTTAAATGATCTTTTCATAACAGCGCGTAGCTCCGAACCCGGGGATCCCAGGCTACATTAGTGATGGGGGTACACAGTAATGCCCAGGCCGATGGACGTCTAGTATCGGCAAGCCAGGCCCAAGTAGGGCATTCATCGTCTCAGAACTCGCAACTCAGTGATGTGACGCAGGGAGGGATGTCTGATATAAGGAGGCGGCACACAAAAGAATACAAGCAATGGAGATACTATTATCTACATGCCTGCAGGGTCTATGAGTCGAAGGCGGAAAGGTCAGACTGGGAGTTTATCAGACGGTTTCTTGACGAGATGCCGACATCAAAGGTGCGGGATTGGATTCAAGGCGGCCTGTTGCAATTTTACCCGTCCTCCGTACGCGCTCTGGAAACTCGGAAAGGACCGACTTTACTCATCACCAAGGATTTGACGTGGACTGATGTCCAGACTATGGCAACAACTAAGCTCACACTTCCTTTTCCCAAGTGGGAGGTCATCTAGCAATGTTTCGTTGATGCGCCTTAGGTAACATTGTTCCTTGATACCCCGTCAACTCGGATCGGACTAAAAGTAAAAGAAGCTACACGGGATTTCGGAGGATCTTGAAAATGGGGTAATAGAGGATGTTAATCTGTAAACAAAGGATGAAAGCCTACTCGCCCCTTGGGCTTACTTGCATTGTATGTGACAAAGCTAGCCACTTGTTATCGTCCAAGTTTGTTCGTTTGATAGACAAATCAAAGTTGGCTGGTTTGCGATCTTTTCTCTCCCACCTTATTCACCCCAAAGACAATTATGAAGGGGGAGATTATGGAGGCTAAAGAAATGGATGGGGGCAGCAGTGACGATGATGGTGCTTGACATGGCATTGTCACGAGTCTCTTAGATAGATCTAGGCCCTCACGCACCGGACCTCAAACACTATTTGCACCTGTAAAACTATGGTAGTGGTTGTAAAAGCACGTGGACACGAATTTTATATGGGAAAAAGGGCGTGTTAGTCGTGGGTAGGGCGGTTGAGTACCAGCAAATTTACAAGCTAGCAAGCAATTTCTCGCCGCCATGACAGACAAATTCCTCTTTCTGGTCACGATAGAAGAAGTGTAGGACTTGACTACCTTCGAGTGAGCTTATAAAAACTCCATTGTTCCCTCGAACGAACCGAGCCTCTTCTCTTGCCCTTCCACACACCAAAAGCCCGCATCCTACACATCAACTCCCTGTCCCCTCTCTGCCCTTTTACAATCTCCTTTGTTCCAAAAGAAAAAGGACTTGCCCTGTCCGCACTCTGCAGTAAGACCTCTAGTCTTTTGGATTTTGAAACCCTCCTACAGAAGCCGGCTACTCTAAGGTTTTCCTCTTTGTCCCTCTTTAGATCCCTGGTGGTCCACTCAACCATCGAATCCATCTTGTCTACGACTCAAGTCTTCTTTCCCCAATCTCTCCAACCCAAACACATCACAGCTATCCACACTTGATATATTCGGCAAGAATCCCTAGCGACGATCGGAACAACACGTCTAATCAACGCGGAGTTTCCAGCCAAACGTTTCCAATCCTTTTCCACCCCACCCGGAACCCAGGCCGGAAAAAATGTCCTTTGTCGAGAAGCCCACCCATCCCAACCGGGACAAGCTGACAAAACTCGACGCCAACGACCCTGTCGTGAAGGCATCGACCAAGCTGACCAACCAAATTCTCGACCAGATCATCAAGAACCCCGAAAAGTTTACCCGCTTCGGATCCCCGCTGGACCGATCCACGGGCGCGGCCGGGGCCAAGGTGACGTTGCCGTCGCCTCAGCCCAAGGCGTCGGTGCCCGAGGGCACGACGCCCGGCTCTAGGGTCAAGTACCTCAAGGACCAGGACAAGAATTGGCCCCGGGCCACACTGTTTCCTAGAAAGAGGGCCGCCGAGGACGACGGAGAAGAAGAAGAAGAAGAGGAGGAGGATGACGAGGTGGGCTCCGATCCGGAGCTTCAGGCCAGGAAACGGGTACGCAAGCGCAGACGAACGGAAAAGTCTGACGAGGAGGTTTGTGCCTTTACGACGGCCAAGGGACGCAAAAGCCGGGCTTTAGAGCGCGCGGAGACACCTCAAGCTACCGAAACGAAGAAGAAGGCCCTCACGCTCGCCGCGATGCTTTTCCCCAGCGTAAGCCCGCCGCCGGCGCATGCGAAGCCCAGAATCACGCTCAAGATCAACCCGTCCAAGATGGCCACTACCAAAGATGAACCAACCGACAAGACTTCGGCTACCGCTGCCAGGCTAGGTTCCGCTCGCGTGGGCAAAGTGAAACAGGAGCCGGGCTCCCCTTCGGCCCTCGACACCATCCCCGTGTACGCGCCACCGCACAGCTCGGATGAGGACAGCAGCGGCGACGAATTCAAAACCACGGCCTATGCGCCATCCACTTCCGGGTATGATGGCGACTCCGAGGACGACCTGGAGGAAGGCTCGAGCTTGAAAGACGAGGATGAGTCCGACAACGAAGAGCTTGTGGGCCTCAAGACCGTCAAAGACGAAGAGGATGCGGACGACGAGGCTGAGTTGTTCCCGAAATGGGCCGTCGTTACCAAGACGCTCGATGATGCACGGGTCGTCCGCGAGCGCGTGAGGAGGCGGATTTGGATGTATGAAAAGGACGGTAAGACGATGCTGAGGTTGGATTGCAACCGGTGATGGAGGAGTGGTACATCACCGCTATATAATTTTCTTTTCTCTTTTCTTTGGAAAGTTGACGGACGCCATTTTAGGCAGGATGGCTTAGGATTTTTGATGAAGCATATATAGGATTAGCTTGGAAGGAGTATGGTGTCTCTTTTTTATATTTTTTATTATATGGATGGTTTGGACATTTGGAACTCGGGTTAGGTTTAGGTGTATGGGTACGATCCAGCTCAACAAATCTTGGGATGAGCACAAGGAACGGATTGATATGATGGATTTGGCGTTACGCGGCTTCCTTGCGAAGATTATGACCACGGATAGTAAGAGGGCAGGACATGGTTAGGAAAGAAAAATGATATTTTGTTTTGTTTAACTTTGTTCTCGTAACCACATAACTACATCAACGATGTGAAATAGTAGGACGAGATGCCTCAAAAGGATCCTGAAAGGTTAGCTCACCGATCCCTTCCCGGGCGTAAAAAAAAAAAAAAAAAAAGGGCACAGCAATAGTTCTTATTTCCTCACCCAAAGCCAGTTCGTACATTCATCCATAGAGTATACATCATTGCACAACGCATCGCGAGCCAGAAAAAAAGAAGAAGCAAAAAGACTGTGCTTCACCGGATCGGCGACTCCTGCCATCTTCACCATTAGGCCTTCTTCTCCGCGCTGTCCTTGGACACAACGGGGTCCTCGGGCGAGAATTTGATGCTGACGCTGTTGACGCAGTGCCTCTCGTCCGTAGGGGTAGAGAACCCTTCGCCCTTGAAGACGTGGCCGAGGTGTCCACCGCAGTTGGAGCAGACAATCTCGGTCCGCACGATACCAAAAGCGCGGTCCTCGTGGCGCTCCACGGCGCCGGGGAGGCTGTCAAAGTAGGCGGGCCAGCCGCAGCCCGACTTGAACTTGTGAGTTGCGCGGTAGAGGGGGCCGAGCAGCCGGCGCACGCGTACGTCCCCTGCTCCGGGTAGTGCTTATCGTACTCGCCGCTGCCGGCGGGCTCGGTACCCTTTTCGCGCAGGATACGGAACTGTTCTGCAAAAAGGATAAGCCCGGAAGCGACACGGAGAGTGCGCGCGCGGGGATGGTTGTTAGTGGGAAACTGGCTCGCTATCACGATATTTTTTTCTCTTCTTTCATATTTATCTTCTTTCATATTTGTTTGATAGGAGGGGAAAAAACATTCAAATTCAAGAAAGGGAGCTCCGTAAAAGGGCCGGGGGTTAGGAAATGCATACCCTTGTTCAAAACCATGCGCCACTCGTCCTCCGATCGCTGGTCAGGGTACGTCATCTTCTGGGCTGGGGAGGAACTGGACGAGCTGCCGAAGAAGGAGAAGAGGGGCATTGGCCTCGGGCGTGTGAAGGTGGTGAAGCGGTTGTTCGTGGCGGGATTTCGAAGAAGTGGCTGCTGGGATCGGTGGTGACAAACGAGGCTGATGTTCCGGGCGAACGACGTGCTGGTGGAAGAGCGCGGGGTTCTCATGGAGCAGGGAGCGGAAAGGGTGGAGGTTATAATTGTTTAGCGCAAGGTGGGGGTGGAAGTTGTCCCTTGTGGAATTCCTTGTAGGTGTAAGCGGGAGGGCTGCTGCAGGCGGGCTCTGTCGGATGAGGCTCTCAGGTTTCGGAGCTTCACGGTTCCGGGTGCGCGGAAAGCTGTTCGCATGCAAAAGCAAAGCGGGCCGGACGACGTCAATGCTGCAAGGATAGAGGTGATTACTCGGCGATCTAGTTTTCCGGTTCTCGCTCATTCACAGGACAATAGGATATTGGCAAAAGGGAACAAAGGGGAGCTTTCAAAAGGATTGAGCTCCGCTCAACAATGAAGCTTACAATTTCAACTGTGAAGCCGACATGGTCCTTACATAATCGGCAACGTCATTTTTAGCTTATTCGAAGGAAGATGATGGAGGGACAAGGTACATCAATGGAGGTTATGAGGATTCAGATCTGGGCTACGGTAGTAGGTCGACAAGTTGGGGCAGGCGCGGTCGTGTTGCCCCGCTGGTGATCTCTGGTTTCCATCTTTTGGAGAAGGTGCACTGCTCTATTAATGGGCTGCATTTTCAGGTCGATGGATTCCCGCTTAGAAATTGTTCATGTGGACTTGCGCTACCTCGCCCCTGTTTTCGTTACTTTTTGTTCTATGGACCTCTCTGGCGATGACCATTGTTTTGTTTGGGGCAATTGCGCATTCCAGAGCTGTGGGACGAATCCGTGAAGAATGGAAATTGTTTGTCTATCACCAAAGAATACTTTGTTTCACTTCTTCTACTTCTACTTGACGGGTTAGTGGCTCTCCTCGCCCCTCGTGATTCACAAGGGTCTCGCAACGGGGTTCTGTTCAAGGGCGCAGAATCAATTGACCACCTCTTAAACGATTGCCTATGGCTAGGCAACTGGATAAAATATGGAAGACTGATGTCGTCTTTGACTCGGCGTTCGTTGGTGGGGTAAAATACGCTCATATTAGTGCAGAGCGTCTTTTCATCCCAATTCAAGTCTCCAATCTCAGGTCTTTCTCGCCTGAGGCATTGAAAATCCCCGGTCCCCCTTGTCCCACATGTACGAAGTACCTGTACAGTGTCCACGACCCCCGGTCCGCCACCAGTCAGGGCACTGATCTGAGGGAAACTCGCCAGGTGTGACCCGCCGACCTAACATTGAACATATCTTGATTCGAGTTTAAGAAGCCGACTTCACTCACCCCTAACTCCCATCTTCCTCCTCCTACCCAAAAACAGTTTCGTATTCCACGGCTGCCACTCTCGGCACTTTTCGATCGCACTCTTCTACCGAACCATACAAGAATTTCATCGATATTGCCTCACCAAGGTCTGGATTGGAACGATGTCTCGTCGTGCGCCGAACCCCGCCCAAGAGCGGGCTCAGAAGAACCAGCAGACGCTTAAGAACCTCCTCAAACTGGAGCCCAACAAGATATGCGCAGACTGCAAGACTCACAAACGTAAGCCCCTTGTCCTCTCTAATCACTCTTGCTCTCTTTTCATCCTATGCAATCCGTGTGCTGATCAAGTTTGCCCTTTTGAAACATAGATCCCCGATGGGCTAGCTGGAACTTGGGCATCTTTGTCTGCATCCGCTGCTCTGGCATCCACCGAGGCATGGGAACCCACATCAGCCGAGTCAAATCCGTCGACCTCGATTCCTGGACCGATGAACAGCTACAGAGCATGCTCAACTGGGGGAATGCGAGGGCGAACAAGTACTGGGAGGCCAAATTGACTACGCGGCACGTGCCCTCCGACAGCAAGGTAGAGAGTTTTATTCGGACAAAGTACGAGCTCAAGCGATGGGTAATGGATGGACCAATCCCCGACCCCTCTACTCTCGACGACGGCGACGACATCCCCCTGAGCCTGGTCAAGGAGAAGCAGACAATTGAGCACAAGGAATCGATACGCAAGGCCTCCATCGGGCAGTCCTCGAAACCCGGGCCCGCCTCGACCCCTGTTGCCGATCTCATTGGCGGAGACCCCATCCCCCAGCGCGCCAGCACCACGAGTCCGCCGGCTCCCCGCATCTCCAACAAGGCCGCTGCGGCCCCGCCCAAGACGACAAATACAAAGGATTCTTTGCTGGGGCTAGATTTCTTTGGTGAGCAGGCGGCCGCCCCCGCCCGGCCTGCCAGCACTACGGGTACGCAAAACGCGGGCGGTTCCTCGAGACCCGACCTCAAGCAGTCCATCCTGTCGCTCTATGCCACGGCACCCAGGCCCCAGGCCCAGCCCGTCCTCCAACAGCCCGTCGCCCAGCAATTTGGCGGCATGTCCCCTGCCCCTCAGCAACCCGCCGGGGCTTGGTCGATGCCTTTGGTGGCCTCAGCTTCGGCAATACTACTACACAGTCGCCGCCTCCTCCGGCAGTTGACCCTTTGCGTCATTCGGCTCCCCTCCCTGGCTTCCAAACCCTTGGCGGCAGCGCCTCCCTCCAACGCCTTTGGGGGTCTCGGCGGTGGAGGTTTCTTCAGCGCCAAACCCGCCCAGCCCCCTGCCCAGACGCAACCCAAGTCTCCCGGCATCGCCTCTCCAGGTCTTGCCGGTCTCTCCAGCCTCGCCTCCCCACGAACAACATCCCTCCCTCCAAGCCTGCGCAGCCTGCGGCCTCGTCGGCCTTTGGCGACCTCTTTGACCTGAGCTCCCCAGCACCCCAAGCCGCCGCCGCCCCGGCCCCTGCCGCGCCCGCGCCTACGCAGACCTCTAGCTCCGTCTTCAACCTGTCTTCCCCGCCCCCGCTCCCGCCGCTCCCAAGGCTGCGCCGGCCGCCGCCGCCGCGTCTGCCGCCACCGTTGGCCTGGGCTCCAATAGCTGGGCAACCAACGACGTCTGGGGCGACAACGCCTGGGGCAGCACAGAACCTGCCGCCAGCGCCGCAAAGCCTGCCGCGCCACCGGCGGCCACGACAACGACAACCAACGACTTTGGCTGGGGTAGCTCGAGCATGACGGCCAGCGGTTCCTCGCCAGCCCCCTCGCCAGCCAGAGTATCGTGCCTGGCGCGAGCGGTTTCAACACCAGCGGCGGTTTCGGCGCCACCAACAGCTTCAACGCGGCGCCGCAGGTGGCCGCCGACGAGGAGTTTGGTGGCTGGAGCAGCGGGCCCTCTGCCAGCGCGACCACGACACCGGCCGCGAGCAAGCCTTCTGGTGGATTCGGAGGAGGTAGCGATGACTTGTTTTCCAATGTTTGGCAGTAAATTTCGGGTCTTTGGGGAAAGAATGAAGGGAGAGATGGGAAGAGGGAGAGAGAGAGAGAGCGAAGGAAGAAGAAGATCAAAAAGGCATTATACGTGTGTATTCGACTAGATTGCGGATGAGAAGAATGATGTCATGACTCTAGCATTTTTATCTTTTTCCCCTTTGCCTTCCTCGTGTCCCTCTCTTTTGTTTTGTCACCCCCGCCTCGAATGTTCACGTTTTCCGCATATGAAAAGCAAGGTTTAGCATGGGGCGGTGGAGCTTTTGGTTCCTTTTGTTGCTCTGTTCTGGGTTGGAAAAATAAAACAGACCCATTGATACTTTCTCGCAGCGACAAAAAGAAGAAGAGAGAAACTCGTCTCTTAAAAAAGGAAAGAGTTCTTGGTCCCTGGTTCATCCTCGTCCCTTCCTCTCTATGGGGGCGCCGGCTGGGCAAAAAGAAAAAAAAAGAGAAAAGATGGACAGGGCAAGCAAAACTTGCGATTTACGGCACAAAAGAGACGGCGAAGAGGAGAGAAGATATACTACATGTTATATTTCGTGCGTGTATTCATATCCATCCGCCAGGAAGAGTTAAAAAGTACAACAAGGCCAAATATAGTGTTTGGAGGACAAAAAAAGAGTACATGGCCTGCGTGACGTGTAAAAACTGTTAAAAAAATAAAAAAGGAAGACGCCGTTTCTTGATGCTTACAATGATAAAAAAAGGTGTAACAAGATGGGTATTCACACATAAGCGTGTCGCGATGCCGCTCCGCTATCAACAACATGCACCTCCAGTTTCTCTATCCGCGCTCGAAATGCCTTGCGTCGCCTGTTCTCTTCTTCGTCGCCTTCGCACGGCGAGATTCGCATGATGCTCGAGGTTTAGGCCTGGGCCTCGTGCTAAAGGTTGCGCAGAGAGAACCTTGGCGCAGAGCCACAACGATGCGAATTTTACTCGTGTTTCTAAGCCAGAGCCCGTCGCTTTCATCGTTTACCCTGTAAATGCGTAGGCTCCATTGGAGAGTACGAAACATGGGCCACGAGATTCGCGCTTGATTGGGCTTTTTCTGTTGTGGTCTTTGGCTTAGAAGAATAGCTTGGAAACGTAGTAGAGGAAGATGAAGATGCCGATGAGGATGGCGGATAGTTTTAGAACGGCGACCTTGTTGCCCGAGACGGCCATCCTGCCGAGGCGGGTGGCGGAACCCCTGAGAGTAGTGGTCATGGAGGAGAAGGTCTCGGACTAAGCGCGCTTCTGTTAGGGATACTAGCAAGGACGCAGAAGTGTATAGAAGGGAATTAAGGAAGATGAAGTGGGCCTGGGGCTGCTAGCTTACGGTGTTGTCGATGACATCCTGGGTGCGGGCGTTGTCGTAGATGTCGACGGTGATGCCGCGCAGGGCGGAGACCTTGGAGGAGAGCTCGTCGAGGCGAGAATTGTTTTGGCGTTCACGCTCGTAAGCCTCGGACATTGTGTGTGATGGGAGTGGGAGGGAACCCGAGTCTTCCGTCTTCCGGGGGTGTTCGGGGAGGAAGGGGTGCGTTGAGACGTCTTTCGGGTTGGGGGAGCGGTGTGGTTCAGGGTTCGAGAACCGGTGCGGATTGTAACAGTGATTGTTCGCAGCGCTTATAGACGCGTAAATCGGTTATTTATTGTCTGGGAGTGGCCACGAGGGGTGAGGCGCTGGATTGATCGTTCGTGTTCGTGGCGAGAAGGTGAGGAAATGTCGAGGAGATGGATAGATCAGGGTTCAAGGGCGGATGACGGTTGTTGAAAGGGGGCTAAATCCGGCATGACAATAGGTCAGCGTGGCACCCTGCAGCAAGGGTTCAAGAAGTTGGTCTGGCGGGTTTCAGACAAGCCACCCGTCAACAGCTGGCTGATCAACAATGTCGAAGTTGCCGGGCGGTGATGTCAGCGATCTTGTCGGGTCGCACGGGAGGGTTCCTCAGCCACTGCCGAGAGCTTGCACTACACCAGCGAGATTAGTGTAGCTGTAGTTCAGCCAACAATATTGCGTGGACATTGACAAATGTGGTGACGACTAGCGTTGCTCGCATGCGTATATGCTGACTCTCGAGGGAGGCAACCACTGACGAAAGAGACTAATTTTTTGCTGAGGTTGGGCAGGACCACGGAATTGGTTGCAAGTCCCCGCCGGACTGCCCCTCCACGAGGCAGAGATCAGCGTGGCAGGCGGCCACCTGCCTGGACTGAGCTGGGGAAGCACTTGCCTCGTGTCGTTTATCAACTAGTACAAATCTGCATAATTGGGGAAGGCACGGATGCGGAGAAGTTTGGGTTTGGAACAATCCTATTCATCTCTCTCAGAACAGAAGCTGTTAGAAGACGCTTCCGGCCTCTCTCCCCTCGGTGGCTCCTGCTTTACACATCTACACTCTGTTCTAATTCATGTCGTGACACCTCAGGAAACCGAGGTAATAAAAAAGAATCCGGAGTCACAGCGGACATGAATGGGCGAAATATGCCGGCGGTTGCACAAATCCGGCACGCTCTTTGTTCAGCTTAAAAGCGGGAGTCTGCTGCTTCGATGCTACGATGCCCTGACGGGACAGCCACCCATGAAATTATTGATTTGATCAATGGATCTGCGAGGAAACATGCGGCATCAGCAAGCAACAAGTCTCATGCGATTGTGAATTGATAGCTCTAGTGCTCCGCCCTACTAGTGGCGTTGATGATTCGCGAGTCTTTTCGTCGTGCTCACCTGGATTTATGTGATGATTGATTCCAACGTGCTGCTACTACTGCTACTACTGCTACTACCCCGCTATTACTTGTAAAAAGCCAAGCTTGAGTGGGACCTCTTCTCTCTCTGTTCAATGTTCCTTTCCCTCTCCGACGTAACAAAACCTACGTAACAAAGTCCCTCCCCACTCTTCCAACCTTCCTCCAAACCTTTGTCGGCCCAGGCCAAAAAGTTAACGCCAACACTTTTCGACATCGAAATCCGAACCTGACAGATCCTCCTGTGTATCCTTCTTCCCTCCCCTTCTCCCGCCACCCCTCTCCCCTTGAAAGCTTCCCGACGCTTTCCTCCTTTGCAGCCAAGTGATTTCGGACAGAGTAGATCGTCACTCTTCCCCCACTCTCTCTCGCGACGATGGGCCTCCATAACCCTTTGCCGTCGTCAATGGCGTGTAAGCTCCCCTCCCTCCCTCTCTCCCCTCTGCCGACCCTTCCGCCCCGCCAAGCCCACGCCTGCCTCACTTCTTCCCATTTGCGCCCACGCGCAACCCCCGTCGCGTCCAAAAGGCTAACTCGTGAGATTTGGGCAACCATTCTAGCGGAATGCAAAAAGTGCGGCAAGATCCTGACGTCTTTTATCGATCCTCGACAGGCCTTTGGCCCCGATAAGATTATTCCTCCTTCCGTCCTCGCCAATGCCAAGGTATGCCTGTTGCTCCTGTCCCGGACTTGCGCCAACACTCCAGCTTGCCACAATCTGTCTCGTGAGGGGAGGAAAAATAGAGGGGGAAAATATCAGGGGACCTCGGTCCAACTGCCACTGTTCTAGGCTCACAATGTCGAAAAAAAGCACCAAGGACTAACAGTTGTGTTTCTCTATAGGGCCTCGCAATTCTCACAGTAATCAAGGCCGGTTTCCTCGGTTCCGCTCGCTTCGGTAGCGGTCTTGTCGTCTCCCGCCTGCACGACGGCACCTGGTCCGCTCCTTCCGCTATCGCCACTGCCGGCGCTGGTTTTGGTGGCCAGATCGGCCTCGAGCTCACCGATTTCGTCTTTATTCTCAACGACGCCAGCGCTGTCAAGACCTTTGCCCAGGCCGGTTCCCTCACGCTCGGTGGCAATGTCTCCATCGCCGCCGGCCCCGTAGGCCGCAACGCCGAAGCCGCCGGTGCCGCCTCTCTCAGGAGCGTCGCGGGCATCTTCTCCTACTCCAAGACCAAGGGCCTCTTCGCCGGTGTCTCTCTCGAGGGCTCCGCCATCATCGAACGCCGCGACGCCAACGAAAAGCTCTACGGCACGAGATACACCGCGCAGCAGCTTCTTAGCGGCTCCGTCCGACCTCCGCCGCAGGCTGCGCCCCTCATGGATATCCTTGGCTCGCGCGTGTTTAGCGGCATGCGCTCCGGCGGTACGACCACCGACTCGTCCATGTACAACGATGTTCCCGTCTACGACAACCGGCACGACGACGTCGTTTGGGACGGAAATAGGGAAGTGCGTATGGCGAGGGCACAACCCGACGTAACTCGGGAGACTACGGTCGCGGTGGCGGAGCAGGTGCTAGCTGGCGCGATGACGACTACGATCGAGACTTTTCGGCCCCGCAGCGAGCGAGCACCTACGCTCCCGGCAGGAGTGATTTACATTCACCGACATCGCCCACCTCCGCAGCCGCGCCGGACGCCCGGCCGCGCCGAAACCCAACTTTGCGAGCAAGAAGGCGCTACTGAAGAAGAACGAGGCGGTGGCGCTGTTCACCTTTGAAGCCGACCAACCTGGCGACCTCAGCTTCAAGAAGGGCGACGTCATTACCGTCCTAAAAAGACGGAGAGCGATAACGATTGGTGGTACGTATCTTCCAGCTCCCATCCAAGCGAAACATCTGGGAACGTTATTTTCTTCTTTCTTTTCTTTACTCTAAATGATGGCTAACCGCGAGTGCTTTCCCTCTCATAGGACCGGCATGATTGGAAACCGGCACGGCGTATTCCCTTCCAACTATGTCAAAATGAAGGAGTAGAAGCCGAGGCTGGGAAATCTGTCTTGTTTTGCATGAGTTTACAACGCGGCTTGCGCTCGGCCGGGGACTGGGAGAATGGTACAAACATTACCGGCGTTCTTTTTTTCTTTTTCTTCTTCCTTTTTCTTCCTCTTGCGCTTTTTTCTACGCTTCCTCCCCTCTGCTACAATTTTCTCATTTTATCCTCTTACCAGTCTACCAGCCCGTATCTCTTCTGATCCATAGTTTCAGTGGCCTTTTTGCTTCGTCCCTCCACCCGCCCTCATGACCTGTCTCTCCCCCTCCATGTCTGATTCTCCTGTCTCTCCATCTCAATCTTCTCATCATGTCAGGCCTGGCTCGGTTCTTGACCTTTACCCATTTTCAATATCACCGAGCCCGTAGCCGACCCTACAAATGACTTACTTGGCCTTCAATACACTTCCAAAAGAGCCTACTTCCCTTTCTCTTTTTTCCATCTTTCACCTTTTCCCCAACATGGCTATCTGAAGCGTGCTTCTGTTGCCAATCTCCCTGTCCTTGTCTGTGTTTATTTTCTCGTGAAGTTAAGCTTTTGTGTTCTACATCTTTTCTGCCTTGGAGAATTCTGTTTTCGTTTGTAACCCGCCGAACAAGCTCGGTAGAAGAGGCAGCAGGCCAGGGGCCCTCATAGGCTTAGTGATGACGGGGGAAGGGAGGGGAGGGAGTTTAGACGAAAAAGAGTATTGGTGTCTTGAGAGTACAAGTATTCCAGCAAGGGGTTTAGGAAAGGCGGCAGATCAGAGAGAAGAGGGAAGAGAGAATAACCTGCACGTACTTAGCGATGGTTTTGTTCTTTTCTAAAGGTTGTCGTGTCTTGTGCCTCTCGCGCGAGAGCCCGATTTCGTTCGGATACCCAACTCTTTTTCTTCAGTTTTCTTTGTCTCCGTTTGTTATCATATTATGTTGTACCCGACTCACTCGCTCACTCTCTTTCCGTGCGTGTTAGTTTCTCGTTTCTCTCCAAGCAGTGCCGCGTTAAAATAGAGAAAGGGAGCACTGCGTATAGACTCTTTGTCCAACGACGACTGATCTCTAGCCACCCACCTTCGGACCATCGTCTCCCTCATCTGTACTCAGCGCTTTGAGGCGTTTGGCAGGAATGGGTCACGGATTAGAAAAAGAAGAAGAATAGAGCACGCATGGAATACTTGGATATATTCATGTTTGATAAACGGGCGCCGGGACACGGACGCCTCCAAAAGAACAACCAAAAAGAGTAAACACCACAGAAAAAGGCCGGTCAGGTTTTCCGGCTACCTCCCACTATAGTTCCACACAGACTCTCTCTCTCTCTCTGTTTGTTTTGCCCGTATCCTCGTACCCTTCCCATCATCCATGGCTTTCCTTATCCTAACAGAAACCTGACGCAAAAAGCCAAAAGAAAAAGAGAAAAATGCCCATTATTCAATTTTGAGGAAAGGGGAGGGGCGGGGTTGGAAGGAATTCCCTAGAGGCCCCGTCCTAATGTGTAGATGCCGCCTCTTCCTCCCCTTGACCGCTGCCGAAGAAGAAAAAGAAAAAAAAAGACCAGAAAAAACCATGCAGTGCCGTGGGCCAAGGAGGAAGAGAGGGTGACACCCCGACCGTCCTGGAAGCGATTCTTTTTCATCCACATGTTTCCGCGTTGCTGCTGCTATCGTATACTCTCGAAACCCCAGCTCGACCTCTCGTCTCCTTCCTTTTTCCTTGTTTATTTCTTCTTGCCCTTGCGCTTCTTCTTATTCTTCTTACCGCCGCCGCCACCGCTACTACTGCCCCCATTACCTGCCTGTCCCGCCGTACTACTGCTCCCTTGCGTGTTGGGGGAGCCAACGTCCAAGAGCGGCTGCGACTCCTCTTCCTCCGCCTCTTCCGACTCTGCCGGGTCGTCGTTGGTCGTCTGTGTCTCCCCACTCTCCTCGGTCTCCAGCGCCGCCGGTGCGGATTCTATCGAAGGGGCGGGCTGCGCCTCGGAACTGATGATGCCGATGCCGGCAATGGTGTCCTCCTCCTCGTCCCCGGAGCTGGCGGTGATGACCACCTTGCGTACGCCTCCGGACTCGATGTAGCTTTCCATGATGGGTCCGCTGCGGCTCGTGGTTGCCCTGGCGGGCGCGCTAAAGAGGTCACTGGCGCCGTCGGTGGTAACCGGCGACGTAATCGTGTTGCTCCGGGATTTGCGGGGCTTGGGTGACTCGGGCGGGCTGGCTTGGCTACGGGGAGAACCCGCGGCGACACCGTCATCCGCTGGGGTGATGGTCGCGGACCCGTCGCTCTCGAGGGACAGGGGTTGGCTCGTCCTTCCGAGCGAGGCCTTGCCATTGCCGTTGCCGGCGTCGGCGGTACCGTAGCTAGGCTTGGAGACAAAGATGCCGTTATTCTCTTTAGGGGTCATCTTGGAAGCGAGTAGTGGGGTGTCCTCGTCGCTTCCCTCGATGTCATCCTCGGGTGTCTGGACGATGGCGAGGGTAGTGCCGCGGGGCACGTCCTTGACCTGGGCCGCCGAGGCGGGGCTCAGACCACTGAAACCAGGCTTAATCATGACGGTGGCCGAGTTGGTGTTTTTGGGGTTCGACGCCGGGTTGGAAGGGCCGAGATGCTTCAGGTGCTGCCGCAATTCGTCCATGTTGGCCTTGACGGGTACATTGGAGGACTCAAAGCCGTCGGGGCCTGTGGAATGACGCTTCTTCATCATGAAGGTAACGGTCTTGGGACTCGCAACTAGCACTTCGTCCTGTCCTGCGGTGCTGGGGTCGAGTCTTTTAGTTTCGATGGGTCGGGCTCCTTCCCCACGACCGTGCTCCTTTGCTAGCTTATCGGCGTTGAGGCTGCCTCGTCGGAAAAGCATGGTGGTGGGTGCAGGCGTCAGGCGGCGAATGGCCTTGTGCACGTCAATATAGACGTCAGACTCGTCGATAATCTCCCTATTGATCAAAAGTTAGTGGCCATAGCGCTACGGAGGCTAAAAGTTGCAAAACAAAACAACAAAACCAAAATAAGGGTCAGGGTCTCTAACGTACTCTCCAATCAGTTCTTCAATGACATCCTCCAGCGTGACAACGCCCAGAGCACCGTGGTCCTGCCCTGGCGCCGAGGATACCATGGCCATGTGGGATTTTCCGTCCTGGAAGTAGTTGAGGATATCCAAGCAGCTGGTCTCGGGGCGGGTTTCGGGCAGGGCGGCCAGAGGAAAGTCCTTGACCTGCATGCAGTCTTCGGGGTCGTAGGTGATGAGGATCTTGACGAGCAGCATGCCGACAAAGTTGGTGGGGTTGTTGGGCTGGTGGACGGGGATTCGCGAGTAGCCGGCGGAGAGGATGCTATCCATCAGCTGCTCATCCAGCACGGCGTCGGCCGACAGGGTGAAGACGTCGCTCATGGGGGTCATGATGCGGCCGACAGGCTTGCCCTTGAGGTCGAGGACAGCTCGGATGATGGTGACCTCGTCGGTGTTGAGGCGCTCGGAAACCTCGCCCATGGTCTGGTGTAGGGTGACGAGGGTCTTGAGGCCGCTCTTCTTGTAGACGGTGCCCTCGTGGGTGCCGAGTATGTAGTCGAGGAGTTTCGCAATCGGCCACGAGATGGGCGCCGTGAGCCACATGAGGGCAAGCACGGGGAACGCCATGAAACCGCCGATGGGAAGGCCATATCGAACGCAGACTGACTGGGGAACGACTTCGCCAAAGATGACTATCGGGGAGGAAGAATGAACGGGTTAGCACAAGGAGCCCTCCATAGCCCACAACAAGCTTGGTGGGGTAAGGGACGGGTCCGGTTGAGGAAGGGGAGGGCAGGAAGCGTACCGATAAGCACGGTACTACCGACAATGGCGGCAATTCCGCCGCCGAGACACCTATCAAGGACAACGGGCAGAGATTCGTTGACAATGACGTTGGCTAGAAGTAGGGTGACAAGAACCCAGTGTTTTCCTTTATTGAGCAGGTTGAGGACCTTTTCGGCGGCCCGCCGTAATGACGCGGATTCGTGGATATCGTCTTTGAGAACCTTGAGGTAAATGCCGTCCTGCCCCATGAATCTGCCAAAAGCATGAGAGAAATCCCGAGGTTAGCCTCTCTTGGAAATAAAGATGAATTGGAGCTACGATGATGATGGGAAGCAATCGTAGGCCAAAACCCCCTCCAAAGAAAAAGCAGAAACAAGGGGAAAAAAAAAGAACTCAAGGGGAAGAGGGAAGGGAATATGGAGAGAAAGGGAAAAAAACATACGCAATCGTCAAACCAGCAAAGGCGCCTCCCGCAACGACGAGAATCGCGGAGAGGGCGTACAAAACGTATAAACCAGGGCCCTCGGCCTCGGGCTCGTCAATTCCGCCTCCATGACCCAGGGTGGTGAGCGGGGCGGCGGCGGCGTGCTGAAGACCCAGGAAAGCCACCCTGCAGAGGCCGATGACGGCGGATCGAGCGCTCAGAAACGCATTGAGCGAGGCCGGGCGGCCACGCGTCGTGCTCATGACTTGTCGAGACGGGGGTCCGGATCGAATTTCGCGGCAATGGATGATCTCGCGGGTCTCGAACTCTCGCACTCGAACTCTCTCTCACACACACGCTTTCTCTCGAGCTCTCTCTCTCGAGCTCGCACGCGCACTCGGGTTTCTCGGATCGGGGGTTGTCGACCGGGTGCGTGTATGTGGGCGCGGAAGGGGAGGGGGAAGGTGGGAAAGGTGATGCTGTGGGATTGGGGGAAGAAGAGAAAGAGAGGCGATAAGACGGTTTGAATGGATCAATTGATAGCTTGTCCGGGTGCGGTACGTATCGAACAGTACTAAGCTGTGGTGGCTCCGGGGTACATCGATCTCGCTTGAACTCTGTTACTAGTCCTGTGCTTGATCAATTGATGGAGAGCGACGAGGACGGATGATGCACTGGGCGATGCACTGTCAAAGAGCTAAGGAAAGTGCAGGCGGGTCGAGCAAATTCCCTTTTGGCGGCGCCAGTGTCACGTCATGGGCCTACGCACATTGGCCCAAACGACAGGCAAAGGCAAAGGTATGACGAGCACAGAGACGAGAGAGGGATTGACGAAGGAACGATATCATTCAAAACATGCAGGATGCGTCGCGGGGCCCGGTTTTTCTTTAAATACACGGGAATCGACCGTCCCGTTTTTATCACAGAACTACAAAGGGGCGGGGAGAGAGAACAATGAAGCCATTATGAATGAAGAAAAAAAAAAGAACGGGATCAATTCCGGAACATCGGAGGAAGAGGGCATGGGTTTTCTTAGGTCTTGTTCCTGGACCGGCGGACGAACGCGGTCAATTGAGAAGACCTGCGTCGGAATGATACCCTAGGCTATTCATTTTTATTTCTCTTGACCTGGGATGGCGGAGAGAAAGAGGAGACTACCTGTATACATGGAAAGAGAGAAGAGGGAGAGAAGAATACACGCGAAGAAGCAAGCAAAAAACCACCGAAACTCGCCAGAAAAAGAAGCCGCACGGGTACTTGGCTCGCAAGTTTCGGAGGTTCATCCCCAATGTTCAATCCTTGTCAGAATACGCCACGGCTGGGCCCACGGCCATACCAGGATCGCAGGTAGCAACGGACAGGCGCCCATCACCATATTTTCCACCCCCACCGACCGACCGTAGGGCGCGGCTCCCGCTCCCGCAAACAACTCACGATGGGGGACGGGTTCGCGGAAGAACGGGGGCTCGGCCGCTGGGGAGCACGAGGGGCCAAATTCCTCGCAGAGGAAAAAGACGGCCGCGCGCCCGGAACTCGGGGGCCTCTAATTTTCGGTTTGTCGCCACTCTGCACGAGAGAGAAAATTTGTACGTCGGAGTGGGGTGGACGAAGAAAAAAAGAAATTGGCAAAACGAAAACCCTCGTCGACAAATGGTGAAAAAAGAGACGGCTCAGGAGGACGGCCGACTTAGTTTGCATCTTCTTCCGAGGGCTCGGCTAAGATGGGCCTTGGACCCTCCCAGGAGCTAGAGGGTGAGCAGCAACGAGACGAAAAGAGCACAAGAAACAATGTTGGACTTTCTCTTGAAGTGATCCAATTTCGAGGGCCAAGCTTAGAGCTCTCCCCAGGCAAAACACGCGCCCAGAAACCTCAAGTGCTAGCTCCGGCCCCGGCGTCCGGTTCTTAATCACGTTGTTTCTCCATTCCAAGTCAAACTGCCCCATGCAATCCATGATTACAGCGCGATGGCGTACATGATAATATAAATCTTGAGAGCCAGGCTTGCCAGGGCCCCCTCGCCTTCACCATTGGCCCGTCCTACATCCTTGATCCTGCAACTCCACAGTCCGCATCGAAATCGAAGCATCATGCAAGGTGGGCTCCCCGCGCACCTGCTGGCTGTCGTCAACGTTTGATCCCGCCTGTGATGGCGGCGGCACAGCGGCATAGCGGCACAGCGCACAGCGCACAAGAGTGCGAAGCCGTATCGTGTGCGACAGAATCAGCAGTGGCGTACATGCACATACACTGGTGTTCTTTTACTCAACCTTTCAGCTGGAACCCTTCTAAAACATGGGGATCTATCTTCCTGATGGGCCAGCCCAAGCCCAAGTAATTCAGTCATGATAATGACCCACGGATGAAATCAACAGTTGGATAGACAGATCAGCAACGCACAACGCTTTCCAGTAGTCTCCGTCTATATATAGAGACAAGGGCACAGAGGTGAGAACAATAGAAACGAATCAATAATAGGATAAAGAATTGAAGCAGGCTAGGTAGAGTTGATCTACAGAGAAAGCTACGCCGTTTCCACCAAGCAGTTGATGACAACAATAGGAACGCAGAAAAATAAAAACTATTTTAATAAAACAAAATAAAACCAGTGACAAAGGACGCCCAAATCCATGTTACAACCCGTGATGCCGAGATGCCAAGATCATTCTCATAATTTTTGTGTTATTCTTCCTCTCTTCATCCCCTTAATAAGCCTAGACGCAGGCTTGACCTTCCTCTTCGTCCTCCAAGTGGGGAGAATTAGTCCAACTTCAAAGCCCCTTTACAAGTTGACGAGGCTCACGTCGAGGATACCCTCGGTAGCAGCCAGCTCATCGAGCACCTCCTTGCTCACGACACCGTCGATGCCGAGAATCATGAGAGCCTCGTTCGACACCTTGCCAGTTCCACTGCCGTTGCCGAAACCATTGCTGCTAACGGACCCGACCCTCTTCCTAGGCTTGGGCTCCCGGCTGGCCACCTGCATAAAGTTGATGTTGACCCCCTGCTTGCCCAGCACCATGCCCACGCCGCCAATCTTGCCCGGCGTGTCGTAGTTGTGCAAAACCAGCACCGTGCCCTCGGGCTCGAAGCTGCCGTGGAACCTGTCTAGGCGCGAAATGTAAGCCCGGTCCTCCGAGATGTAGCCCTCGATGACTTGCGGCGCGCCTCCGCTCTCCTCGCCGCGCACCGTCAGCGTCACCAAGCTGGCGTACGCGAGGTCCGACGTCTCGTGCGAGTGCACTTCCTTGATCACCATGCCCTTTCCTTGGCGATGAGCGTCGCGTTGACAATGTTCACGTCGCCGCCCTGAGCGTCGCTAATCGTCGACACGAGGCCCTTGACGAGCGCCGCCAGCAACGGCCGCGTGTTGGTCACGCTCGCGAGCTCGCCGTGGTATACGAGCTCAAACGTCCGTCCGCCAATCATGCCGCCGCGGCGGCCGACAAAGTGCTGCGTGTACAAGCTGCCGAGCTTCTCGACGAGCGGCACAAACGGCTGGAGCCGGCGGTACTCCTCGGGCAGGATCAGGGGCGCGTTGACGGCCGTGGTGGGCAGATCGCCGTTGAGCACCTTGAGCACCTGCGCGCACACGTCGAGCGAGACGTTCTCCTGCGCCTCCACCGTGGACGCGCCGAGATGCGGGGTGGCAACGACCTTGGGGTGCGTCGCCAGGCGGGACGCCGTGGAATCCGGCGCGGGGGCTCTGACGTGAAGACGTCCATGCCCGCCGCCGCGATCCACCCTCGTCGAGCGCCTTGATGAGGGCCTCTTCGTTGTAGACGCCGCCACGCGCGACGTTGAGCACGCGCGCCGTCTTCTTCATCTGCTGGAGCTCCTTCTCGCCCAGCAGGTCGAGCGTGCTGGCGATGAGCGGCGTGTGGATGGTGAGGAAGTCGACGACGGGGAGGATGGCCTGCAAGTCCGCCGCGAGCTCGACATTAGCTCGAGCCGCCACCTCGGGGCTGGCGTATGGGTCCACGGCCACGACCTTCATTCCGAGACCCTTGGCCATGCGCGCCACGTGCATGCCCACCTTGCCCAGACCGATGATGCCGAGCGTCCTGCCGCCAACCTCGACACCAACGAGCTTGCTGCGCTCCCACTTGCTCGCCTTGAGGGTGCCATCAGCACGGCCAATATGACGTGCCGTAGCGAGAAGCAGGGCAATGGTGTGCTCGGCCGCGGCCAAAATGTTGCCCGAGGGCGAGTTGACGACGATGACACCGCGGGCCGTGGCCGCGGGCACGTCAATGTTGTCCACACCAACACCCGCACGCGCGACGACCTTGAGGTGCACGCCCGCCGCGAGCACTGCCGCGTTCACCTTGGTCTCGGAGCGCACGATGAGGGCCTCGTAGTCGGGGATCACAGCCAGCAGCTCCTCGGCGCTCAGTCCCATACGGATATCAACTTGGAACAGGTCCTGGAGCATAGCCAGGCCGTCGGGCGAGACCTTTCGGGAACGAGCACGCGGGGCTTGGCGGGGGCGGCGGGAGCGGCAGGAGCGGCGTCGACGGCCACAGCCTCCGCGGGGGCTTGGGCGACTGCTTCCTCGGGGACGGCAGACATTGTGTAATGTAAGTCTAGCTAGTAGCTTTGTGAGGATGGTGGGGAGGCTAGGAAGAGAGTAGGAGGGCGAAACAGGTAGGTTGGGAGAGAATCAAGCAAGCCAAGAAAGCCAGACCTGGGCTAGGTAAAATGAAAATAACCGTATAGGGATGGATGTTTTCTTCTTTTCCTTTGCCTTTTTGAACTCAAAAGAACCTGAGAGGAAGGAATAGCTTAGTACAGAGTAAGGATGGTGTGCAAAGTATAATGTGTCTACACGTTCACAAGGTTGTAAGCCACCGACGCGAAGGGGAGTTGGTTTACAAGATGAGTACAGAAAAGGAGAGAGAGAGAGAGAGAGGGGAAATAGGAGGAAGGGTTTTGGGAAGCACGGAAAACAGATTAAAATCAAGACGAGAAACTAGAAATCTAAAGAATAGACACCAAAGGAGCTCTCGGTAACCGGCTGCGGGAACCGGAGACCGTCATGCTTGAAGCACGTCCCAAAAACGAATGTGAACACCACCGTTGCGCACTTTTTTCTTGTAATTCTTTTTTTCCCTCACCCCCAGCTAGTCACAGCTCGTCGGACAACCCCTCGCCTTCCCCCTTCCAAGGGTCCGGTCAAAAATCAAGGTACACAAGGGATGGGGGTCCTGTGTCGGCCAAATTGGGGCCAGCGCTGATTCTAGGCTATGACTCGTCCAGGCTCTTGGTTACCCCTCGTTCTTCGTCCCGAAAAGGAAGGGGGTATAAGCAAAGGGTGTGGATTGGGATATCGAAATCGGCGCGCTAACAGTGGAGAGGCCCAAAAGGCAGGCAAGGGAAAGGCGATGGGGGAGTCTGGATGGCTGCATGTGCACAGAGGGAGGCAGAGCACGAATGGTCCAGTCAGGAGGTGGGAGAAATGACATCCCGCGCGCTTTCAATGGCTCAGGCTCAAGAGAAGGAAGAAGCGGGGGTCAATTGAGGCTTGGGAAAGAAGGGAAAGGGTATGATTGAGGACATGAAAAAGGCGTTTGGAGAACATGTGGGTTTACACCACGACACAAGAAGCCAAGAAAGAGGAAAGGGGGAGGGGGCGTAGAGGGACCGTAGAGGGGGCGTAGAGGGGTGCGATGTCGGCTTCGAGGTTCGAGGCTAGCTCAGTGATCACCCCGCGCCTTCCGCCAGCCCCTCGTTCCCTCCAACCCTTCATTTGGTTGCCGCCTAGTGGGGTCTGTGGCTTCTGTAAGGAGCGATCGCCGGGGAGTCTCGCCCACTGAGGAGACTTAGTTTACCCTTATTCCATTTTGACTCAGGACGCCATCTTCAACGTTCAAGGCATTGAGGCGCGTTGGTCCTGCCTCTCGCTGGCGTTGCGTGATGCGTCAATGGGTTGAAAGCCAATGGGCCGCGGGTGGTCCAAGAAAACAAGAAGAAGAAAAATTTGAAAGCAAAGAACGTGAGGCTTGGTTGTGCTGACACCCCTCTGGAGCTCTGGAGGGGTGAGCCAAGTCGGCTCAACCTTGTCAATTGCGGAGGCGGCAGCCCAAGCCTGGGGGTGGGTGGGGAGGGCCGGTGTGGGCGGGCAACCGGTGGTCGGCCTCACCAGCAGAAAGTGGCATCCTGAGATCCCACAAATAGAGGCCCCTCATGAGAGTGGTTTCACGACGAAAGTGACATCGGATTCCCGTGCCAACACTCAATTGGGTCTATGATTTATTTCACCCGCTCGATGCGCGCATTGTGCTGGCCAGAATAGAAGCAAGGGAGAAATAAATCGATCGCTGAGGAGGTTTGGGCTCCGGAAGGTGCACCGCCAGCGAGCGTTTATTCGAAAGTCTCTCAGTGCCGTCCTCGCCCTATGTCACCTTTTTCGGGTTTAGTGGTGCTATGAAGAAGAGAAAAGCAACCCTTAGGGCTGCTTCTAGTGACGAAGAAATGCCAGCAATTTGGCGAGTGTTGCACCTCCCCTTCTTGGCCCCTTCTTGGCCAGCCCCTTCCCATTGTAAGATGTGTGAGAACAAGGCTTCAAGGTGCAGCCTTTTGAATTGGGCAAGAGCAGACGAGCACTGGTACTGAAGGGCTAGATATCTGGTATTTAGCATCTGGTATGTTGTTTTGCTGTCTGTTTTTCTTCTCTTTCCTTTTACCTAGGTTTGGTCTAGCTGGCAAGGCCTACGTGTATTCTCTATTCACGGACGAACCAAGTAGACCAACATCAAAGACAGAATCACAAGCCAGAGAATGATGACTACCCCTCAATCCGCCCAAAGCAAATATGCATCCCCCACGTTCGCCTCTTCGTGGTGGCGCCCCCCCGCGCCAGACCCTAGTCTTGGTCCATTCACCCACCGAAGCCACTCCCCGAGATTCCGTTTGGGGAGGGCCTAAGAGATCAAGAGAGGAAACCCCCACACTCATCCCCCTTCGTCGATCTTCCAATGTGAGTACAGGTGTGCTTTTGAGAAAATTGGCTGCCTAGGAGCAAAAGATGGATGAGGAAGAGGAAAAGAGGTTTTGGGGGATAGGAATTAGGCGCATTTCTCCTTGGCTCGTGCCGCCTCGAGTGAATCCCCTCCGCTTAGCCTAATTTAGTAGCGCTTCCTCATAGAGGAGGGGTTGAACCGAGCGGGTGCGTCTGCAAAACATGAGCGGCCATGGCCTATATGATATCTGGGGCCGCGGAAACGAATATAACGAGGCATACTCTCCGCAATGCGGGAGCTGGTGTTAGTGTTTGTGACCGGGGCTCTTAGCTGAGTAGACTTCATCGTTCTGAGGATAAATACTCTAAGCAACAAAGGGGCTAGGGGATGGTAAAAGTAAAGGCATCCATCTAGTCGATGTCATACGTTTCGGCAGATCTTACCTGCCTCAGCCCTCTTGCTCTCGAGAAATCGCCCCAGTGCCCTGATCGCCGAATTGTTTGGATGGCAATTGCACGATATACAATATAGCACGGCAAGCAGGTTTGGAGCGGCGGTCTAGTTTCTTCCTTGGTTTACATCCCCGCCTTCGCTGTCTTATATGTATATCCTACGGAGTAATGCTGCCTGCGGGCCCTCAATCAGCGGTTACAGCCGTACCGAAGCGAGCTCGGGTCGGGCTGGGGCGCGCCTTCAAAAGTTATCCTTGCCGGCAATGGCCTCGTTCTGAACAACCTCGACCCAGTAGCCATCCGGATCAAGAAGGAAGGCGACGTTCTTCATCCTACCATCTGTTAATCGCTTCTTCCAGTTGCAGTTCAAGTCCTCAAAACGCTGGCACGCTGCCTCGATGTTATCGACCGAAATGCCTAGATTGATTCCCGAGGACGTTAGTTGATAGAGCAGGAGGAGCAGGGAACGCTAAATCTTCCAGCTCCGCCAGTCGGGCGGCGTCAAAATCCTCTCCCTCGCTTGGTACCAAAACTTACAGATGTGGCCAAAGCCCTGAGGCTCTTTGTTGCCGTCATGGTAGCTAAAGCTCTCGTCCTTTTCGGTGCCGTAATTCCACGTCAACTCGAGGAGCCCCTCCATACCGCTGGTAGTCTTATCAGCGGGGATACCCTCCTTTCCGGGGTACCCTAGGAAATAGAGGTTGAAGCCTCCATTGGGGGATTCGTGAGTGCGGATAAGCGTCATGCCGATGACATCCTGGTAGAACTTGAGGGACTTCTCGGCGTCCTTGACTCGGATCATGGTATGGTTCTAGCGGTTCTCATCGTTAGCACATCCTCACGGAACTCTGCCCGAGAGTCACAAAAGTTTCATCTTTCTATTTCTCTCGCTTTACGCGCGCATGGAAAATGGATATCCCACGGATAACGCACCATGCGGTAAGTGCCCACGTCAGTGGTGGTGACGTTCTCGGTCGTTTCGACCGGCTTCTGTCCGATAATCTCAACCCAGTAGCCATCAGGATCGAGCGCAAAGGCAATGTGCCTCATCTTTCCGTCTGTGAGCTTCTTCTGGAACTTGTAGCCGGCATCCTCGATGCGCTTGCACGCGGCCTGGATGTTGTCGACGCTGATGCACGTGTGGCCGAAGCCGCGGTTAGGCTCGGCATTGCCGTTGTTGATCTTGTACGAGTCGTCGTTTTCGGTGCCGTAGTTGTGCGTGAGCTCGATAAGGCCCTCGCGGTCAAACGTCTTGTTGCCGTGGGAGAGGGCCTGGGGCGAGTCGTAGCCGAGGAAGTAGAGGTCGAACTTGGAGTCGGGGAAGCTAAGCTTGTGGACGAGGCTCATGCCCAAGAACTCGTAGAACTCGACTAGAGAGATGCAAGATTGAGTTTAGTTGAGGGGAGATCCTAGATGCAGCGGGATTCAGCTGCACATGGAGAAAGAGGGATGGGGCCTCCTTGTGCATACCGGACTTCTTGGGGTCCTTGACTCGAATCCTGGAGAAGACGGTTAGTGCTGTAAATGTCGTTGAGTCTTTGGCACCGCCAGCCATGGAAGTTTTCGCGCTGGACCTACATCGAGTGATTAAACTTGTACGTGTTGGTATCTGTCGTGGCCGCCATGGTCGCGAAGGCTCGATATGCCGGTCTAAAGGTCGCGGGGAAGAAGATTCTAGAGGGTCGTAGTCTCGTCAGGAATCGAGTCGCATTCATCAAACTCTCAGCTCTGTCACACGATATCTCGAAACGGTTCTGGGAGAAGTCTTGCGCGCCGTAGTTGTCCTTCTTCTCAGTTTTACAGAGCAAAGAAAAATAAGAGGAGAGGGGGAAAGATGCACTACAGATTCGACTTATTATTCCGTTCGCAGAATCACCCCGCCATACCAAACATGAGATGGTAAAGGTGGTAGTAGTTTCGTCATTTACCCCACCGTGACTTCCAGCTTCACCATTGGCTGTTTAAGACGAAGCTACGAGATAGCGCACCTCCTGAGGGCGCCGGCATCATCGGCATTTCATCCCTGGGCTGGGCGAGAGAACCAGCAACACTGGACCGTAGCAGGTCTGTGTTTTAAGTACCGTCTACAGGTCAGGTTTCTAGATCTACATAGAGCTTATGCCGAGGGTACGAATCGGAGCATCGTTGATTTGTATCCTGAGACCTCCAATTGGTGATGGCGATTGGTTCAGCCCTGGAATGTGGACGAACAGACCTCGCACACAAAATGGGTGGGAAGCCCTGAGCTCCAGGGGCGACTTGAATTCGACGTGCGGAAGCAATTTGCCGAACGGAGGGATTGGTATGTGGGGTCCACTGAATCCTTGTCAAATTTTTGAACGAGACGTATGGCAAATTTGGCGTTAGGTTCAACACTGACCCAACCCTGCGTACGGACTGGAAGGCCTTTGCCATCCTTCAAAAGCATCATCCCTTCTTTATGCAAGCACATCAAGTGCCCTCATAATGAAAAGAGAGGTTCCCCATAGAGGAAAGAAATCAAAAATTGCGCCCCCGACGGCCCCGAAGGACAATCGAGCAAAGCCGACTCCGCGATGTGCAATGCAGGTCTTCCTCACTGAACTACCGAATTCTTGATCTCGGCGAGCTCGGGACAAGGTAAGTATGAAGAAGAAAAGAAAGGAAAAGGGAAGCTCAGTGTTGGGGCGGGAGGAAGCGCGCGTATTTATGCTCCTTCCAGGGCGGTGTGGGTACCTGGCTGATTTGGAGCCAGGCAGCCATGCGGCAGAATCGGGGTTTTTCTCTGCTTCAGGGGCGGATTTTTCATTGGTTGAAGCTTGGTTGAGCTGAGTCAGTCACTCTTTTTTTCCAGGGGCCCCGGAAGGGTTGGTTCCTGGAGCAGAGGTACCGAGGTATCGAACGCTGTGTTGGACCTTCCCCAAGCTCAACATGCCAAGTACGAGGATGAGCTCGTCGACATTCCCCGTCGAGAGTGACATAGCAAGATTATGAAAATAATCCATGACTTTGACTCGATCACATCAGTGGCGACCCAGGATAGGGAGGGGCAAAACGCACAAGCCGTGGACGCTCAGGATTACCATCTTTGATTGGGAACGGCCGTGTCTAAAATCTGGCAATGTGTTGGGCCATTTAGCAACGATATCAATTGGTGGTCAGGCCACAGGTCTTGATCGAATGGGCTTAAAGCTCTAATCGAGGAACTCATCTGGAATAGCCCAGCTCGTTTCCTTCCATATACTGAGATGAAGGTTAAGAGACTCTCCCTGACCATACGTAACTCGGCTTGGCAAGGATCAGCATGTAATTCACACCGCCAATCACGAAGGATAGTCCTATAGACCATCAGGGAATCCATTGTCAAGCTTCTTGCTAAAGGAATTCTGAAGATGATGATTCACAGTACAAGGTCCCAAGGCGAGGACAGATCGGTTCTGCGTGGCAGAATATTGGAAGGGAAGAGTGCATGCCCGCAAGCACGCACTCTGCCCTCCGACCAACTTTTGAGGACCAAAGATTCTTTGGGGCCCATTCCCCAAGGAGCCTCGCAATTCAAGGACCCCGATGCCAGCCATTTCCTTGTGCCCGTTTTCTCAAACAAAAGCATTCGAGTTCATTCCTTGATTCATTTCTATATGCCCAGCGAGGTCTCAAGCCTCTTTGCTCACAAGTACTCCGAATTGCCCCCATTCATTTCCTAGATTTTAGCCCCTTCGTCCTCTCCCTTGCTCTCCGACTTCTCCCCTCCTCCGGCTCATCGTAATCCTCCTGCTCCCTAATCAGCCATTGTACATCTAGTTCTCCCTCTTCCCAGCCACCCACGACGGGCACGCCCTTGGGCGCCCACGTCTTCCGCTTCAAGCTCTCACCGGCGACGCGCGTATCAAACCGAATGTCCTCAATGAGCGCCTCGAGCGAGGGTAGTCCTTTTCCGGGCGGATATAGCCGAGGATGAGCAAGCGGAGGGGCTCGCCGTAAAGGTCTGCTCAAACTTGTGGAGGATGTGCACCTCGGCGGTGCGCACAGTGTTCTTGAAGTAAGGGTTGTAGCCAATAGACATGACCATCGGGTACAGGGCGTAAGGAGAGGTGGAAGGGGAAGAGGGAAGGGCAGGGGTGGAGGATGAGGACGAGGCGGAAGTGAAGGGGTTGTCAGCATGGGCCGTAGGGAGACGTAGGGCGGACCAGCCAAAGTAGACGCCGGTAGAGATTTCATTGATCCAAGGCGTGCGGGTGAGGCTTATGGGAAGGTTGGCTGTAGGAAAGCCGATCTGGAAGAGTGTTAGTTATCACTCCTCAGGAGGCAGTGCGCATGAGATGTGCGAGAAAAAGATAATTTGCGAGAAGAACAAAAAGCCCCTTACAAGAGTTGAGCCCCGCTGAAATCCAGTGGTGATTTTGCCTTCCATTTGGTATGGGAAGGGCGCTTCCGGACCATCGTCGTTGCCTACGACGAGGGGCCTTCCCTCAGTCGCCATGATGTGCGCCTGTTGTCTTTGTTTCTTTCTAAAGACTTGAGAGTAGATTTTGGTATTGTATAAGATTTGAAGCAAAAAGCACTCGGAGAAATGTGCGTAAAAGATCTAGCGCGCTTTTTTCTGAATGCGTTGCGGGCGCGGGGTGGAAGGAGTTGAAGGAAGAGAGGCACGTCTCTAGATGATAAGATGTCTGTAAGGACTCCAGGCGCAAAGGGCCATAAGCCGATTATTCCGAGCGGGTCAAAAGGCTGTGTGAGAAGGCGGCCTTTTTCTTTTTTCCCTTTTCTTTTTTCTTTTTTTCTCTTTCCCTTTCTCTCGACAGACTCTAAAAATGCGAACCAAGTGTAAGACGTGGTGGGGTGGGGTGGGTAGTTATCGCGGGGCAGGAATCACCCAGGCAAGAGCTGGGAAATTTTGGGGGCAGCAGAGGGAGGAAGGGGGTTATCGGGGGTTCTTTCTTATTCGGTCTAATTCCCTCGTTCGAGGACCACTTTTCGAAGAGCTCCCTCCCCAAACTGAAGCATTTTGAAAGATTCGACGATGATGGATATCGGTGCTATTAACTAGGGTTTTTCATAATCCTCTACAACTTTCTCCAATCCTTGAACTCGAGTATTGGTTGATATTCCTTGTAGGATACGCTCGTGAGAAAAAGCCGAATGCACAGCTTTGCATGTGAAGCTAGGATTGCCTTGGGCCAGCAGGTTGGCTAACATGAGCGCCATTCCAGCGGGCATGCAACAAACGCACATTTTATTTAGAGTGGATATCGGTATTAAGCTCGAAAATTACGGTAAGAAGTAAGCTGGCAAAGGAACAATGGGGGAATCGGATGAGGTGTATCAAACGTTTCCGAATCGGCGGGCACACCGTGTTGCACAAAACCGCCCCCACCGATATAATCCTGCCCTGCAGCTTACTATAATCCTTTAAACAAAAAAGGTATATAATGCTGACGGCCGCCCCCTTGGAAAGATCCAACAATGATCTAAACACATCTCCCCGACCAGTGGCCCTAAGCCGTTGGGTCGACGTTCTTCCACTCCTCCCTCCCGAGCCTCACGATATCCGCTTGCTCGAGGATCCACGGGTTCTTGGGCGCCTTGCCCTCGGCCGCAAGCTTGGCCGCGTGCACCGCCGCCCTACCAATGACCTCGGCCTCCTGGCCCAGGGAATCCTGCCAGCCCTGGCTAATCTTGCTCAGGCTCCGAATCGCCGCATTCATCAACGGGCCGCCTAGGTGCGGATTCTCACGCTCGCCTAGGATACCGCCGGGTCGGAGGATGATGGCGTGATCGAAGCCGAGGCCCGTCACCGTATCCTCGACGCCAATCTTCATCTTGGAGTACGGCGCCATGGACGATAGGAAGCCCCGGGTGCCTGTGCTGGATACGAAGACAAATGTCTTGACGCCCTGCGCCTTGGCCTCCTTGGCGATCGCGACGTTGGCATCGTGGTCAATCTTCCACTGATTCTGGATCCCGCCAGCCGACGCACGCGTCGACCCCAGCGCTGAGATGACCGTCTCGGGCTTCATGTCCGCCAGGGGCTTGGTCCAGGTGTCCGTGTCGGCCTCGACGATGGCCTCCAGCTTGGCCGATTGCGTCTTGGGCGCCCGTCGCGAGATGGTCCAGATCTTGCTGAACCCGTCCACCTTGGCGAGCGTCTCGAGAATGTTGCTGCCGGTGAGCCCGGTGCTTCCGAAGAGAAGGACGCTTGTCATTGTGGCGGCGTGGGTTTGGGGAGAAGTCAGCTGGGATGCCGTTGCGGATGGAGCAGGACTGGGAGGTCTTGAAGTGGTTGGAGGGGGTTCAATTCGTTTGTTTGATTACTACTTTGCGAGATGAAAGTCGAGGAGGGCTTTAAGATACGAGAGACTGGGGGATTCAAGTTTGCGGAATGCCAGGTGGTTTTAATCCTGGGCGAGACAACTGCAGGCAGAACGGAACTCGTAGATCAATCGTTTGATTGAGAGTTCCATTTGGGGGCTCGTCCTTGGCGGGCGCGCGCGGGTGCCCCAAGCTCCCTACACTAGCGGAGTGCCACTCACACACATCACACACATAGACAGACATGGTGTACGGCGTAGTTCCGCCAAAGCACTGACGCCATCAAGATCAGTTGAGCGGAGCGGGTGTAATGATGATACCGGGGCTTTGCGCCTAGAGAAAACTCCCCATAAATTATTCAATTGTAGGGGTAATTCCTGTAAGGCGGGGAATGAGGGTCCTTCGAGAGAGTGTGCAAACCCACCCCTCTGGCCTCCCCAAGCTTTCAGTTCCTTTCCAACTAAAAGGACGAAGGGCGGTACCGTCAGCTTGTTCTAGGTATCCACAGTCAACGTACATCCCATCCCTCCCCATTGAAGCTTGTACCCCCTTCTCAATTCCCGCTTGCGACAACGCGTCTCTGCCTGAAGCTCAAGGCTGCGTCGTCTACGTGTTGGATGTGCGAAACCCCAAGCTCGATCGCATACTACTTTGATATCGCCGACCCTCGCGCCCCCGAAACAATCTCGAAGTCTTGCGTGCACGCTCGATCAATTCATCCTCTACAAAACACAAAGAGCCCAACAGGTCCAGTGTAAATCCCATTGGCAGCTTTATACACACTCTCTCCCTCTCTCACCCTCACCTCGCCATCAATCAAACTGTCCAACCTCGTAAACCACCGCGCAACATGGCTACCCAGTACGAGAGTAAGTCTCCCTCTTCTTACCACCACCTATTCCCCCTCCCTACCTTCCAATAGCAATAGCTAACCTCGTGCCCTCCCTCCCCAGTCGAGCACGGCATCAAGCCCAAAGCCCCCTCCTCCTCCTCCCGCCGCATCGACATGTCCACCTTCCACTCCTTCCTCGACCAAATCTCCACGACCGCCAACCCAACCGCCTCCTCCACCCTCTCCACGGGGCCCCACAACAACCCCCACGCCACCCCGACCCCCGTCGACGTCGCCCGCCTCCTCCGCCTCGTCCAGGAGCAGATGGAGACCCTCGCCACCACCAGCCCCGACCCGGCCAACCGCGAATTCCTCACCCGCCTCGTCGCCTCCCTCGAAGAGGACATCCTCGACCCCCGAAGACGTCCGCGGCGTCCGCCCAGAGTTCCTCGACTCCCTCGACCGCGTGCCCCGCTCCCGCCTCCGCCCCGACGACGCCTGCCCCATTTGCGCTGAGCCCCACCTCGACGACAAGTACTGCCTCGTCGTCGAGCTCCCCTGCCACCCTGCTCACCGCTTCGACCTCGAGTGCGTCGCCCCTGGCTTCAGAGCAAGGGCTGCTGCCCCTGTGCCGCAAGGACTTTTCCAAGAAGAAGGAGGTCGTCGTTCCCGATAGCGAGGATGAGGATGAGGATCCCATGGGCATGTTTTCTTGATGCGAGGGGGAAGACGAGAGGCTACCAAACTGGGAAACGGCGAGGGCGTGGGTGGGGTGGGGTGGTGATGGAATGCGCACGACGCGCGGGAAACGGAGGATTGTGTATATTTGACGAGGTAATGGGGAAATTATCATCATGATTTAGATAACGGTTCTTTGAGGCACTCTATCACAACCTCGAGCCTTGGATGGGTGGTGTTTGCAGGTAACGGAATAGGAAGAGAGCTTGGAAGGCGCTCAGTGTATAGGTCGGGAATAATCTAGTGAGTGCACTTGCTTCGGTCCAAGGGTGCTTTTAAGAGGTCACCATCAAAGTGACACTCCACAACCTAGCGCTTCGGCAGACAAAGGGACAGTGGCTGGTGTCACGCCCGCGAATATGGCGAGATCCTGTTTTGCAGAGACACGCGGTTATGCGGCAAAGACGAGAGATGAACAGTAATAGTGGGTATATTGCCAATGGAAAAGAAAAAGAAAAAGAGGCCATACAAGACCATTCCGCGTAAACCAATCACTCGTAGTTCACCTCAGTGACGGCCCCCAGCAGGGGGCGGGCCCGGCCCCTTCACCATCGTGATGAGGTTGGTGGAGCTCTACTTGGACCTTGGTCAAACTCTCTCCTCCTCCATCATTTTGTTTTTCAACCTTTCCTCCCAATCTTCACGCTTCCTCCCTCCTTTCTCTGTCTCTTTCCCCACCTCTCCCCCTCTCCCTCCTAGCCGGATTATCCCTTCCAAGCGTACTACCCCAAAATAAATCAATATCCCAGACGCCCTGCTTCCACGTATGGAACCCAAGAAGAAATGCATCGCTTCTCCCGCGCGTGTTGCATTTGCGAACCGGCTCGAGCCTAACCGTCCATGCTGCCGGCCAAATCCAATCCCATAGTTGCTAGTTGCTTTTGTTGGTTGAAACTGCCCCACATCTTCCCATTGAAGACTGGAAAGGATCGGGAAAAAAAGGAAAAAAAGAAGGTCGAGTTCCGCACAAGGAAATCAATCACTCCTTTGCAAAAAAGAAGTACAAAAGGTAGAAAAGATGAATAAAATGTACACAATTTTCTGTTTCCATTCCCGGGCTAAACCGCTAGTTGGTGAGGCTCTTGGTTCCTGTAGTAGCAGGGTAGGAACTGTCACAGGCTTGTTAGTTGCTTTCGACCAACATCGGTTGCTCTCAACATGAGCCAAGGGGTATGAGGGTCGTAGTCACTTACATTCATCACAATCAACATGGGGATATCAAACACGTCTCGTTTAATCACCCAGCAGTACGTGCAGTCCACCTTTCCGTCCTTCTCAATCCCGCGGATGCCGTGCTCGCCGTCAATCTTGGCCACCCGGCTCCCGAGGATGCCACCCCCGCGGCTGTCCTTGCCCGAATTGGGCCCCGCTCCGGAGGCACCGTCTAGGTTGGGCCGGTATTTCAGCAGTCGGCACTTGCGATTGACGTGGCCACGGCTGTTCTCGAAAGCCAGTTCGGCGAAATCCTCGTAAAACTCGATCGCGCTGTCATCATCGAGAAGCTCGGGAATGAAGACTGGCTGGGGTCGCTTCTCCGCGCCGTTGGTCCCGTTTTCGAGCGTCGCGGGTCGGAGGTGCGGTGTAGCTAGGCCTACGCGCCCGTTCGAGGCGCCGTTGGATACGCCGCCCGTGTTGGTATTGAGGTTCGGTTCCTTGCCCAGTAGGACATCCTTGGTCCACCCCGTGAGGGCCGTGAATTCCTTGTTGACAGCCGCGACCTCTCCGGTTCTCCGACACACAATCGTCGGCGCCGAGCAGTGCTGCATGAAGTCTTCGTACTCGAAGAGGGTGCGCTGGAAGCACTTCTCCATAAAGATCAGATCTTGCCGATTCAACGTTTTCGTGCACGAGATGAAAGACGGACGAATGCTCGCGAGAGACTTGGCGATGCGCAATGTCTTGGTCGCCGTGAACCGCTTTTGCAAAAAGGCAATCAGGTTATGGAACCCGTTGGTATAAGGATACGGCTCCTTGACCGTCTCATAGATGAAGGAGGAATCGCGCCGTCGCTTGCCCAGGAGCGTTTGCGACGTCAGCTTCTTGGAAATAGACCTCGACTTGTTGTGCACCGTCGTCGCGTTTCCCGCAGGATTGGTGTAATGCGCCGTGGTCGGAGAGCCTTCGAAAAGATGTGGCTGCGGACTGGCCGTGTTATCCGTGCTGGGGCTCGCGAGACCCGCGCTATTTGCTTGCGCCGCAACGGCATAAGCGTGAGGAAGACCATGCTGTAGGTTACTTTGTAAGCCAAAACTGCGAGAGCTAGGATCGAGGGCTGCGGAGAAGTCCGGTACCAGTGATGCGTCGTAACCAGGTGGCCCGCTGTATTGCGGGTTGTTACCATTGGAGAAGACGCCTGAAAAGTTCACATTGGATGCAGGAGGCGTGGGCATGTTTGGGTCCGATGGATTGGCATCCACCGCCCCAGAGGACATGTGCGCCAGCATCTCAAACTCCATCGCCGGATACTGACTACCAAAGTTCAGGTTCTCGAGATCAAAGTTGAACAGCGCCGGGTTGCTGGGGTCAAAGATGGCGCTGATGCCCATCGGGTCAGGCATGCTATTCATTCCCATGACCGGCCCTAGCGGGTTGTTGCGTGGCGCCTGGAACGATGGAGAAACTGGAGAGGTCTGCGTGGCAAAGCCAAGCCCTTCCGGAAGGCCGCTGATCGACGGCGGGACTACCGATGAGTACACTGGGAACGATTGGCTCGTGTTAGGTACGTGGGCGAAGGTACTTCCAGCTACCGACACATCCGACTCCTGGCCCGCCTGGGGCTTGTGGTCGTTCTGTCGAGAAGTGGGTGAATTAGGGTTATAATTGGGACCTAAGACTGGTAGGAGTGCCTCCGGCGGTGCGTCATGGAGGTATTTCGCCTTCTTGCGGACTCCATCCTGACACGCATCTGCGAGCCCTCGCTTGATGCAGCGCTGACAGGGTCTCTCATCGCCTAGACGGTCGTAAGATGTTAGCAAATGGAAGGCACGTAAGCGTACAATGGGATGAGGGTGACGCCTTGCTCTTAGACGCAAGGATATGCGACGTAAGGATGATTGCCCTAACCACCCAAGACGACAGAGAATTAAAAAGAAAAAAAGAAAAAAAAAGAAAAAAAGAAAACCGAGTCTAGGATTAGGGGGAATCTCACCGCACGTCAGATGGGCTCTCTGGCAAGCATAACAGGCTCTCCTCGCCTTCTTCCGCCTCGGTCGAAAGGGGTCTTTTGGGTCGTACTTCTTCTTTACCTCCTCTCCGGCACCGTCCGAACCCTGGTTTTGGTCAGCCATCCTAGTATCATCATCTAGAGCCATATCCTTGTCGTCGTCGTAATGGTCTCCGTTATCCGAAAGAGCCGCTGAGACTCTAGACTCGTCGTGATCGGGCATGTTGACTGCGTCTGGGGCGAGCGTTTATATAGATATATGGGTAGGTTTGTCTGTGGGCGTGTCCTCTGTAGTGTGCGTCTACAAATGGCAGCGCGTATATGCCTGCTACCCTTGTACCGTACAAGGTAGGGTAGGACCAGGAGCAGAGGCGGAATCAACGTATCAAGTGGATAGCTGGAGGTGTGGGAATCCTTGAAGCTTAGAATTTCCACCCAATATAACGTATAATGGTAGGAGTGTCGTCCTTTCCGGCGCACAAAAGGAGACGCAGGTTTCCAAATGCTTGAAGAGTGAATTCTCCTCAAAGCCACCCGTATTAAGACAACTCGAAGATGAAGGCGGCTGGTTTGCGGAACCACACCTTGAAACAAGCAATTCCCCTAGCAGATGCCTGATTTCTTTTCTCTTCTTCTATAAGCGATCTGGTACAGGATAGGTAGAGGAACTCTTGCGGAGTGGGGGTCGATGGCCGCGCTGGCGTTGGGTGGGGTGTGTCCAAAAAATAAGAGGTGGATGAGATATGAGGAGCAAGGGGCGCCAAGCACCGCGAATTTAGTAGGCCGGTGGGAAGGGGGCGCAAAAATGTCGAGTGAAAGGATGGGTAAGGGCTTCAACGTTTGTGTCACAGCTGGTTTGGTCCCAGAGCATCCGTCTTTTTATTGGCGACGTACAAGGTGCGTAACACACACCAGCGCAGGATCAGGCTAGGGGCGAGCACGTTTCCTTGTTCCTGTGAGGCCTGGGGAGTCGTGGCGACGGAATATCAAGCGTGCGTTAGGGACCAAGGATATGGAGGCAGCAAAGGGGACCTAGAATGTTATTGGCCCCGAGGAGGTGGTAATGTGACGAGTTATAAGGACACAAGCGTTGGGGTTTGGGGGAGTCGGTTGGGTGTTATAACCTGTTGTGCGCCATTGGTACTCCGCATCGCCTCTCTACCACTCTAGATGCAATCGGAGCTTCTGCAATGAGGCGCCTTGAAAGAGCCTGTAGCACAGAATGTCCAAAGTACCCGTCCTTTCTTTTGTAAGCAGACTCGTCGAGGGGGTCTCGAGCGCGCAATACTCCTAGTTCTCTAGGCACAAGCAAGTGGGTAACGGCGCGGGTAGCTGAGAGCCGGCACGTAGAGCGGTGGAGGCCGAGGCGATGGCGTTTCTAGAGATCGAGAGCGGGAAATTGCACTCGATGCTTGGTAGGGAGGAGGTGACTACTAGACTCGATATCGCCAAACTTGTGCGCAGGCTGTCGTTTGTCGAAAGGGGGCCACCGGAGACCTAGAAGAGGAGGGACGGGGAGGGTGGCACGGTTTGGTGATTTGATGAAGCGCCCGAAAGAAGGAGATAGGCCGCGAGGGTCGAGGAATCGTGGGGCTTGACTCGCGGTGAGACTCATCCGGGGGTAGATGGTATCGTGGAGTGGAGGAACCGGCGCGTGGTGTGTTCCAAGGGGAGTATCGCACGAGGGTCTACGGAACAAGGTTAGTCCCCTATGGTCCGAACAGAGGAGGAGGGCCAATTTGAGGTTTCTGCAACTACCCGGAATACATACTTTATGAGCTTCGAAGCCGGTGGGGGAAGCAATGAGCAATAAGCAACGAGCAACAAGCACGAACACGGCAAAGGGAAGGTGGGGGTCCAGGCTCAGGTCGACGAGGACGGGTCAATTGGTGACTATAAGAGAGCGGGTGGGCAGAGGACAGGCTTGTGTACCCGTGGCTTGAGCAGAAATTCGAGAGATAGTGGAAGAGACAGATGGCTTGTGAGAATCAAGAAAAGCCTCCAAGGCGGGAATGGCACGAGGGTGACGAGAAAACGGGAAGCGCAAGAGGGGTAGGGTAAGGTGTCGCGAGGGCCGCGACCACAGGGAGCTGAGGAGCATGAAGGACAAAAAGATTTTGCAGGGCCGCAGGTAGCTTGAAATTGGCTCGGTTAGGTTAACCAGCGCAGCGATGGCGGTCGATCCTGAAAGGTCCCTACTTCCAGGCGGATGGGAGGTGGGATTGCCGTAAACAAGGGGCCGGACTCGCAGTAGGTGTGTGCCAGGCGTTCTCACAAGGAACAAGCCTCTTCTTTTTTCCTTTTCGGCGGCCTTGGAAAACTGGGTTTCGCTTGTGATGCGCTAAAGGGAAGTAAAAAGAATCGAAGAAAAAACCCACTCAAGGGCCAAGCTCGGCTCATGGCTCATGGGCTGCTGGAGTGGGTACGCAGCGCAGGACATTGAAAGCAGCCACCGTTTCATCTGACGTTCGTTCGTACTTCGGGTCTGACCTGACTGCGGGGTTATTCACACCCACCTTTCTCTCCGTCTGCTCAGTTCTGCTGTGGTGCAGTGAGCTGCGGGAGTCATGGGACGGGCGAACTATTGGCTACTCAGCCTCGGTCAGCATCCACTTGGTCTTTGAGATGACGCTTGAGCTAATCCTAGGATGGGGAATGCGGATTGTGGGTGGATGTACCTCATACCACCGCTGCTCCGCACTTTGCCCCGGAACCCGCGGTGCAAAAGTGAAGAAACTTCACTCCAAAGTGACCCGAACCTCGGGTACTCGGTACTCAGACTGTCTCCAAAAACCTTTCGACTTGACGTTTCGGTGAAGAGCCCACAGTGGGCGGGAAACAGTTTAACCTCTTGTTTACTAGCAATCGAGAGGGTCGTCATTGGTGATTGAATACGGAGCGAAAGAGTCACCCACACCAGGGTTTTCTTTCATTCTTTCATTCACTCCAACTCCACCTGGTGCTGCAGCGAACAAGACATGGGGCCCTGTCGAGCTCTATTGTCGAGTCGTTTGAAACTGACATTTCTGACGAACTAATCTCCCCGAGCGGAAGATTTAAAACTAGATGAGCCTTGCTTGGATGAAAAGAGTGTCTGTTTATAAAACGGGATTTTTGCCATCTTCGTTTTTCTTATCCCCTTTGTCTGGAGCCAATTGCGACACATACCTTTGCTGTCGCGTGCTTGCCTTCCAGATGTCCGTCGTCTCCATCCCCGGCAGGGTGTATGGTATGTACAGTAGCACACACGACTGGAATAGCTCTTAAATTCGGCACCCGGGTTTCGTTGCTATACGCAGGTACCTTCCTTCACTTTGCCGGCTGCTTTGATTCCCGAGTCCTCTGCTCTTGCCGGAGATTTTCTCCACTACTTCTGCTTCAAGTTCTCGGCCTTGAGCTGTTGATGGAAGCGACATGTGAGAAGGCCAAGCAAACAGGGAAGCAGCCACTCAAAACATCTCCTCCTCTTTCCCCTTTGCTGCGCTGAGGACAACTGAGGGCAGGCGCAATCCCCCTCCGGTAAAACGAAATGAAGGACTTGTAGATCGGCTCCAGGGAATTCCTTCTTCACACTGCTTACCATGTGAAATGTGCAACCATCTCCTGTGTTCAGGGTCCAGCGCCTTAGATGCAGCCCTCAAGACAGAAAACAGAAATGAGCCCAGCCTTTCACCGCCCCATGCTTTTGGGCTGATCCTTGGCGTATTCCTTCCAAACGCGGACGGGCCAATCTCCTCCTCCTGAGGGAGGGCGGCGTTCATCGTCTTTTTCGGTGGGGATGGGGCATTCCCCGCTCTACACGACACTACTCTCCTAGCCGTCACCGACCGGGTGTGAGGAGGCGGCTTTTCTCAACGCCAAAGAGGGGTGACGGGAGAGAGGAACAGCGGCGTCTCTCCCGACAGACACCAACACCCGATTCCACTAACTGAGTTGCGCCGCTCCCGCCATGACTTGCGCTTGATCTGAGATCCATCGGCAAGAAGGGGCCGGAGAGGGAGGTTGAGGCCCTCGCCGCTACAAGATGATCTGACGGGCGAATTGAGTCTGTCGACAGATTTTGAAGCCCCGGGCTCGGACAGATTCATTCCCAAGAAGGATATTCTTCGGGGCATCACAACCCACATCGGTGCCGGTTCCCCGAGCAGGATCTCTATTGTGCAAGCGGAAACGCTACAAGTATTATGCACACAAAAACGATGTTCAATTTTAATATTAAGCATATTATTCCCTCCGTGTACTGTTATCCAAGCTCCTAGCTCGAAAACTGGCTTCCCGCCAAGTATAAATCGGTCAAAGAGTGGCGGCGTGCACGACTTGACGAGGATATTCCTTGACAAGAAGCCAACCGGCTTTTGTCTTTCCCGCGACTTCTATGGAGCGTCTACCTCATCGAAACGAATATTATTACTAGTGGAGACAAATGACACACCGGGTAGCAACCTCGCTCACCATCGGCGCGTCACCGAGTCCGTAGCGTAGCCAGCATGGGGCCGCACTCACACCCAATTTGTTTTCAAGTCCTGTAATAGGGAGGAGAGCATTATCCGCGAGCGGATTGGACTAAAGCGTGCCATGCCGCATCGACCTCTCGCCTGGGAGCCGACCAACACTCATCGACGCATTGAGCCCCGTCGAGCATCCCATTTTGTCACCGCCACCACCAGCATGCCACAAGATATGCTGGTTTTTTTCCTGGCACAATGGACCTTGTGATGGGCAGTCTTTGACGAGCCGAAGCGGCCCCGTTTCCAAGAAGCCATCGGGGTACTCGTGATGCATCCATCAAAAAATGAAAGCCTGTCAAGCCAACTCCGTTCCCCTCAACCATTCCGGTCTCACCCGACATCCTCCTCCTGTGATCCTCTTACCCCAGATTCCCTGTTCCGACTTGCCCCTAGCGGCCGCCTAAAAACAGATCTTTTAGCACAACCAGAAATGCGACTCGTCAGGATTGCCGAAGTTGGCAATGCTTTCGATCTTCCCCTGGCAAAGTATCCACTCAACCCGTCCCTCCCTCCGTGTAACTTCTCCAACATGATGTTGGAAAATTACCGACTTAGAGAGGCTCCAATATTGGCTTGTCTTCGCGTAACACACACACTCCTTCACTTGTATCATGATGGAGACCATGTATCTCCATCTTCCTCTCTTTATCGTCATATTCTCTCTTTTATCGTGTTTTCTTTTTCCCCTTTCCCTCCTCTTGGTCTATGTTGAAGGCCCTAGCCTTTCTCTACCCGCATGTCGTGTGACATATCTTGCAGAGGGCCGAGGATTTAGTACGTTTCTCTTGTCATCCTACGGAGGGTGTGTCTCGTACCATCACCGACCTCGTTTTCTTTTGGTATACCTCACTCTAAATTTCCTGTGCCTCGGCTCAGGCGAGCAGGTTCCCCTTCACAAATGCTCCTCGATTAGATCTACTGCTTGGCGATCTGGACCCCGCGCAACCCCTTGATTTAGAGGTCGTTTTTTCCGGGCTGCAGTTGTGGCACTCACGCTCGACTAGCTACCCCAGAACCGCGTCTCGTCAGGCCTTGCTTTGACGTTCTGAGAGTGAACACACATTGCTAGTGATCTGGCCTAGACACATTGTGCCCTCTCATATTCACACAAGCCCATCCCCGCATACGCTAGCATGACAGGTTAGAACAACGTCGATGAGCAGGGAGGATTCAGATGTGGGATCTAAGCCTTCTTTCTCCTTTCGTGCCACCTCGCGAAGAAACCATATCCCCCTCCCCTCCCTCAAAGAGGTTCTTCTTGTCAAGGCAGCCTTAAGTCAGAGTTACGAAATAGGTACCTTGGTGCAGAGGGCCATCCTTTTGAGTGTCACCTTGTTTGGAGCTATGGTAGCCAGAACAACAACTATAGACCCCTTAAGTCTAGTTCGGGAAACACGGGTTTCCACTGGCTGCATGCCTGACAGAGTGACCTGTCGCGCACTTGCTCGGAGGAGGTGCCGCGATGCGGGTCATTGGAAGAAATTATTTTCTCCCTCGCTCAGGGCGGCATCCCTCGCTGGGGAGGTTTTCCTATGTGACAACCAGCAGTCTATCCTGTAGCACCACCTCGCGCCTTTTGAAGAAGGTCCAGCAGGGAATTTTGGGCTTTGTCCAAGACTCCCATTCTGAGGTGCTTGGGATTTCCCATCCAAGGGATTTGCTCCGCTGCACACCATCGCGCGGGTAACTGCATAAAGATCTTTGTTGTCCGCCACGAAGACAAGGCTTCGTGCATGTGCAATAAGGCCTCGTCTTTTTGAATCGAGGTCAGGCCTCCTTGATGCCCCATACACCCCATACCCACGCGAATTTGTGGGTGTGAGGGTGTGTCGACGTGTGTGTGTGACTTATCAATCCATGACTAAAAGTGATGATGAGCGGGAACTTACACAGAGTCCTTGGACCTGACGAACCCCTGGCTTGCATAACTAAAGGCCGACGGGTATCGTTGGAGTGCTGAAAGCCTAACGGGCCTGACTCCTTGCTTGCTAGGGGATGCATAGGGTGGTTAAGAGATGAACAGGCGAAAGCCTCGTCTAAAGATGGAATCTACGCTGCAGCCCTGACGCGTCTTCCCAGTCTATATAGTGGCCACTTCATCGAGGGTGACCAGTTCCGGGCCAAGCCTGATGCTCCAAACGCTCCAAGTGCCGTGGGAGGCTGCACGACGCTTCTCCACGGATCACCTTGTCTTCAATTAGCAAGCTACGCATGGTTCCCAGTACAGCGGAAATGCCCCGACGAGGGACGAAAGCACAAGACACAACGGAGCGGGAGAAACCCAGCCGTGTCCCAATCGTAATAAAACCCGTCATGGTACTGCAAGCCGCCCATTATCGGGTGTCGACACGGGCCCCTGTGGGAGGGAGGGGGAAAAGAAAGGTCCCTTTGAGCTACACTTGCTATAGAGTAGTAGTAGCCTTTTGGAGACTTTTCTTTATTCGCGCGCACCTTCTTTACTGTTCGCCACGCATCCCACTGCACTGTTTGATAGAGAGATCACGACACTTTTGTTGTTAGAAAGTCTAATCTCCCCGCGGCGGAACACAGCGTCTGCATCAGCCCTAGGTGGCCTATCCGCCTATGATTGCTGGCCCCACCGATAAGCCAATCTTCTATCCTGCCCACTCTGCACTTAGGGAGGGGGCGCGGCGCTGTTCGTGAAAGGTTACATGGGCCCCCTTTGACTAAAAGGGTGGACGTAGGAAAGGCGAACCCTCGTCGACGTTTGATCGCTACGGGCGAGTGCCGAACGAAGCCGTGTAGCTCTTTTGAGAAGGTCAGGCGAGGGACTCGATCGGTTCTGTATCAGCCTCATGGGGCCCTGGTCATCAGTCTCTTGTCGCATGTTCCTCTCATTTCACTGACTGTGGATGGCTTAGCAATATTTTACTTCGAGTAATTCTACTCAGAAGGAGAGGGTGATAGACAGAGGAAAGCTGATGAGGATCGGAGTAAAGCAACTCCCTCAGGAGGACCTTGTGGCCGCAGCTATATTCCCTTCCCTGACACCCTTTCCTACGTGCACCTAGGCCTCGAAGACAAAGCAAGAACGTGTAGGAATCAGTCAGAGAAGTTAAGTCGAGATGGCACTGACACGGATGATGGGCAAAGTGACCATAACCGCACGCTCAAACGCCGTTCGAGACACGCTGCCACATCTCACGGGAGCAGGCTAGACATGGCGCGCCGAAAGCAGGGCCGCAAGAAGCCCCTCTACTGGGGTGGACTGGTGAAGCCGCAATGGGACGCTGGCGGGTGATAATGGCTGAGCTGTGGCTACTTTTGGTGCAACGGGGGCCGCCCTCACTTTATTTTGCGTCCGTGGGAATACGCATAAGAGGCGCCTAGATTCCTGGTAAGAGGGAGAGAAGTTAGCATAGGCTGACCAGAGCGGATTTGAGAGGAGATGAGAAAAGAGAATAAAAAGAGCCTGGACGATATATGTCCAACGGCAATGATAGTGTCCATATGGCGTTCTCCCAAAGGGGTTTCCATTTTGCTTTTATCGGCGCAAGTGCCCGTTCATACAAAGCGTGTATATATTCCCATCTATCCATTTATCTGCCCTGCCCACCAGCGGCGGGGGCGGGCGTACAAAGTCCAAAGCAAAATGAGATATGCCACCACCAAATGTCCACACGATTCGCACTCGTAACAGGAGTAATATATACAGGAGGATCTTGGAGAGAAGCGTTCCTTCGCCGACCCTTGCCGTTCGTCCCTCTTCTCCCCTCCCAGGGAAAAGAAAAAATCAAATAGTCCCCGGGGTTGTTGTCCCCTTGAAGAAGGAGGCATGAAAAAAACAAACAATAAAACGCCATTTCTATCATGTTGTCATACGCCTCTATGCCTTGGCAAGCACCACGTTCCAGCTCCTCTCCCGAGCAAGCCCTCTCCGTCCGTCTCCCTATTCCCCGTTTCCCCTTCCCCTCCTTTCTTTTCTTCTGTCCCAAAACACGAGTTTCTCCTTTCTCTCCCTCGTCATGTCCAAAGACAAGGACAAAAAAAACAACCAAATAACTAGTAGTACTCGGGCAAGTCGTCAAAATCAGGCACATCCGTAGAGCAGTCAAAGTCGCGATCATACGCCTTGGCCGGCAAGATACCGGCATCGAGGCCCGCCTTGTAGCTCCACTGGGTCGCGGACTCGGTCTTCCAGGTCCAGTACCACCAGCCCCAGCCCTTTTCAAACGAGTGCATCTGGGCCTCGGCAAACATCTTGAGGAAGCGGCGGTACTCGTCCTCGTAAGCCGAAGGATCGGCGTTGGCAAAGGTGCAGCTGCAGCGCTCGTCCTTGGTGGGGCAGCGCGGCTCGAGGACGGACTCGCCCGTGTCGCCGGCGTCAAAGGTGCCCTCCCAGCGGTTGCCCCAGCCGACGTTGGTGAGGTGGCGGGCGCAGTCGGTGTCGGCCTGGGACCACTCGGCGAAGAGGGTGGGGCCGAAGCCGGTGGCGGTGTCCATGCTCTCGACGGCCTGCTTGGACCAGCCCGCGCAGGCGTACTCGACCTTTTCGCGGTGCGTATACACGATCTGGTTGGTGTTGAAGATGACGTACTGGTGGACGTCGAGCGCGAGGCCCTCGAGCCCGGCGAGCTTGCCCTTCCACTTGGACAGGCCCATGAAGCCGTCGCCAAAGACGACGACGGCGTCGACGCCGTTGGCGCGGACCGTCTCGTAGGCCTCGCGGGTCCAGGCGAGGACCTCGTCGGCGTCGAGCGCCGTCATGCGCGGCTCATTGGCGAGGCCGTAAAAGGCGACAATGTTGCGGTAGCGGTCCTGGGCGAAGAAGCGGGACAGGCGGCCGTGCACGTCGAGGGAGCGCTGGGCGTTTTGGGCGCCGGCGGTGCCGTTGAGCCAGCCAATGGCGCCGAGGCGGCCCGAGTGGTTCCACCCGTTTTGGCTGCCGGGCAGGCCGTGCAGGTCGAGGTTGATGCGGAGGCCGTAGCGGCGGGCCCACTCGATGGCGCGCAAGAGGTAGCGCCACGAGGTGCGGGCGACGTAGGGCTCGTCGTCGTAGACCTCGACGGCCCAGTAGGAAAGGGGATGCGGATGTGGTCGAGCCCGGCGGCGGCAATCTCCTTGAAGGTGGACTCGGTGACAAAGGTGGCGTAGTGCTTCTCGAGCTTGGCGCGGGCGGCGTCGGGGCCGAGGTGCTCGCACAGGGTGTACTCGTCGACGATGCCGAGGCGGGCGTCGTAGTCGAACAAGGAGGGGGCGATGAAGGGCTCGAGGAGAGCCAGCCGCCCAAGTTGACGCCGCGGGCGGGGCGCTCGGCGTAGGAGCCCCAGTCCTCGTCAAGGGCGGGCACGCGGTCGTTGGCGGCCTTGGAGTCGTCCCAGTCGGAGAAGAGGCCCATGACGGGCAGCCCGCCCACGGTCTCGGTCGTAAAGGTGACGTTGAAGTCGGTGGTGTCGGCCCAGGTCCACGGGTCTAGATCGGTGCCCTGGTGCTCGGCGGGGATGCTGTTGCGGTCTAAGCCGTCGAGGCTCGAGCCTTTTTCGTCCGAGTCGCCCGATTTCTTCTTGCTGACCACGACGGCGATGACGATGATGAGGATGAAGGCGATGACGCCGGCCCCAATGTACATCCCTACAACCCTAGTTAGCAAGCCAGTCCACTGAGCCTTGACATTTTACAACCCTTGCCTCCTCAAGAACGAAAAAGAAAAGGGGTGGGAAACAAAGAGGGGGGCAATCAAGCACTTACATATCCTCCTCCGCTTCCACCACTTTTGCTTGGGTTGCTGGTACATGTACTCCTTGATCAAGCTGTCTTCAGTGTTTGTGCTGCCCCGCGCGCCGGCGAACCACCCTTTGCTCCGACCTTCCTCCATCACAGCCCCGCTGACCACCCTCTTTTGCTGCTTCTTGCCCTTCTTCTTGTTGTTGTTGCCCCCACCACCACCACCACCACCACCGCCGCCGCCGCCGGGCCCATCCTTGCCTCTACTCTTGCGGGGTTTCTCAACCTGCACCTCGACGTACTCCTCCCGAGGTACTCGCGACTGCCTCGACTGCCGCTGGGCATTGCGGCGCTGATCGCGCTCCAGCCGTGCCAGGGCCTCTGCCGATAGAGAAGGTCCAGAACTGGCGCCCCCGCCGCTGCCGCCTGCCGATCGGCTGTGCCTTTTCTCCTGCCGGCTGCTGTCTCGTTTGTGGCCGCGGCTTTCGTACTCTTCGGAGCGGGGACGGGAAGATGGCGGGCGCGCAGAGGATTGTCGGCGTTGCCGTCTCGCTTCCCGATCTCGATCTCGATCTCGCTCACGATTTCGGTCTCGGTCCCGGTCTCGTTCCCGTTCCCGTTCCCGTTCCCGCCCCCTTCGCTATCACGTTCCCGTTCCCGCTCGCGCTCCCTCGCCCTCTCTCTTCTCCTGCGCTCACGTTCCCGTTCCCTTTCGTAGTCTCGTTCGCTGTGGTCTTGCTCGTACTCTGATTCTCTCTCGCGCGTTCGATCTCGATGCCGCCGCGCGCGGTGCGGCGACTGGCCTTGCGGCGGCATGGCCGATGGTTGTTATCTTCTCGTCCTCTCTCTCTCTCTCCCCTATGTTTCCGTCCCGGGAAATGAAATATGAATCGCAAATTCCCGGACTGAAAAATGACAGGGCCTCCCCCAGTAGTTAATATCGCAACTAGTGCCTAGTCGTGTCTTCCTCGGTCTTAATGGGTGAGCTTGGGTGCTTGGGTCTAAGACATAAGTGCCATTCAAGGCCCACGAGATATGTGGAAGTCTTAAACACCGCCTGGATCGTTGATTCGTATCAAGGGCGGAAAGAGGAGGGCGGAGAGCGGAGAAAAGAGAGTTGATTCTAAAAATTATTGTCGGCCGTCGCTGTCGTGAAGAATATTAAATTTCGCGCAGGATGGATTCAACAGATTTCGCTCAAAAGATTCAAAGGCTTCTGGAATAAAAGATGCAAGCAAAAGCAATAAATGCAAGAGAGAGAGGTTTCTTCGGAGATGAGATGTTTACCATCTCACAATTCATGCGCACATCATGGCTCTGTTGGATGCTAGCTTTTCTTGTGTGTCTTGCATCCTTGCACAATAATAATAGTCGTCGTCTTTTGTCCAATCTTGGCCGCGCGCCAAGTCTGCTGCGCACGCCTTGGCTGGCCTGAACCTGGACGAACCACCGCAGCGCCTGTCACGGCTTCTGTCACTGTGTCAGCGCTTCCCTGTTTTTCCATGATGACAGATGCAATTAGTGCAACCGATGCAACCAAAACCTGGATTCGGTTGTTGGCCCAGTAACCAAAATCGGCTTAAAGTGGTTGCAGCTCTCGGTCCCCACATCGCGGTCAATTGAACGCAAAGGGCCGCAACAAGCCGAGCAATTGACATCACAATGCCGCCGCAATCCCCTTAACCCGCACTCAGGGCAAAGGGTTATGAGCGGGAAAGAAGAACGTGGGCGAGGGAAGGAACGACGGCGAGAACATCTAGAACCATAACCCTCTTCAGCAATACACCCGCACACACAATTCTTGTCTTTAATTCCCATCTCCTGGGATTACTTGGATTCGACTCGTAAACCATCTCGACATTTCCTAATCCACCATCACTCCTTGAGAACCCATCGCAAACTCAATCGAGTCCAAGAGGGCGGCCGAATCCATCCACTTTCTCCGCCCCTCCTACCCTTCCGTCCTCTTATCCCGCCTCCGTCCACCACCTCCATCTCCGCCCTTTCTACTCACACACCCACCAGTCCACGCACGAAAAACACAAACCAGCCATGAAGTCCGAATCGATACGGCACCTCGCCAGGGCCGCCGTCCACCACCACCGCTCCCCGCGACTCCACCTCCCAGCCGGCCTCTCCCCGTCACCGTCACCGCCGCCGCGGCCTCTCGTCCCGGCTCCCCAGCAGCCCTTCCTCCCGCGCGTACTCGACCCACCCACCCAACGCAAAGCTCAACCTCCCCATCGACTACGCCACGACGCCCCTCCTCGCGCACACCCCGCAAGCCGCCCTCGCGACGACGGACCTGCCCGCCCCGGCCCGCGGCGGCGCCACGCGCAAGATGAACTTTTTCCAAGCCGTCAACGACGCCCTCGCCACCGCCCTCGCCACCGACGAGACCGTGCTCGTCTTTGGCGAGGACGTGGCCTTTGGCGGCGTCTTCCGCTGCTCCATGAACCTCGCCGAGTCCTACGGCGCCCAGCGGGTCTTCAACACCCCGCTTACCGAGCAAGGCATCATCGGCTTCGCCATTGGCGCCGCCGCCGAGGGCATGCGCCCCGTCGCCGAGATCCAGTTCGCCGACTACGTCTACCCGGCCTTTGACCAGCTCGTCAACGAGGCCGCAAAGATGCGCTACCGCGAGGGCCGCACCGGCCGCAGCGCCGGCGGTCTCACCGTCCGCATGCCTTGCGGCGGCGTTGGCCACGGCGCCCTCTACCACTCCCAGAGCCCCGAGAGCCTTTTTACCCACATTCCCGGCCTGCGCGTCGTCGTGCCCCGCTCCCCATCCAGGCCAAGGGCCTCCTCCTCGCCGCCATCCGCAGCAACGATCCTTGCATCTTCATGGAACCCAAGATCCTTTACCGCGCCGCCGTCGAGCAGGTCCCCGCCGAGGACTACGAGCTGCCCCTCTCCAAGGCCGAGGTCCTCCGCCCCGGTGAGCACGTCACCCTCATCTCCTACGGCCAGCCCCTCTACGCCTGCGCCGCCGCCATCGAGCGCGCCGAGCGCGACTTTGGCGTCTCTGTTGAGCTCATCGACCTCCGCACCATCTATCCCTGGGACAAGGATACCGTCTTCGACAGCGTCCGCAAGACGGGTCGCTGCGTCGTCGTCCATGAGGCCATGGTCAACGCTGGTGTCGGTGCCGAGGTTGCCGCCGCCATCCAGGAGGACCCCTCCACTTTTGTCCGGCTCGAGGCTCCGGTCACCAGGATCGCCGGCTGGAGTATTCCCACGCCTCTGATGTACGAAAAGTTCAACTTTCCCGATGTTACAAGTATGTTCCCCCTCTTTTCTCTCCCCGATTGCACCTAAACTCCTTCTGCCCTCTCGGTCCTTGTATCCTACTCAGACGCTAATCATTTTGCTTTTCGTAGGGATATATGACGGTATTCGTAGAGTCATGGAGTATTGAGGTTGCATCAAATTTTAGGCATTAGACTGGAGTTTATCTTTTGTTTTCCCTTTGGGGAACTGGGGGTTTAAAGGGGAGGAGCCAAGTCCCGTGCAATGTGGAAGGAAGCTTTTCCGTTTGTAACAAGCATTCAACACTTCACGTATCTTGATGTTCATATTCATACGATGTGTACCGAGGTATATTTCTACCCCCTTACATATATCCAATCCACACGTAGCAGTTTCGCATTAGCAGGATGGAAATAACGGCGCGAGTGAGAGAGAGAGATAGAAGAGCAAGACAAAGTCTCGAAAGATACTGCTGAACGCTTTCTTGTGAAATGCCAAAGTATGTACCAATGTAGTGTATACCATAGTTCTCGCATCCCTCCAGCCCCGAGCATATTCTCTCGCCTTGGCCCCACTTTAACTCCTCTGCAGCCCAGTAATGATATCAAGCTCTGTGAACGTACATCTAGACTCATGATAATAGACTCGGAAAAAAGAAACAAAAAGAAGAAACCCTAACTCGAAGAAGCCCTCCTGCCTTTCACCATTTATAACTTGGAAGCCGGCTTGAGGAGCGACAGCTTCTCCTTGAGGGCAGCCTCAGCCTCCGTCTCGATCCTAGCCACGAGGTCCTTGCAGTTGGGGATATCGTGAATCAAGCCAATGACCTGGCCGGCAGTCCAGACGCCAAACTGCGGGTCGCCGTCCACAAAGACCATCTTGCCCCTCTTGCCGCTCATGAGGGGCGCCATGGGCTCGAAGCTGTCGCCGGGTACCTCGCGCTCGACCTTGGCAGCCTCCTGCGCCACCTTGTTCTTGTACAGGCGCGTGGTGTTTCTCCACTTCCTCATCACGAGCGTGGTATCGGTCTCGTCGGCGCGGCAAATCTCCTTCTTGATGTTTTCGTGGATGGGGGCCTCGACCGTGCACATGAAGCGGGTGCCCATGTTGATGCCGCTGGCGCCCAGGCAGAGGGCGGCCGCGAGGCCCTGGCCGTCGGCGAAGCCGCCCGAGGCGATGAAGGGCACGTTGAGCGACTGCCTCGCGCGGCTGAGGAGGATAAAGTTGGTAATGTCGGATTCGCCCACGTGGCCGGCGCACTCGAAGCCGTCGATGCTGAGGAAGTCGACGCCGAGCTTGACGGCGCTCTGGGCGTGGCGGATGGTGGTGCACTTGTGGAGCACGATGATGCCGGCCTCCTTGAGCTGCTTGATCACGGGGCCGGGCGAGTTGCCCGCCGTTTCGACAATCTTGACGCCCTCCTCAATCACCACGCGCGCGTACGCGGCGTAGTCGGGGGCACGAGGGCGGGGAGGAGGGTGATGTTGACGCCAAACGGCCGGTTGGTGAGGGTGCGGCAGCGGCGAATCTCCTCGCGGAGACCCTCGGGCGTGGGGAAGATGAGCGCGGTGATGATGCCCAGCGCGCCCGCGTTGGAGACGGCCGAGGCGAGGTCCGCGGTGCCTACGTGCTGCATGCCACCCTGGACAATGGGCACTACGTTGCAAGCGAAAAACAAGCGTCAGTACGCGGTCGCGCTTATGTGTGGGAAAAGCCTCTTCTACTTGGTGCTTAGAGGAAGGGCTGGAGGCAGGAGCAGAACTTACCCTGAATGCCGAGACGGCGCGTGAGCTCAGTGTCGAAAGGCATGGTGGGCTATAAAAGTGCACCGCTTCCTAAACTGAACAAGGAAAACAAAGGTGGAAAACAAGTTAGCAACGATGGCTTTGGTTTGTTTTCACAAGGACTCCCCAGAAAAAGAGAAAGCGACAGGTCTACTGGATCGGGGGTTTAAATGGGCCAGGACAAATGGTGGCGTGGGAACTGCGGACCCGCCGAGGCGCGCAAAGCCGACGGAGCTGGGCAGTCAGATGCCGAGGCATCTTCTCCTTTGAGACAACAGGTCAAGGTCATCGCCCCCTTCTTTGCGCGACAGTGGCCGAACTTGAACCTCCCCCGCTGAAACCCACGTGCCTGCAGAGGTAAAGAGAGAATGCCTGGCAGGAACCAAAGTCCGGCAGCCAGCACGAACTCCTTCCCCCACCTTTTACTTTTCCAGATCCATCAATGGATCGATTGATTGATCCTTGCTAGTCTGCTGGTCAAACCCGGCCCCTCCCCCAAATCCCCTCCTCCCCCAGATTTTGATTTCGTCATGATCCAAAGATCAGGCAGGCACGTGCGTGGGCAAGGTCCATTCCGAGCATCAATCGGTCTCAAAACGCCAAAAAGCAGAAAAAGAAAGGGGAAAAAGACGAAGGTGAAGAGAATCAAACCTTTCTAAGACATACTGGCGCCTCTCAACTCGGAAGAGTTCATAAATGACGTGAGTCGGTACAGAATTCGTCGCTTTCAATCCCCTCACGGCCAGTCGGCCGCACTTTACCCGGAACGGAGTCTCTATAGCAATGTCCTCCGAGATCATAGCAGGAAGTCCCGTCTTGCTTCCTCCCCGCGTCTCTTTCCCGCCGGTCGTGACTCAGCAAACGGAAAGCTACCAGTCCGCCAATCCGGTGTTCAACGCACAGGAGCGTGAGGGTGGGAATGTCATCTTAAAAATTGGATGGTGCTCTGGTACTCAGCAAGACGTCTCATCGAGTCTGCGTGCAACACATGATTAGTATAGCTCAGCGAGGGAATAGGTTCCCCATCTTCTTATGAAATTAGATCAAAGGAGAAGGGTGCTAGGAGAAAGAATTAAGAATAAAAATAAAATAAATAAAATAAAAAAGATCAGAAATTGGCCGTCTCGTAACCTGGAGTAAACTGCTCCATTGAGTGACTGACTGGTCGCCGAGCCACCTTCTTCTACTCGTAGACCTTCAGCCCTTGCCAGTCAGGCCCAAATGCTAAAAGAGCAAAGGGTCAGCGACCACGATTCTCTCTGTTTCATGACTCTCCGCCCCATTTCCAATCTCTCGACCACACATACACACATACACGCGCACGCGCACGCAGGTATACACACAAAGAGACAGACACACACACAAGTCAGCCTGACTGTGTTGGCCCGGCGAGCTTCGGGGCCGTCCCCGACTGGTCCCGAAGGATTGGTGGGCGCTGAATGCCCAAAGGCACTCGCAATTGGGTACCGCCGCCTGCCTGCCAGCGACGTCGTGTAACCTCCTTCTCTCTAGTTCGACCCTTTTCTCATGATGCGCCTGGCAACAAACCAGCCTGCGTAAAAGCGTCCGCACCGCGACATTGCGCAACACCAAACTACCCGGATGCATAGTACGATCGCCAAGGCTGGCGTGCGTGAAGAAACGTGGCACCACACCATAGACCTCGGGGCAGTGATCTAGAAAAGGGGAAAGGAAAAAGCTTTTGAAACAAAAATTTTTTAAAGAGGAACCGTCTCTCCATTTCGTCATCTTAGCCTCGTTTAGGTTCGAGAACTGTCAAAAGATTAAATCATTCTTTTCCCACTAGTGGTTGGGCTGCAAACACTCCAAGACCGTGGATGTGTATCCCCTTAGGTATACCCTCTTGTGTGTACCATGTACGGACCAGAGACACACGGGCAGCCACTCCATCATCACGGCAATCATCCTTGATACCCGCTGACGGCCATGAAGCCTTTTCATCAATCGGATTGATGTCGATCCTGCGCAGTGAGAATCGCTGTGACATGCAAGAGAACCGATGCACGACGGACCGCTGAGCTTGGCTTTGGGCGAGGTGCATCACAGCATCCTCTCATGTGCTTCCATATGGGCTGACGTCCGACTTTGGCGCCTTCTTCGTGCGTGCAGAGCCTATATCTTTTGAACAGGTGGTCAACCGGCAACGGGAGGCTCTTGCCGGAGAAAAGTGCAATTGACGCTCACCTAGCACTCTCTCTATCTTGTTAGTGAGTCATCTCAGCGACCCCTCATCTTCATTCCCTCCACGCAGCCGTCTTCTACCCTGCATTGAAGCGCATCGAAACCCTTCTCAGGCGCGGCAAGGTACTTCATAGACCGGACGTGAGGCGGCGGGTAGGCGAGAAATCGTTTATACACAGCGCGCCGGTGAGCCGGGTTTGTGATCTCGCGTTGGGTGTCCGCGCGGGTTCCTGAGAGGTACATGACCTTTAGGTTTCCAAAGGTGGCTAACCACTACGAGTCTCGGTCCTTCACCGAAAAGAGTCCACAGCATCGTAGCATATTGTCCCCGGCTTACGGGAAGCAATCCGAGAGGGACTAGTTAGGTAGGTCTCGAGGCTAGAGTGAGCTTAAGTTCTCTCCCCCTCTCGGTCGAGATATCTACACGACGCATCCAGCCATACCTCTGGCGCACACCGAATTATGCAACTCTGAAAGTGAAACTTGAAGACGTTTGTCTTACTTTGTCCTTTCCCATCGCACCTTTTCCCCTTTCTAGCCATGGATCCGAAGCCCGCTCGGGCAGGGACAGTGGCCCTCCCCGTGAAGACCTCCTCTCCTAGAAGAGGTCCCAACTCGTATGCTCTTGTCGGCCCAAGCGAATCACACTTGTACCCTCGTGCGACGTAGGAGTCTTGGTCGAATTAGAAGGCAATAGTTCTGAACGTGTATACTTCTTGGATAATTCCGGGAGGCCTCCCTCAATAAGCAACATATAGGGCATTTACGCGACTGCTCAGGGCCGCTAGCAGGAACTCTGTATGATGGTATTCCGAGAGCAATTGTAAATGCCAGGGCTGCTAAGGTGACTTCTACACGTCTTTTCGACGTAGTCTAAGCACCTCAGCAGCTCTGCCTTTCTTTGAGCCTGGGTGGCAGAACGTCACGGCCTACTTGCAGTCCGTCATAAGATGGTGCACTTGTCCGTCATAACTACCGAGGGATCCATATCACGGCCTAAACATATGCTTGGGGCGAAGAAAAGGATTATTCAGATACCTGCACATTCCCATGCCTGCATGTCGTACCTGAAAATAGGTGGCCGCCGGGTGCCCAACCAGTTACCTCCCGGACGACAAGGCAACGAGCAGGCAATCCCGCGGGGCACGCGCATATGCACTGGTGTGGCAAGAGTCGAGGTCTAATAGCTACGAAGTAGCTTTGGGGGCGCCAGACGGTTGACCCTTGCAACACCGCGGGGTTGTCTAAGTGGGTGCTGACGTTCGCTAGAGGGTAATCTACAAGATAATATGAGTTGGCCTGGCATATCGAAAAGCCATCCTCATGTGAGTCCAGCTCATGAATTTTTAAAAAGAAAGAGAAAGCCAAGTGCAGCCTCACAATTCGGCAATGTTACCCAAGCTTACTCGGCGCGGGATACAGCCTCAGAACAAGGCAAGATACTTTCGTGATTGGCAAGTAGAGCCCAAAATGCATTAGCAATCCATCATCCAAAGAAAATTACAACCAGAAATATCAATGATGAGGCGAATCCGAGACCATTGAATATTATCCTTTGACCTAAACCACCCCAAGTGGAAGGAAAGTTGTAAGATGGGCCGGCGCCCAAAAATTGCGGCAAGGGTAGGGGCTCAAGAAGGGGGTGAGGTAGAAAAGAATGAGACAAAGAAAGAAGGCGGGGAATGGGAAGTAAGGAGAGGGGAGAAGAAAAAGAAAAAAAAAAAAAAGGGAGAAACAGAAACCAAGGAAGACTCAAAGAAAACAAGGTTACCATGCAAGGGGATCTAGAGATCCGGCAGCCATGGTTCACATGACGGTTGAGGCAGGTGTCTGTTTCCCGCTGGGAACACAACAGAGGAATTCATGAAGCCACAAGACCCAGAGGGTCTATAAAGCCAATGGTGTTGTCTTGCACAGGCGGCACAACCTATGTGCAGATTCTTGAAATCAAGAACCTTACTAGCGAAACCCCCGACTGGGGATACCTCGATGGTGAGAGCCATTGGCAATTTATGACGCGCGTGGAAATGTGCGGGCCTCGCCCGGAATGTGGACGCTTGCACCCCAGTCAAGTGCTGTCAACCTTCTGAGGCTCGGTCCTGCTCTTGATGACCTCAAAAGACCATCGAGTGGCAGCAGCACGGACTCCTGGACGTGGGGTCGACCGACTTTTGAGATACTGCAGGACAAGATAGGCAGGTATAGCCTGGATGGAAGCATGCCGCGGTTAATGGCCATGTGGAAACTGGCTGCTTGCGGACTCTTTCCCGATAGTACACTCGATGTCGGCTTCCGTCAACTCAAAGGTTTATGTCTCCCCTCCGTGTTGCTCTTTTTTGTTCCCTTTTTTGTTCTTTTTTTTCGGGCTTTGGTGCCCAATACGCTTGACTGTCAGTTCATGTGCTTCGTATCGACGGCAACAGCCGCGAAGTCACTCTCTCCATGACGGAGATCTTAGCAATTCATCGACTTCCGACATTTCTTTGTTACATTCATCGTCTTGCATATTAGCTCCACGGTTATTCGAACAACGCTTGCGATGACTGATGTTCTACTGAGCTCAGTAGCGATGCATCCGTTTTGGCTTCAGCGGTCCTACTGCCTGCCTATGGAAGAGGGTTAGTGGAGAGTTGCCCGGTACGCTCCTATCCCCAAGGGGCCAAGCGAGTAATCCGGGATGGATCAAATGGTATCTGTCAATGCGAGCCAGAGCCAGACTCGACGTTGTACATCGAGTGTTTTCGAACGGACGATGTAAACGGCGGTAAGCTGGCCGCTGCCATAATGTCTTAACGTCCGCATGTTCAGCTATCTTTCATGCACCATTTGCCCGTCTCATATCTTTTTGCTGCTCGGGAAGGCTCGCACCAATGGAAGAAGCTCGAGATGGCGGGGCAGGCTTCCCCGCCATCCTAGCTCCGGCGCCGGCAGCCAGGATCCATGCTCGAGCAATTGGTTTGGCGGTGGAGTTCTCATCGCCGACTGGCTCAAGAGCTCATGAAACTATTGAAGGCCGAGGGTGAAGAGAAAGAAAGTAGAGTTGATCTCGAATCGAAGCCCTTTAAGAATAAAAGACATTGCCTTCCTCCCCATGTAATCTACACCATTCCCATGACATGGCAACAGCAACAGCCAATGGATCCCAACCCGTCGATGCCAACTCGGGAAGCTGAAAGGTAGTCATCGCCAAGGGACAGGAGACTTGTAACTCGATAAGTCACCAGACGTCTGAGAGAAACTAGGTCCAGTCGTGGCAGCATTCCTGGGGAAAGGACATTGACCACTGAATATTTTACACCGTGAACGCTTGACCCGGGTCAGGCGGCCTCCTGACTAGGCAGTCTTAACCTGGCAACAGCAACGCAAGTCCACTCGGTGCGACGAAGAAGTTGGGTGAGCCCCACCATCGATGAACTGAGCAGAGCGCGGGTTCCCTGAATCGACTGTCGAGTGCTGCCTTCCACAACTTCAAGTGAACTTGAAATCGCGTACCAGCCATACGAATCGCTGACCGCCTACCTCGGTACTGGCGGCAGGTTTGGTCCAATTCAAGGGATTGCGACTTCCCCACAAGGTGTCGCGTTGTTTGCTCTTTCTCACAAATGTTCTGCCTGGAGGGTAGAGGTATTGGTCAATGGACAGATGATTGATCCATCTATTCCCTATACCGCCTTTTTTTTCCCCTTGCCCCCGCCTTGCGCATGGGGCTTGGCTAGGGCAACCCACAGCGGATCCTGGCTTCCCTGAACCGGGCTGGGGTAAATGAAAGAGCCAGCCTCCTTATGAATTGAATGATGGGAGGGAAAGAACATTGAAGAGAGAGATAGAGATAAAAAGATAAAAACAGTTCCCAGTCACTTCAATGTTCCCTGCTGGGTCAACGGAAGACCGCCTTCTAGCCTTCTAGCCAAGAAAAGCAAGGGGGAGAGGGCCCCTCTCGTTTTGACGTCGTTATGCGCGGGGGATCATTGGCAGTTACTGGTCAAAATACTAGGTTCAAGTTCTAATCAGGAGGGAAGGGCCAGCCAAAACTGGCATACAAACGGCATACTTCACCTGTCATTCTTGTCTCATGACTCCTTTGGGCCCCTTTTAGACTCGTTCTAAGGTACCGGGAGACCGGAGTCAAGGTCGAAGGATTCACCAAACCTATCCCACTTTCTGATTGCGGCTGCATCAAACGCCTCCCTCCTACCTCCCTTCGCACCAGAGAACGATTGACGTGTTGGGCGAAGGCGCCGAGGGTGGGGCAAATTGCGGGAGCTGCCAGCATCGACTGAGCCCAGATGTTCTTTACCCCCACTAACACAGTTGCAACGAGGACTCAGCTGCTTCAATGGAATACTGGTTCATTCCACCTCGGAAATTGACGGCGCGACTCGAAGGCCTAACAGACCTAACAGACGACGAGAGGCCAAAAAGCATCTAAGGTTACGCTTAATCGCATCGACTCTCCGTACATCAGGGTTCTTAAGGTGATTGATTAACCAGGGACCAAGAGTCAGCACAGGGATGCCCTGCATTTAGCACATGGCTGGGTGATTATCCTCGCCTCCATTCCATTCTAGATCCCATCTACCATGGCCTGCGTCCGTTATGTCGGATGCACATCCACCACCACTGGCATCATCACGAATCGTCATTCTCACAATATGAGGTTCAAAAAGTCACCATGGAAGTCTGGCCCGTCTCCATTGTGGGCTCGTATTCAAGATCCCACCCTTCAGGAAACCATAGACATAGCTAGTGGATGGGTGCCCAACGCGTGCACCCTCTTTTCACTCGGCTGCCACCACCCCACGACGGGAAGCACTATATTTTGCGCTTCGGACCAGATGGTATCCAACGTGTCGAGTGCCAGCAGACGGATGATGACTTGTCACTGCAATCAACACACCAAGATATCTGCCTGAGGTACCTACGATGTAAACAAGTCGAGCGAAACCAGTTCTCTTCAATACAGGGCGTATGTTTCTGATAATGACCGCCCTGTACCTATCTCGGCGCTCAAGCGAAGCTTGGCATTTTGAGTGGCGGTCCAAACTATTCGGGAACGTTCCGTTCCCGTGCCGTTAGGCCGCTCACTAGCTGGAGCGCTCTCGGGAGGTGGGATGTAGCCACGCCGATGAAGAGGATGATAGGGCCTGGATTGATAATATGAGGGATTGCAAAGTCGGTTTGTGCCACAGCAGTGTGGCCCCCTGCGTTCGATTCCACCTCCCGTCTGCCTCCTAGTCTTTTTCCCGGCGCAACCTCCCAGTCTCTCAAGATGATGATGTTGCTTTTGCCCTTGTCCCTTCCCTACTTACACTTTCCTTTTTCTTTTTCTTTTTCTTTTTCTTTTTCTTTTTTTTTTTTCCAACCTTGATCCCGAACTCGATTCTATTCAGGGCTCTCTCTCACTTCACTTGTGAATGACTTACATTGTTTAATCTTGCCTTTGCATCTCCGGGCACAAGCCTCAGTCAAGTCCCACAAACCCCCGCCCCCTTTCCTTTTCTATCGAACGCTAAGAATTCAAACTCATGGCCCACTGAAGTAGAGGTTGCTGCGTCGTGCATCGGCAAAGCGAAGTTTCACTGAGCGACAGGAGAGGCAAAAGGTCAGGAAAAGCATGGGCAACGCGCTCCTGGCTAGACGACGTGCCAAATGATCACTTGGCCTCGGTGTCCCGAGTGGCGCAACGACGACGAAGGATCAGATACGCTGGTTTTCTTTTTCTTTTCTTTTTCTTTTTCTTTTTCTTTTTCCCCCACCCCGCCTCAAGGCTTATTTCCCTCGTTAGATGCAAATGGCGAAGGAAGAGAACTGCTGCCCCGTTTCTTAGTTCGCGTCACTACAACTACCCGTCAATATCAGATATTGTGGTCCAGGGCTCTCTCACTTTCGGCTGGTCGCGTGTTCTCGAGTACATTCGCTTCACCATTTATGCCGGCTCAAGATGATGCGGGCCCGATCGCTTGCCCTGTCTTTCTTTTGTTTGGGCGGGCTGAGCTGGTCAACCTGTTCAGAAACGTTGGAGCTCAACCAAGACTAGACCTTTTATTGCCTTATTAGACGGCCTTACCGACTTTTCAACAATTCCATGTATTATGGATTTTCTGTACTTGGACTACACACAGACAGCTGAGAGATAGAGTACATGCGTGTCCGAGTATACCCTGCAGATTTTGTACCCAAGCGCTGGCCTTCATTCCGATGACATGGCTCACAGTCTCCTTGCACTCATCTGACCGATTGAGTGCCACCGTTGATGCGAAGCCTAAGCAAGGCCAGTACTACCAATACTTTCCACCCTCGTCCCTCAACTTGACCATCGGGCTTTTCCTCCGTGCCGACGCTTGAAAACGCTACTCTAGTACGACTGTTGTGCAGTCCTTTTCCGCCTTCCGCTTCCCGTTCCTTTTTTATTTCCTCTTTTTCTTTTTTTTTTTCTTTCTTTTGTTGACCTTTTCTTTCATCTCTCACCTTTCGCCTTGAGCACTCGTTTTTCTCCCCTGAGATCTTGATTGATGCCCTAAGCCTTTCCCACCCCTCCCCCGCCTCTCTGCTTTCATTTTTTTCTTGTTCTTTTTCTGTGGTGACCTCTTTTTCTTCTTTCTTTATTTTTCAATGGTTCCTCTCCCCATGTTAGGTTCCAGGGCCAGACTCCCTGGCCCTTCCCTTTCCCCCATGTCAGCCCCCAGTGCGGGATGCCGCTACCCTACGGTTCAAGCCCACTTTCTTCGAGATCCCCCTGTACTCACCTTGACGCAAAGAGCTTGAAGATCGCGAGGCCAGCGGATGTGGACCGCTGCATTGGTCACATTAGTACCTTACCACCTACACGGTCCCCAGCTTCTGACCCTCTTCTGCCACGCCTCTCTCTTGATCCTCCACACCTCTTGCAGCCGATCACTTCACACCCCTAACCTCACTCTCCTATTTCCTCTGAGTACATATAAGAGCCATGGAATCCCTCCGCTTGACTATACCTCATTCGATTCCGAGCTTGCTCATTCACTCAATATTCTCGTCACCCTTTCACCCTTCACTCATTCTCCTACCTTGAACAGACAACTGTCGAGTTCTTTGAGTTCGTCTTCATCTAGACTAATATCATAATACCGTCATACTGTCATACTGTCGACAAGTCTCCTACCCCCACGCTACCCGCTATTCGCCTCCTGGATCTCTAGGATCATCATCGTTTTAGGTGTTCTTAGCTGGATATAAAACAAACATGGCGACTTATGGATCTGCCACCACCCACACCCCTGGCAGGACCAACTTGAAAGTAGGTCTCCAGAACCACGACTCTTCCAGTTTTTTGGGAGTGTATTTGCTGTTGTTACTAACACCACACCTTAGGGAGTGCCGGGACAAGAAGTACCCTCTGCCTCACTTCGAATTGGTCTCTGATCGACGAGGTAAGCCTGCGTGAAGTCGCCACGCTACCATCTGCTGGCCGTGGCCTAGCAATTGAAGCTAATCCTTTTGAACAGGGGGCCGGACAGCTTGGTCGAGCAGGGTCATGGTCAAAGGCCAAGTGTTCCAGGCTCGGTTTTGGTACGATGGAAAGAATCTGAACAACGCCAAGGAAGATGCGGCCCAGCTCGCCCTCGCCTATGTGAAGAGCAGTCCCGCGTCTCCCTGGAGTTAAATCACGGCTCTCAGTTTTCCGGGGCAAGCTTGCAATGAAATGAGTTGGGGGAGGCAAAGAGCGATTACACACACACACACACACACACACACACACATTCAGCATCCGATGGCAACCCGGAAATGACAGTTCTTCGGAAAATGAAAGAACGTCCTCCCGAGGAACAACCTGGATACGTCACGCCAACCGGGCCGGGCTCAACTGCACAATGACCCCTGTTCACTACTCGCCCAAGACCCTCCAACTCGACTTCTTTTTCTTCTCCGATTCTACACCACATCTGTTTCATTCGTCACCTGGGCGGTTTTGGTCAAAATCCATCATCTCATTTATTTTTTCATTTTTTAATTTAGTCTCGCGATTCCGGTTCTTGATGTAGTTTAGCTAGCACAGGAGTTGGAACTTGGGGATTACGGGCAACGGCCACGCGGCATCAAAACAGGTTCTACTACATGAGCACGGCGCAACTTGTCTTGATGTTTGTACTTTTTATATCCCTTTCCTCACTCCCTTCTCTGGTGTTTTTCGGCCATCGATTATAGTGCCCTTTTCTTCGATTACCTCGAGGGTCTACATTGGGTCTCAAATGAGTTTTCTTTTCCTTCCCCCTTTCTTTCGTTTCTTTAAAAAGCCTCTTGCAGATAAATTTGCCCCCTTTGCTTGTTTCCCTAATACAAAGATTCCGATATCTTTTCATTTCTCTATTTACTCTTGCTATCCGCACCGTGGATCTCTATCGCTATTTCCGGCGCGCGGTACGGGGTAGTTCTAAACCTGTGCTCCTTGGTATAGAATTGGCATCCGCGTGGCTTCGAGGAGCACGTCGCCCTCGCCCTATTTTCGAGATGGTTTAGATGGAAGAGACGCATGAGGGGCTGCATGCACGCACACCGCACATAGAAAGGGATGACGGGACTGTTCATTGTTCATGACGCATCGTCAAGCTACCTCTTGTCTGTCCCGCGGCGTTGTATTCGTCTTTGCTTTGAACCGCTGGCGTAGCACATGATCCAGCATCTCCCCGAGACTAGCCAGTTCCGGGGTTCGTGGGGTGATGAACTAGTTGGGCCGGGTTCCACTGGCAACAGCATCAGTTTCCTTTTTCTTTCATACTCCCTGACAGCACGGCCATCTTTCCCCCAAAAGGGAGTGGCAGCTCGATCTTGAACCCTAGTGGACACAAGACGCTCGATGATCGGCCAGCGTATGATGTATTGGTGGACTGGTTATGACCATCCAAACGTTTTGGATCCGAGTGGCTTGCACGCCTTGGCGGGCTCACCGGCTCCATGCCTGCTTTTTCTTGTTTGGATCGAAGGGCTTTCAGCAGGTCCACCCACCGGGTTACACGGGAAGGAGGAGAAGGGGGAGTGGGCATGCGTTGTCCTCCCTCCCCTCCCTCCCTTCACCCCTTGGGGCCACATGAAGAATTCTCGAGTATTAAATTGCTTTATGTAGGCCTCCCGATGACATGCTCCACATTGGAACTGATGTGCAGGATCTGTCAAGAGGCGAGAAACATGGGTTTCAGTTTCGTCTTACGAGCGCCATTTCCGAGCTGAAGTTTTTGTGAGAGGGAGGAGGCATAGAGGGGACAGCGGGGCTGATAAAGCAAGAAAATATTAGAGAATAAAAAAGAAGGGAAGAAAAGAGATCGGATATGACAATGAAGGGTCAAGTCGGTTAACGAGATGCCACTCCTCGTGTGTTCGAGTGTGCAACAACGACGTGCGGTCAAAGTGCCGAGGTTGAAGAGGACTGTAGGCATGCCTGGGAGAAGTGAACGGGTAACGGGCAACGGGGAGGAACCAGGCCGTGCTCCGGAACAAACGGGAGGAGATGGCAGCCGCCACTACGCGCTGGATGAGCACGGTGAGTAGGTCGGCCCTGGGCCAGCCAGCCACGGAACGGAGAGGGGAGAGGGGGGAAAGGGTCGATAGAAGAGAGGTGGCGACTCCCCGGACTCCGCCCCAAGGCCCAACGCCGCCTTCGGGGAGCCGCGCCGCAGGGACAACCCTCCAACACATGTGGACCTCGCGCGCGATTGGCCATTTTCCCGAGTAGAGGCGTCGGCGGCGGCCGGTAGTTGGAGCGGGAGGAGGATATTATTAGAGTACAATGGCCAGGCCAGGCACGTCCAGCTCCGCGCCCTTGTAGCCACGGCGGAGGGTTCATGGATCGCCTTTTGTTTGCGCGCGCACTAACTAGAATTTAGAGCGGAAGTTTACAACTAGTCTTTCGCCCGGTTCTAGAACGAGCGCGACTATTAATATTACCATAAAAAAGAAAAATTGGGCTTCTTGTCTTTCATGCCCTTTCGATTCTCCAATTTCCCGCGTGTTACCCGTCGCGGCAAATTTGCCCTTGGTGTCCTCTGCAAGCCCCATATGCACTTGGACGGATGTAGGACGAAAAGAGCAAAGCGGGAAAAACAAAGGTAGGTGAGGTTTGATGGGTTGGGGGAACGAACGAGGCAAGGCCCTCTCTCTCTCTCTCTCTCTCTCTCTCTCGCTGCGTGTGCGAATGGGCGAGCGAGACGGGTGGGCCACTTTGTGCCTTTTTGATGAAGCTCATGTCCGCTTCTCTGGGTCCGTCTGCCTGGCGGCGGTGCTCACCATGATTTCATTGGCGAATGGTAAAGAGATGCTTTAGTCTACCGGGTAGCTGGAAATTGATGTTGGACGATCACTCAAGGTTGCCCCATCGGCTCGCTGAATGTGGTATTAGAGCGAGGCGACGTTGATTCTGGGACAGCTGGGAGGGTATGTAACCATAAGATAATCACAATGGATCCATAGATGGACCAATCTAATAGATCTATTGGATCCATACACGGCACCTCGCTTGCTCCTGCTCTTTCCACTCTCGCCTTATTGCCCTTTCGTTTCTTTTTCATTATTAGCTCGGGGTGTGCTGTCTGGTTTGGGGTTTTCCTTCCTTTTTGTCTTCTTATATCGTGCTTCTTTTCTTTTTCTTGTCCTCAGCCACACTCAAGCCCGACGCCCATCAAGTTCTCGCGTCATGATGCCTCCTTGATTGTGTGCAGAAACGGAAGGCGCTTGCAGTCCACTTTGCGCGATGCCCGACTATCGCCACACCCCCTGCCAAAGTGAAAGCCTAATGGCTTTGAGGTCGTCCAGGGACGCACGTCGCCGAGAGAAGAGGAAGATCACGGTCAATGTCCGGCGATATCCTTGTCCCTTATCCGGTGATAGTGATGGGGTTTCCAACACGTCAAGTTCGCGCTCTCATAGGCTAGGCTTCGAGCAAGATCGACTAAAACGATGGGATTCCATATGTCCACATATGTAAGAGAATGATAAAAAGTACCACATCAAGCGCCGTTGAGGCATCCGAAACGGTATGCGCGCATGTATGTGGGTGTGGGTATGTATGTATGTGCGTGTATGTTTATCTTTGTCTACGTATGTGCGCTATGTGCGCTATGTGTGTGTGCGTGTGGAGAGGGTGGGCGTGGGCGTTGAAAGTGTCAAACGTACGAGTATTTAGGGCACTTTTCTTTGACCGTTCTTCTTTACTTTTGTGTTTGTGGAGTGTAATGACGGGGAGCTGCGGGAGCCGAAGAGGGGAGAGGAGGCCTCGAGGTTACACAAATTCTCTCACCTCCGCCGCAGGCACCGGCCCTCCTCCGCTCCTAGTGCCTCCTTGCTTACGGCGGGCGTAGAATTTTGGTCCATCTCACGGAGTAGAACAGCCCGTCGGATGAGGAGGCAGTAGGAACAGCCGGGTGACTTTGGTATCATAGGTGCGGAAGAAAGAGGGAGAGAGAGACAGAGAGTAAAAAGGGAAAGAAAAAAAGAAAGCGAAAAAGAACGAAATAGAAAAGAGCATAGCCGATAACAATGACAGATGGCTTGCGTCGGAGGCTTCGCCTACAACATCCGCTGTGCCGAAGGACTCTAATGAGAGGTGGCCCGGAAAACGGGACTCAAACGTTCAAAGCAGGGCCGTTGGGAGCAGAGAGAAAGCCAAAGAAGAAGAAAAAAGTAGGTAAAAGAAAACATATACCGAGGTAACAGGGGTCGGAAGCGAAGCGGGTTTCCGAGGGCGGACCTGCCTTGGAAATAATGCAGGAGAAAGATGCGCGGGCTGCAGATTGCTGAGGTTCCGTTCCTACCGAAGGGCTCGCGGACCCTAGCGATTGCTGCGAGCAAGCCGGGATGGTAGGAATGTCACCGGATCTGATTCGTTCCTTGGACCATGTCGTGAGTTCGTTGATCGTGTTTGCTCACTTCATGTTCTCCCAAACCCCCGAAAAAGAAAAAGAAAAAAAAGATTCACCCTGTTTGCATCCTGACAGCTCAACCACTTCCAAACACACCGGAGCCCATGCCACATGAGATTTTAGTTACACGGCAGCCTGATGCGTTGACAAGTCGGTGAAAGCATCCGACAAGTAGCTCTGGTGATATTGAAGGCTGAGGCGATTGCGTCGACGTTGAAGATGACTAAGAATTCTGAGAGGGAAGGGAAATCTATTTCAATGCGTTACGCCACAGATGGGCTGACAGAGATCAGGGACGTTGTGGCTCGTGTGGTTGAGGCTGAAGCGGACCCACTTTTTGGACAATTTTGCTTGCGGAAAAAGGGACGATGAAGCAAGCTTGCACGTCGGAAGCAAATTCGCATCGTGGAAGGAAGTTTGGCGATCATCCTTCGACGCTGTTTAATCACGCGATCCCGGCCCGAAATCGAACGAGGGCCTCCTCCATTGAAGCTCTTAGGAACCGATAAGACGCGTAGGACACTTACGCTTTCAAAAGCCCAAATCGCACACGACAACTGCTCACGTGTAGCAGAGCCAGCAACGAAATAGGACGAACGAGGACGAAGAAAAGGGAGGAATAAAAACACAAAAGCCCACACACTCGAGCCACGGCCACCATGTCACCACCGATACGGGTCTGGGGCGCGTGCAGGACGTTAGCAATACGGGCCCGACCTACTACGAAGCCTATCCAAGGCTCCATCGCGCTCGCCGCGACGGTGTCCAAGAGGTCCCTCGCCACGGATGGAGGCAAGTCGGCGGGACCCTCAGGGTCGGATGTCGAGGCGATGCTACAGGCGGCGGTCACTGGCGGCGTGCTCAAGGCCCACGGGCTCGCAGGAGGGTTGACGCCCGCCCAGGAGCAGACGCTGTACGAAGAAGGCATCATCAAGCCGGCGGCGACGGGGAGCCAGGCGCTCGACGAGATGACGGCGATTGCGACCGGGCTGTCGGTCGCGGGAGAGGAGAGGGCCACAAGTTTTCCCTGCCTGACTTGCCGCTGCCGTGGGATATGCAGATGAAGAGCCGGTACCATCCCGTCCTCACGCAGATTTCGAGACTGCTGATGAGGGACGGCAAGCTAAGCAAAGCTCAAAGCGTACGTATCTTGTCCCACCCACCCGCCTACCAATGCTGCTTTTACGCCCCCAACTCCTTGACCTTTGGTCATGCATTGTCCCGTGTTGCATCTACGCCGTTACTGACAGTTTTCTTCTTCTTTAGCATCTCTCGCGTGTTCTCGCTATCCTACGAACCTCTCCCCGCCCATTCTGAGCCCCAAGTATCCGCTACTCCCGGGTGCTCCTCCGCCAAGCCATCTCCCCTCAACCCGATCGTCTATCTCACCCTCGCCATCGACTCGGTCGCCCCCTGATGCGCATCAGGCACCTCCGAGGCCTCGCGGGTGGCGGCGCCGCTCTCGAGATGCCCATGCCCCTGGAAGTGCGACAGAGGAGGCGAATCGCGTTCCAGTGGATCCTCGAAACCGTCAACAAGAAGCCGTCGATGGGTTCGGGTAGGAATCAGTTTGCCCACCGACTGGCGTCAGAGATTATCGCCGTCGTCGAGGGGCGATCCGGTGTCTGGGACAAGAGGCAGCAGGTGCACAAGCTTGCTACGGCCGCGCGAGCCAACTTGACCAACAAGAAGAAGGCCAAGAGCAAGAAGGGTTAAAGGCCCCCTCCGTCGCCATTGGCGTGCCTTGTCTTTTCCTACTTTGTGATAATGAGTGATAGAAGTGGGATTGGTGAGGAGCGTTGGTCGGGTTCGAGTTGGTTTCGATTCCCTTGACCGTCGGATCGGACAGGCCCGGTGGAAGGAGGGTGGTTTTTCGTGTAGGAGCTACTTGTACAGTACGTGCATCTGGGTGTTCTGATAAGGTAGACATGCCCAAATTTCTATTCAAAACTTGATAGATGTATTCCAATTCGAATGAATTTGCTTTGCTTTGATTGTTCACTCTTCCGTCTCTCATTCAACCCCGCGAGCCATTGGATTCGTGGTATGACCCTTGTCCATTTCTTTTTTTCTTCTGGGGTTTTTTTCTTCTCTTCTTTCTTGTCGATGATTTGAGTTCCCAATTGAGGCAGTGCGTATTTAGCTCAATTGCCCCTTCGTATACCTCAGGTACGCTCTCTATCCAACCAGCCAGGGTTCCCGATCAGACCCCCAGACTATTGTTCACATGTCCAAGTCTAGTCACCGATTCTCTGGTGATGGTGGATGGGGAACCCCGACATCGTTGGATTTTGGCACATGACTAAGCCCGTTCAGTGCGTCACTCCACCAAAAGCCAAGACTTCTCGAGGCACTTTCCCCTCAGCTCTTGCTGGTGAAAAGGGCCCCCCTCCTCTCATCAAGCCATGGAGAATCAACCCTCGTTCCCTTCCTCCTCCCTTTCTCTTCCCAAGTGAAAACAAACAAGAGATAGCCAAGGAATACCATTGACCTGTGACCTCAAAATTCTCCCTCACAAACCTGTCTAGGAACCAGAAAGTCCCGAGAAAACAAAGGACCTGGTAGTAAAGAGTACGACGACGAGGCTCTACTATTTGACGTGCTTCCCCCGGACCTCGTGAGCCAGGCGCGCAATGGCTTGAACGCCACCGTGGATATCCGTTCACTTGATGGCCCTTTTCTGAACACCAGCCCCTCCATCTCCCCCTCGAAACATTGGGGTAAAAAGGTCAGACAAAAAACGAACGTCTTGAACCATGCTGGCAAATTCGAGAACGAAACAACCGATCCTTCACCGATACCGTCGCAGCGACCTTCTTCCTCGTTGAGGAACAAAATAGAAATAACCTTGCTTTTCTTTCCTGCTTCCTTTTTTCTTCCACCTCTATTTTTTTCTTCTTCTCGATCCCTAAACTTCCTCTTATCATTATACCCGCCAAGCATTCGGAGCCGACCGAGGACAAATTTTCCTTGGCGAAGACGATAAGCGAAACACCAAGCGAGTCGACAGCTAGTCAGGGCTTCAACCTTCTTTTTTTGCAGCTTGATTCTCATCCATCTTAGCTTCTAGACACAAGACAAGGTTGTAACGGCCATTGGCAACCCCGGCGAGGTGATAGGGCGCATAGCTTGAACCGTCATACGTCGAGTGCGCCACGCAAAGCCAAAACCTTGTTAGTTTACTGCTATAGCCTCTGGATTACTACGACACATACGCAACCGATCCACCCCCAAGACCGCCTTTCTTGAATTCCTCAAAGGACGGTACATAGTCTGAATACAAGACACCCTACGACCGCTCGTTCCCCTCCCCACCCTCTTTCTCCCAACGATTGACTGGGGGCCGAAGAAACGACAGCTACCCGAACACCTACCATCGTTTTATCACTCACCATTTGAAACCTATTCTTTCGCCCCACCGTCGCCATGTCGCATCACGCGATGAGTTTGGAGGCGGCCATGGACGAGGAGAGGCTTGCCATTCTGGAAATCTTGGAGCGTCAAGCCGCTGCCAAGGTTGCGCCGCAGACCTCGAGGAGATCGGCATCGCCCATGACTACCCCGCGCTCGCCCATCCGGAGCTTGCTGGACGTCGAGACCTCGCCCGCACGAAAAGGCACGCCGCCCCCGTCAAGTATAGAAGTATGCTTGATGTGGGCGGGCCCCCATCCCCAAGACGCAAGCGCCCGTGAGGAGCTTGCTCGGCCCAGATAACCCGCCTCCGTCGCCTGGATATCCGCCTAGCGTGAGGAGTTCCATATCGGATGCGACGAATGCGACAGCCAACTCAACAAGCGCGGCTCCCTAGGCTCAAGCCCGCGGACGAACGCGGATATGCCCAGATTGTCCGATGCGACCAGGAGACACATCTCGCCGCAGCGCGGGTCACTTTCCGAATATCAGTTTGGCGATATTATCACCTCCCAGATCGGGCAGTCGTTGCCGCAGCCCAGGAGGAATCAGCAGGGTGGACGGAATCTCGCCAGCCCCTCGCGCAGGTCAGCACGCCCAACCCTCACCTAGCCCAGGGCCACGAGCCTCTGAGGCATTCCATCGGGGGTCCATGCCACGCCGCGGAAACCAGTCGAGGTCGCCCCACAGCATACGCTCCATCCGCGGTTCGTCTCCCCAGCCGTCTTTGACAGAGAAGCCCAAGACCAAGGGCGCGGTGGCGATGCTCGATAGCGGATACGAGCTGGACCTTAGCAAGGCGTACAAGAGCTTGTCCGACGCGGGGCTGCTCGCCTCGGAAGGCCCGCTCGCGCATTTGGCACTACAAAAGTGTCCCAGCAGGAGGACGGTGAAGGGCCGCTCGTCAAGGCCTACCTGGGCCCGGATGGCGAGAGGCTAGACGACTCGAGTAGCGACGACGAGCCGCACACGGACGCCGACGACGAGGACGAGAACCACCGAGGAAGGAACACGGCACCCAGAATTGTATACGGCAGCGAATCCGCGCATCGCGATTCCATGTCTTCGGACCAGGGTAGGGAGCCTAAGAGCCTATTGGCCGCGGCAGAGGAAGAGCGTGGGTATCCCCCATGACTCGACGGTTGCGGCTCGAGTTCCATCTTTGAGAAAGAGAAGGGGAATTCTTTGTTTTGGGAACAACCCCCGATGGCTAACACTTGTTGTCACTAGGAAAACAACTATCCTCGGCCTACAAGGTCCGATCTCTTTTCGATGATGACGAGGAAGACAACAAGAAATTGAACGGCAAGGACCGGTCACGGCACGGCTCCCGGTTGAGCGCTAGCAAGGAGAGGTCAACCCTTCGTCAACCGTCAACTCGGCCAACAACTCGGAGAACGAGATTGAGCGGGATGAAATCCGTACGGCGCAAGAGATGTCGGTGAGGCTGACAGATGTTTTCTCCACGCCCGAGACAAATCGATCGGTACGGGTGATTTATCGCGGCGAGTTCACCAAGGTGGTGGCGGCGGCGGTGGAGGAGCACAAGAAGCTGCGCAAATACCTCGTGGCAACAGACTTGAGCGACCACTCGGCGCACGCGCTGGAGTGGGCAGTGGGCACGGTGCTGCGAGATGGCGATACGCTCGTGGCGACATGCTGCCTCTCGGAGGAAGGGGACGGCAATCCGAACGGCAACAACGGCAGTTCCGGCAACGGGAGCAACGGCGCCGACGAGGGCAAGGATGCGTCTGCGCTCAACCCGCCGCCAACGCAGCACCGAGCATCGTCCATCAGCCTGCTCACGTCGGCATTTGCGAACCGCGACAGCGGCGTGTACGGGCCCAACAGCGGGAACAACGGGGCGGGCGACTCGGCCAGCAACATCAGCACGGGGTCAGCCAAGGAGCAGGACCGACTGGAGGCGGAGAGGCAGCAGGTGATAGAAGAGGTGACGGCCAAGGTGTCGAAGCTTCTGAGGCGAACCAAGCTGCAGGTGCGCGTGATTGTGGAGGTGTTGCATTGCAAAACCCAAAGCACCTGGTTCTCGAGATGATTGATTTGATCAAACCAACGTTGGTGATTTTGGGAAGTAGAGGTCGCAGCTCGATCAAAGGGTACGTCTTTTTTTTTTGTTCAGTCTATCTCTATCTCTATCTCTCCACTTCTCGTCCCCTTGTCCATCCTTCTTTCCATCCTCCCGCTGCCCTATCTTAATCACCACATTACACAATACTAACGGTAAAATTTCCTCTCCCTGCAGTGTTATCCTCGGATCGTTTAGCAATTATCTCGTGACCAAGAGCTCGGTGCCGGTCATGGTGGCGCGCAAGAGGCTACGCAAGAAGACGAGAAGGGGCCCGATGAAGCAGGTCAACAACCTCAGCAACCCGGCGGGCAGGAGTCTCGCGAGCGCCAAGATTGACTAGAAGGGCAATCGAAAGGGCGGGTGCGCGAGGCGACCGGTGAGGTCCAGGTCTAGATGTAAGGTCGGGGTAGGGACTGGAACTAGCCAGCAGAAATGGAGCGGTGGTGCCAGGAGGTGACTGGCTTTGTTTTTCTCTCCTTTTTTTTTTTCCCTTGCGGTTTTCTTTCTGGAACAGGAAGGCTCACGCAAATATGGCGATGAAGCATATCATGCTTGTGTTTTTTTTTTCGGTCTCTTCTCTCTCCTCTATTAAACCAGACAATACGGTCTTTTTCTCTTCTCGCTTGTGCGCAAAACAGGACCTGAAACTTTGCATCTGGACAGCGGCGGATGAGGGATCTCGGGCTGCTTCCTTTTTTTCTGTTCTTTTCTCTCTCTCTCTCTCCCTCCCTCTACTTCTCGATTTGTCTTGTTTTGTTTTGGCAGGTGGTCCTCGATTGGTGTGTATGTGTGTGGACGGATGTGTCTCACTTTCTTTTCTCTTCGAGGTCCACCCAGTCTCATGTCTCTATATCTTTGTTGGGGATCGTCGCGGGGAAGAACTCTTGGCCTCGTCCCTCGCTTTGTTAAGAAGAACCCTCTTCTTTCGGCTTCTTTTCTTCTCACTTCTCCCTGTCTAAAATCCCCTTTCCATATCTCCTCGGTGTGCTTTATCATCTTCTGCCACTCGCCTCAAGAGGGTTGATGTTGATGGCCGGGATGGCTTGCGCTGGGCCTCTCCGCATCCACAAATAGCTCAGCCAATTACCCCCTCAACTCGGCTGCACATTGGCGGGAGACAGAAGAGGAGAGATGTGAGTGGATCGAGGAAGGTAGATAAGCTAGGTTTAAAGGGAGAGGGTTCCGGCTTCGATAACGTGCTTATGAATTCAAGCTATTTCTACTCCTTTTTTTTTTTTTTACTTCTTTCGCCTAACTAGAATATTGAACGTGAAGCTGAAGCCACCATCTTCTTCCCCCGGTAGAGCCTGCTCTCATTCTTTCCCTGCTTTGCTTTCCAGGCATTGGTCCTTTCCGAATCACGAACACCCAGCTTGACCCGCGCGAGTAGAAGAGGATGCCTTGGGGTCTCGCGCCCACTCTTAGTCGGACTTGTTAATGCGGGGAGAGGGGCGGGGGACTAGGCGCTCGATGATGGCCACATCTCCACATGGCGAATGAGGGGAGTTACCGCATGACGTTCAAGTCAGAGGAAGGGGGTTGCGTCGTTTCCCATCAATACATTTTCCGGTCCGATAGCAGAGGCGCACTTCTTCTACTACACTTGATGGTGGCACGTCATTTACGACTCCTCTCTCTCTCTTTCTCTCCCGCTTCTTGCCATGCATCTTCATCCGTGCCCCTGTCTTTCGCATCATTCCTACTTTGGCAGAAGACAAGAAACAAAAAAGAAAAACAACAAAGGGTCACGAGCTACGGATAAGGAAAACGATAAGATGGGCGAGGGGGAAGCGGGTTTACAGATGCGCCGTATGCGCCTGGGAGGAGTGGAATCAAGGGGAACCAGAAACCTGCTCGTTGCGCTAGGTTGCTCGCTTCTGAGCAAAAAAGAAGTGTCTAAGTGCTTGCATGAGGCATCACACTCTCGGCCTCAAACTAGATGGAAGGGTGATTCAATCGCAATTGGGGGTCGCAAGGGGTTTGAAGGGGTGGTCTGTTATTTGTTTACATTTCTTTTTCGGACTTGTTGCACTCAGCCAAAGGTGGGAAGTTATTCGGGGAGGGATCAGGAGGCGAGGTGGTCATGCATCCACTTTATCCGTTTTAGGAAATGGACAACGGGAGGATCAAAACAAACAACAGACCTTGTGTCTCTTCGAATCAGGCCGTCTCTTTGTTTTTTTCTGGGTACATGTAAAAGGCTGAAGCAAAGGAGAAGGCGGTGGGAGCTCGGCGTTGATTTGATGCGCCGCCGGTGCCGTGCTCGTGCTGTGAAGGAGATTCACGGAGCTAGAACGCGGGGTGATAAGATAAACACAGTGTCCAGGTCGAGGGTGGGTTGGGTGTCTCAGGTACCCTTCTCCGATGCGCGCAAGGATGGCGGGGTTGAGCCGTCGAGAAGGACTGGCATCAACTTTGAGCCGTCTGCCAACTCAAACATGAGAGCTTGTTTGGATAATCTGATTGGCTGAGAGGATCAACTCGCTCTGAATGGGGCAAGTTGCCTGAGGCCGGGAGGAGGCTTGCACGCTGGCTCCGCTTCTCTTTGCTCCATCAGTCCAGTCCAGTCCCGCACACACACACACACACATATACGCTAGGAGGCAAGAGGACGAGATGAAGAAGAAGCGCACGTAAAATACATGCCCGTTTGCCATGTATCTGGTTGTGGGGGATCTTCTCCCAGCAAGCAAGCAAGCACACTGGGAGGCCGTTTGACCTAGTCTGCTAGTAGTAGTCGAGGTGTTTTTCCACTCCACGCATCGAGCACACCACCTTTGCCCATGTTTCATGCATGGCCTTCGCGTGCAGATTGTTTTGACGTTCCTGGCGCGTTTGCGCGTCTGGAACAACAAAAGACAAAAGAGACGGGTACAGGCCCGCGTGCTCTAGATCCGGACTGTGCCGGCTTCCTTCCTTTTTCTCTAGTCCGGCTCTCACACCTTGATGTTGCAATCATCTACTGGGGGAGAAGGGCCTACTCTTTGTTTTTCAAGGTCGTTGAGCCCATACCACAAAAGAATGAGGAAAGAGGATCGATCAACCTTTCGAGTCAAGTCCACGGAAGCCTAGTCAACTCATTCTCCAATGACGAGAGAGTTGCTCGTGTCGACCATTCAAGTGGCATCTGGAAGCCCCGTCTCGCCTTGCCTCGCCTCGCACGTCAAAGGAGAGGGGGAGAGAGCACTTGAAGACAAAGACTTGAAGTTGAGGTGAGAGGATCAAGGCAAGTTGTCGAGTTGTCGAGTTGTTCGATCCGTGCACGGGCCAGGCAAAGGAGTTGTGTGCTGTCTTGGCTGTTCGCCTCTTCGCCCCAAGGAAGGCCCAGCCCAGCCCCACCTTCCGCTGCCTGCCAGCCAGTCAATCATCGCACTGTGACGAGGTACCTTTCACCAGTCGAGAAGACGAGAGCCATTCGCCATTGAAATGTCGGTGGGGTTTCGGACGGTACCTCGTCTCGCACGACGACACCTCTTGACACTTATTTTGATGGGGACTCGTGGATCCCCAACCTCTTGATTTTCGAAGGCGTTTTTTTTTGGTCCTTTCGCTGTCGTTTTAGTTTTTGGGTCTATTCATCATTGTAGCCGAGTTTAGGTACATACTCTACCAAAGATTTTGCCCCCCTTGTCGCTTGTCGAGGAACTCGCGGAAGCCTGTCCAGGTCGAGAGACAAGCAAGTAGTAGATGCGTTCACAGGCGTGAACTCGTCGTTTCCTGGGCAGGCACCAAGGCATCAGTTCGATGCAGACATAATACCGTAGACCCTTCGTAGACCATTCGTAGACCATTCGTAGACCATTCGTTGACAGGGTTGACGAGCCCAAGTCCCCTTGACTGCAAATGATATTGTGTGGCCATCTGGTCGGGATGCTCTTGCGGTTCCTGGTTGGGCTGCAAGCCGTCCTGGTAAACCTGGGCCCTTTTCCGTGCACAGGAAGGAACATCCCTGATAGCTCAAATGGGGCCAATCCGAGCCTCTCCATAATACTCTCGCCATCGACGCCTGTTGCCTCCCTCTACCTATTTTCTCTTCTTCAAGTCCTTGACGCTGAACATTTTTGTGTCTCCTACGCCTGATCTTTGCATATCGCTTGTCTTCTCTATTCATTTCCGCTTTTTGTTCTTCCTCGTCTTCATTTCGATAGCATTCGAAGAAAGGTGTCCGCATTACTGCCAAGAGTGAAAAAGAAAGAAAGCTGTTTTGTTCCCCGCCGTTTCTGTTTAAACGTACGTCTCCATCACCTTCTGTATGCATATTGGAAAGCTCTAGGCTGGGCCCGGAACGAGAGAGAGAGACCGTCGCTCCAACAGGAAACTTCCAAGATAGCTTCTCTCCTCCCCTCGAACAAGGGATAGATGGGAACCCAGAACAAGATCAAAAAGACTGAGAACTAGATAGTAGACCAGCCCGCGTCCCTCCCAAAAGAAGACCTAGACCTTCCGGCCCATTATTCGACCCAGTTCCTTCGCGCTATACAACTTATCCAGATAATCGATCAACAGCCGAGAACCTCTCTTCTTTTCCATCTCTCTCTCCCATCACTCACTCCTCTTCGATCGTCATTCTCCCCTCCCCTCCACCTCCCCTCCCCCACCCACACCTGACGGCACCGTCCTGCATCACAGTGTAGCGCACCATATCAACCATCCAGATACCAAACACAGACAGACAGCTTCTCCCCCTTGCGTCTTGCTGGGATACCCTCCTTCACTCTCTGCCATTCCCCAATCCCACCCCATCTCTTATTCTTCCCGCCTCTCCCGTGGTACGGGCAATATCAATAGTACAAAGTACTCGGCTCTGTCCCCGGTCCAGGTCCAGGTCCCCCCTTTCGGGACCTGTATGTTCCTCGAAGCACGCACTACGCACTTGCACCATACCCTTCCCTATTCTCTACTTCGGTAGTCTCAGCTCTAATCTTCATTCACACCTCTCATCCTATATTCCCCGTTTCATAACCAACCCCCCTCCCCTTTCGCCTTCATCCAGGATACTTACACACGGCGCACGCACTTTTCCCCTTTTCCCTCCCCCCACACCTCTCCCCTCTCTCTCTCCATGAAGTTGTTCAATCCCATGAACTCTTTCTTTACCGTTAACAATCACGTCTCTATATCCCTCCTGAGCGTTACCGTAACCCCAAGCACTTTCCTCGCAGCCTTGATCTTCTGCCTCGTCTTCATCTCCATCTACATTTCCCTCTACCTCGCCCCCATCTCCGCGGCAACCTCTGCGGTCACCGCCCCCTTCCGCCGTGTCCTTGCCGTTGTGCGACCCAAGGCCTCGGCCGCCCCCGCTGCTGCCATCGCCGACAGAGCAACCGCCCTGGTCGACGACCCGGCAACCATCCCCTTGCGTCTCCACCCTTCCGACCAACAGCTTCTCATTGCCTCCCACCGGCCTCTGCCTGCCTTGCCCTCCGACGCTTACTCGGAGGACCTCGAGGTATCCAACCCAGACACCGCTCTTGTGCTGCGCACCCCGCGCCGCTCTCGCAATAAGGTCGCCGAGAGCGTCGCTTCCCACGATCTACCAAGGAGCGCCGACGCCGGATAGAAGCAGCACCACCAACAGAGGAGGCGGGACGGATAGCAGCAATAGGAGATCATGGTAGCCCCCGCCGCCCTCGATCCGCTCGATCACCTAGACGCGTCCCTACAAGACTTCGAGCCGACGACGCCTCACCGCTTCGGGTACCCGTCTCATCACTCGGGCTTCCGCTCCGAAGGGACCGAGGAGAGCGACGACCGGGATTCAGTTTCCGCCGGTGGCTACAGTCCTCCGGCGTGGCGCCGTCTCGAGAACGGGGATAGATCCAACGGCTTCTGGCGCAAGTCCGACAACCTACTCGGCCACGGCACCGACCATGCCCGCGCCCTGCGCCAGCTTGGCATGATGTCTCCCGAGAGCTTCCACGGCTACGGAACCGACGAGGACGATGACGAAGAGGAGAGCCATCATGTCCTCGAGCAGGCTATTCGCACGAGGTTACCCACTGGGAGCCTTTCCCCTGAAAAGGGCTTCTCGCCCGAGCCGGAAAGGACGCTCAAGATTGATGATATGGTGCTTCAAAGCCCCACCCCACCCGCCAGCGGCGTTCCCGACAACTGTAAGCTAGCTCTCTTTTTCCTCTCCATTGCCTAGTATACATGCCCTCCTCGACTCCCCTCACATCAGGGCGGGAGGATTGGAGAAGAATGGGCAAGTAAAGGGAAGGGCACGCAAGAGCAAAGTGCCAGACAACCTGACCCTGGACTAACAAGAGACACCCCCTTCCTCTTAGACATTCGGTTCGCAGTCCGCGCAGAGGTTCAGCACCGCACAGAGCCGATTGACGCGGCCATTACGTTTGCCCGCGCCAAGGTCGGCGCCGTCACCGGTTCTTGGGCCTCCCTCCTCGCCTCTTTCCTCGTCGCGTTCCTCTCCATCACCGCCGTGCGCTCCTCTTTCAGCCCGCTGTCAGCACCCCTGTCCCCGACCTTGTGAAGGTCGCTGGCCTCGCCCGCTCCTTTGAGCCTCTGATCTACTACTCGGAGAATGGCGTGGCCCAGGTCGGCGACCTGCAGGCCACCAGCGTCGCGGTATGGGATCTTGGCGAGAGCGTGCGCGGCAGCAACATGACCAGTGCCGACATCATTGTCAAGGCGCTCGACGAGCTAAGCGATAGCCTCAAGACGCTTGCTGTTGAGCTTACTAAGTTTTTCGCCAACGTCGACGGCGATATCGATGGGTGAGTTTTCATACAATCGCGGACCAAGAACTCGGCTTTGCTGACCAAAGAATGGGGCTGTCTAGAATCCTCATCGTCATGGATTGGGCCCGCCGCGAGCTTGCCCAGGTCCGCTCCCTCCCCTCTCAACCCCTCTCGTCCGCGATGGACAATGTATACTCGGCCCTCTCCCACGCCGGAGTCCTCGAGTCCCCCGACGGCAACCCCACCACCCTCGGTTCTGTCGTGACCTCGCTCTTTGGCCGCACCAACACGCAGCGCACCCGCCACACCCTGCAGCGCACGTTTACCGAGTTCCTAGCTGTGCTCGAGGAGTCCATCAACTCGGAGTTGCAGGCGTCTCTGGCCCTCTTTGCCCTCTTCGAGGCCGTGGACCAGCAATTCCTCAACCTCGCCCGCACCGTCGTGCGCGAGTCCACCCACCAGGACGAGGCCCACGCCGACCTCCTCTCCTCGCTCTGGACCCGCATCCTCGGGCCCGACACCGCCGCGGTGGCCAAGTACGAGCGCAACCGCGTGCTGCTCCGCAACGTGCGCGAGAAGACGGTGCGCAACAAGGGCATCCTGCTCGACCACAACAACCGCCTCCTCACCCTCAAGGCCAACCTCGAGGCTCTCCGTCGCAAGCTCGTCTCCCCGCTCGTCCGCAGCGTCAATTCGAGCACCCTCACCGTGGAAGAGCAGATTCGCGGCCTCGAGGATGTAGGAAGCTACCTTGAAGACGTGCGCAAGAGACAAAGGGGAAACTCATGGAAATGGTGTACGGCGCTTCTTCCATGAGGAGTCGGCTGATTGACGAGAGGTCTCGCGATTGAGGTGAGGGAGAGAATGGAAAGAGAATCTGCACCGCCCGCCTCGCCCCCACCTAAACCAATACCCATCTCTCTCTCTCTCTCTCTCCTCACATGTCCTGGTCCACTTGATAGGGAGTTTCCTGTCTCCTCCTTGCTCTATTTTCTTTATTCTCGGCATCATATACCCGGCGCATATTCTGTATCTAGAGGCGGAGTTGGCGCCCTCTACCTATTTGTCCAGTCCCCTCTCCTTTAACAAACCGTCGGCCACAGTCCTCAAGGGAGAAACATCTCACCAACTAAACCAAAGAGAGAGAAAGAGAGAGAGAGAGAGAAGGCATGTATGCGTGCGGGAGTTGGGGTTAATAATTCCATCGTCGTAAGCACTCCCAAAAAGACGCGCCAGGTACAAAAAGATGGAGGCAAGGAGCTATAGGCCGCCAGCGAGGAAAAGAAGCTTTTCCTTGACAGGCCCCCGAGGTAGCTCGTGGCTTTTGTTGCTCGAGACCGAGCGCTCATCTTTGCTCGCTTTTGCCTTTTCGTCTATCTTGAAAAGTCGGGGGCTCTCCCTCTTCCCCTTCGCCCTCTCTTCTCTTCTTCTCTCTTGTTGGTTCCATCTTTACTATTTGGACCAGGAATGCGCGGGATGAGCCTCTACTCGCACCCCTTGTTCTTTTTCCCCTTTGTCTGGTTCATGTCATCTAACACTGTTTTGGTCTTTATTTTTACTCATTTATCTCTTATTTCATCACTTTCTTCTTCATGTCTTGGCCGCTTCGCGTCACCTCTCATCTTCTTCATGTAATAAAAAGAGAAAACTCTGCCCACCCCATCACTTCACTTTGGGCCTCATCATGTACTTATGCACCTTATTTCTTGGAGATTTTGGCCTGCTCTTAGCATATAAAGATAGGTAAAAACAAACATCTTGGTTACCTGAGCCCCAGTATCCGTGGTCCAACCTGACATCTAGCACAAGGCAACACAAAGAGGCGAGAGAGGCACGAGGGTCCTTTTGTTGGTTTTGTTGTTTTTTTAATTTTTCAGGTATTCTATTAAATTTTCAGCTATCATACCCGGGGACGGATCCCCTACAAACTGAGACGATGCCTCCTCCGTTTCCATCCGTCCGTCCAATCTCTCTTTAGGTCCAGGCCAGATCCCCAAACAAGGACTCAAGACCCCCTTAAGGGCATAAGCTGCCGCCTCCCACCCTGTAGCATCCCCATCATAGCGGTAGACGAGTCTAGGCGAGAGAGCAAGGGAAGCAGAACCACACCCCATATCCGAGGTCGAGCGTGGGTATAGGTCTGGGACAGGCAAAAGCGAGAGCGTAAAATAAACAAATCCGTAACGCCGTTCCGGGTGTCTTGCGAGTGTCGTCCTGTAGACACGAAAAAGAAAAAAGTGGGCCAAGGGTAAACGAACGGGCTCAGTCCAGTACGGCCAAGGACAGCGTGGGCTGGCAGGACTGGCGCCGCGATTACCGGGCAAAGGAAGAAGGTGGAGGAAAAGGGTCGGAAACAAGAAAACAAAGATGCTTTTGTCGAGAGGATCGCGTCAAGACGTCTAGACACCCGGGAAGTATTGACCCAAACCTCGCATGCCCTGTAAAAGAAACTTTTCCGTAAAAACCGAGGGTTTGCCAATACCGTGACCGTAGGCCGAGGGGTACAAACAAATAATGGAAGAAAACAATTAAGCCAGGTGGCGAGGCGACGAAGAGAGACAAGTAAAGAACAAGGCAAGCGACATCACGATTCGAAAGGCGTGATGGCGTTTAGGCCTCAGTCTTCTTCTCTTCCTTCTTGTCGTCTCCAGCCTCGGTAGGAGGCTGCTGTCCCTTAACATACTCGTCATAGACGGTAAGGGCCTCGTCAACCTTGAGCTTCAACGCATCGCCATCATCGATACTACAAAGGGAAACAAGTTAGCAATCAGCCACTGATCATGGTTGGGTAAAAACGATGTTTGGAAAGAAAGCAAGAGCAAGAAAAACAGGGCGGGAGGGGAAAAAACTTACAGGTTGATGAGTTCGGCATTGTCCATCTCGAGAAGCATACCGGTGATCTTACCAGCAAGCTCAGGCTGCATGGCCTGGATCTTGGGGAAGATGAGCTCACCGAGCATCTGCTTCTGCTGGGCAGGGCCACCAGCGGCAGCGAGCTGCTGCTGGAGCACACTGCCATTGCCAGCCTCGGGGCCACCGGCGGGAGCCTGGCCACGGCCGGCACCTTGGTTAAAGTTACCCTGACCGTTGCGGGGAGCGTTGCCACCGCGGCCCATGTTGCCCTGAGGACGAGCGTTGGGAGGGAAGCCAGGGACACCAGGACCGCTAGGAATGCCAGCCATGTTGGGGGCATGCCCTGCATGGGGCCACGGCCGCCGGGAGGAGCGTTGCCACGACCGCCCTGGATACCGGCCTGCTGAGCCTGCTGGATCGCGGCGAGGAACTGGGGGTTGTTGGCCTGGGGGTAAGGGGCACCGGGGGAACTGTCCGGGGATGCCAAACATGTTGGGAGGGATCTGGCCAGGCATTCCGCGGCCACCCTGAGGAGGATAACCACCGGGGAACTGGCCGGGCCTACCGGGCTGCATACCAGGCATACCCATGCCAGGTTGGGGAAAGGCATGCCGCGGCCGCCCTGGGGCATGAAGCCGGGTTGTCCGTAGAAGACGGCGGCGGGCTGGATGTACTGTCCGGGCATGCCGGCCTGGGCAGCCTGCTGCTGCATACGGATCTGGTTGCGGGCCTGGATGCTAGCCTCAAGCTGGCTCTTGCGAACATCCTTGCGCTGGGCCAAGGCGACGTAGAGAGGCTTGCTGTTGATCATACGCTGGTTCATCTCCGCAACGGCCTTGGTAGCGTCGTCGGGGTTGCTGAAGCAGACGAAGCCAAAGCCCTTGCTCTTTCCAGCCTTCTTATCGCCCTTCTTGTCGCCCTTCTTGTCACCCTCCTCATCGGGAACGACGGGCTCCTCGGCCTCATTGACGGCCTCCTTGGTGTTCTCCTTGTCCTTGCCCTCCTTCTCTTCCTCGCCCTCGCCGGGCTGGTCGCGCATGACCTTGGCCGACGTGATGGGGCCGAATTCACTAAACATTTGCCTCAGCTTCTCGTCGTCAACGTCATCGTCGAGGTTCTTGATGTACAGGTTGACACCCTGGTACTTGTTAGCCTTCTCAAGGCGGGCAGCCTCATACGACTTGCGGAGTTCCTCCTCGCGCTCGTGCTTCTTCTGGGCACGACCAACAAAAAGCTCCTGGCCATGGAAGTCATTGCCGTTGAGCTCGTCGACGGCCTTAGCGGCGGCCTCGTGGGTGGTAAAGTTGACGAAGCCGAAGCCACGGCTCTTGCCTTCGGGGTCGCGGGCGAGGGTAGAGGAGGTGATGTCGCCGTACTGAGCAAAGAGATCACGGAACTCATCGTCGCTAGCATCGGTGTTGATGTTCTTGACATAGACGTTGGTGAAGTTGGCCTTCATCTCCTCAAACTTGCTCTGGCGGTCCTTCTTGGGGATGTGGTAGCCGACGTAAACCTTCTTCTCGTTGAGAAGCATACCGTTGACGTGCTTGATGGCCTGGGCGGCAGCCTCGTCAGTCTCGTAGTGTACGAAACCATAACCCTTGGAGGCACCGTGCTCATCCTGAGCGACCTTGCAGCTCAAGATGTTGCCGAAGGCGGCAAAGGTATCGTGGAGAGCCTTGTTATCGATAGCGACATCGAGGTTCTTGATGAAAACGTTGCCCTGGCCAGTCTTTCGGAGGGCAGGGTCACGCTGAGACCACATGATGCGGCAGGGGCGGCCCTTGATGAGGGTGTAGTTTAGCTCCTCGAGCGCCTTCTCGCCATCATTGGTGGCGTTGTAGTTGACATAGGCGTAGCCGAGAGAACGGCGCGTCACGGCGTCACGGCAGACACGGATGGAGGCTACGGAGCCGATCTGGGAGAAGAGCTCGAAGAGCATAGCCTCGGTAACGGAGGGTCGAGCTCGCCAACATAGAGGGAGGCCGAGGCCTGGGGGTGGGGGCAGCCGAGTTGGGGGTAGGGCCGGCGGTATCGAGCTCATCACCAGGCTCGCCGGAGACGTTGGTGTTGATGGCAGGGGCGCCAGGAGCATCGCTGCCGTTGAGAGAGGTGTTGCCAAGATCGCTGGCGAGCTGGTCGACAGCGGCGGAGGTAGGAGCGGCCATTATGTCGGATTTGAGCGTGACAGGGTGATTCTGTGGGGGAGGGAGGATGGAGGAATTGGTTCTTATCGATTTCGGGTTCAAAGGAATCTTCTCTATCAAAATGGCACGATGCCTACGTTAGCTTGATGAATTGAAACAAGAGAGAATGGGGAAAGGCTGGGGTTGCTGCAATTGAGGGCTCAGAAGCGGTAGGCTCCGCCTTCATAAAGCGAGGGCGCCATCGCCTCACGACTGAGGTTGGGGTGGACAAAGGGCGGGCAGATTGAGGGAGAAGAAAAAAAAAAAAGAAGGGCGAGACAAGGCGAGGGGAGGGCGCAGAAGAGCCATACCTTTGTCAAGAAAAGATCAGTTGGGCCTGTTTTTGAAATCAAACAGGACCAGCTGGATGGTAGAAGAAAGAAGAGTCGCTCAAACAAAAAGACGTTGGAACGACAGGAGGATTGGGGATAGCAAGATCAACAAGAAAACTTCCAAAACACCTGAGGCGCAAGGAAGTCAAGCGAATTGATCTAAGAGAAAGGAAGGGGAGAAAGAGGAATTCGATCGCGATTATGTTGCGGTCGAAAAAGGGAACAAGAAAGGATTCTTGTCAGAAAGAGTTTTTCTTTTGATTTTTTTCGTGGGGTGGGAAGGAGGAGAATATGGTTGGAGGGAGGGAGAGGTGGGAGGAGATATCGAATTGGTTGGGGGAGGAATAAAAAAAAGTCAAGGTGGGTTTAGGGAGGTAGGTTTTTTTGGAGAATTTTCCGGGTTTTTTGTTCTTTTTTAAAATAAAAAAGTTGGCCGAGAACAGAGAACAAGTACGAAGAAACCGTACTCCTAATCTGAATCTCGATTTTTGAATTTTTTTATTTTATGGGAAACTGGAGAGTTGTGATAACTTGGGCTGTAGGCTTGGAAGGAAGAAGGAAAAATCAAAAAGTCAAGGAGAAGCACCAGATGGAGATTTTACACCTCCCTCACCTTTTTTTTTTCTTTTTGTTTTTCCTTTCTTTTTCTTTTTTTCGCCCTGGCCCCGGCACTAGGGAAACCACTAGGGAAACGAAGAAAAATAAAAAGTTCTCCCCTTGGTCTTTTTCCCTGTGCTCTCCCACTTCCCATTGGCCCTTTCCCAATACGGAGAGTTTCCTCGTCCAGTCTGATGGTGATGGTGGAGCTCGGTCAAGTGTGTCGCTCCTGCCATTGACCCCAACGCCTTGCCCTCATTGGGTACTCTATACATTGGAATCCAGCTAAAGATTTCAATTCTCCATGTCACATATACACCTCTCCAGGCATCCCTGGAAGGGGCCTTTGTGGCACTCACTCCACACCAAATCAACCTCTTGATCGCACTTGCTCAGAAAAAAATTCATAGTCCCAGTGCAATCTCCAGGGCAGAGGGAGGCAGGCACACCTGACCCCCTTAGCATGATCAACTCATTTCCAGAACTTGGGAAAATAAATGGCAGGGAACAGGGAAGGAGATGTGGCCCTTTGGCCAACCCTGCCTCTTCTCTTTCCCAGAGAAGCAATAGATCAATGGATGAGATGACTGTCATTCCATCTCTTGAAGGAGAAGAAGAAAGGAAGAAGTTTCTAGCCTTTTCTCAGCCTTCCCAAGGCCTTCTCAAAGCCTTCTCCAAGGCCCTCTGCTAATCTCCCAATTGATTGGTGCTCTCTTTCAAGAAAGAAGGTGACAAGGGGCGAATAAAGAAAGAACCCCAAGTAGCATCACAAGATAAAGAACTACTTAGGCCGGGTGCACACACACACAGGCATTGTGGCTCTCCTTCATGAGGCTTGACATAGCTTCCACCTTTCACAGGCATTTTGTTTTTCCTTTGAATACTTGTAGAAATAAAGAACCAACTCCGGGGAGGGTTCGTTTTAATCTGAGAAGCTCACAACCACATTCTTCTAACATATGCATGCTTGGTCTCTTCAAGTCCCCTCACCTTTGTCTAATCATACAAAATCATTGAATCTATCATCATGGAATCGAAACAAAGAAAGAGGGAAGGAATGGAAAGAGAGAGAGAGAGAGAAAAAAATGAAATGAAACCCCTTCAATGCTGGGACAATAGGCTTCCTCGGGAATTGAACTGTAATAAAATAAAGATAGGCGAGGGGAAGAAACAAGTAAAGCAAAAAGAGGAAAGAAAAAAGAAGAAAAAGAGTTCATCTAACTCAAATCAAAACCCGCACCAGACGAAATGGCTAGGAGCAGCTTCTCCTCAACACCTTTTCGCTCCGGTACAGCGGCAGCTTCAAGAGGTTAATACACGTGCTCGCGCTCGGCAGCCGGTCCTCCGCGGACCCCCGTCTCGGATGGAGAAGAGCGGGCTGAGCTGCGTGAACCCGAGGAGCGGCGCGCGCGGCGTCGACGTGACAAACTTGAGCACGTCGCGCCGCTGCTCGTCCGAGAAGCCCTCCATGACCCGCCAAAACAGCTGCACGGTCTCGTGCTCCTGTCCGTCGTCCCCAATCACATAGAGACCCCGTAGACGGTGTTGCGCCGCAGGTCTGCCACGTCAATCGCCTTGAGTCGCCGCCCACCAGCCGCTGCATCTCGGCCCGGTTAAACATGGACAGCCATGACGGATCGATGATGGACCGCAACCCCGGATGAAGGCGTTGGTCTGCAGCGCCGGCTGCACCGCCAACCGGTGCTTGGCCACCGATGAGATAAAGAGGAGCCGGTTCTCGTTGGTGACCCTCAGCTCGTCGCCGCCCTTGACCAGGTTGCGCGTCAGCGTGAACTTGTCGCGGTTGGGGCCGAATGACGCCTCGTCGTCCACGGTAAAGTACATGTCCCACGCCGACACATCCCCGGCTTCGTTTTTAAGCGACATCAGGCCCTTGTAAAGCTCCTCGTCTAGGTCCCGCAGGTCGTTGACCGTGCCGCGGTACCGGTTCAGGTCCGACGAGGCGCGCCAGTTCATCAAGAAAAACCGGCAAAAGCAATGTCGATCAGGATCCCCTCGTAGATGCACTTGCCAACCAGGCGACCGAGAAACTCGTACTGCTGGATCACCCGCCGGCTCTCCTTCTCGTACTCTTCCCGATCCTCTGCGGACGAGGCCCGATCACGCTTCTCGCGGAACCAGTCCATGACCGAAGGGTTGGGGTAGTACAGCCCTTCTGCGTTGCGAGTAAACCACGAACTCTCCTCCGCAAACGCGTCACTAATGGCGGACATGAGGAACTCTTTGGTGACGCCGCCGCCGTCAATGCCCGCTTCCACCTCGCCGAACCGATCGTAAAAAGTAATGTAAATGGGCTCCTTCAACCCTTCGGCCAGGGGTAGAATTGGTCAAACGCGTCGTCCAGCACGCGGTTCCTGCGGATATCCGCGCTATGCTTCCCAAGGCGGTCCATTCCAAGCTCACTACCTCGCAGACTAAGCCGCCACTGGTCGGCATCGACGAAACCGCCTCTACGCCTCAGTTTGTCCAGGTGGATGAATTGCTTGAACACCATTGCCCTCGTCTCAAACGGGATGACAAACGGCATATGCTTGAGAATTTCCAGCTTCGGTCCAATGGTCGCCAGGTAGCGCTCCCTCTGCTTCTTTTCAAACTCGCGGACCTGGTGCAGCCTCATATGTTGCCGCGCGTGATTCGGCGAGGAGAACCTCTGCATCGGCTCGTCCGCGTACTCGTCGTCCTCGTTGTCGGATTCCTCGTCTTCCTCCTGCTGCCTCTGCAGCTCGGTTACTGCATCCGCTATAAAGCCGCCCATGTTAAATCTCGACGTCATGAGCCAGTGGTCGGCGGGGAGGAATCGGAGCCGCGAGTCTCGTTCGTAAACCAGCTGCATCGCGGATGTAATGATGTTCTTAATCCCATCAAGGTCTAGCGGGTTCGATGCAGCGGCAGCGGTCCGCGAGCGGTCCGCGTCTGTCGACGTCCCTGTACGGCTACGCGAGGGCCCGGCAGAAGGGGCGATGGAACTTATGTCATGATATAGCGCAAAGGAGAAGTTTTTAAGGAAGACGCTAAGACCCTTGACGTCGTCGAGGGAAAGGCAGCACGTCTGGATACGGGAAGTGGTGCGCGCCAAGGGTTTGATGCCGCCCATGAAATCGTCGTCATCGGCTAATCGTAGCACGAATACGTACAAGTCCAAGAACAAAGAAGGACGCGCCACTCTGCATCCCCATCGAGAGCGGCACCCTGCGTCGCCTGCTCAGAAACGTAGGTCTTGAGCATCCGCGTCGGTGCTTGCGGATCAGACTTTCCTTTCTGATAGACGGTTGTGCTCGTGACCGCATCCCAGAGCCATTTGACTGCCGGCACAACGCCGCGGGGGAGCGGAGATCGCTAAGATAAAAGCGCATGCGGATGGTATCGCTCTGGTCGGGGAAACATTGGAGGAGGGTCAAGAGATAGCCACTCAATACGTTGACCGTCCTCGCCGTCCCAGAGGCCTCGGGCTGCCTATTTTACTCTCCGTATCAGTACGTGTCGGACCATCATATATCAGAAAAGGGCTAAGTTAATACATACTCGGACAGTTGGCCCAGCAAGTGCTTTATGGATTCAGTGCTGACAAGAGACTGCAGCTGCGCCTTGACGTATTCGGGCAGAGGCCCAACCTGGGCGCTCGCCTCTTCCGTCGCGTTTTCCAGGGCATCCTCGTGGCTGCCTCCTGCTACCATGCGTTGGCCAATCTCTTTACCGTAACTAGAGAGAAGCCAGTAAATGGGCGTGAGCAGTACCTCGGTCCGGTAGCCGCTAGCGCCCGCGGAGAGCTGGACAAAGTGTGCGAGCAACCAAAGCGGGCCGTCGCCCGAGGAAAACTCCTTGGGCGGTGTATGTGAGTCTGCAATGATTGCGTTGGCAAGGCGCTCGATATCGAGGGAGATTAGAAATTCGGTGCAGTCGCTCTCGAACAGTGCCAGGTTCGGGGAGGAGAGGAAGGAGAAGATGAAGGCTCGATAGACGTTTGTTGAGAGGGTTGTACCTGCTGGGGAGTCTGTTTTGGCGCAAAGTTAGCATCCGACGATCGCTCTGTATTATGTATCCGATGTACATGATGAATGTGATTGGTAGGGCAGGGTCTCGGAGGTGCAGGGGAACATGACTTACCCTGTAGCTGCTTCACCGTCTTTAGAGGCGCCAAGGATGCCTTCACAACAGCCGAGTTCTCGGCTCGCGAAAGCTGCGACTCGGACGAGAGCCTAGCCATAAGCGCGTAGAACCTAGCAGGCTTATCGCCACTAAGCGCCGCGGCGGGAAAGCCGGGACCAGGGCGGCGAGGATGTCGAGCTGGGCCGCCGCATGCGGGTGCGAGCTCGAGAGCCCCGTCTTCTTGAGCACATCGAGCAAGTGGTCGAAGAAGCGGGCGAGGTGAGACGACGACAGCTTCGACAGCGACGCCACCACGCCCGCCGTCGTCAGGTCATCGGAGAGCTGGGCGAGCCGCCCGACATCCTCCTGGTTGTCGGACTTGAAGGACAGCACGAGGTGGGGAACGCACGCCTCACCCTCTTCACCGCCGTGTCGACGGCGACATCATCACCACCGCTCACAGCGGGTGCGTTTTGAGAGGTGCACTGGTAGATGTCGTCGAACCGGGCGCGATGGAGCTCCCGCGCCCTCGCCCTCGCCACACTTCCTCGGTAGACCCGCTGCAGGGTCCTGGCAGCCTGCAACTTTTCCCTCTCCCGCTGGCGCTGCTGGCGGTCGGCCTGGGCCTTGTACACGGTCCGGTTCGGGTCTCCGGGCTTGGTCCACGACGTGGAAGCAAAGGGGTTGGGGTTGCTAGGTTGACCGCTGAGGTTGACGTTGCGGGGACGGCGGGAGGAGCCGGTGAAGGACTGGAAGTTCATGGCGCATATCTCTTTTTCCCTCCCCGTTTGATAAAAGGAGAGGAAGAAGAGTCCCAAGAATGAAACCAGGGGCTTTAAAACTCCCGTCTCGTTGGTTTAATGTTTTTTTCCTCTCTATATCTTGTCGAGGAGTCGTCCCGGCCGGAAGAGGGGAGAGCAGGGAAGAGCCAGCGAGGATCGGCGGGGCGGTCGGCGGTCGGCGGTTTTGATATGGCTCAAGTCGGCAAAGGGTTCGGTTCCAAAGGGAGGGGAGAGGATAAGGAGAGAGAGAGAAGGGGGTGGGGAAGAAGGAGGAGTAGGGGAGAAAGGCTGCGGGTTGGAGTGAAGGTGAGAGGAAGTTTGTCGCAGCTATCTTTGCTCCTCTCCGGCTTAAGCTTTGAGGTGGGTGTGGCTGGAACAGCTACGGCGGGTTTGGAGATGGAAAGTGCCCCGCCCCGCACCACAATTACTTCATTACTCTATACGGGACGTCAGCGAGAAGCACGGAATTACCACACAGTGTTGTTACTCGTTTGCGCCTTCTCGCACCTCGAAATCTCGGAGTTAACCAATTTCTGAGCAATAGACCCAAGCTATATTTTCCCTTTTTTCTCTTTTTCCCCTTGTGTTATTCTAGCAAGGAAATTTCAACAACGAGGATATTGCCGAGTTGTGAAACTCGACATCGATACAAGGATGAAAGCGAGGGATATTGATCGGGTTAGGCTCAAGAATTGGGTGGAAAATGGTGGAAGTCCAGGGACCTTTGACGGTGGCGACAGCACTACCTCCCCTTCTCGTCCGCGCGTTGGTAATAGAACTAATTGATGCAGCTCCAACGAAATCATGGGTGACAAATGCCATGCGCGCTGGGCGAGTTTATCATTCCTCACATTCGCAGACGGGAACTTTGAAAACAAGAGTACAATTGGGTCAAACTTGCGAAAGCTTGCTGCAAGCTTCCTCGGCCATGATCGGATCGAGCCTGGGACACGCGCGCCCATGCAAGCAGCCTTTGATCAATGGACCAGGTGCTTAACTCCCCCATCCATAAGAAATTCTAGATGCTTAAAAATACACTCCAACCGGGGCACCTGCCATCCATGACGAAGCGTTGGCTGGCCTAATTCCACTTTTAGGCTTCGATTTCCAAGCACATACGCCTCGTACACTCTGCCCAATTCCCTCATTGATAATCGAGGCGCAAGAGATGTGGCTTCCTTTCTCTCAGATCGAGAATCATTTGTCCAAAGAGCCCGTTGACCCAAGCGAACCTGCCAATCCAAGATTAGAACTAGAACTCCTTCTGCAAGATTGTGTGTGCCCCCTTATTTTTCCTGTCCTTTCACTACTTTGTTCTTATTTTTCCTCTGGCACGCCAGCCGGGCTCGGTCGTGAAATGACACGGGGAACTTTGAACAGGAGTACTCACCAGGATCTCGTCCACCTATGCTGGTCATGGGAATGTATGGACTCGTGCATAAGGCCGAGGTTATCTGTCGATGATAGCAATTGTTTGATGCCCACTTCAATCTCGTAGTCGTTATCAGAGGTCAGGAGCTGCACAATTAGGGCCATGGGCCACGCCATCCCCGGTCCGATATGAGGCCCTCCCGTGGCGTTGAGGACGGGGCCGTACATGTAGTACGGATTCTCGGTGCTAAGGACAAATTTTCGAGTGTTGAGGTAGACCGGGTCTTTCATGTCTAGGTAGCCGAGCATCGGTATGCTCAGCAGGCTCGGTATGTTGGCGTCGTCCTTTTTGGCGGTGGGGGTTAGGTGTTAGCCTACATGACACTGTGTATGATGCTAGTTGGTCCGCTTACCATGAGATATCGGCCTCCGTACCCGTCCACCTCGTACGCGTACATCTCGCCAAACTCGGGATGCTTGAACTTGCCGTACCTCTCCACACCAGCCCTAACAACGCCGGCAAATCCACTCATCTTAGTGGCGAGGTCCGGATCAATCTCCTGCATGATGTCGGCGCAAGCGGCCATGTACCGCGAGAACATCATGTTGGCGGGGATGAAGAGCTGAAAGGTACAAGCATCGTCCGAGGGTCGGAAGAAGCTCCTGATCAGACCGGTGTTGCTCTTGACGGGGCCCCCGCGCCGTCGTTGGACATGGTCTCGGACGCCTTGTTGCTCTTGCGCTCAAACATGTAGGGCGACTTGTTGATGGAGCCGTCCGAGGCGTAGGTCCCCGCGAGCAGGGCCGACGCGGCGTCCATGATGACGCCAATGGTGTCGCGCCACCGCGAGTCCCGGAAAAAGGCCAAATCATCGGTGCGGCTGTGGTAATCGTGCGAGAGCTGCAGGAACGCGGCGAGCGAGTCGAGCTCGTACTTGCACTCAAAGACAATGTCCCTGGAGAAGCGCGGGACGACGAAATCGGATGTGACCCCGCCGTTGTACTCGTTTGCTAGACTTGACTCGTCGGGGGCTGGAAGGCGTTGCAGTGCGGGGACTGGCGGATGTAGCGGCCCTGGAGGTTGATGGCGCCGCGGAAGAGGGAGGCGAGGGAGTCCGGGGACGGGTCCGGTTTGAGGAGGGGTTTGTAGCTCTGGAGCTGGTTGGCGCTATCGCGGAGCCACATGGCGTTGATGTCGCCGGTGCGCACAAACGTCAACTAGGGAAAGAGGCGCGAGAAAAGGGCAAAGTGTCAGTGAACGCAGGGCCGGGATATAGCAAGAGCAATAGGACAGCGTTTTGAGGGCGCCGCGAGGGGTATGTCGAGGAAAGACACCAAAGGGCAGCAGGCGCCATCTCGAGTGAAAGGCAGGGAACAGGCGGAAGAAGACTCTCGATATAACATCGTCTTCGCATAGGGGAGATGGGGAGCTCCAACTCACCTCTTCATTGGGATCTTCACTACCAAACCCCTTCCACGAGATAGTCGTGTCGAGCGTGTTAGGAAAAGTATTTTCAAAGAGCCGAAACAAGTCCGGATCGACAATCTCCTTTCTCATCTGCTCGATAACCTCCTCAACGACCGTCGAGTTGAAAGTCCGACAACGCGGCTCCGGTCGCTGATAGGGAAGCGCGTGCTTGCCCTCGGAGAAGGGCTCATGGGCCATCCCTGAGGTGGTATCATATTTCTGGCAATCGGTAGGAAGCGTCGCGGCCGCCAAAGCAACCCAGAGGAGGGAGACGAGGGGAGGGGCAAGTGTTGTCGAGGCAGCGGTGACATGGCGAGTCGTGCGGCTGGTGCTGCCCACTCTGCCGTGGCACTTTTTTTTTTTTCTTCTCCTTTGTGCTTCTCTGTGAAGGGGGCCAAGCCGGAGCTCGAAGATATGCTCTATAGGGACTTTGGTAGTGGACTGGCACTTGGTCCCGCGAGGAGATATTCTTCTAGAAAGCGTTCTGCCTTGGGTTCTTGGAGCCGCGATCCTTGAGGCAACGAGCGAGAGCACTACTTTTTTCTTCTCCTATCTTGGGTTCTTCAGAGATAGCCCGGTCGTAGCCTTCTCACTACACTGGGCATTTCGCGTTGCCGATAAGGACAGCTATTCCAGTCCCTTCTACGAATCGATACCCTGGTGGGGAGCTATCGGTAGAGTGCCCCAGAGAGGGCACTTGATATATATTAACACGCCATGCGACGGCGGTTGCATTTATCCAAGCAACCTGTTATATAGGTGCAGCATAATAAACCTACCCTCCAGCGCCCAACGAATCCAAGGTACACTGTTTCAAGTATTCATTTAAAATTGTGGATCGCAAAAGCTGACCTGAACTCGCGTGGAAGTTTTGGGCGTTGAAGGAGGAGAGCGTTGGAAAGAATCCTCGCGAAGGAAATTACTTGAAGCTTGAAGAAGCAAGCGTCAACTGAACCCAATGTTTCGTATCATGTCGTTGCGTTGAGACGATGAGCCAAAAACAGGAACATAGAACACTTCAAGGTCCCCGAGGCGAGTTGACCTTTCGATGACGGCTTATATAACAATTGGGCTTGAGCTCTCTCGGCTGCACGGCCCCAACGACTCGGTGATCATTGACCATGGGTCATCAAACCCCTTGAACGCCACAGCCGTTATACTGGAGTTTGATCCTTGATTAGTGGAGCCAGTTATCGGCCGCTGCGCAATTCCCCGCATTCAACCCCCGTATCCCCTCGACTAGTGTCCTGGGAAGTTCGATGTTGAGGGTCAAGCAGCGAACGGCTGGTGATTGATAAAGCAGTTGATGGAGCTTGTGAGAGTGAGTCCGCCCTGGTTCCCAATTCAAGCCAACACTGAGGGCGTTTAACCCAATGATCTATCAAATGGATGCTTCTCATTTTGCCCATCCCATAAGGACAATCATGGGACATGCTCTCAAGACTGGACAAGACTCCAGACTTCCTCGGTGGTACGGAGGCCACGCCACACCCCTCACCTTGGCCAAGGACGGATATAGATTCAGCAACAGCACGAAGAATGCTTGATCCCAATTGATATCCATCCTTTCAGCGGTTCTCACGGGGTGCGACAGGACCCCTATCAGCCATGACTATATCAGTCAATAAACCAGAGGTCAATGTATCACTTGCCGAAGCATCCAGAGATGGCTAAGCGCATGGGGAGCTAGGGGCGCGCCAAACAAGAGCTACTATCAACCGCAGGCAAAATAATTGTCCGTGAACGTTGCATTGTATCCCTACAATTGGTCAAGGCCTCGCTAGCCTTAGTCTTGCATGCACATACTTCCAGGTTGTATTAGTGCATGTTGCATTTTTCTTTGGGTGCAGAAGAGGACTTTTATCAATCCGTCGCAAAGTACGAAGTAGTCAACCTGTTCTCATCTTTCTGGGGGCGGTTAAGGGGAACGGACGGCTTGGCAAAATAGAAAGAACAATCATCAAACCTGCAACCTCTCTTTCCTTGAATCCTTTCTCTTTTTCAAACGCGGTGAAGTAAAGTGTGAGTAACCTCGGCGGCCGACCCTGTCAAGCTAAACGCGACGGGCCTTTTTGTTCGTCTTTTTTATTCTTCTTCTTGTTTCTTGTGTTCCTTTTCTCTTCTCGTCTTCATTCTTGTCGCGCGTGTCCCCGCGATTGATGTCCTCCCCTTCCACCTGCTCTTGCCCTCGCGCTTGACCCTTAGAAGGGAGAGATCAAGAGACCCCAAGCTAGCTTGAAGAACAGAAGCAAGGCCAAGGACCGAAAGAGGTACGAGGGATCCATTAGAGGAGCGAAAGCGCAGCACCCAGAGGATCGCCACCCCCGCCGCTGGGGACCTTTCCCGGCCGCAACGCCAGAAATCCCCGATACCGAACCCGCGCTCCCCACCACCGTCTTTGCTTTTGAGATCCACATCAAAAGACAGCCTCCCTAACGGCGCCGTGAATGCCTAGCCCCTAAATCACACACACACCCCCACCGCGACTTACAAGTCCCCGGTCTGCGGAGAAGAAAGGAAAAAGCAAAACAACATTCTTCAGTGCCGTTTTCGGGGCCGAATCCCCGCCGCCCCCTACGCGGCCTTGTCTCAAATCCGGCAACCACTCTCCACCACGGGTGCGTGCGTGCGCGCGCCTTCGAGCTCCTGAGACATGGCGCTCTTCTCCATAGGCATGGACTTTGGCCGGCCTCTGCGGTTCGTCGTTCTCGTCGGTGCCTTTGTCTTTGCTCTCTTCTTTCTCCAGCCTGTGATCGAGGAGCGCTACTCCTGGTCTTGGCCTGTCGAATGGGCTACCGGAGATGGCTATCGGCCTGATATCCTGCAGTATATCAACCCGCTCATTGGGACGGTGAATGGAGGTGAGTTTTTTCTTCTTCTTTTTTTCTTTTTTTATTGCCTTCCTCTTTTCCTTTCTTAGAGCGAGGTGAAGGGTAGCCTTTGGAATACTTGTGAACTGTGCTGCCGTGATGTACTAACCGTGAACAAGGCCATGTCTTTCCCGGCCCAACCTATCCATACGGTATGTCTTCAAGTGTCCCTTTTTAGAAATGATTATACGACAGTGACATCTCTCTCTAACGAAGACGTAGGTATGGCGAAACCATGCCCGGATTCCATGATCCGTGGCGAGAACGCCGCCGGCTTCGTCTCCGACGCCTCGCCCATTGGCGGCTTCTCCCATATGCACGATTCCGGTACGTCAAGATCCCAAATATCCTACCCCTTACTGTACACAATCAACTAACATGACCTCCTTTTACCCTTTAGGAACCGGTGGCGTACGTACTCGTTTCTTTTCTTTCCCTTAAAAAAACGTCTCTTTTCGTAAACCCGCTTTCCCTACTACCCTCGAAACACGGCCCATCTAACACAAACGCGCAGAGCCCCTCCATGGGCAACTTCCCCTCTTCCCCCATCCAGGCTGCCCCGACGACGACTTCCAAAAATGCAACTTCACCCTCGGAAACCGCATGCTGCCCCGCGTCCCCGGCACCGCCGAGGCCCGCGTCGGCTACTTTGCCCTCAACCTCACCAACAACGTGCGCGCCGAAATCACCGCCTCCAAGCGCGCCTCCCTCTACCGCTTCACCTTCCCTACCGACCAAGACGACACCTCCGTGTCCCGCGGCGCCCGCGCGAACCCCCTCGGCCCCTCCTCCTCGTCGACCTCCAGGACCTCGGCCAGACCGCGCTCTCCTCCTCGTCCGGCTGCCAAGTGTACCCCGAGACGGGCCGCGTCATCGGCGAGGGCGCTTTTCTCCCTCTTTTGGCCGGGGCACCTACCACTCCTACTTCTGCGCCGACTTCCGGGGCGCCGCCGTCCGCCGCGCGGGCACTTTTATGGGCGAAGAAGCCCGCACCGACGTGACCCACCTCAACGCCGTGGAGCGCGGCTTTGCGAACCCTAGCGGCTCCGGCGGCGCGTGGGTTCAGTTCGACCCGCTTGCCGCCGGCGGCAACGGGCAGATCCTCGCCCGCGTTGGTCTGAGCTTCATCTCGGTCGACCAGGCGTGCGCCAACGCCGAGCGCGAGCTCCCGATTTCGATTTTGACGGCGCCGTGCGCGACGTGGAGATGGCGTGGAGCGAGAAGCTGGGCGTCATCGAGCTCGAGACAAAGGGCGTGCACCCGGACATGCAGACCATCTTCTGGTCCGGCCTGTACAGGTCCATGCTATCGCCCCAAAACTACACGGGCGAGAACCAGCTGTGGGAATCGACCGAGCCCTACTTTGACTCCTTTTACTGCATTTGGGACTCGTTCCGGGCGCAGCACCCTTTACTCACCATCATGGACCCGGCTGCCCAGACCGAGATGGTCAGGGCGCTGCTCGACATTTACAGGCACGAGGAAAGCTTCCCGACTGTCGGATGAGCTTCAGCAAGGGTTTCACGCAGGGCGGCTCCAACGCCGACGTTGTCATTACCGACGCCTATATCAAGGGCATCACGGACGGGATCGATTGGAAGACGGCGTACGAGGCGGTCATCTCCGACGCCGAGGGTGAGTAACAATATTTACTGTTTTTTTCTTCTTCCTTTTGTCAGTCATACTCACCCCCTTTTCCCTCCTAGACACACCGAAAGACTGGAGTCTCGAAGGCCGAGGCAACATTGAAAGCTGGGAGCAGTACGGCTACATCGCCGCCGACCACCGCGACAAGCGAGGCCACGGCCCGCACAGCCGAACCGTCTCGCGCACGGTCGAGTACGCGTACGACGACTTCGCCATCGCCACGCTCGCCAAGGCCCTGGGCCACGAAGACGATTTCGCCAAGTACATGAACCGGAGCGGCTTCTGGCGCAACGTGTGGAACCCGGAGCAGGAGGACCTCTTCCATGACGAGCAAGGCGACGTGCACCGCACCAGCTTCAAGGGGTTCCCGCAGCCGCGCAACATGGACGGCACGTTCAAGTACCAGACCACGCGCATGTGCAGCCCCATCTTCGAGCCGCACAAGTGCTACTTTGACACGGCGCAGTCGACCTACGAGGGCTCCCCCTGGCTGTACAGCTTCTACGCTCCGCAGGACATGAGGGGCCTGATTGACGTGTTTGGCGGCCAGCGCACCTTTTTCGACCGGCTCGACTACTACCACAGCTCCGGCATCGCCGACATGGGCAACGAGCAGTCGTACCTGACCGTGTTCCAGTTCCATTACGCCGGGCGGCCCGGCCGCAGCTCCTACTGGGTCAACGAGTACATCCCCTCGCAGTTCAACGCCTCGGTCAACGGCATCCCTGGCAACGACGACTGCGCCATGGGCGCCTTCGCGGCCATGGCCATGATGGGCTTCTTCCCCGTGGCCGGCCAGTCCGTGTACCTGCTCACCGCGCCCTTCTTTCCCGAGATTCGCATCCGCTCCGGGGACCCGAAGCGCCCGGCCGTCATCCGCCGGACCATCGAGCCCGGGTCCGGCAGGCAGGGTCGCGCCATTTACGTGCGCCGGGCGACGCTCGACGGGGAGGCGTACACGAAGAATTGGATCTCGCACGACTTTTTGCAAAGGGCGGGGAGCTCGTCCTCGAGCTGGGGGACGAGGAGGGCGATTGGGGTACGAGAAACGAGGACTTGCCTCCTAGCTATCCGGCGGCGCAGAGCTGGATGGCGGGTATGGGAACGTGAGGAGGGCTTCGGCTAGATATTATATATATACCTTGGTAGGAAATGTATTATGATCCTTTTCTTTTTTTTTCCCTTTTTTCTTAGAAACATCCTCATAGGCCAGAACACAAGCAGAGGCGGGAATTAGGAAAGTTATGGAGCCTCTAGTGTCCTGTCAGAGAAGCGCATCTGGCTTACACGCCGGATGGCTTGATGCACATTACCCAATCGCATAGTCAAGATCAACTGGTGGGACGAGCTTCGTTCCTGTCCACCTGCATCATCCTGCCTGCACACCCTGCAACTTATCGGGAGAGCAAAGACGAAGAGAATGAGGAAGTGATCGCCCTCTCCAGCTGTTGGGGAAATCCCCACGATCCAAAAGCCCGCTCCATCCAACCAAGTCGGGCAAGTAAAAGGGTTACCGCAAAACCAGTCTACCTTGCCACACTGGAGTATGATGTCACCAACCACCAAATTTGAGAGGGGTATACTTCCAGATCCATGTCAAATGAGTTCTTCATATCTGAAAAGGCCCCAGAGCTGTATTATTACTGGTTACCATAGCTGTTTACCGGACTTGATAGGGCAGGTTGGTTTTGCGGTAACCGTTTTTCTTGCACGACTTGCCAACTAACGCTCCGTTGAGTCGAGTAGCGTGTAATAAAAATGGGGAAGTCTAGTGGGAAGCAAGGAAAAATGGAGCAGCTCACGCATTCCCAAAAAGCTACAAGTACTAGCCATCATGCTTGGTTCTCATGGACCACACTTCGTAATAAAGGGATCCCCTTCGGAAAAGACTTTCGCATTTGGGGGAGTGGAGAGGAAATGGGCGAATCAGAGCTCTCGGATATCAAACGTCTGGGCCTGTGTCCTGCTTCGTACATTTCGTCAGGCGCAAAAATTCTTTCCTTCCTCTCGGTGTGCGTACGATACAGTTTATTCTCATGAGTCACACAGTATCCGTCACATGCCACTGGTGGCAGCATCATCAGCCAAAAAACCAGAAAAACCCAGTGTCCAACCCTCCGTGTGTGTACAGTGTGAATTGGGAACCGGCTTCTTTCGGCAGACGAGGAACCCTTGCTCAATCCTTGGGGAAGCCAATTGTGAGCGAGAAAAATAACAGAAACCCCTCCAGAAGGGAAAAAGAAGGTGACAGGTGCGTGGGATGGAAAAAACCAAGGGCGAATTTTTGTATGACTTCATCGGCGTAGGTGGTCCTTCTTGAGCCGAGGACCCTAGGTACAACCAACACCGAGCGCCCGCCTTAATTCCACCACCGAGCTTACAGCCCACTTGGGAAGGCGCTTGGTGTTTGACTTGTCAAATCATCATCGTCGTCAGAGTTTAGAGCTATGATCCTCTAGGTCAATTCCTTCTTCCCTTCTCTCTTCAGTCTGCAATTGGATCATCTTAAAGGGATTCGTGGTGGGACACACTAAACACCTTGAGCTTTTTTTTTCCCCTTCCCTTCCTGGACTTCTCTATCTGCGTAGCATTTTCTTTCACTCACATAGTGCTCTCCCTCCCTCTCTATCTCTTGCTCTGCGCGACCCCCCTCCCCCTTCCACTTCCCTCCTCCCCTCACATTCTAAGCTCTTTACTCTTCACCTCTAATCCCAAGAGCCATCTTGACTCACAATGGCTTCGCGAGCTCCCTTGCGGTGCCTCGCCAGGCCCTCCCGCCATCTAACACAACGGGCTGCCCGCCAGAGCCTCAACTCCCTCCGCGCGAGCAGCACCGGCATCCGTCCCGCGACGGCCCTCCGCGCTTCATTCCCCCTCGCCACAGCTCGCCGCAACCTCTCCACCTCGAGACCCCGGCGGAACGATGAAGAGGGAGAAGCGGAAGAAGCCTTCGACCCCTCGTCCATCGAGCGCGAGGCCGACCAGGTGGATGTGTGCATAGTGGGCGGAGGCCCCGCGGGCTCTCCGCCGCTATCCGTCTAAAGCAGCTGGCCAACGAGGCGGGCAACGAGGACTTTCGGGTGCTGCTGCTAGAAAAGGCGGGCGAGATCGGGGCGCACATCATGTCGGGCGCCGTAATACAACCGACCGCCATCGAGGAGCTCTTCCCGGATTGGCTCGACGAGGATAACCCCAATAGGTTCGAGTTCGCGACCCCGGCCGGCGCCGACCACATGAAGTTCCTCACCAAAACCATGTCGATTCCCCTCCCCACGCCGCCCCAGATGCATAACCACGGAAACTACATTGTCAGCTTGAACCAGGTGACCAAGTGGCTGGGCGAGCGGGCCGAGGAGCTCGGCGTCGAAATCTACCCCGGCTTCGCCGCCGCCGAGGTCCTCTACACCCAGGATGGCACCGTCATGGGCGTGGCCACCAACGATATGGGCCTCGCCAGGGACGGCCAGCCCAAGGACTCGTTTGAGAGGGGCATGGAGTTCCACGCCAGGGTCACGCTCTTTGGCGAGGGCTGCCACGGCAGCTTGACGAAGCAGGTCATCAACAAGTTTGACCTGCGGCGCGACTCGCAGCACCAGACTTACGCCTTGGGCATCAAGGAGGTCTGGGAGGTGCAGCCGGAGAAGTTCAAGAAGGGCGACATTACCCATTCCATGGGCTACCCCTTACCCAAAGACGTCTACGGCGGCGCCTTCATGTACCACTTTGGTGACAACCTCGTCACCCTCGGCCTTGTTGTCGCGCTCGACTACGAGAACCCCTGGCTCTCGCCGTACCAGGAGTTCCAAAAGATGAAGCAGCACCCCATCTACCGAGATGTTCTCGAGGGTGGCAAGTGCATCTCGTACGGCGCCAGGGCGCTCGTCGAGGGCGGCCTCCAATCCATTCCCAAGGTCATCTTCCCCGGCGGCGCCCTCGTGGGCGACTCGGCCGGCTTCATGAACGTCCCCAAGGTCAAGGGCACTCACAACGCCATGAAGTCGGGCATCCTGGCCGGCGAGGCCACCTACTCGGCCCTTACCGACGGCGACGAGAGCGGCGTCTACCTCTTCCAGTACGAGGACGCGCTCAAGAAGTCGAGCATCTGGAAGGAGCTCAACGAGGTCCGCAACATCCGCCCGTCCTTCCACACCCCGCTCGGCCTCTACGGCGGCATCGCCTACTCGGGCCTCGAGGCCCTGATTCTCAAGGGCAGGGTTCCCTGGACCCTCAACCACAAGAAGCCCGACTACGCCGCGACGAAGCCGGCCGACAAGTTCCCCAAGATCGAGTACGAGAAGCCGGACGGCAAAATCACCTTTGACATCCTCACGAGCGTGTCTAGGACGGGGACGAACCACGAGGAGGACCAGCCCGTCCACCTCCAGGTCAAGGATTGGGACGCGCACGCCCAGGCGGCCTACCCCTCGTTCCAGGGGCTGGAGGCGCGGTTCTGCCCCGCCGGCGTGTACGAATATGTCGAGGACGAGTCCAAGGAGCTCGGTGTCCGGTTCCAGATCAACTCGCAAAAGTAAGTTCGTTATCTATATATCTCCACGACGCAGTCCTGTCCAAAACATTTACCCCAGCCTTGCCTTGAAACTGCCCAGCCGCCGCGAAGAGTGGGAACAGGGGGCTATGGCGCGGCTATTGAACCCTAAAACACGCGAAAGGCGTACTCTTTACTTTTCCCTTTGTTTTTTTCTTTCTTTTTCTCCCATACACTTCTGGTTCCCTCTCCATCCCCAGACAGGGCTGGGGAATAAGCAATATTTTACGCGTAAGTGCAATGGCTAACGTGGCGTTTTCCCTCCTACTTTTAGTTGTATCCACTGCAAGACATGCGATATCAAGGCCCCTCAGCAAGATATCAACTGGACTGTGCCTCAGGGAGGCGAGGGCCCCAAGTATTACCTGACATAGATCATGGGACGGCCTTGAAGACATCGAGGGAGACAGAGAAGAAGAAGAAGAAGAAGAAGAAGAAGAAGAAGAAGAAGAAGAAATAAAAGACAAGAAACAAAAACACGTTGCAAACATATGCGAAACGAATCAAGATCTCGCTCTTCCACAACAAAACAAGAGTGATTGAGATCGAAAAGACTACACATAAAGACTAGATAGAACTGATGCGGATGGTGGGTGTTGGGCATTCATGTACACTTTGACGCGCGGTTGGATTTTTCCCCTTTGTTCTCAATCTTTCTTTCATCCTGTCCATCTCGCAAATATATCGGTCTCTCGCATTTGCTTTGTTTCACCATCGTCTCTCTGACCTCGGATCTCACTCACCATCGGTCTCTCTCGCTGTGTTCGGATTTCTCTTGGGAGGGAAGGGTATCGTTTCGGCGTTTTTACTTTGTACTCATTCATATAGATGTGTAAGTCGTCGCTATCGGCGCGTGGTCAAAGGCAACGTAGTGCAAATGCAAATGCAGATCGTTCTCGTTCTTCCTTTTTTCTTTTTGTTTCCAAGTCTAGTCCCCCCCTCTCTCTCTCTCGCGAAGGGTTCATGCCTCTTTTCCTTATCATCACTTTCGTTTCTTTTTCCACCCTTGACCCATCCCATCGTCCGTCTTCTTTGCCTTTTCCCATCCCATCTGCTTAGTTTTTCTTTTTCGCAGCCCCCTAGGTGCCTCGTTGCTCAAGGCGGGAACCTAGAGAGAAAGAAATAGCCAAGAGGTTGGCGCCAAGAAGAGCGTCGTGAGGCTGGATAGAACTTTGGACAAGACAGAAACCACGCGCAGCGGGCATCGTATAGTTCGGGAAGGGGGAAAAGATGATCCAAAAGAATGTTGCAAATGATCCTCGTTTGTGATCCTGCGCATTGCCCGATAATTTTTGGTATTCACGACATTTCCACGAGGCCACGTTTACTACGAATAAGAGGAAGAAAAGATAGGTTCAGGCCATGCCTGGGGGCCAAAAAGGAATTTGATAGAAGAGGTGCGCGTGTTCAGACTCGAGTCTAACACAAAGTCTTTGGCGAGGACAAAGGAGCCGGATTTGGATGATCCCGGAACCCCGTTGTTGGGGAATGCGCCGAGCATGATATTTCCCTTCTTTTCCCTTTTCCATTTTTTTCTTCTTTTTTCTTCTTCTTCGCCCTTTGCGCGCAAACGTCCAAACTCGAGCTAAACCGATGGACAGTTGAAGATGATTCTTTTAGGAGGGTAATTTTTCAAAGATAATTACGACAAGGCTGCGGACAGATTGCGACCTTCAAACGTCACATGTTCGCCAGAGGAGCTTGAAGGTTCAATTAGGAAAGAGCTTCGCAACCAAATTTCGAGGAGAAAAAAATAGATTTCCGCTTTCGGTCATCGAAACACAGAAGGAGCAAGGGGTGGGCAAAATTCGTCCTCCATGTGGCCAGAAAAAAAGAAAATTAGAAAGGAAAAAAAGAGATAAAATCATAAGGCACCTTTGTGCCTCTCAAAGGTCAAGAGGTCGCGTCGAACGAGTTCTCTCTCTTTCAACTTGATGCATCGGACTGGTAGTTTCTTGTCTTTCGGGGCCGATGTTGACGAAGAATATGAACTCTGAACCCGCGACATCTTGCGCTGGCGAGCTGATGCTCGATGGATCACGGTACGCACAATGCACGGATCCTGCGACACAACGGCAAGGGATTGTTCACAATTTGTGTCAGACGTACTACTGTTTTCAGTGCAGCTGAGATGGGGATAAAAATTTGTGCTTGCTGACATGGGCCGTGATTCACGATTGATCTTCCCGTGCCCATTCACTCCGTGAGTTTTCCTTTCTTTTTCCTTTCCTCATTCTCTTCTCTCTCATTTTGGGGGCATTTTTCTGAGTTGGATAGAGGGAGCTATTCAAACGGCCAACGTTTCCAGCAAGGCACGGGCGCAACTCACAGAAGCCGGGCTGGCATGTGCAAAGGGTGGACGCTGGCCAGCTTGTGCGACATTCAAACGGGCAGTACAATGCAATACGGAGAGAAAGGGGGTTGGCACCAGAAAAACAGAGGATCAAGTTCACAGCGTGCTCTGGGAGGCTGCATGATTCAGTGGGTCTGCTCTGGTGGAGCTTGAACGGCTTAGGATGGGTAAAGCCCAGAGAAGACAGATTCTGGTCCAGGGTTCAACGAAATGAGCGAAAATTGTTAGTGCGGTACCTCCAATAAAGTCAAGGAAAGCAACCAGCCTCCCTGGTAAGGATGGGGCGGGCGAGCAACCTGCCCCATGGCAACAGAGATCAAGGGAGGTAGGGGTGATCCTGAGCGCGTTTTCCAAGGTCGGGGGCTACACGATACGAAATGAGATCCACATGGACTCCCCGAGGATAGGATGCGACGTGGAGATGATGGACAAGACGGCGCCGCGGCCTCCTGGAGTGGTTCAAGAGACAATCCGGCTTTGGCCATGGACAGAAAAATTGCTGTTCATCATGGCATGTTTTCATGAGGCCCCGAAAATGTCGGGCAAAAGCGAGCATGTCTGGAAATGGGAAAAAAAGAAAGGGGAAAAAGAAAAAGAAAAGAAAAACCGGGAAATGTAGGCAGGCAGCAGTATCAAGTCGGCTGGGCCAAACGAGGCGGAGCGAAGTGGTACTTGAGGGACGAGGTCCGCGCAACCCCGGGCGTTATTGGATGAAAAGCAACCGTCGGCTAGTGCTCCGAGGTTCTGCCAGCAGAGTTTTCCGCAACTGTCATTGGTTCATACCGAGTGACGTGCCCGCGGAATCCCCATGAGTCATAGCTTGAAAGGAAACTGGCGAAACTCGCCAGAGGCAGCCTGGTCCAAGTTCTGGCGCCGCGGGAAGGGGGAAATTAACAAGCTTTACGCACCACCAGACAAAAGAAATCGGTCGAATCCGAGGGAAACTCTGTTTGCGTTGCAAGAAGAGGGGCGAATGAGGTCAGTTCGATCTCCCCGACTGGTCAGCGAGAAAGAGAGGGGTGAATCAGAATCGAGTTGTCGTCGTCGCGGTCGTCCATGGTGTAGGATGAAGATAGGATCGAGAAAAGAGCGAAATGAGCGAAAGGGAGAAGGGGATGAAAAAGTTGAGGTTGCAGGAAAGCATATCATCGAGCGCGGATGATCAAGAAGAAAGCATCAAGAAAGGGGCTCGCGACGTGTTTCAAAGCAGAATGGAAAGGGGGGAAGAGAGAAAAAAAAGGGGGGAAGGGGGTCGCAACGGAGGTGTGGGTTGGTATCAAAAATAAAAGTGGAGGGGGCATGAGAGCTCTCACAGCGACTGGTGGCGGCCAAATGCGACTGTGGCTGGGGTGTCCGGTTGCGTGCCCGGCAGGACGCGACAAGTCCTTTGCAAACGGAGGGAAAAGGGAGGGAAAAGGGAGGGAAAAAAAAAAAAAAAAAAAACTTCTCTCAGTTGGGGCTAGGTGAGGACGAGAGGTGTCGAGAACCCGCTGTCGGCCACTATCGGTTCTTGCTGAAATGGGTATTTTGAATAGCCAGAGCGGCTCATTTGGCCTTATCTCTGTCGTTCATGCCAATAAGCTCAATATCGGAGGGATTGAGGGGAAGGTCGAAGAGGCTGGGAAGGAAGAATGAAAATGATGAGGGGATTTCATTTTCTGAATCGAAAATCGGAGAGGCAATTGCCGTCATTCAAGTGGATGATTTGATCGATGTTAGGGTGAATGGGAGGAAGTTGTTGTGCAAAAGGTGAGCGTGAACTTGAAGCAACCGAGAGGGCCGAAGACGGCAGCGGGAAAAGCAGCAAGCACGATGGGAAAAGAAAACCTAAGGAGAAGAAAAATTCAAGTACGAGAGTACCTATCAAAGCATCTTGATACGACATCATAAAACGGACCAAGGTCTTATCGTTTCGCTGCACACAGACCAAAGAGAAAGAAAGAAAAATCAGCACCAAGCGAGAGGGTGTAGTGATACAAGCCCGCTGGTATGGCGGTACTTGTGGGTATGCAGGGGGACCGCTTGGTGGGATCAGTGGGAAATGGACGGAATGGGCGGTTTTCATTGGTCGATCAAGTGATAGCCCGGGCCACTAAGGGTAGGCTGGACCCAGCGCAAAATTGCCACTGGTTCTGTTGCCCCAGGAGTCACTGCCCAAGGCAGCCGGCTTGTCCAAAATTATAAGTAGTCCAGCCCCCCTCAATCTTTCTGTTTCGAAAGTCTTGCGCGGAAGTACCGACTGACAGGCCCTACGTAGTATCCCATACGTTTGGCCCTTACAACCACATTTCATCATCTTAATAATCATTTTCTTTTTTCCGATTCACCTGTCTCCCTCACCACACACCCTCCAAGACCACACATCGGTTTTAATTCTGGGGCCAGCGACACCATCTCGCCTATCGCCATCTTCCATTTCGGCATCCCCTCATCATCACGCCGATTCCTCCAACCCCTAAAAATTTCCAAAGCGGTGCAGAGTTGATTCCTTGACTGGAATTTCTCATCTAAAGCGCACTGCGCCCGAGCGAGGTTCATCCGTGGAACAACCCCCTCATCTCACACACACTCTCCACCTACATTCTCTTCAAACTTGCACAAAGGTTTCTCCATCAGGATCAAGAGAAGACAGCTCATCTTCCTCTTCCTCGAGATAAGGACCAAAAACACAAGAAAAAAAAAAGAGCAATTTAGCACTTTTCGACGACGAAGCGGTGATATCACCATTGCAGGGCAACGCCTTCGAACAGGGACAGGAAAGAAAGCTGGAACACGTTTCCTTCTCCTCCCCGCCGACCCCCGTCGTCATCCTTAAAAGCGTCAATTAAGGACCGGTTGCGCAGCGGTGATTCTTTGCGGACGCTTTTTGAGTCCAGCGAGAGCGAGACGGTCGAGCTACCCACAAGAGACAGTCGCCCATCGTCCTCCTCATCAACCCCGCCCCGGTCTTTGCGCATTTCGTAAAGATCAGTAGACTTGTCGCGCTGAACAAGAGAACCAAGTGAGCTGGTTGCGCCGTCCCTCTGCGCCCTGCCCTTTCTCCTCGAACCATCGCGAGATCACTTCCCTGTCCGAAGAGAGATATCCATCCACCTCTACCGAAGGAGGTCCTCGATTCATCTCGGAAGCCCACGTCTTCTTGAACAACCGCTGTAGGGGAGACATTGACTTGTTTATCTCCCATTTCGGTAGGCATTTCACTTTCTTTTCTGTCGCATTTCATCCGTCCTTTTTAAACTGTTCTGCATGTGATATCCCAATCGGAAGGCGCGATGTTTCTTCCTTGCGCTGGGCCAAGCCTAATTGATTCATCATCTTCATTGTTGTCCCCTCTCCTTGCCACCTTGCTCAAGCCCTGTTGATGACTGGAGCAAGCTGTGGGCTGGTGATCACTTTTTTTCCCTTGTTTTTCTTTCTTTTTCTCTTCTCTCTTTTCCCACCCTTAAAATCATCCTCCACCTCAAACCGTCCACGGTCTTGACCTTCCTTGACGTGATTGAAGCTGGGGCTCGCACATTGGTTGGCAGATATGCGACCCATTCAAATTCGAAAGGCGGCGTTGCTAATCAAATGACATGCTAGGTCTGTTCTATTTCGTCTTCGAAGCAACAGTCTAGAACGTTGCTTCGGCCTCTAAGCTCCAACATATCCAACATGGAGACGATTCAGACTCACCCCTCCACCGCCGCGCAGGCGAAGGGCTTCATGGAGCCAGGCTCGTTCGCTTTCCCCAACAGCCAGCACGTCGTTAATGGCGCCCCTGTCGATTTGAAGAACAACGGCCAGCTCCCCGTCGTCAATGGAGCGCAGCAAACCAACGGAACGAACGGAAACGCAGTTGCCCCGGCCACTCCCGCCGCGACGCCCGCTACTAACCCTGGTGCCAGCGGTCTTACGCCCACACTTCAGTATGTGAACGCCTGCGGTGCTTAGCATACCTGTGCGTTCATGTTTTGATACTTACAAAATGGCTCTTAGGAACATTGTCGCCACTGTCAATCTTGACTGCAGACTGTAAGACTCCCCACTCGTTCAGCTCTACGTCACGATCACTTCTAACTTGCTGGCTTATAGTGATCTGAAGACCATTGCTCTGCATGCCCGCAATGCGGAGTACAACCCTAAGGTACAGCACACCTGGTTCTGGGAATCATGAATGCTGTCCATGGATTGTGCAATTTGTGCTAACATGAATGCTTCCCCAGCGTTTTGCTGCTGTCATCATGCGTATCCGTGAGCCCAAAACGACAGCTCTCATCTTCGCCTCAGGCAAGATGGTCGTGACTGGTGCCAAGTCGGAGGATGACTCGAAGCTCGCCAGCCGAAAATATGCCCGTATCATTCAGAAGCTTGGGTTCAACTCCAAGTTTACCGACTTCAAGATCCAGAACATTGTCGGCTCGTGCGATATCAAGTTCCCCATCAGACTCGAGGGTTTGGCTTCGCGCCATCACAATTTCAGTTCTTACGAACCTGAATTGTTCCCCGGTCTGATTTACCGCATGATCAAGGTTCGTTGGAATCAGTCCAATCTTCGTCCTTTTCTTTTTTCCTCCCCCATCGCTAACCGGTGACTTTTGCTGTAGCCTAAAATCGTGCTTCTCATCTTCGTCAGTGGCAAGATTGTGCTCACTGGTGCCAAGGTTCGAGAGGAGATCTACCAGGCCTTCGAAATGATCTACCCTGTGCTCCAAGGTATGCTCCGGCCCCTTTGCCATCTTGGCTTCAAACCCCTCTCGAATGACGGGGTACTGACTTTTCGCGCGCAGATTTCCGCAAAGTTTAAACGCTCGACGCAGCGAGCGCGACATTGCCGGAAAGCTTTTCGAGCCACACGTCACACGACCTAAGCGACAACAACACTTCCCAAGCCTTGACGTCCTTTTCGTCGACTTGTCGACTCGAGTATTTGTTTTCTGTACGATTAGAATTATCATTACGATACCACGACTGCGTTGTGACCCTCGTTGGCCTCTTTGGGCGACCCGAGTTTGGCAAACGAGTTGCGTCATCTGTAACACCCTCGCGTTTTCCCCCTCAAAATGGCTCTGTTTTTTATTTCAGTTTTATCATGCATTGCAGCGGCGTTGGCAAAGGAGGCAGTTCCCTAATCAAGAAGAAAAAACTTGGTTGAGGGCGGTATTCATTTGGTTTGCCAAACTTTTTTGTTGTTTTCGTCTTGTCTTGTTCTGCGTCGTTCGTTGCGATATCTTTTGCTTTTTTGTTTTTCTTCAAGAAAGGGGGAGGCGGAAACAGAAGGGTTCTCTTTTTTCCCACAGCATCTCATAGATTTGCTTGTGTTGTGGAGTCGGTTGCCACAAGCCATGATGAGCGTCATGACGGACCGAACAAGAGGAGAGCACGATGGATCCGATGGACTCACGTATCGTGGGATTCTAGATGGGCGGAAAACTGCACCGAATCTCGCTGGCCTGAGCGACAAGATTTTCTCTCTTGAGCTCCGAAGCGGATCTGTACGCAGAAACAGAATTAGAAGAAGAGGAAGAGTGGAAAGACGCCGTTTAAGCAACATGCCTTGGACTGGCTATTATTTATCTGTCCGACTTGACGCAGCCGTTAGGCTGCGCAAGGCGGCGATGCGTAATCCGAGCATTTGTACATTCGCTCGCGGTTGCGAGCAAGTAGCTGCTAGTTAAATGACGTTTATTTCTGCTCCAAAAATGATGCTTGTTTCTCGTGTTGTGTGTGCTCATTGGACAAAGCTATAAACCCAAAGCCGTACGCACAAAAGCTCACTCCCCGCGTACGGTCCTGCGCCTTGTGCCTTTGGGGTAGATAGGACATTGACGATGTTCCTCACGTTTCCTGTCACTCTCGCCCTAAGTCCTTGCATGTTTTACTGACGCCATCCCCCGGCCATTTGCACCATTTGCACCATTTGCACCATGAATAGGGCCTACTTGAAACTCGTTTCATACCTAGTTCCCATGTTCGAGTCGGCGCCTCTCTCTTTTCACGGCTGAAGCGGATAGACAATGGGCTAGGGAGAAGGATAGGGCGGCGGGTGCGTGTGGGGAGTGTGTCTGTGGGTAGTTGTAAGGAAGCGGGGGAACACAACCCAGCGTCTGCATGATATGTGGTTCGTAAGTACTTGTGCTAGGCACTCCCACCTTCTCCTCTCCTACTCCGTTTTCCCATAAGCCTTTCGCCGACTAACCCGAGTGGTTTTGTGGATCGAAAAGCCGTCCTTTTTTTTTTTTTGGTTTGTGTCACCACCCCGCAGCCTACACACCGCACACGTTGCCCCTCTCTCGAAGCTGTAGCATTCGATCCCATTCGACGGCGCAAACCATGTCTGACGAGACCACCACGCAGGCCAAGGGGCCCCACCCCATTCCATCCTCCATTCTCATTGTGGGCAGCGGCGCGTTTGGGCTTTCCACGGCGTGGGCGCTCGCGACGCGGCCGGATTTCGCCGCCACGCGCATCACGCTTGTGGACAGGGTGACGAGCCTCAAGGATGGCGACCTACCGAGCAGCGACGCCGCGAGCATGGATTCGTCGCGCATCGTCAGGGCCGACTACGCGGATGCGCTGTACGCCCGGCTGGGCGTGGAGGCGCAAAAGGCGTGGAGGGGAGTTCGGCGAGGACGGGCGGTATTCGGAGAGCGGGCTCCTCGTCGTCGGGGAGGAAGGGTCCAAGGGGATGGCGTACGTGCGGGGTAGCCTGGCCAACGTGATGGACATTGCCAAGGAGCAAGGGTACGCGGACCGGATCGTGGAGGTGGGGACGGGGGAGGAGCTCCGGGCGTTGCTGGGCACGGCGGAGAAACCGGGCGACTGGGGGTATCTGAACAAGACGTCGGGCTGGGCGGACGCGACCCGGGGCATGGAGTGGGTGCTGGAAAAGGTCAAGGCCACGGGGAGGGTCGAGTTCGTCAGCGGGACGGTGGAGAGGCTCGTGCGGGACGACGCGGCGGGGCGGGTGACGGGGTGAAGCTGCAGGATGGCGCCGTGCTGGAGGCGGACTTGGTAGTTGTGGCGGCGGGCGCGTGGACGGGCGGGCTGGTGGACCTGCGGGGCCTGGTGACGGCGACGGGCCACGTGCTCGCGTACATGGACCTGTCGGACGAAGAGCAGGCGGCGCTCGCTGACATGCCTGTGGTGCTCAACCTCGGGTCGGGCTTGTTCGTGATCCCGCCGCGGAATAATGTGCTCAAGGCCGCGAGGCACGCGTTTGGGTACCTGAACCCGGTCGACCTCCCCGCGGCGAAGTTGCTGCCGAAAGAGGTGCCCCAAGAGACGGACGGCCGTGCGGAAGATGGTACCGGTGCTGCTGGCCGCGATGGCGATGATGGCCCTGGTTCCACGATACGGATTTCCGCGCCTAGGACCGCGGTTGACGCGGAGTCGATAGGCCTGCCCTTGGAGGCGGAGACGGATCTGCGCCGCTCACTTCGGCAGTTCATCCCCGTCGAAGCCTTGCACGACAGGCCGTTTACCTCGTCCCGGATCTGCTGGTACTCGGACACGCCCGACGGCGATTTCCTCGTGGATTATCACCCGGCGTGGAAAGGCGTGTTTGTGGCGACGGGGACAGTGGGCACGCGTACAAGTTCCTGCCTGTGCTCGGCGGCAAGATTGTCGACTGCATCGCGGGCCGGGGCGACGAGGCCGTGAGGCGAAAGTGGCGATGGAGGGAGGGCAAGGTGTCCGTTGTGGAGGGTATCGCGGCCGTCGTCACGGAGGATGGGAGCCGTGGGGGCAGCCCGGGGAAGATTCTGGAGAGGGAATTGGCAAGGACGGAGTAGGTGCGTTGATACTGCGCGTTGCACTACTTGCTGTGATAAGAATTGTGAATTTATATTATTTCTCAGACTTGTGATTCCTTTGTAGAGCTATAGAGCTGTCCACCTCCCTTCGAGTTGTGATAATCTTTGTTGGTTAGAATCTTTAAGAGTGCTGACCCTTTCCATGGCCTTGTAACATGTAATGAATCAAATATATCGTTTACGACTGTAGAAAACGCGATCCATGGCATATACTCCTTTTTCTATCCTTTGTGGACCGTAAAGCTGGTGCTGGTAGCTCTTGCCTCCAAGTTGATATTCATGTGCAAGGTGTATCCTTATAACCATATAGTGGCATCTGCACTGTTGCACAGACCAAGGATGACCACTGCAAGCCTTGTCTCTCAGCCTTTTTCTCGTTGATTTCCACCACGACACGAATAACCGCAAAAAGAGCCACCGAAGCTTTGGACCAGGCGCTTGCCTTTTTATGGGGTGCCATTTTCTCGTTTCCCCAGAAGAAAAAAGCGGGCGCGAATCATGTCTTTCCGAAAACCGCCCGGCGAGGGCTTCACGAATTCCGATCCCAAGCTCCAAAAGCCCTCTCGAAAATCCGCCTTCGAGAAGCAAAAGGCCGAAGCCGAGGCCAAGCGCGCGCGCGAGGCCGCCGAAACCGCGGCGGTATTCGAGGATTTCGTCAAGAGTTTTGATAATGACGCCGGGGGCGGCGATTCCCACGGGGACGGTTCCAGCAGCAGGGAGGTGGCAGGGGCGGTGTTTTTGGTGGGGCCAGGCCTGGCGGGGCAAGCCCCCGTTGTCGGAGGCGGCGCAGCTTCGAGGCGGCACTTTGTGCAGTCTGGCTCGGCGCTGAAGAGCGGGCCTGGGTCGTTGGGTCCCGCCCCTCCGGCCTTTGGCAAGAAGAGGGCGTTTGACGCCTACCAAAAGGACGGGGCTGGCAGGCCGTGGGATAAGGGCGATCGGGGGTGCTGGGATACGAAGACGAGGGGACGGCCCCGACGAAATCGATTGCGAAAGTGTTCAACGCGAGCGATGACGAGGAAGAGGCGGAGGGCAGTTCGAGGAAGGAGGAGGACATGGTGGCAAAGCCGACATTGCAGCTCGCGCAGCTGCCTCCCGGAATCTCTCCCGCGGCTGTCAAGGCGCTGGTCCCCAGTAGCTTGACCGTGGAGGGCGTCAAGATATTGCCTAGCGCCATGAAGGCGGCTACGGAAAGGAAGTCTACCGTGGCTATCGTCACTCTCTCGCAGGAAACGCCAGCGGCGGACATTGACGCCGTCGTGACGCAGCTGCAAAACCGCTATCTAGGGTTCGGCTACTATCTCTCCATCCACCGCCACCTATCGTCGGCCGTGACGGCTTCTACGGCGACCTCGCTGATGAACACGTCATCTTCGGCGTCCCAGCCATTCGGCGCGAAGCCGATTTCGCTGGGAAACAACAATAGCCACGCACATCAAGGAGGGTTCCACCACCACCACCGCGGCTTCGCGCCGCCAACATCCTACGGGCCTTCCGGCGCGGTGAACCGGAGTGGTCTCATGCATGTGCCTGTTAACCCACCCCAGGACGTGAAAACTATACAGATGATCAACATGGTCATCGAGGGACTACTAGAACACGGCCCCGAGTTTGAGGCGCTGCTTATGTCACGGCCGGACGTGCAAAGGGAAGAGAAGTGGGCATGGCTTTGGAATGCGCGCGGAGAGGCTGGCGTGTGGTATCGATGGAAGTTGTGGCAAGTAGTCACGGGCACGGACCCGACGCCGGGGAGACAAAAATATTACCCGCTGTTTGAGGATAGTCACGCGTGGAAGGAGCCCAAGAAGGGCCTGCCTTTCGAGTACGCTGCCGAGCTGGACGAGCTCGTCTCCGACCCAGACTACAATTCGACGGATGACGAGGAATGGGAGAACGACGGAGACCGCGAACCACCGGGGAAGGAAGTCGAGAAGACGTTTCTCAACCCGCTGGAAAAAGCGAGACTTGCGCATCTCTTAGCACGGTTACCTACTACTCTATCACGGATACGCAAGGGAGATATCGCCAGGGTTACCGCCTTCGCCATTACCCATGCCAGCCGCGGCGCGGACGAGGTCGTGGACATGATTGTCGCCAACATTGACAAGCCCTTTTCCCAGACGGGAGCTAACCCGCAGAAGAAGTCGGGCGGTGGCAAAGACCGAGACTCGAGCCCCGAAGGCGAGGACGGCAAGGGCGGTGCCAACGAGAGCAACGATGACAGTGCGGCTAGGCTGGTCGGCCTCTACGTGATTAGCGACGTCTTGTCATCATCCTCGACGAGCGTCGTGCGCCACGCGTGGAGATTTCGGCAACTCTTTGAAACCGCGCTCAAGGATCACAAGACATTCGAGAAGCTGGGCATGATGCCCCACAAGAACCAATGGGGTCGTCTACGAGCGGACAAGTGGAAGCGCAGCGTGAACCTGGTGCTCAACTTGTGGGAGGGCTGGTGCGTCTTCACGGCCGAGAGCCAGGAGAGGTTTGTGCGCCACTTTGAGGAGCCGCCCGAGCTGCAGAACCTGCGAAAGGCGGAAGTTGCGCAGCCGGCGCAGGGCGGCAAGTGGAAGCCGGTCGATGCGCCCAGCGTCGCGGCGGATGCTGCGCCGCTCCCCGTGAGCAGGGAAGTCGAGGACGTGGAGGGCGAACCTATGGAGGAGGACGACGTGCCGGGGAGCCGATGGCTGACGATGATGACGACGTGGAGGGAGAACCGATGGTGGAAGATGACGTTGAAGGCGAGCCCATGAGCGAAGGAGAGGATGATGTCGAAGGGGCGCCCATGGACGAAGATGACGTAGATAGCGAAGCAAGGGCAACGACGGGACTAGGCCAACATCCGCCCAGACCCAAATCCCCGGATCCACGGCGGGGAGAGGGTGTTGTCGATGCATCCACTGTCGCGCCATCATCGAGACCGATGGGCCGGCCGAGAAATCGGATTAGAGCTGTGGACATGTTTGCCGACTCGGGCGAGTCGGACTAGTTTGGATGGACGCACACCCAATTCCAAAAAGAATATAAGAAACAAAAAACCACATATACACAAACACGCACCTTTGCCTAGGCCTTTCTTTTCCGAAAAAGGCTTGGGGGCCCATTATTTCTCTCATCTTCCCGCTATTGCATGGTCCATGGTCGGGAGCATGCTGCAAAGGCAGGGTCAGGTGGGATGGCTGATACCCTCCAGGGCCCTCCTTTCAGGTTACCACCCAATGCCAACAATGCCAATACAGAATATCATAGCTAATGCCAATGCAATTACCAACTTTTTCGGCGGGCTCCCCGCTTCCTTGGTACTCCTATGAGGCCATCCCGTCCGCCGCCCACCCCCTCTTCCCCACCCTTCACTCGCTGCTTCTGGGAATGTGGCCCAAGCTTGGCAACCAGAGCTATGGTCTAGATCAAGGAAAGGAGAGATGGTCACGACGGAGAGAAGCGGGGAGAGGCTCAAAGAAGGACGAGGAAAGAAGCGAAGTCACTGTATCCGAGTGCAAAGCGCCCTCATTCCGCTGTACTGTCAATTGGCTAGCCCTGGTCCAGATGAGGGGTGAACCCGATCCGACATACAATATTGACCCGTAGAGGGCTACCCGCGTCTGGAAAACGTGGGAGATCCCGGCGCGACGTTCCAATGGCCACAGGAAGTGCGCGGAAATGGGAAATGGGATGGCCTAGCTTGCTGACGATTCCAGGATCGTACTGGGGCCTGGAGCTGAGGGGAGGGGCCGGCCGGGCATGAACGACATGGGAGGGCTGGGACTGGCTGGCCCGAACTTGGCTAACCGTACATTTGTGGGAATGATTAATAACGAAAAGGCTCTCCCTCGAGCCGATGCGACTTGCCCTGGGCTGCCTAGGTTCTCATGGTGGGGGAAAGTGTATGATGGAGGGTATATGCTATACGCTCTACCCACTTCGTAGCCGGCGAAGGGTTCCCGTGAGCGCTCCACGAAATCGAAGCGTACTTTCACTATTACAACCGGGACTCTTGAAGGATCATTATCCAGCACTAGCCGATATATCACAAACCGGCCGTCATCGACCCCATTCGACCTGCGCGGTCAGCGTCCTTTTTCGAGACGCGTGCCTTTCCCAGCGGCCGCCTGGCTATCCGAACGGGGACCATTCTGCCGGATTCACTGTGCGTCCTGATTGAGAGAAAACGTGCGTTGCACCGCATGCCCGCAAGCCGCAAGAGCAATCAATATATGGTTCTCATGTTATTCGCTGCCCTGCCTGGTGGAGTGATATACTTTGTTCGTACTCCGCGTCCCCTTGCCCTTTGACGATTGACACCTACAAGGCCCGAGTACGATACGGTTGATCCTCAGTCGCTAGCTGCCTCTACGAGAGAGCAAGAGGTAGAGAAGCCCGTTTCAGCTTCTACAAGTACCAATGGAAAGCTTTTCTAAAGAATATTATTAGGACTCCGATTATTTGTGGCCCCTTTGTTGAGCGTTTCCTCTTGTTTGTACTTGATGTTTGGTTCGACTTGATCTGACTAACACGGTCCGTCGTTGGGGAAGGAGGGAAGGAGGGATGGAGGGAAAGGGGGGGCGTTGGAATTTGGCCAATGAAAACTTGCTCACTTGTGCCTGGAGTTTTGGGGGTAGGAAATAGAATGCGAGATGGGATTTTCCTTCCCCAAGTCCCAAGTCTCTATCGCGCCTGGCCACACAAAATACTTCGTACACGTCTCACAAGCTAGCTCCCGCTCGGGTCGCTCTTGTTCAAAGTTGCCCAAAGAACTCGGCCGGCTTGAAGGGCTGGAAGAGGGTTGGGAAAAGAGCGCTTGGGATCTGCACCGTGCTTTGGGGTGTCAGTAGACACGCAATTTTGGATATAAGTACGAAAGTAGTACGGAGCAACAGTCGCACTGGGGTTTCGTCAAAGTTTGGCGCAAGCTGGTTGCTTCCGTTTTTAGACGCCTCTCGAGGACCTTGAAGCAAGGATCCATAGATCAATGGACTCGGGTTGTATGCTGTATGCTGTATGTACACATGGGACGTCAGCCGAAGCAAGGTAACTCGCGGTCCCCTTCCATTGATCTTCATCATTTAGAAGTTGACTGGAGGGCCGTTCGAGAATAGTCATGTGGCTTCCGCACCTTCTTGAATTGCACTAAAATGGACCTGAGACACCCGGAAGCTGCGCGCTAGTTTGCAGGTACATCAATTGACTTTTCTTTTACACGATACCTTGACCCGGAAAGTAGTCTTAATCGTTTTCCAGTTTGTCGGTGCTCAGACTCGAGATTCTCAAAGAGAGATCGGTCTCTCTGAGGCGACAGTCAAAACCTGGCACTGTAGCGCACTCTCGGCGATCTGGGTGAAAGACAAGCGAGGCATCGGCCGTCTGCACTGGGCCGTCAACGCCACGAACAGGGACCCCTCTCGGGGATCGCGTAATTCTAGGTGGGGAGTGGGAGAGCCGGCCGACCCAGTTGGGAACTTGCCATTTGTCCAAGGCTTGGTCGTCACGCCGCGGGAGCTGGGGGACGGCCCAGGGTTAACCCCCACTCGACTCAATGCTGGTGTCGCCCTCTGTTGACGGCTTCTGGGGGATGGTCTCCAAAAGGGAAAGGGGCTCGAGGGGCAAAGGCCAGCGCGATACAATGCATTGTATGGACTGGGAGGTGACCAAGCCTAGTGTGGATTTGCTAGCCCCGGCACCAACAAGAAGGAAAAGGAAAAAAATTCCGTACGACGCCATGATAATCACTGGTGGCGAAGAGGTTATCGCCCAGGCCAGTGCGGCAGGCAATGCTCAGTGTGCTAGGCAGATGGTCCGTCCCCTCTTCTTTCCCAAGAGGTTGGAAGTCACCCTCAAGGTCAGCACGTCTTCTAACCATTACTAACGGTTGTTGGTATAACCCCACCATCAATGGCAAGGACCACACTATAGGACACTACATCGAGCTCTTTATGGTGCGGGCCCCATCGCCTTTGAGTCTCCATATTATTCGAGCCCTTCTCGTTCGACCCGGAAGATAGAGACGGTTCCGAGACTTGCCAATTCCAGATCGCGCAGCAACCCGCCCCCTCAATCCTTCCGTCAAGGAATCTGTTAAATCAAGAAGCATCGTCGAAAACAGCATTGATCGGATCTGGAAAGAATTGTCTTGTGTTCATCGCCGACCCTCATCAAGACTGAGCCGCTTGACCTTCGCAGCTAAACTTGATGACTTCCATGGAGATTTGTCACTGAATTCGCCCGGAAACCTTTTTTCCTTCGCTCCGCACACGCCCCTGGCTGACCCTTTGGGGGATAACTACTTCTCTCTTTCCTCATTCCTTTTTGCAGAGCGCCTCTATTGCCTTTGTGCTTTCTACTTCTCACCCCTTCCTTTTTATTCTTCTTGGTTTTCGGCTCGCCATACCAACATCTGTATTGTCGCTGTGCAGGCGACAGCACGTGGGTTGAGCACATTACAACTTGACGCACTCTCGCCGGGATTTGCGCAAGTTTTACCCATCCGCCGCCCGCCACCACCGAAAACTCTTTGTCCACTCCACAGCTCTCTAATTCGACTGACCCTGTGTCGCGTATCCAGTGCTGGACCGCGACCGTCCCTCTTCTCACATTTCCCACCTACTTGTTCGATCCCGGAGCCCACCGGAGCCTCTAGCGTTGACGGTTCGCCCCGGATCTCACTCGCCGAGGATTGGATTGGGTAGTGTCCCTGGCTTGATCCGACACTCCTCTGACGCACACTTTCCTTTTGACGTTTTCTTCCTTGCGGCTTCTGGGTCGTTCCCCTCCCCCACTTTTTCGACAGCAGAACGAAAGAGACAGCACAAGCTTAGGGGACACAACTTTGCAGGACAAGGTACCTCGACGAGCAAACAGCTGCTTTTTGCTGCTGATCCATCTGTTGCTTGGCCGTTTGATGTCTTGCCATTAGACCGTGTGCAAAGGTGAGGGCCGCGCCGCAACTCGACGCGCCGAACCGAACGACCGGGGCTTGTGCACTCGTGCTCTCGTGCTGCTTTGTTCCTGCGACATACCGGTGCTCCCCACAGGGACGTATCTGCCCGTGAGCTGCGTCTCGTGTCCTTCTGGATCTCCTCCTCCTCCTAGCTATCCGACCCATGTAGCCTAGTGGTGTCTAGAGGATCTCTTATCCCCAATCATGCCGATCATCAACGGCCAAAAGATGGCCTGGTGAGTCTTCTTCTCTCCGCAGGCCCTTGCCCGCCCAAACCCCGAATCCTCCTCCTGCCCGCCCCTGGTATACCTGCCATCTTCTCTTCTTTTAGAGAGGGTGGCTTGATCTCAATCTCATGTTTTGCTTTTCCTCTACAATGTGTCCACTCGGGGAGCTGCTGCGCTCTCTGCAAAACCTTGGGGACGGGCATTACCATAACTCCCTAGGTATAGGGCGCGATGGACGCCGGCAACCACCGAAAGGGCCGATTTGCTTGATGACTTGCCCTCCTACTAACATGCCTTGTCCTGTGTAGCGAGCCCTGCATTCGCGGCCATCGCTCGACGAAATGTAATCACGCGAACGAACGACTGATGGTGCCTGTCCGAAAACCAGGAAGGCCACTCAGTCTATGTCCCCATCCTCCCTCTCGCCCGTGCGGCTGCGCCGGCGTGACCGCCGCTATCCCCGGAAACAGAAATGCCGATGCGGCCCCTCCAAGACTCCCACCGCAAAGGACGACCCTCTCCCAAGCTTCAGTCGCCGTCTCCAAGCGACACGCCGCCGAAATCACCCGCGCGGACGAACTCGGCGTCGGGGACTTTTCGCGTACAGAAACCGCCGAAGCCACCAAGCCGCAAGGCATCGATAGACCCCGCCAGCCTTGATCGAATAGATCCGAGCCAAGTGAACATCATGCCATCTCTAGGCGCCCGTAACCCCTACAGTCCCCCAACGGAAACCCCGCGATACATGCGATACCAAACCTGCCCGACGCACAGTACGGACATATCCACGTGCCCAGTCCTCACGGCCAGGGCGTGATGAACCCGATGATGTATCCCATCTTTCCTCACCAGATGGCACCTCCAGTCTCGGGCCACACTATGGCATCCATCCCTGCCGAAGAACACGCTAGCTCGCTGTCCAATGACGCGCTGTTGGGCGGCCACAGCAGGAACAATAGCCACGGACCGGGTATTCACAAGAGGACCGGGTCAGGTGCTAATGGAAATGGGGTGCAAAAGAAGGGAAGCTGTTGTGGATCATCCTCATCCGCCGCCGCACAAGCACCCTCGATACCTAGTCTCGATCCGACCCAGGCACCGCATATTCCACAGCCCAGCCCCGGCATGGTTATTCCCGGAGTGGGGCATCAGGGCCAGCCATTTTCTCATTTTTATCCTCATCCTACAGTATTTACTTACCCGCCGCACTACGGCTCCTACCTCCAACCGCTGCTCCCAGAGCTCTGGAAGCAGGCGATGGATTCTATGATGGCGCAAGGACTCGCGAATACCGACCACATGCCCTCGCCAAACTTCAACTATATGGCCGCGGCCGGCCCCAGCACCCCACGCTCGGAACCTCTCATATCTGCACTTGCGGCGATGGCTGCCAGTGCGTCGGCTGCGCTGCTCACCCGTACAACGATGCGACGCAAAACTATGTCAAGTCTGCCTGGAACATGATGATGGACGATACTTGGGCGAACGGCGTCAACTCGCCCATAACTCCGCATGCGCCGCCGCAGGTCAAGCGAGACCTACATCGAACGAACGGCACCCATGCTGCCCCGATGAAGCAAGAGGGGGCAAGCTGTTGTGGCGGTAACGGGAACGCATCATCGTCGGCAAGCCCCATCCTTCCGCCGCAGATGGAAGCGGCCGGGAGCAACGGGGCGGCGCTGGGAATTGGGCCCCAGCAACAAGCACGCTGCCGGGTGCCACATCCCCCAAGGCATCTCCGACACCTCAAACACCAGCCTCGGACACCACGACGGGAACAAACGACGAGCAAATACTCTCAGCCAACGATTTCTTCTTTGTCACGTACCCTCTCACAGACTCTTGCGTTGGAGACACGGCGTCTTGCCCATGTGGCGATGACTGCCAGTGTCTTGGCTGTGTGGTGCACGGTAATGCACCAGGTACAGATCCGACAGTGGCTCTGGGGATATAGATATGGGGGATCTGGCAGTGGAGGGTGAATATTTGCCTCGAAGCAGATTGGATTGATCAATTCCTCCCCTCTATTCAACCCTACCTACAGTGGCAGCAGCCAAGGTGGAGGAAAGAAAAAGGAAATGAGAGGGTGATTTTGCCCGTTCTTTCTCTTTCTTTTTCTCTTCTCTCTTTTTCTCTCTAGAGTCCATGGAGCTTTTTGGGCACGATTAACCTGTATGGCCTACGCTTATTTCTTTTGGCGTCTGTCAACCATGACCACGAAGACGAAACTCTTGATTCATGAACGTGATACCCCTCCCCTTTTTCAAACCAGGAGCTTAGCGGAGGCTCAAAATGGAAACCAGGAATGGGCGGCGAGCCTTTTTTATATTTTTTTACCTCTATTTCTTATTTTCTTTGGGGCTGTAGCTGAGCGGCCATGGGAGTACTAGGATTAGCATATATATAGAGATTCTAGCCCTTGGATATGGAATTATGGGGCATGCCAGCGGCTACATGCCTATCATCATCATCATCGTCATTCTCCCCTCCTCTTCCTCCTTCTTCTTTCTTCTTCTTCACCATAAAATAAATGGTTGCGAATCCATTCGATGTGCTGCCGGCAAGTGTTTAGACTGAAAGAAAGATTTATTGCTATAAAGGGGTGCTGAGGTTCTATTGCTGTAGACACAACAGAGGTCAACAGCTGCCGGCGCGTCCACGGTGGACCCAAGGAGGTGCTTCAATGTTGCCTTTAGCTGGCTCAATATTAGATTATTACCGAACTTGTCACACCCACACACCCACACACCCCAAGCAGCCCTGCATGCACCTCTGCCTTGCTCAAGAGAGAGGGAATGATCAATGATGAATTAAAAAACAGAGTCTGTTCGTCATAGAGTTCCACCAACCTATTCATTATTTAGGATCGAGCATTCCTACCCTGTTTCAAGTTTTGGAGCTGAACCAAACCCCCAAATTTCACCCCAATTTTTCCTGCTCTCTCTTTTTATTCCCAAACCACTCTACCCAACAGTCATCGCGCCATGGAGTCTCCACGTAGCCAGAAGCGGCGATCTCCCACCAACAGGGACCACCACCGTCCGAGACATGATAGCGGCCGAACGAGACACAGATCACCGCGGCCCCGCAGGGACGACGACGAGGAGGGGAGGAGACACCACGCGGCCCCCGCGGATGACGGACAGGGGCGACGAGAGGGGTCGCGGGAGCGACGGCGGCCGCGGCCGCAGCTCGTGGAGCGGATGAGCTCGGAGCGGTCGAAGCGGAAGAGGTCTCCGCGGGGTGATCGGGAGGAGGACCGCGGGGCGGAGAGGAGGCGGAGGAGGGAAGGAGGGGGCGAAGCGAGGAAGGTAGCGCAACCGCCGTCGTCGCCGGCGGTGAAGGAACTGCCGCTGGGGGCGCGGATGCTGGTCAAGGGGGATTTCGAGGCGTTTCGGCCGCTCCTGGCGTATTACCTGCGCATACAGAAGCAGAGGGACGCGAGTAGGATGGACGAGCGGGAGCTGAGGGGTCGGTGGAAGAGTTTTATGAGCAAGTGGAATGTGGGGAGTTGGCGGAGGGGTGGTATGATCCGAGTATTTGGGAGGCGGCGAGGGTGGCGGAGCGTGAGGGGTTTGGGGATGATGATGATGAAGGGGAGCTGGAGGAGGAGGAGGAGCGGGGGAGGGTGGAAGGGCGAGGGGAGGGGAGGGTCGTATGGGTATGGGCGTGGTGGGGATGATGATGATGCTGTTGGGAGGGAGCGCAGCTATGATGAAGGGAGACGCCGATCGACGGACGACTTTGACGACAAACGTGGCGGCAACAACAACAACAACAACAACAACAACAACAACAACAACAGCAATAGACGCACTGGCGCGGGCTCGGACTCGGACTCGGACATTGGCCCGGCGCCGCCGCCTTCGTACTTTGGAGGGACAGGCAGCAACGTGCGGCACACGGCGGCGACGCCGGGCCTCGAGGACCTCAAGCTACGGGACGAGCTCGTGGCGGAGGAGTCGGCGCAAGAGCGGGCGGACCGGGTGTCGCAGATTCGACAGGCGCGCAAAGAGGACCGGCGGGAGCAAAAGGAGCGTCTGGAGGAGCTGGTGCCGCGGGCGGATCCGGGCAGCCGGGAGCGCAAGCTCGAGAAGAAGCGGGAGGTGAATGACAAGATGCGGGAGTTCCGGGAGCGGTCGCCGGGGGCGGAGGTGGACGAGGGGACGCTGATGGGGGCCGGGGAGGAAGGGTCGCTGGAGGCGGCGAAGAAGGCGCGGGAGGGCCAGGAGAAGAAGAAGTCGGAGAGGGAGGCGCGGCGGGAGGAGATTTGGAGGGCGAGGATGGCGGAGAGGGAGGAGAGGGTGCGGGAGTATAAGGAGAGGGAGGAGGGGACGATTGAGATGTTGAAGGAGTTGGCGAGGAGTTCGGGGCGGTCGGCGATTTGAGGGGGAGGTAGTTGCGAGGAGGGAAAGCTCCCCACGTTTTTACTTGTTATTTTCTAGAGATACGGGTATTATGACCAAGTAGTTATTTTGTTCTTGTTGCCCGGAATTCCTCTTTCGTTGACTCTACATAGACCAGCGACTTATGAGCCTACGCTCCGAGTCAGCGGCGGTGCGAGGCAAAATTTACCCCACTTGAAGCAACCTTTTTCTCTTCCAAAAAAAAAAAAAAAAGGCTTGGAAATTTCATCACTCATCCTCAAAACACACCCGCTACCTCGCAAATCGGCAACCCTTACGCGCCAGCAAGGGTTTTACTTGATCTCTGCCTCTACTACGCTATCTTACTCCTCGCCTGCTTCTTTTCCTGAGAGAACGAAGCGCGACGGGAAGATCATTCTGGGATCCTCTTGCGCGTATAAGTCTCTCACCTACGTTAAAGGACAACCCCACTTTCCCCTACGACTTTTGCCTACACGCGTGAGTCCGAGTCGCTCGAGGCAGAGACAGAAGCCGAATCTTAGAGGGGAAAAAACGAAGAAGGAGAAGACGAGAAAAAAAAGTGAACAGGGCCCGGTGTTCGCCTGCTGTTTTTCCCCCTCTTTTGTCTTTCTATATATATAAAACAGAGCTCCAGAGGAAAAACTATGGAGGACGATCCTTCTACCGGCGGTCTCTTTGCCGACCCGGACGGCTTCTACCCTCCGACGCCACCGCCAAGACCGGTCTCGTACACGCTGCAGAGCGGGCAAGAGCTGAGGATGCATCTCGTGGGCCAGCCGTCGCTGGAAGCGAACCACCTGTGGAACGGGGCGCGGGCGGTCTCGAAGCTCTTCGAGAGCGACCCGTCGCTGGTGGCGGGGCGGACGGTGCTGGAGCTGGGCGCGGGCGCGGGCTTGCCGTCGCTGGTGTGCGGGGTGCTGGGGTGCCGGCGGGCGGTGCTGACGGATTACCCGGACGTGGACATCGTGGCCAACATGCAGTCCAACGTGGACGCGCTGGAGGAGACGGTTGAGGAGACGCGGGGCCGGGTCAAGGTCCGGGGCTACGTGTGGGGGCGGACCCGGCGCCGCTGCTCGCGGAGCTGGAGGGGGTTGGACGTGGAAGCGGGCGCGGGCGCGGGCGAGGGGTTCGACGTGCTGGTGCTGGCGGACCTGCTGTTCCGGCACTCGGAGCACGGCAACATGGTCAAGTCGATCAAGGCGACGCTGAAGCGGGACAAGGGGAGCGTGGCGTACGTCGTGTTTACGTCGTACCGGCCGTGGCTCAAGGATAAGGACCTCGCGTTCTTTGACATGGCGCGGGGAAGGGTTCGTGGTGGAGAAGATTCTGGAGGAGAAGCTGGATAAGCCGCTGTTTGAGAACGATCCGGGGGATGTCGAGGTGCAGAAGACGGTGACGGGGTGGACGGTGAAGTGGGGGAGGAGGCGCTTGGAGGGAAGAACTGAGTCTTTTGTCCCTTTTTTTTTTTTGCTCCTTGCGTGGTCGGCTAGGGCAAGGAGGTGAGGAGGAGTGGGTTTTTATGTTTTAGGGGTTCTTTGGGATCATGAGGAGAATGGTGGCGGCGAGGTGGTCAGGAAGGAAAACAATGGAAATGGAAAGGAAGGAAGAAAAAGTGTGGCATCTACGGATCAATCTCTGGTGGTGGAAGAGGAGAAGGCATCTCGAGATTTTATAGAGGTGAAGAGAAGAGCAGGAAGGTGCATCAATCAAAGAGTTCGTAACGCAGACGAGGACCTCGAAGGCATGCGCTCTTAGGTTTGGAGTTTTGAAGATACAAGCTACTATTTCTAGGGAAAATGAAGCGATCCAGTCCTCTCAGACGCACCATTGACGTGAACATTAGTATTCATGATCCGGGGAGGACCTTGATTCGAAGCTCGGGACCAGGCCTAAGGGCTTCTAGCGTTGAAGAAGAAAACATGTACGGACTATCAACGCTGCTGTCCTCTTTGCCTTGATATGATTATTGGTAAAAGTCTCGAGAGAAATATCTTAGGGAGTGTTTTGAGAGCCGAGATATATCGCACTCTCTCGTCTTCGCCTGGGCCCATGTAAAGTATTGATCTCTAGAAACGCACGCCAGCCACATTGCAGCTTTTTACTCGACGTTCATTTTGAAGGAAAGAGTGGCCGAAAAACAAATCATAAAAAAACTATGAAAGATCCATCGATCAATGCAAGATACCCCCAGCTTAGCCCCCTTTCACCTTTTCGAGATCTCAGATTGAGGATCGCATCGGCCCCAGTTCCACATGCTTAGATCCATCCATCAATGGATATCATTTTCACTCCCCTGTTCGCCGAGGTGCAGTTCTCCCCCTCTCCGCGACTACACTACCAAACTACACACCCACCCGAGGCATTCCAACCCACAACACTCTCCCTCAAACGGCGAAAAGGCCCCCAAAAACCAACCAACTAAACTCCGGCCCATGACGACGGCGATGTGACGTTCCCAGCCCCGCCGCTCCGCTTCCCCTTCCCCTCTTGTCCCTCATTTCTCATCTCCTCTCCCCGATCGCCCCCGTGGGCCGCCACTGATCTGCATCCAACTCCAACGAGGAGAAATGGGGGACTAGTGTAGATTTGGGGGCGGGCTGTTTCCCGCCAGTTTCCGCTTCCTAATCCACCGCCCATACCACACCCACAGTCAACTCGCATCTCTAACCTTTTTCATCCATCGGAGGTTTTTTTTTTTTCTTTTGGGTGGTCTAACACTCCCTCTCGCATTCTTCTTTTCGCGCCTATGCTTAGATGTGAAATATGAGGGAGGAAGAGGCGTTTGGTTTAAAACGGTACAATAAATTAGGACTCGGGGGAAAAGGTACACACTATCAACACTGGTAGTGGCGATATACCCGCCCAGTGAGCCAAACTCCGCTCCTGCCCACTCACCTGTCCGCTACCCACATGATGCGGAGAAGGGAGCACCAGACGCCAGAGGATTGTCAGCTCCCGAACAACGCACGCCTTGTGAATGGCTGCTTCCTCTTCTCCTTCCCCCTCCCTTTCAGAGTGGCTCGAGGGAACTGGACTTGCACCTGCATCTTGGATAGTTCCACCCAGTGGGCTAAACGAATCGCGAGCTCATTCCACAAGAAGCGCAAGGCCTTGAGCAAAACCAACATTACGACCCGACGGCCTCCCAAAAAAGCCCCGATATTTCCATGTGGGCGCGTTTCCAGTGGGTCAGAGACTACGCAATACCACATACGAAGTACCTACCAGAACATCTCGTAGCGGAGGGCTACTACATTTTGCAAAGACGACAAGAGCAAAAAAGAGAAACCAACCTAGCGGGACACTTTGATCCCCAAACGCACTAGAGTACCGCGGAAGAAACGTTGCAAGGGGTTTTTCTCCCTTGCTTTCTTTTTCGTCTTGCCTCCTGTACCCTGGACCCCCGGGCCCCAGCGGTCTCCTCTCCCCACCTTCCCGGTGAAAGCAACGAACCCCCACCATGACGGTATCCAATTCAACACCTCCCACCGGCGCCGACCTCCGCGCCGCCCTCGAGCGCGACGGCTTCGTCGTCATCAAGGCCATCCTCGACCCTCCCACCCTTGCCTCCCTCCGCGACGTCTCCGCCCACGCCACCGCGCTCGGCCGCGCCGGGTCCTGGCCCCACGTCCGCGTGGTCGGCAAGCAGTTCCCCCTGGGACCCGGACCCGGCCAGCGGCATCTGGGGCGTCCAGCACCTCATGAACCCCGCCCTCCCCGGCAGCCCCGCCTTCACCCGCCTGTATTTCTCTGACGCCGTCCTCGGCCCCGTCAAGCACCTGCTACGCTGCACCGACGACGACCTCGTCATGGAGCTCTTCAACATGCTCGTCCGGCCCGAGCGCGACTTTGAGCTCCGCTGGCACCGCGACGATATCCCCCGACGCCAGCCCCGACGAGGAGCTCGCCAGGCTCGCCGAACCGGCCTGGCACGCGCAGTACAACTTGGCCTTGTACCCGGACGAGAGCCTCATCGTCGTGCCGGGTTCCCACGCGCGCGCCAGGACGGACGCGGAGAGGAACGCGGGCCCGTACGAGACGGGGCTCGAGGGCGAGCTCAGGGTTCGTCTCGAGCCCGGCGACATTGTGTTCTACGACAATAACATTCTGCATCGCGGCGCCTATGATTCTACCAAGGAGAGGATGACCCTGCACGGTAGCGTCGGGCACACCAACGGCGGCGCGCTGAGAGCGCGCAACGTTTTGCAGCACGCTATCGGCGCGTGGGTCGCTGACTGCGATTTTGCTGACCTGGGGGCGAGCTGCCGGCGAGGGCTGAGGGCATGCGCGCTCGCCTCGTCAAGCTGGGTCAGGAGGTGGAGGGCAAGGATTTGGGTTATTCGCAGCAGGGCTGAACGCCGCTATTCGTGTGTGTGTGTTGCGGATGGAGGGAGAGAGAGTGGTGAGCTTAGGGGTTCTCGCCACAAAAGAGTCTAGTATTGAACGACCTACGACGTAATGAGAAATCAAAGAAGAACAAAAACATAATTTGTGCGGAGAGATGTGACCAAAGTGGGCGAGATGCTCGTGTGCACTCTGTATACCCATCTTTGTCTTTCCGTGTGCCTTTCCATGCCTCCCTTGTTCAGTCGGCCTGGAGACATGATGAAGCTTTATCGTCGTTGTCACTGGATTTCTGGCATCGACGCTACCATCGACGCTAGATAGACGTTCTTACTGTAGACCAGACCAGAGGTATGTAGGGTAGGGTTGGGATGGGGAAAACAAAGATCTTCGCTGAGGATGCCGTATTCGGCGAGGCTAGCGACGTGGGTTGTCTAAGTCTACCCTTTGTTTCTTTTTTTCTTCCTTTTTATTTATTTTATTTTTCTTTTGGCTCCCCCAAAAGTAGGAAAACAAAAACAAGGGCTCTACTGGTATGCTCTCAAACCATCTTAGCTCAAAGCTCTCAGAGAATGATTCTTCGTTTTCACGTATGCGAGTTCCTCCCCATCTCTTGATTCTTGTCCGCAAGGCTACGCTAGCCCAGGTGCACATCTAGCGTTCTTTTTCTTGTTTTTCTTTTTCTTTTCTTGTAATTGCAGTGTAGGAGCCCCCAGCGGGAGCACACTCCTTTCACCTAACTGGTCCGATTCGATATGGAGGACAAGCAGACGAAAAGAGGCGAGACAAGGCAGGCCCGCATGATGTGGAGCGGGCATTGCACGACCAAGAAGGGGCTTTGATAACGAAATCGCGGAACCCTTCCCCAGCGGGGATGAGGCTTCAACACCAACTATAGATCAAGAGGCCCTGAAAAAAAAGTGACGCACTTCCGCTTAGAAAACAAGAACGACAATGGCGCCGGAGTAGTTTTCAACCCACGGGATAGATCCCCGGCCGGCGTCGGAGTTCGATAAAGAGAGATCAGAACTCAGTCTCCTTTCATATATCCTGGCGAGTGGTTCTTTTGCAAATGGCATTCTCTCTCCCCCCCGCCTCTCCTCCTCTCTTTATCTTTCTTGCTCCCCATCTCTCCCTTTTCTCATGTTTATAAAGCGTTCCCTCCCTGGCTATAATAAAAAAAAGCGGTGTCTCCGCGGGACCTCATGATAAGCGACGGCATTACCCACTCCAAAAGAAGGAACGGAAAACCAAGTACTACATCTCGCCGCGTGCGAAGTGCAAACACTTATGGCAAGAGGGTCACGAGCGTTCATTGCAAAGGTGGTGTTATCGGGAGAAGGGCTCTCATCATCCGCAAGCCTATGGCGTCGAGGTTCGGAAGAGGGGGCGGACGAACCTGTTTACGAGGTCTCGGCACTTGAATTTTCTTCGGTTTGGTTAGCTATGCTGTAGGCAGACTCAAACCCAACGATGCGTTGCTACGAGACTTCGCGCCGTTTCTTTTGGTTCTTTGGGTCGGGTTTCTAGGTCAACCTTTCATCTACATGGAGGCTAAAACGGAACGAGAGCGCGGGGAAGGAGGAAAAAGTGTATGAGAGGAAGAGGAGAAAGAGGAGAAGCAAGTTTTCGCGGATGAACAACAACAGGAACAAGAACAAGAACAATCAACGGGGGACTGAAGCCTGGTAGTGCAAGACCCATGAGGAGGGCGGTATTGCGCCCCATTGCACTTATACGTTCGGGGCATCTCATCGACAAAGGAGAGGGCGACTCGGAGTGGGTTTCGATGTCTTGTATTCATCAGGCTATTCTCAACGAGAAGTAAGCGGCCCAAAGGTGTTGGGCAAGGGACCTTCTAAGTAATTAACAGGGCGGGAAAATGTAACTTGACGTCGATTATCCTCTCCTTGTCCTCCTTGTTGGAGGGACGCGGGACTTAGCGCGACATGACAACATTGTACGGTACGGTACGTAGTAAGCAGCAAACTGCAGCATCGCGATCGAGTCGGGCCTATGCTGGGAATTGCAAGCGGTCTGCGGGAAAAGAAAAAAAGGGAAAAAAGGAACAACAAGTCCCATGAGACTTTTGATGACTGATTAAGAATAGCGAGGTGATGATGGGTTCTTCCATTTCGAGCCCTTTTCAGCATCCTCCCTCCGCCCCGCGGCGGGAACTCGGGTTCATGTTTGGAAGGACAAAAGAAGAAAGGAAAGAATATTGGCCAGGGTAATGTCTCTTGTTTTGTTGAGCGGGAAATCACAAAACAGCCATGTCGTGATCCACAGCCCGCCCGTGGCGGCGGGAAAACGAGCGGGTTAGCCCCAAGACGGACTTCGAGAACACCGTATGTTTCGCGGGGACGGGAGGTATCCAAGGCGGATTAATAAACGACGGCCGCGATGGGCAGACACGAAACGAAACACATAAACACACACACATCTCCTGTATGTACACACATAATATACACATAACGCACACCCCAACCCGGGGATTGTCCAATAGTCTGGGGGACGTGCCAATCATAATCATGGCTGGCCGACACTCGATACCCGAGCCGACCGGCTGTCTTGTCCCGAAAAGCACAGGGATAGACGAAAGAGTGCGCGGAAATTTCAGTCGTCGTTAAGAACACTTCTCGAACCTGTTCCCTTTTTCGACAAGGCATGGACCTGTGGGAAAGTAAAATGAGAGGAGAGGACGTATGCAAGGGGCTGCCCGTTCTTCCGCTGGTCGCGGTTGCTTGGGACCGAGATGCAGTGTCTTCTGTTGGCGTGATTCCACACTATCCAGCGCATCGGGTACCGGCTGTCGGGATCGGGGACCGGGCAATCGCTTCAAAGAGGCCCCAGTCTCAGGCGTCCAAGGACTCTGTACAAGTAGTCGCCTCGTGCCCCCTTGCTCGGAACTCGTACAATTGCTGTCGTAGGCAAGGGGATCTCGGTGTCCTTTCTCCTTTCTCCCCGGCTGTATAATAAAACACAGGGAATTCCCCACATGCTAGCTTGGTTCAAGTCCCGAGCGCAAAGCGATGGAAGAGGAAAGCCGAAAAGGAAAGCAGAGCTTTAAGGATCCAGAGAGGACCAAGGAAAAAAAAACAATATAGCGGCATGTGGGGGAGAGATGGGGAGTTTTGAGCCGAGCTTGAAGTGGGGAAAAAAGGAGTCCTTGCCATTCCCAATGGCCTCGACTTTCCTCGTTTTGTCCCAAGCTCCAAGGGAAGACGTGAGGGTGGGGCGGGGGTGGTCAGCACCCGCTCAAGCTGGCAACTTGCTCCGGGCGAGAATTCGGCTGGTGAACAGAGATCAACGCTTCATAGGAGCCGGAGGCCACTTCCTTCTCCATCCTGGACTAGGCATCGAAGGCTAGCACCTCCCTCGTTGAGGACAGCGTCTCCGCACAGGCGCACTCGCGACAAAGACCATTTAGGAAGTGTGGAGCACTTGCCACCGATTTTGAGAGGTGGAGCTAATAGTGTGGGCTTGGGAGACGTCGAGCAGCCTCTGGGGGAAATGGATGGGGCTGCCCCTGTTTTCCTGTTTTGGGGACCCCACACGCTGAAAAGTCGTGTGCCGAAACTCTGGGGTCGGGTCGCGTAAAAGGATCTTGAACATAAAGCAATAACTCTGTCGAAGGAAGGTACGAAGTAGGGGGCCCAGGGGGGCGACTCGTCCCCAAGTGGTTCTTTCCCCTTTCTACAAACTCGATCGATCGCTCCTGCATTCAGTTTGGGCCGGGATGAAGCGTGTCTAGTAACGTGTGGTCGAAGCTTCCAGCAGCAGCAGCAAAGAGTGCCAACTCGGCACACGTTGGCTGCGTGTCCCGAGAGCCGAAGACAGCTCGCTTTCCCATCCTCGATCAAGGGAAATGGCAAAGAGCAGAGGGCATAGGATAGGAGGGAGCGGACAAAAGGTAATAGCGGACGAAATGCGTTCATCAGACTTTTGAGCGTCGCCTCATCTAAACCCTCAATGCCAACCGTCTCACCTGCTTTGAACGAGGACAACGATCATGGAGTCTCGGCCGGGTGTGTCGGACCGCGCGGGCGTTTGAAAACCGCGAATGGGCCACGCATCCCGTGTCAGAGTGGTGGACTTTGCACCGCCATGCCTTGAAGTCTAAACTTCTTCTGGATGGTTCAATTTGTCATAGCCACTTCTCGCCGGCACAATATTGATCATGGCTGGCCGTCGCCTTTTGGGGGTCTTGGCCTGCGCGATGGAGGTCATCGTGTCGCCCTGCACGGCTCCGACGCCTCTGGACATCAAGCAATGATTTCTCTCTAGTAACCCCCTGTCTGGGAGCGGACGAAGTCCTCCAACCTTGGCCAGTCTACATGATGCCATGCTAATGTTCTGAGGCGCATCTGCCCTCATTCTCCCCCTCACCACGCTAAAATATGCTGCGTGCCGAAGGTCGAATCAGGAGGGCCAGAAATGTTAATTCTCGTCACTGATGCCTTTTCGACGGGCCAAGACGTCGGCAACACCAATTCTAATTACCTCAGTGGTGGAATTTATAAGCTAACCTCTAGCTCCCTGGTCAACTCCTTTGGGATTGCTGGGTGCTGCGTTTGCGCGAGGTGTTCGCGGCTGGACCTCCCTCCCCTCCATGCTTCCCCCACCACCACTTTTTCCCCGTCCCCCCGTCTCCGTCCGCCTCCCCCATTTTCACAAGTACTTGTTGCATGGATGGATCAATTGGAATGGTTGTGTGGACCTCGGCGTCATTCAGGTCCTTCCGGAGAGATGAGCAACCAACAACCCAACCCAGCCTCCAGCTCAGTACCACCACGGGCCTTAGGACCAGGGTTGTGGTTTTTTAGGCCGAGGAGGGCATGTTGCCCTGACATTTGATGACTGTGCCTGAATAAGGTATTCGCCGTCTTGCCCTGGCTGAGTGACATTTTGGTTCTCTTTGTTCTGGTGGGTGTGTGACCACGTTTGCAAGAGAGAGAGAGAGACAGAGAGCAGAGGAAGAGACATTTGAGGCCTCCTCTCACTGCACGGACTGGCCTTGACCCTGAAGCTGCCAGTTAGTTGGCCAATAATGCCCACAAACCTTAATGCGCTGGTCAAGCCAGCCACATGAGGGGTATTTGGATCAAGCGGGCAGCAAAAACAAAAAGAGGGGAGGCGCTAGTAATTGATGGATCCGAGCCCGGCATGAATTTCTTCTTATAAGTCAAGAAGGGAGGTTGAGATGCACCACCCGCGAGAGGGTTATAGCATCATACAAGTAGGATTATCCTCTTACAGCGCAAAAAAAAGAAAAAAACAAAGGGAAAAAGTAAGAGAAAATAAGAACCGAGATGATAATAGGGATAAAGAGGGGACTTTATGAAGAGAAGCAAGGGGGTATAGGCGGAGAAAAGGGGGCAAGGAAACAGGATAACGACAAGTGGAGAGGGGAGAGGGTCAATAATAACAGAGGCGACAACCTAAAAGAGTGGGAAAAGCGAAAGATGGAAGAACAAGAACAAGCGAGGTGCGCCGCCGGCTGGCCGTGAATGTCGTCAAAGTTGCTGGGCCTTTTTTTCTTTTCATTCCATTAAAATGTCTCTTCGGAACTATGCATGATTGGCTTTGTCCCCGCCCGTCCCCTCTCCTTCCCCACATGTAACCCCGTTTTCTCTTATGAAATTCTAGACTTTCTCCGCAATTGGAGATGAACCCCATGGGGCACCACGGCCCATTTCGCACCTGCCTTGCTGCACCAAGCAACGGGTACCTCTCCCCACACAAGGGTTACGGGGGTACCATCCACACCACACACACCACGCACACCACGCACCAAGCAACATCACACACCAAGTTGCACCACCACACACCAAGCACCACGCACCACGCACCACGCACCACGCACCACGCACCACGAGCCCAACATTACCGCATCAATTCCAACTCCACTTCTGCCCTCCTCCTTCCTTGGCTAGAGGTACTAACACGCAACGCCTCCCCTCCAAATGTACGAAGTACATCCGCCCTGACTGGACTGGACTGCGCAGCGCAGAATCGCTGCTTTCTTTTCATCCCCCGCTTTGGCTCGCGCCTCTTTCCCCTCCAAGGTTCCTAGCGATGTCCGTCTTGACTTCTTTTTCTTTTTCTTTCCCATTCCGAGCCTATTAGCCCTTGCTCTTCGGGGAACATGTACGTACCGATGTCTGCGGTGGTAGCACCAGGAGTATAGATCTTTTTTTTTCTTTCTTTTTCTCTTTTCGTTTTCGTTCCCCCCGTCCCAAACCTTTCTCCTCTCCCCCGGATTTCCCATTTCTGTTCCCCACATAGGATTCGAAGCTGTCATCCAAGCTCCTACGGGAGTAGCATCAATTTCGTCTTAGCTCCCATTCAAGCCCATGCCCCAGATCTCTCTGCGGATCTAGCTCCTTTCTTCTCCCCCCCAATTCCCCCATCTTGCTGTCTTTGCGGGCGGTTCTTCAGGTCGGGAAAAGAGATTAGCCCCGAGGAAAGAGAAGAGGCAAAGAAGAGAGAACGACGAGAGGGGGCGGCGGAAAGAGATATACTCGAACTACAAGGGAAAAGAGAAGCGCGATCACGTCCAACGTTACTTTGAGTTTCTCCGTCCTGCTGCTATTCCTCTTCTTCTTCTTTCTTACTCGCTTACCCTTGCCCCGCGCTCATGGTATCAAGCCTTGTTAAGGACCTTGGCTACATGGAGTAGTATCTTTAGCTTGGGGTGATGAGGCTGGGCCGAGACAACTTCGCTCTAACTCTTACCCGCCCCAAAGGAAAAAAGTTTTGGAGCTTTTCCGTGTCACTCACTACACCTCTTCTCCATCTCCACTCTTCGTCACCGCTCGGGGTCCCTCCACTTCTCTCCCCAGGGCTCATTCCCCCTTCTCTTCCCCATTCCCCGTCCGCTTCTGTTCCCCGCCTTTTTTTCTCCTCCCATTCCCTCTCCCACCCCTGCCGATGGTCCTTCTGCTCTAATATCATCATTTATCCAAGTTGCTCACTTCTTATTGTACCTCATCCTCCTGCCTTCTGCCATACACTCTCTCCCTTCCATGGATGTTTGACACCGCCTCTCTTCGCGCCCAACAAAACTCGCGCCGCCCACGCCAGCACATCTATCCAACACAAGATAACGTTTGCCGTCGTCGGCGCCATCAAACTTTCTCCCCTTCCACCTCACGGCGCACAACCCCTCGAGACACATTCGACGACGACTTGGTGGGAGCGAGCCTCGGTTCATGTGGCTTTGGAGGACGTTCTAACCGCGCCTCGCGCAACCCTTCAAATTCCCTTCTAATCCACCAATCTCCCTGGCGCTCCACCGCGCCGTGCTGCGACGCGCGACGCCTGCTTTGCCTTCGTCCTTCTTCTCGCTTTCTCTTTTTTTCCGTCCTTGGTCCCTCCCCCAGGCCTAGCATTCCAAAAGGTTTCGCGTTGGCAACCCCATGTGCTTGACTTTCTTCCTGCAGAGCTCGCATCGGGGCACACCAGACCGCCCTTCTTCCGCCCCGGCAAGGAGAGAAGGGGGGATTGAGGGTATCAGAAGGGAATCAAGAATATTCCCTTCCCCCCTTCTGTTAATCCGTCTGCGAGACGGTATTCAGCCTTCATAACTTATATCCACCCCGCAAAAACACTCAGAGCGCCCTCCTGGTACCACCACGCCTGGGTTCCCCCCTCTCTTACACGCAACCGTCGGCTCTTCTCCTCGCCCCCACCCCAAGTGCGCCGTGTCACTGCTGCCACTCGTCTCCAACACACTCTCTCCCTAATGATGCCGCTTCAGTCCATAGAAGGGCCAAACCCACATTCGGGTGGCCCTCTGGCAGGTACCGCTTCAGGGCGTCACCCTGGAGCTAATGGCATTGCTGAGTCTCCTTTATCACCCGGTGCGGGTGAGAATGGCGAAAGCCGGCATCTCAAACCAAAAACACTCCCCTGCAAGTATTGCAACAAACGATTTAGGTGAGAGAAACTACCCAGGCTCTGCCCTCCGCCGCAGGCCCTCTGATTCTACGGGCAAGAGCTCCTCCCCATCGGCCATTTGCTAACCGTCGACTCGCAACTTGCTCTCCTTGCTCCTTTTATAGACGCGTTGAGCATGTTCAAAGACATGAGAGAACCCATACCAAAGAGAAGCCCTTCGCCTGCGCCTGGGACGGTTGTGGGAAAACTTTTGGCAGACGGTGAGTACCTTCTCGGCCTGTCACCATTTTGGGACGGCCTTTTGATTTATCATGTGCCGACCCGGTGCACCCAGGCCCGTTCTCTGCCAGTCACTAGTCGTGTTACTGCGCATTTGTCCGTTTGCCCCCAAAACTTCCTCGTCCCATTTGCCATTTTCCCACCCTCTCTACCCCCGCTCAGCATCTCTTTATTCTTTGTCATATTCGCATATAATCCCTAGCCTTCAGCCTCCAGCCTTCACCCGCCTTTCCCGAGAAGGTTTCTCCATCCCCCTAGGCCCTCAAACGTCCCTTTTCCTGTGCATGACTCCTCCCCCAGTGTCTTTTTTTCTTTGCATTTATTCATTCATGTCATCATTCGAACCCCTATCTCGATGAAGATATGCTTATATGGACATCAGGGATCTCCTTGTGCGCCACGAGAAACTCGTTCACCTCAACGATGGGAACAAAGATGCGGGTAGGCCGAGGAAACCATCCTCGTCGAGTGTAGTCCAACCCGTGCTGGGGCTTGATGGCCGACCCGATGGAGAGCTCCATAGCATCCACCAGGGAGGCCCTCCCCCTGCCCCGCCGCCGTCGCAATCCTACCTTGCCGAGCCTGTGGCACCAACACCCTTGGCGAACCTGGCCCCGGACGGCCGTGCCCAGCCAAGAAATGCGCCTTGTAATCTCGATCTTTTATCCGACGCTGCCCTGGCTAGCGAGGTCAATCCTATGCAGGGCATGATGCCAGACCTTGCGCATGCCCAGCAACAGCAGCAGCAGCAGCAGGTGGTTGGCGGCCCCCGGATGCGGCACCCGGCGTACGAAGAACATGCGTCGGCGGCGCAGTACCCTCGAGGCAGCGAGAAGAGCCGGCCGCTCTTTCGGCAGGGTTTGTTTCTCAGACGGCGTCCATGTCTTTTGATGAGTATAATTTCTTTGACGAACTCACTTCGTCATCTCACTTCCTCCCACCCCCTTTGACCCCGAACAGCAGCACGGACCGTGGGCAGGCAAGGGTGGTGTCGGCGCGGCAAAGGGAAATGCCCAGTTCGCCTCGCGCCTGCCTTCGTTGCAGCCCGACCCTCGCGAACATGCCGGCGAGGGCCAGTCTCGGTTTGCGGACGACACGACGAGAACGTTTCGACTACGGATATCCCCGGAGATCACACCATCTTGAAGGCGCGAATCGACGAGTTCTCCTCGGTCCTTCCAGGCGACTTTGTTTTCCCCTCACGCCACACACTGATACGTTTTGTTGAAGGATACACGACTGGTTTCCACGAACACCTTCCTTTCCTGCACCTGCCCACGATTTCCTTGGCGGAGATGGCACCCGAATTGCTGCTCGCCATTTTGGCGGTGGGTGCGCAGTATCGATTCGAGAATAACAGGGGTACGGTCTATGGTACGCCGCTCGGGCGATTGCACTCGAACAAATCCGACGGAGGAACTCGAATGAAATGTACGCCATCCTCCCCACGGCGGCGGCGTATAGTCCGAATTCGACACGGCCCTCGCCGAGCGCCGGATACCGACACCACTTTTCCTCAGTATCCCAAGACCGCCCGATGACGAGGGAGACGCACCGAGAGCCTTTGTAAGTATAATCTGATTTTGTGACGCGGATAAACACATCCTATATTGTACACTGATGACACCCCTTTTTTTTCGTTTCCTTACTAACCGCCGAATTTGCTTTTCCTCCCATTCTTAGCTCACCGGGCTCTCCCCAGTCGCGAATCGAGACTATTCAGGCAGTTTTACTACTCTTCGCTATTGGCTTATGGGGCCCCAAGGCGATACTGCACGAATCATTGTCATTGCAGAGCAATCTTGCCATGCTTCTTCGCGAAGAGAGGTCGGTCGGAGAACCGAGCCAGTCCGCCGCGCCTGACTGGGATAGCTGGATACGAGCAGAGGGCGCGGTCAGGACCAAGTTGGTGGCGTACTGTTACCTGAACCTCTGCAGCGTCGCCTACAACATTCCACCTCTCTTGCTCACCTCGGAACTAGACGTGTACCTAGCCCAGCCGTCGAGGCTCTGGAGAGCCGAGACGGCGTGGCAATGGCAGGAGGCTCGGCAAACAGTGCCGACAGCAGACTTGACGGTTCATGACGCATTCTCGCGGCTTTTTGGACGAGCTCAACAAGGTCTACCAGCGCACATTTCATCTCTAGGGAACCACGTACTTATCCACGCCCTGCTCCAGCACATCTATCTCCTTAAGCAGACGTCGCTGTCACTCTCTCCGGGATCTGGCGCGCACCGTGTGCTAAGGCCAGAGGACGGCGAGGATGTCACGCATGCGCTTCGCGTGTGGCAGATGGGGTTCGAACATGGAAACCAAGCGCGGGCGGCCGCCCAGAGCGGCTACGGAGGCGGTGATGGATTTCCGGGAGGCCCAATGGCGTACAACTCGACAGCGCTTTTGAGGTTGGCCTACATTCGCCTCTGCGCCGACATGGTCCCCAGCCGCGGCCTCGAGACGAGAGATCACGTCGTCATTGCGGCGGCTCTGACAGAAGGGGTGGCGTTAGACCGGGGCCTGAAGCTCCACCGCGCGCTCATCCAGGCGGTACATGCTTTGTCGCAGTTGGTCAAAGCCGGCGTGAACTACGTGGCGAGGGCAAAGTCGTCGGAGTGGAGTGTCCAGCACTCATGTAAGTCTCGCTATTTCTCCTCCCTTTCCCCTTTGGGCATTTTGCTTCTTTCTACTTGGGACATGGTTGGATGTGTACTAACCAAGGATTCTGCAACAGTGAGCAACTTTGAGTGCGCGATTCTCGTGTCGAAGTGGCTCCTCACTCTATCGTCGCTCGGCCACAACGATCCCCGCCGAGCATGGAAGAGAGAAACCTGCTAGAATCGGTGCGACGCATGTTGGACGAGACGGAGTTTGCCGTCCCCGTCGACCCAAGTCTCTCGGGAGGCTCTCAACAAGGGCCGGCCGGTCGGCCGATAGACTTTGGAGGGGCAACCGAGAGCGTCAGGCTACGGCAACTAGCGGCGGCAGTAGTACGACTGTGGGCGGAAACGTTCAAGGGCTCGCACATTTTTGAAGTGGTCAAGGTGATGGGCAATAGCCTAGAAGGATACGGCGACCTTGTGGAGAAGCCACGGGACCGAACTCCTCTCGGGCGAGGACATGAGATGTCGATGTGAGGATAAGCATTTAGGGGCGTTCCGGGTGCGGCCATGATCATCTCACCTTTTTTTTTTTTTTTTTCCTACTTTTCCTCCCTTCCCTCCTCGCCACTACCACATTCTTCTTCATGCTTGTTTTTTTCCCCTTCCCGTTCTTGGTTTGTTATTTTCCCCACTTGTTTCATGAAGGAAGGGAGGTGCTCGGGGAAAGGAGGAAAGGAGAATTATCATTTCTTCCTTTCGCGCATACAATTACGACTGGAGTCTGATAACGGGCGAGGCCTTCAAGGGGTTCAATGTTCCTCTTAGCTCTTTTTTACTTTGTTGGGAAGCGACACTACGGGGGCAGAGACAGGTATAGAGGGTACATGCATGGCGGCGGTATAGTCCTCGGGTAGGCTGTGTTTCTGGCCTCTCCTTTTTACTTGTCGATTCTCTTTCTTTTTAACGGACGAGGCGGTTTTTCCCCTTGTTCTCTTTTTCCGGTCCAACATTCAACATATCTGATGATGGGGAAGGCGGGGATGTAAATACTAGCTTATAGTTGACCATGTTAGACGAGATAACGGAGATCGATGCAAGATGTCCGAGGGTCTCTTGGGCATCTATTACACTTTACGGGTCTTCATTTTCATGTCCTCATTTCCATGTCCTCATTTCCATGTCTTCTCAAAGCTCGTCTAAACTTGGGCAAGATGGTTGTACCCGAACTACCGAGGTCCCTCGCGCCCAGATGTGCGGAGAAGATGTTCAAGAGGAAGGGGGACTTTCTTGCTGGCTATTTTATATTCAAGGAACATGGCAGATGGAAGAAGGAAGGAAATAATGGCCCGGTTTATTCTTATAAGCTGGGCTCCTCTTGTGCTCTATGGGATGAGGTTGATGTGGAGTGGCTATTCACATATCCACAGAACATAGCCAGGGACAGCTGATGACAACTGAGAGTTCAAATATGGGGCTCCCATGCTCCTTCCACAGTGTAGTTAGTGTACTCCCTCCGTACTCCTCCATAATATCCACTTTGTTCCATTTCTTTTGCTGGCTCAGGAACACACACGCACACACATACACGCACGCACACGCACACACAGTCACACATAGTCACACAAACCTGCTTGAAGTCAGTCGATTTGATCAGCGATTAACCTACTCGAGGCTTGGGTTGTGCAACGCAACATCCAAACAGCACTGACCCACCAACATCAATCAAATTGATCATTGAAATTGAGCACGGCGCACCCCACCTTCTAAAACGGGCGAACAACGTACCGAGTAAGAGGCTGGAGGAGCTTGGGAACTAGGGGGAGACCTCGCGCGTTCGATTGGAGAGCGAGAGCACACGAGATAATTCAACCTCACCTCATCTCACCTTTGCTGTGAACCACAATCAACTAAATCGGTGCTCGACAATCAAATCCGCTGCAGTCTCACGCCAACTGAACCAACTTTTCTTTTTTAAGAGCCTACGGCGAATGCGCCCAAGTCTGTATTCTCCAGCTATCTTAAACAACAAGACGGCAGTCAGCGTTGCTGGCTGATTTGTACAAACAAAAGCTACACTTTCCTCGCCCTCTGGCCCCTGTGGTTTCTTCATCCAGATTCTTTCTTTCTCTCTCTCTCTCTATCCTCAAGACTTGCCTATCTCTCCCCTCAAGCACCCGAATAGGCAGACGGGCGGACAGACGGTACAGCAGCTTACCCCCGCCTTTGAGTGGAGACGATACAACTACCCAAAATCTCACCGAAACAAGGGTAGAAGCGGAAAAAGGCGTGATTCTCTTGCCTTTCGGCCAGTATTTGCTACAGTATACAGAGCCATTCTATTACCTACTATCCCGGATTCTGAACGAGGAGAGCCGTTACGGGCAAACGCACTGACTCGAGCAAGGAGGTCGCCCCCTTGCGGAGAGATAAGTTAAGGATAAGAAGGAGGGGAAGAAAAGAAAGGGATTGAAAAGGAGAGACAGCAGACAGCACCTTCACAATGACACAAAACCAGTCAACCCCACCCTTACTCCTCACCAAACGCCTAACATCCTTCCTAGCGAGTCGTCTCTCGCCGACGTCGGCACACTCACTTCTCTTGACGACACCGACGGGAAACCTGCTGGCCCATGCATCACGGTTAGCCAAAACGGCGTCGGAACTGCGGGCGCAAGCGACGGTGGCGTCGTCCCTGGTGGCTATGCACGGCGGGTGCGCAAATCACGTCGTGCCCAACGCGCTCAGCGCGTCTCCTTCGCCGGGAGACGAGACGGCGGTGACATCGGATGAGGAGGATGACGACGACGAGGATTATGACGAGGATGACTACGATGAAGGGGGTCGGTATGACTACGGCCAGGACGAAGACGACGGGGATTTTGACGACGACGATGATTACGATGGCGGGATCCAGGGAGGACGCGGTTCACGGCGAAGGAGGTTGAGGGGCAAGGGTAGGGGGGGGAGGAGGGGTAGGGGAAGAGGGAGGGGGTCCTGGAGGAAGTGACGGGGAGGTCGTTGGCCCTTGCGCCGTGACGGTGCAGATGAGCGGCGGGGTCGTCGTCATCCGGCGGCTCAAGTGCGGGCTCCTGCTCGTGTGCGTAGGGCCCACGGAGAGGGGGCACAGCGACGAAGTCGGCGCCCTGGGAGGGTTTTCAGGTACCGGAAGTGGAGGTGCCGGCGTGGCCGTTTCTGGCACCACCACCCCTGGTGCCACGTCTACAGGCACCGATGGCCCGCTCGTGGGCGGGCTAGGTGGTAGCGGCAGCGGCGCGGGAGACCAGGACCCCAACAGCGTGGTAGGGAGCCCGGATGAAGGCGACAGCGTCACGAGCGGGGGCGCGAGGAGCGTGGCAAGCGTGGCGAGCGTGAGGGCGCAGGGGTGCTTCTGGTGAGGAGGGCGGCGGAGGAGACGGCCAAGGCGTTGGATGATAAGCTGGGGCGGTTGAGGGCGCCGCTCGACGCGGTTGGGTCAGATTGATCCGGGTTGGCGAAACGAGGACGAGGGAAGCCGGGGGATATTCCCTTTCTTGCGTTTGTGAAGAGGGGATTCCAAAGGACTCTTGGTTTGTGCGTGTTTGTGTACTTGGTTCTTCATGTCATTCATGGTTTAGCAGAATAGCGATATCCTTCCTATAAATGTTTGGATGGTCACTGAGGAAAAGGAAGGGGAGAGGCGAAGTGAGAGAAGAGAGAGACTCCCGCATAATGTGCTTGCTATCATCCTCCGTGGCCGGATTGATGGCGAAACCCCTTGTTCCCGAAAAATCAAATTGTTCCTCTTTTTCATGTGGGTTCTAGTTATCACGTAGGATATAAAAAGAAGATCCTCGATTGTCAAAATATATGTTTGATTACTTCATCTGTATTAAAGAAGAAAACAGAACAGATACAACAGGGCCCGTTGAAAAAGGCTCTTGGCCCCACGGAACGTTCGTCTGTTGGAGAGAAAGACAAGACAAGAAAACCAGCATCGAGATGTCGACATGTTAGGTTTCTGCTACCGAGAGCAAATGAAAGATTTTGATGGAATCTAGCCCCGAAACCACCCCTTTTATTATTCGCGCCATGTACAAAAGAGAAAAGAGGATGGGGGAAGGAGTGTATGGAGAGAATTGGAGGAATGGAGAGGGGAGGGGGATGAGGGGTGAGAGGTGACGACGTGGGTCCGTCTCTTTTCGCTCCATCTCTATAGATGTGGTGTGTGTGTAAACAAGACAGAAGAAAGGAAAAAAAGGAAACGCCGTTGGAATGCAACCCAGTCTAAGCGAAGAAGAAGATATATAAACCCAAACAAGGGAGGGAAAAGAAAAGAACCCTCGATTCACTGTGTCGCCGTTCGAGGGGAGGGGTCTTGCAACCGGGTAGTCCTTGTGTCCCCTTTTCCTTCTCTGTTCTGACAAAATTCCTCCCCTTGGATAGGAAAGGTAGAAATGAGGTTCGAGCAAGGCTAGGGGAAGAAAGAAGCACGTGGTTGAAACGGGAGAGACTAAGACGGTCAAGCGAGGCGAGGAAGGGGTATATGGGCTGGGTAACCAGATAGGCTTCAAGAGCGCAAGGGGATCATTCATGTTGCAATGCGACGGGAAAAGGAAAGCAGGAGGGATGAGTTGTAGAGTAGTGGAGGAGGGAGGGAGGGAAAGGTCCCACAACAGCCAAAAAGCCCTCGACTACTACTCAATACTCATCCTCATCAACCCGTCGTTCGTGTCCACCATGCCCTGAAATCCCACTCGACCCTTGGCAGGTCCAAGCTTGCCCGCCACCGCCGCCGTCGCCGACGGGTTGCCGCCCGCGATGCTCCCCGCGTCGCTCGCCGCGCTACTCCCGCCCGCCTTTTCGCCGCTATTGCTCCCCGGGCGGGAGCCCCAGGGCGCCGCATCGCGCTGCATGGGGCTCTGCATGACGGGCGAGTTGTGCACGCTGATGCTGGGGCTGACGGCCCGCCTCTTGAGCGCGACAGGATCGAGGTCGTCGTCGCGCCGGCGCTTGTTGTTGATGCGCCGCGTGATCTCGGCCGCGGAGGGGGCTGGGGCCCGTGCTGGATCCCGCCGCCGCTGCCACCGTCGGCTCGTTGATGGTGCAGGTCCCCGTTGCCGCTGGCGGTACCGCTGCCATTCCCGTTGGAGGAATTGTTTGGTACGACGAAGCCGGCGACCGAGGCTGCGGGGAATCCATCGACATGTCTTCGCTAATGGTCGAGGAGCCCCGCGGCCGGAAGGGAGGGAGGGGCGGCGTCGTGTAGGCGCTCGAGTTGGAAGTGCTCATCGTCTCGGCCGCGTCCCACGGAAGACGCGCGCTTGGGAGAAGGCCCTTGAGCGGCTGTTGTTGTTGTTGCTGCTGCTGCTGCTGTTGTTGTTGCTGTTGCTGATGTTGGCGCGTGGTCGAGGAGGATATGCCTAGCCCTGAGTCGGCGAGCATGTCGTCGACGTCGTCGAGTCCGTCCTGGGGTCTAAGCGCCGGAGACGAATTGGTCGTGGTGGGCGCGGAGAGGGGCGGGATCGCGTTCAAGCTGCGCTCTAGTGGCACATCGCTCTCGAGCACCTGGCGAATGACCTCTGCCTCCCTGCAGATTTCGGCCTCAACCGGCGCGCTCTCTTCCGCCAAGGCAGCCCGGATGCGGGCGAATCCTTTGTTTTGGGCTGTCAATGTCACCACGGGTTAGCTGCATTTCTCGCCCCCTCGCCTTCTTCCAAACCGGGGAGGAAAAGAAACGAAATAAAAAAACTTACAAAAGGTTGCCCCGTCTCGTGACGACCCGGCGGATGACGCTCCGATCGCGAATAGGCGTCCCAAGAGGGCCCTCGCCCCTGGAGGAGGCATCCTCGCCCTCACTCCCCGAGAGGTGCAGCTGGTTCGCCTGCCAGCTAATGCTCTCGCGCCGCGAGTGAGAGACGTCCATGGCCATGCCATTGGGCGGCGACTTGGACACGCCACTCGACAGGACACCGCCGAGCCCCAGCCCGGCCCGAAACCGGCGCTTCATCTGCTTTTCGGCCGTTGCCGCTGCTGAAAGTTCATGAGGCTGCTGATGGCGGGCGAGCCGCCCAGGGACCAAGCCGTGGGCTGAGGGCCCATGGAGACGGCGGCCTTGGCCTGCGGGGTGGTGAGGTAGCTCTCATCCATGTCCTCGTCCATGTAATCGTCGTCGGAGCTCGAGGACGAGTCCGAGGGCACAATGCCGGGGACGCTTCCTAAGGAGCCCGCTATGGGCATCTTTTCGTGGTTGCCCATGACGGACCACAGCGAGTTGGACGTCTGCTCCATGCCGGTAAAGTCGCCGCTCCTGCGGCTCGGGATGTTTAGCGCCCGCCCGCCCATCGTCGGGCTAGAGTCCGGGCTCTCCCGATCTGCGACCATGGAGTGGTGAAGGCTGGTGGCGGCGCGCGAAAAATCCAATCCCCTCGATCGGCGGGGAGTATGTTTGTGGGTGAGGCGAAGACCTGAGAGGGGTCCAGCTTCGGGCTCAGGGGCGCCACCCGACCCGTCAAGTACGGACTGTGACCCCCGGGTTGTGCGACGACGACGTAGGCCCGCTCGGCGAGGTGAACTCTCGGTTATTGTACGGCGCATGCATGTTGATGCCTCGGCGGGGAATTCGTCGCGGCACGGGGTAGACGGGGTGGAAGCCGACAGCGATGCCGGCGTGGATATGTTGGTATCCTTGAGAGAGATGTCGTCCCTCGTGCGGCGGGAGGATGCGGCGACGATGTTGGGCGAGGGCGAGCTTGGGAACAGCCGGCCCGCCATCGGAGAAGGATCGCGATCGGGGGAGGGGCGATTGTGTGAGGAGGTGGCTCGAGGAGCTGGTGTTGGAATCTTTGAGCTCATCTTCGACGACAACGGGGTCGTAAAAGGCGTTTTGGGCCGCCCGCGGATCCATGGTGGAAAAAATAGGAGTGTTGAGAGGTGTAGGGTTCGTGCGAGGTTCGGTGCCGTTTTCGACAAGTTTGTCCACGTCCTTCGCCAAAAGGCCGTCGCCCGCTCCTTTCTTCTTGACCCTTGGCTATATTTTTCTTCTTCCTCCTTTGCGTCGAGAGCTTTCGCTGGATCTGGGTAGGGGCTGGTCCACACCCGGAGCAAGAGTGAGGTTGTTTTTCTCTATCCTTGTATAAATGGCAATACTAACTTCGTCGCCCTTGTTTTTCGAAAGGGTGTAAAAGAAGCGCAAGTTTAGGAGCGGGAGGAAGGGGGATAATGTTGCAGATTGTAAGTCGTTTATGACGGACGCGGTTTGATCATGACGGCAGAAAGCTCGCCGGCAGAGTCGGTAGTGTCGTGGACCATTGGCATCGGACTCGTTCAAAGGGGATTCACAAAAAGGAGAAGATAAAAAAAGACACAGAAAGAAGAGGGAGATGTGGGCTAGTAGTGGTGGGCGTCGCGCGGGGGCGGATGGTCGAGATGGAAGTACGAAGGAGAACAGAGGAGGTTCGGTTCCAATGCTACTTTGAGCTCTTTGCAGGGCGGGCGGGCTCCTCTCGTTCGCTCGTTCTGGGTGTGTGGGAGAGCGTTGTGCGTGTGCGTGTGTGTGTGTATGAGTGTTGTATATGTGTGGTGTACGTACTCGTGTGTGTGCACGGCGGGACGGGCATGGGAATTGACAGGGATGCAAAGTACCTTTTTTCCCTTCTTTTGCGCGCTTCCTCGCGAAAACTGGACGAATCGAGATGGATGACGGAGAAGCGTGACGGGACGGCGGATCAAAGGTGCGTTTTGGCTTTGCCCGCCCGCCCTCGCCCTGCTCGCTGTACGTAAAGTGTGTGAAGCGTCTGCCCTCTGTTTCGTTTCGCCCACCGCCCCCTTCTTCCAAGCCGACGGTTCCAATACATAGAAAAAGAACGGACATCAAATGCTCCGTTTTTCCCCTCCGCCTTCCTTTTCTCTTCTAGAGTGACGACGCAAAGTCCAACACAGCGGATAATTGAACCGTGCAAGTTCTTTTTGTTAGCACGGTTCCTCGTGTCTTTCCTTCTTTTCTCCAACACCATCGTCTCCAAGGAAAGAACGTACTGTGTACGGGAGACACAGTGCGCATGGGCGAGACAAAGCTATCAAAAAGTTGGTGACGATGACGGTCTTTGACTTCCCTCGGAGAACGGGTCATCCTTTTGCGCACTTTCTCTCGTCACATCACCTCCGGAGCTCTGGGAGAAGAGCGAAAGAAGCGAACGGAAGTCGGCGGGTATGGTAAGTAGCCCATGTGCAAAAAGCAAGCAAGACGCAGCAATCCATCGCCTACACTAGGCAAGCTGGAGTCTAGTTCTCCCACAGGTCGCAGCAGGATATCCAATAAAGTGACCACTCTTTCCATATCATCCCGCGGACGGATAGAGGTCCCTTGCCTTTCTGCCACCTCCCGGACTGGAAGAACATACTACAAGAAGGCCAAGTCCTAGAAGGAATCCGATAGAGGAGAAAGACGGCTTAAGAGCGGAAACATGTGCAGCGGAAGGAAAAAAAGATGTCGAAATGTTGAAATTAGAACTATGATAAAGAGTCGACGCTTCTCAGATGCAAAGCCCACGCATAGAAACCCATAACATAGCTTTACCCGAAATGTTTGTTTTTTGTTATACTTTGTGTCATTGGAGCTTGTTGAACGCCCCGTTCCTTCCCCTCTACTCCACCACACCTACACATCCATGCATCCATGCATCCATCCCGTCTTGTATCATCGCGGTCAGTCAAACGACAAGCTCGCATTCACTGCGCCGCCCCTCTCCATTGGGAGGGGAGCAAGAGCGAGAGCCAACCCCACACCCACTCCAGAACGTTTAGCTTTTCCTTCAACTCTAACCTTGGGCCACGGAACCGCACACCACTAAAGTTATCGGGGAATACGCTTCTCCTTCTTCATCCTCCATCTTCTTTCCCTCGTTTCATTTGACTCCATTACTGGGCCTTCTTGCCGCTCTTCTTCTCGGCGGCCTCCTTCCTCGCGTAGATGCCAGCGGTGAAGGGGTTCTCGTAGCTGAGGGCAATCTTGTAGACGATGAAGATCCACGCGGTGAGGAAGAAGCCGGCAGGCTTTCCATAGTAGAGGGTGGCGCCGAGGAAGCTCAGGGTGGAGCCGTAGTACATGGGCGCGTCGGTGACATTGAAAGGGAAACCCGTCACCATCTCGTCCATGAGGATGCCAAAGTAGTCGCCCAGGTAGGTGCCGGTGACGCCGAGCGCCCACATCGAGGTGACGACGAGGACGTTGCCGACGCCGAAGAGGGCGTAAGCGGCGAGCTTGACATTGTCGGACTCGAGAGCCGGGTGCTTGGGCTGGTCAGCTAGGGCCTCCTTGAACAGGTGGTCGCGGAAGATGCCGAGCGAGAAGATGACGATGGCCAAGAAGTAGCAGGCGAGTCTTGAGTTGCCGCCAAAGATGTTGGTGAGGAGCTTGTTGTGGTATTCTATAATAAAAAAGGTTCTCGGGTTAGATTCGTCGGGTCTGATCGGCATTAGGTTCCTTCCCCTTCAACGAAGAAGAGGAAGAGGCGGAAAGAGACGGGGTAGTATCGAACCTTGACGGGCGACAATGCTAGAAAACACGCACACTCATTAGTTTCACCACGCAAAAAAGAGGTCCAGATACCACGCGGAACACAAGTCAACTTACTTCCAGAACAAGGGATTAAACGCAATCGAGGCAGCGGCGACTAAGAAAGAGGAGAGCAACTCGTTAGTACCACATCCCACGACATGTGCGCAGCAAGTCAGCCATCGCATGAAGGCGCTGGGAGAGGGGTCAAGATTGATAAACTAAAAGTAACAGCAAGGGATTCTTACTGAGGAGGCTCTGCTGGTTGAGATCAACCAAATCCGTAATAGAGGTCGACATGGTGGATCGTTGGATTCTCGCAAAGAATGGAACAAAAAGAAGCACCCCACACCGAGACTCTCTAAGACAGATATACAAAAAGGAAGAGGAAAACCCAGAGAATAAAAAAGCAACCTCCCACGAACAGGAAGAAGGGCTCGAAGGGGAAAGGGGGAGGGAGGAGAAAAAAGAGAGAGAGAGAGAGGTTATTATCGTGAGTTGGGAAGGGAGGTGGAGAAAAAAAGCCAGCAAGCAAGAAGAGGGAAGCTCTCTCCAGATCCGATCTGCCGTTTTTGAGCTAAATATTGTGACGACATGCACCAACGGAAAAAATGGCTGGGAAATTTGGGGCAGACCTCCCAGGACCACAACCCTCAGTGCTGGCAACCACCAGTTCAATCTGATTGTTCTCTGCCCGCCAACGCTACTCTGCACCACCCCCACTTCCCCCTCAAAAACGCGGCAGAGTGGGCTTTTGTTCCTTTTGTCGTTTGGCTCAAGGCTGGCGGCAGCAGCCTTGAAACCGCCTATTCTGGCACGTGATCCGCTACCGGCCCTTGGCCAGCGCTCTTCAAGTTTGGGAAGGGAAGCTGCCGAGAACTAACGGAAGCGGGTAGAATTGGAAGCATTGCCGGGCTCACGGTTATCCCATAGCCCAGTGGCTTCATACGTACGTAGAGTTAGCCTTTACGAGGCCGCTATTCAAGCTGGACCCCCATAGGTTGCATTGATCCATTCTAAGAGATCCATGTGTATTCTCTGTTCCTACAAACCTATACGATACAGCGTGGCTTTCCTCTCCCCTCCCCGCGCGCAAACACGCTCGGCTAGACGAGCTGCTTTTCCCACCCGTTCCTATTCCGTCCCGTCCCCCCAACCTAGGAATCATAGATCCATAGGCTGCCAAAGTCCAAAATTGGTCAACGACAACAAGACGGGCAAGTGGTCCAGGCCCCACTACAAACCATCCGCCATCCATTACATCCATGACCATGAACTCTAGCTCACCGTGAATACCACATGGGGAGGGACTCGGGGTTTGATTCGAGACAGCCAGCGGTAAGTGATGAAAGTGCATGGTGCTTGCCTACGCTGGCCCTGCTTCGGTTCGGGGAACGCGAGCACTGATCAGTAGTTCCTCGCCCCACCATCAATTGACAGTGGATCTACAGGTGTATGTCGAGCGAGACATCAATACCGAGGTAGTTTCGTCAGGATTGTAGTGTAGCAATTGACTTAGACAAGGCTTTTACAACTCGACCGCCTTTGTTCCTTTTCACGCACAATCAGTTGTAGTCCTATTTTCCAAAGAAGAAAAAAAAAGACGCATATTTTGAATCATCAGAAAAAAATTGTATATTCGTCATTGTAATTGTACAAGAGGTGTCATCGACTCGCTCAAGCGTTCTTCCCTGCGCGAAGCCGCATCCTACATTCTGTTTTTATGTCGGGGAAGAGTTCCCTCGGGTCCTCTCCCCTTCCCTTTCCTTTCCCTGCCCTGGTATCAAAAGCAACAAGAGACAACATGAGACAAAGAACCATCATCATTCTTCCATGGGAACTTTACTCGGCAACCCAGACGGCGCTCATGCCCATACCCGTGCCAATGCACATGGAGGTGTTGCCAACCTTCTTCCCCGTCCTCTTGAGCTCGTAGAGCAGGGTGGAGACCTGCCTAGCGCCGGTGCAGCCGAGAGGGTGGCCAAAGGCAATGGCGCCACCCTTGGGGTTGATCTTCTCGGCAGGGATGCCGAGCTCGTTGGCGCACCAGAGGCACTGGCTGGCAAAGGCCTCGTTGATCTCGTAGATGTCGACGTCGTCGCGGCCAATGTTGGCGAGCTCGAGCGCCTTGGGGATGGCCTTCCAGGGGCCCTGGCCCATGAGAAGGGGCTTGACGCCGACAATGGAGGCGGCGACGTACTTGCCGATGATGGGCTGGCCGAGCTTCTCGGCCGTCGATCGCTTCATGAGCAGGACGGCCGCGGCACCGTCCGAGATCTGGGAAGCGTTACCGGCGTGGATGCTGCCGTCCTTGGAGAAGGCAGCCTTGACCTTGCCGAGGGACTCGGCGGTGACGCCACCTCGGATACCGTCATCCTTGCTGACGACAATCTCCTTGATCTCGCCGGTCTTGGGGTCCTCCCACTTGACCTTGAGGGGACGATCTCGTCGTTGAAGAGACCCTGCTCCTGGGCCTGGAGGGCCTTCTTGTAGGAGTTGGCCGCGAACTCATCCTGAGAAGCGCGGGTGATGCCAAGGTCCTTGGCCATGTTCTCGGAGAGGACACCCATGGGAACCTTGCAGCTGGCAGCCTCGGCGTGGCCCTCGAGGAGCTCGGAGAACTCGGTAACTGCCTGGGGACTAGTAGCACGCGTGAAAAGTTAGCCTTGTGTATTCTCTAAACCCCGCTACGTAGCGTTTGGCGGGATGATCTGTCTCCCAGGGACAAAGAAGGAGATGGAGATTACTCACCCGTACTGAGTGCTCATGCTCTCGACACCTGCACCGATACCGATATCAATCATGCCCGCCTTGATCTGGTTGGCAATGTCGACGCAGGCCTGGAGACCAGACGAGCACTGACGGTTGAGGGAGCGCACCGCGGTGCTCTCGGTGAAACCGGCAGCCAAGCTGGCCGCGCGCATCTCGGTGGCACCGCCACCGGGGGCAAGTACGGTTCCTACGCAAATATCCTCAACGTAGCTGGGGTTGATTCCGGAGCGCTCAATGATGGCGGAAAGCACACCGACGACGAGGTCGGCGGCGGCGGTGTCCTTGAAGCCACCCTTGCCACCCTTGGTGAAGGCGGTTCTGCAGCAAGCAGTGACGACGACCTAGATTGAAAGAGAGAGTACTGTTAGCTTCTTTTTTTTTTTTTTTATTATCTCCTCTTCGTTCTTCCTTGGGAATCTTTGTTGCCCCCTATCTAGAGTTCGCTTGACTCCAAACGAATACTTGATGGGTGTAAGGAAGCGACCCCGCTAAGCTCGGTCGCTGGCATGTGATTGGAAAAGAGCTGCCTCAGCCGCTCCATGGAATGGAATAGGATGCACGTACATCGTCAGGGTTCTTCTGGAGGATCTTTTCGCGACCGCTGGGGTTGGTCTTGCCGGTGATCTGGCCGGAGATCTGAGAGAGCCTGTCGAAAGCTAATGGGGACATGTTAGCGCAATGGGCTCCTAAACATAGCAAGAGCGTATAAGCTCCTGGATTCAGCCTTACCACCCATTATGACGAAGATCTATTCAGAGAGTACGTCTCGAACGTTGGTAGAGAAGAAGGGAGGGGAGGATTTGAGGTGGGATGAACGGAATGTTGTTTGGTGAAGGTGGAGAGATTGAGGGAGGAATAGAGGAAGGGGGGCGAAAAGAGAAAAAAAGAAAGATGCGAGGCAAGTTTTATTATGAGGCGGAAGTTTACAAGAAGAAGGGCGGGTGGAGGTAAGAGAAGAGAAACAGGAAGGCGAACAAGGACAAAAAGTTACCTCGGATGTTTGGCCGTGGACGGTGGACCAGGTAAGCTTCATCACCAGGTTCGGAGGCGTGCCAAAAGTGGGATAATGCTACATGCGAAATCAATGTTCTGATGTCAGCGCGCGCCGCAGACAGGCCGAGGCATCCCGGCGGCGATTAGGGAGAGAGCGAAGCAACCTGGTGCCAAAATGTGAAAGTGGGCTTGGCACGCCCCAGCTGACCACCCCAGTTCACTGCCAGTACCAGCACCAGGACTCAGAGAGCACTCTATTATCCCCGGGCCACTTCAAAGCAAGGAGAAAAGAAACGTCAATAACTGACAGAGAGACAGACACTTCTAGAACGTAAAATTCCAATTGGCTGCAGGCCAGCCCGAGGACTGGGGAGCCCAGGAATAGAAAAGGTGCCCCTACTCGGAGCCAGACTCGTCCACCTTGAACTTTCACATGCCAGGCCACGCAGCCCATCCCCGGATAGTGGCGGGTTTCAGTCGCAGGGCAGGCCCACTTTGTTGGCATCAGTCAGCAATCCACTGCCGCGTGCTATCCGTAACTGGGCAAGCCTTTGCCTAGAACATGAGGCTTTCTTTCATCTTCACAGGCAAGCGTGCTGGGCATCCGGTCGCCGCCTTATTCTTGTTTGGCTGAGACATCTTTCGATCAGTGACAATGGATGGATGCATGGATTTGGAAGGGCAACAGCAGTATTCTCTATCAGTGCCATCATTACAATCTCTAGTCTCTGTCGTTTTATTTTCCCCGCCAGGGATACCGCCTCATTACTGACCGCGACCCTGTGGTGTGTCCCTGCCAATTCCCATGTGTTCTCCGAAATCAGTCGCAAGACGATGTCCAAAAACCCACCAGCGGATTCCCCCACATGGTTCAAAGATAGTCGCACCCGAATGTTCCGCTCCTTGTCCCCCTCCCCACACACCCCCTTTTCCCCTCTCGATTTTGGGGGACCATTTCACGTGCGCGTCTAGAAGTCTTCTACACGGGTGCCCAACCCGATGTCGTTGGCGACTTGGAGGAGGTATCCGCCCGCCGTCAAGTCCATGAGGCCCAGTCCCACGCTCTTGTAAATGACATTGCCATTTCTCAGCCAGTGGGCCCTCGCCTCGGTCTTTGTCCGGACTTCTGCGAGCGAGGCCCCTTGGGGGATCTGATCAAGATCAACCACCTCTCCGAGTCTAAAGTTTTGTCCAAGAAGCGCGAGGTTAGCAATAGAAAAGCGGACCAAAAACAGAATAGGGGAGGTAAAGGTCATCGGACAAAGGAGAAGAGACCTCATTGTATCATAGGGTCTTCCTCGTATTTCCTTGGGGAAAGGGGAGGGGGTTTATTATTCCTTACTCTACAAGACGGCTAGGCCCGACTTTGGCGTGGATAATCTCGCCCGCCTCACTCAGCACGCCTTCCAACGTGTCGACGATAATAGCCCCGCCGTCGATAGGATCGTCCTGCGACGCCTTGGCAGACTGCAAGAGCAGCTCCTGCGGCAGCTCCCTCATGTCGGGGGTGTAGCTGCCCACCGCGACCACCAGCCTCGTCTTCCCCTGCCCTCGGCACTCGTGAGGATGCGGCCGTCGAACAAGTCCTCGGTCGACGGCGTGCAGCAAAGATGACGTCGGCCTCCCGCAGCCGCGTCTGGAGAAGACCCGCGTAGCCGACGGTGTCCGGGGTGAGCGCGTCCAGCACGGCGGGCTGCCAGCCCTCACGGCTCCGAATCTCCGGGGCCACGGCGCCGAGGTCGGCGAGGACCTGGCGCGCCGTGGACTCGCTGCGGTTGATCACGGTGACGCGCGACACCGTGGCCCCGTGCTGCAGGAGCGCGAGCCGGAGGTGCCAGTACGCCTGCTTGCCGGCCCCGAAGACGACAATGTCTTGCACCGTGCCGCGTAGGCGGAGGAGGCAGGAGGACGCGAGCGCTGTCCGGAACGCCGTGATGGCGCCGGCGTTGACGAAGCCGGTTGCGCTGCCGTCGGGGCCGAAGAGCGCGATGGCGCCCGAGGGCTTGATGGGCGGGCGGTTTGGCGGGCCGAGGATTTGCCGTCTTTTTGGGGCGTGCTCAACGTGACGACTTTTGTGGGGGCACGGAGAGAGAAAGAAGAGAGAAGCAAGGTTAGCCTATGACCGCGGGGAGGGGGTGTTTTGTTTTCAAAAGGGCTGTCCGCGGGGCCGTTTTGCGAGCTGTGACGGTCCCTTGTGCATCTGTGTTCGGGTTCGCATCGATTTACCTTTAACACCCATGCCCGCCGGACCGACGGAGGGCATGAAGAGCGTAGTAGCACCCGTCTGCGGGTTGCCGTAGCTCGTCCTCTGGGGTTGGTGATAGGTGCCATCCTGGACGGCCTTGACGTCGGTCGAGTACTCGTGGAGGGCTTTGGATAAGTTTCTCTGGAAGCCGTCGAGCTGGGCGAGGGTCAGGTTCTCCAAGATGGACTTGACTTGGTCGTTGGTTAGGATTGTGAGGGGCATGGCATCGGATCCGGGGGAATGCGGGGAGCTTCTTCGGGGCGGGGGAATCGTGCGCGAGGCCGGGAAAAGGAAGGTTGGGGATATAAATAGAATAAGCTCAAATTTACGATGAAAGATTGCTTTTATGTTTATGAGAAAAGAGAAGGAAAAAGGAAGCTATACTCGCATCAAATTTCTATTGGTGATCCTGGACGTTGGTCAAGCGATTTTCTAGAATGCTGTCCCTCCATACGTGTAGTATCCATAGTGAGGTCACTGACAGCTGATGAGCAAGCATGCTGCAAGCAGAGCTTTTCGCGCCGATCCTAGAATTCAAAATGCGAACGGTGTTGGTGGCCCCCTTCTCCGATGCCGCGCTACCTCATTCGTTCCCCGCTCTGGGCCCGGCCGTGGTGAATGTCGGATGACGATAGAGTCTCCACAGAGCCTCAAGGACCAGGAGGTAGCTAGGGGTAGTCCATTGGGTGGCGCAAGATGTGGCAAAGAGCCCTTCTTCAGAGCCAGGTCCTTCTTCTTTTCATGAACCAGGGGGGACCTGAACTACATAGATGTAGCCCTCGTCACGATGAGCCCTGAGTTGCACAGAGCCGCTAATTGAACAAAAAAAAGGTGATTCAAGATGAGACGTGTGCAAATATCACTGCGTCTTCCCCATGCCCTCTCTCACCATGATCTTGAGTCACCAGCGACACGGGGCTGGGCTCTTGCATGGCAGAGATGAGAAGTAGAAGAGGCAAAATTCATGATCTCACCCGTGAACACTAAATATCCATTGTTTCTATTACATCAGCGCTGGGGCTTGTCGGCCTTCATCACCGGCCTTCGTGTGTCCCGTATTCGCATTCACGCCAGAGGTCGTCGGCCGGCTAGGATATATTCCGATTCATCATACGCGTACGTTGCTCATTCTTGCCGTTTCGAATGCGAGGGATGAAAACCAACCAGCCGTCTTCCTTTGTTGGGGGACGGAGGGGGCAGTGTTCATCTTCTGCTGCCTACATGCACGAATGTGATTTTCGTTAGACCGTCGTCGTCAGCCTCTGCTCACTTGCCAGTCAGTCAAGATAGAAGGGAGGGAAAAAATCCTCCCCGTGCTCCGCTAAAGCATCAAGATGGCGATGGGCTCGTTGACGTTCCGAGACCCCATTCACTGCCTGCTGCCTCGCTGGTTCCCTCCCGCTCTCGGCTATTATTATTAATTTCTTCTTCCTTTCTTTTCTGGCCCCTTGATACCTCGTGCTCTTCCATTTCCCCCAATTAGATATTTCTTCGAGAACGGATCGACGGCGCATCAGCTGGGGAAGTAGGTGTCTGGAATCCGTTTCAAGCGAGGGGTGGGTTGCCCCACGAGGTGACAAAACATCCACAATTGTCTCTTTGGATTTGAAAGAAGGACTGACCTGACAAAGGAAGGGGGAGAGGGGCACGGCTTTTATTTGTATCAGGTTGCCCTCTCAGGGTTCCTCTGCTCGGATTGTGCAAGTTTTATAATTCTTCAGCCTTGTCGAACTCGTGTTCATCTTGCCTCTCCTGTTCGCTTGACCCGCTCGTCCCGTTGTCTGTTGCTTGGAACGAGCCGGGAAGATGGAGCCATTCAAGCCCTTTTTTTTTTTTTCTCTTCCTTTGCTTAGGGTATTAATACGGTTACGAGCACGCAAAGGGAAGAGCATCTGTCTTGGCAACTAATAATCCCTCCTGCTCAGTATGTTGTTCTCCCACTGGATTGATACAGACCAGACACGGTTGCACACTCCAATAAGAATGGTAAAAGCGGCTGATGAGATCTGCAAGGAACGAAGTAGCTCACTGGGACATAACTGTCGTCAAGGGCAAGATATCGCGCGAGCAGGGGGTTTCGAGACAAAGGCGTTCGCTTTCTCTCCATGGGGATGGATCATATTAATGAGCTGAGCGCATTTGGACTGCCACTATTATTACTAGTGTAGTCCCCCTTTCAAAACTGGCTATATTTTTCACCAAGGCATGGCCATTATTCGAGTCTGATTCCTTAGAGATCGATTCGAGCTGGGGGAAATGGAAATTGGATGCGCAGGCACGAGGTACTTTGTGCTATAAAAAGACGCGAGACCCATTGTCAGATTTCAATATCGGCGGGCATCTCGTCGTGACCGGCAGATGCATCTTGCACCCACTCTGCTTTGCCTTGGTGATTATTCATGGCCCTTTCTTAAATACTCGCCATCAAGTGTACTCGCCATGTGTATGTGGTCACGATCTCTTGTGCCCAACTCAATTTCAGGTCAATTGGCAAGGGTATTCAGTTGTCTACAAGGCTTATTCTTCTTGGCAACCTGTAGTGTGTCTTTTCTTTTTTCTTTCTTCTTATACACTCCATGCTCGGTCAATGGATTGGGGCGCCTTGCGCGGCTGTTCACCTCCACCCCAAGGAAGACGCCGTTTTCATTCATAAACAATAGAGAAGGCAAGAATCCATGGGTTCAAGTCATCCATGAATCAATCCATCCCGTCAAACAAGAGCGTCGTGGACGGGTTCGGCCGGGAAAATAGTCTTGGCCAAGACCCTACGACTCGAGTAATTCATTGATTTTGTACTAGGTACAGAAGTACCTGGGCCTGTATCTGTACCTGAATGGAAAGGCAGTGTGGCACTCATCCGTCCTAGGATCAATGGATCAATGGGCAAGGTTGGCGTGCGCAGTGGGGCTTGTGAAAGCTGGCTCCTGCCACTCCATTCGGCGAGTTGTGTCTCGATGCTTTCGGCTCAGTGGTCCTTTTGCCCTGAAGGAATCGTTCAAGGGTAGATGGAATTGCTGTGTGCCACGGAACGGCGGAGTCGGGCCTCCCTCGCCCTCCCCAAATACGGGCACGAGAAAAGAGAAGCCTTGAAGCTTGATGGGGGCCCCGGTGGCTGTGGTTCTCGGCCCTGCCCACTTGTGAGCGTCTCTCTCGCAAAAGAAAAAGAGGACGAAATCAATCCCACCCCCTTCAGACGTTGCCAATAGGAACTGGTCGTGGGTTTTATTCGTTGCTTGCGCCAAGCGGACACACGTAAGTTGGGTGGATACGGGTACCTGGGTACCTCGAGTCATCTTAGAAACATTGAGCTGGTGTGGTTGTTGGTGTCCCAGCCTCATATCGATGGAATGGATCAATCCCGGTCCATCCTGACACCCCCAAAAGAGGCTACGTATAGATTATTACCTCCCAAACGCTTTTTTACGCCTCTGGAAATTCGTCTACCTAAATTCTTCCCCTCAAAGGAAACGTCACCTCATCACCAAACAAAAACAACAGCCATCGATACAATCACTCAATAACTATCCCCAAGCCGGCTACCTTTCGACATTCGGTGCTCGCGAGATCCATCATTCGTGCGTCGAATAACAAATTACCCCGAACCTCGTCCCATTTCCCACCTCTTGAAGCTCTGGGGCTAGCTAGCTTGCGCGATAGCTTGTCCAGCCTCCTCTTTGAGCAACCCACGGCCTACCGCTCTCTCCGAAATTCGTTGGAGGCCGAACACCAACGACAACTTGACTATTGCAGTATTGCGGCGATATACGGAAGGAAACTGCTCTTCTCGAGAAGGGCCTTTAGCTATCCAGTTTACCAAATACCGTCAAAATGACCCTCAAGGAGGAGTTTGCGACAAGGAACTTCAGTAGGTTCAAGCCTTGGTGGTACACTGCTACATGGAGGATGGAATTGAGATCTCGTTGATTCTAACATGCTTCTTTGATAGGTATTTACGGCCAATGGTAAGACCGCCCCTTTGGTTCCCTGGGATTGTCTGCTTTTGTCTCGACTCAAGATGTCTGCTGGACGCCTCCCCGAACTTTCTCCCCATGCATCCTTTTGCGCTTTCTCTTCATGCATAGGCGTTCATTGATCCAGTAGCGGAGCTTGACATGGTTTTTACTATGCCATGGGCCTTGGGGATGATCAGGCGAGAAACCTCGAAATGTTTGCTAACCCTAACGATTCGATAGGCTCGGCATACTGTCCATGATCCTCTGCTTTGCGCTCGGCATTGCCAACATCTTCACCTTTAACGTGGTCATCATCATCTTCTGTGCCCTCTGCCTGTTAGTATTGTCCCCGGCCTGCCCTTTCTGTCCCTCCCCTTCCTTCCTCTAACGCATGTTCCCTTGCAGCGCATCCGCCTTTGTCATCTTGTTCGTCGAGGTTCCCCTGCTGCTCCGAATCTGCCCTACTTCAGCCTCGTTCGATGCTGCGATCCGCAAGGTTTCGACCAACTACACCCGCGCTGCCGCCTACGGCATCATGGCCGCGCTTCAGTTCATCAGCACCGTTAGTCGCGTCACTAGTCTGATCGCCGCCGGCATCGTCCTCGCCTTGACCGCCATCTGCTACCTCTTGGCTGCCGTCAAGGGCCAGGCTTTTGTCGGAAGCAAGACCCTTGGTGGGCAGGGCGTTGCGCAAATGATTGTGTAAACCGTGCCGAGGGCGGCGCTACCACTTCCCCGCTTCGCTTCTGCAAGGAACGAGGTCGCCTTTCGGATCGCCGGGAGGGTCTCGCGAAGTCCCTCCTTCTGAGTGGCTGCCGGATAGGGGGTTGTGCTTGTACAACTTTGTGTGTGGACAGAACGAATGTTCCAAAGGAGGCGGGTTATCGTTCCTAAACGGTAGTCCGGGGTGGACATTCGAAGGTTAGGTTGGAAGCGGAGGCGGAGGCGGACGGGGAGGAGAAGGAACATGGGTGGAATTGGGGCCTCAAATGGTTGATGGGCGGTTCATGGCCCTCTGTCGAGGATTCGAGCCGCCTACCGCATAAAAAGAGAAATGATGCGCATCAGTCGGTTAGGGATTTTCTTTTTCTTTTGGCGTCCGGTTTGTCTACGAAATGATTCCGTTGTATCTTCTATTTCTTGTTGCTATGACTTCCACAACCCCCTTGATCGGGCTATGGAGAAATGTGCGGATTTTTATTTTTTCGTTTCTGGACTCTCTCCTCGCTTGCCTTGAAGTCATCCAAAGGCCTGGTTCCGGTTCCTGGTTGAAGAGTGACCCTGACAGTGTATTCTGTGTGAATGGAGACCCAACGTCACTCCTTGCGGGAGCAACCTATCGAGCTGGAGGGGTTAGACCGTCACATTAACACGTTCATCGTCCACATAGTCCATATCCAGGTGAGACGGCATGGGTGAGACGGCGCACGAGCCCCGCAAGTCCTTTTGGCCCTCTCCTGGAGCAGTTAATGCTTGTGGCTAGAAGAAACGCCGATTGATTTTATTTTGAGCCCAAGTTTTAATAGTTTGTTCCGAAGAGCTCAGCTCAGAACTGAGGCGTTACCGTTCTAACGGGCTAAAGGATAACTATCGGGAGGATGAAAGCTGAAAGATTGGGACGCATTTGGTCTGCGCGACTGGAACGAATGAGAGACAGATATCACAATATCTTTGTAACCTTGTGAGGTAGCGACGGACTATTATTCCATCAACTAATTGGACAAAGAAGCCTAACGCTGCGTGCGTGTCAAAGGGGCAGGGTCGCAATCCAAGTACTTGGACCTTGATCCCCAGACCAAAACTCTCCCTCGTCCAACAACGGCCCGCTTGTCAGAACATATGGCAGCATGGCAAGATTCTATAGAAATCGGGAACCCAAGCTCGCAAAACCCAATGCTGGGAAATCTTGAACGGAGTGGGCTCTTTGCCTTTTTGTCCCAAACTCCTCTCATCGTTGGCGGGGCTGGAAGGGGAAAATGGTGTGGCTAGTGACGGCTTATACCTGACACCCACATGTTGCCTCTTGAAACTGGGGGCAATGACGGAGCTGGGAGGTTGAATTTCATGGGCCCTCAAGAGCAACCCACATTGATCTTGGTGCCCTCGACCTACGTACTTTTCCACTGCCGCCTAGCAATGCGCTAGTGGGCGCTATATGGGTCGCATGGCATCACGAGCAAAGTGCAGCTTGGGCAGATTGACATCATGGAGGCAATGGATGTTGGCTCGCTATTTTGTGTTTTTTCTCTTTTTCTTTTCTTTTCCCAAACCTGATGGACCCAATGACAGTGGTCCCCTCCGCTTTACTGCCAGGGTTGCTTACAGGGAATTGCACACGCATCGCATCAGAGGTGACCATGACTTCCATGTTGCTGCGCAACATCCGACAACGCTTGTCGTCAGGCTGGCCCCCCGCCCCTGCCAGTTTCTGGGAACTATGTACCTCGCTGTCGGTCTCTCGCTCGAGAACAAGGATGGACGATGGGAAGAAGAGCTGTTGACCCGGCTAAGCCCCCAGACACGAAGGGATCCTATTCCTACGAGCTCTATCTCTAGGATATAGATAGACAGAGCTTTTATTAATAAGTGATTTCTTTTAGAGAGGATTCTCACCGCTCCGGCTGGGGGCTCTCGAGCGCCCGCTGGCATGCAATAGCAAGTTAGTCGAGGCAAGTTGCCTTATCGGCATCATCAGAAATACCTGAGCCCGGACTGGTCGAACTGGGTCGGGCTGGGAAGTGTGAGAGTACCTACCCCCGGGCCAACCTTTTCTCTTCTTCTCTTTTTCTTTTTCTCTTTTTTTCAGGGGTGGGCTTGCTGCATCAATCAAGTGTGTGATTTGCCGTCACTGGATGGTTTTAGTGCAGGCCAGCTCAACACTGACCCGTCGACAAAGTCCTCCTGCTTGTGCTTTGCTGCAGTCGAGCCCCACCACGCTACCTGCTGCGAACCCTGTAAAATGCGGGTGCGAGCGTGTACCTGCACAGCTCGTGGACAGCCCGATGTACCAGCTCCGGCCGTGTCCCTTCCGTACCCCCTAGCCAGATAAGACGGGGCGAGCACGAACGAGAGCTATGAGGTCAACAGCTTCTCGAAAGAGGTTCCTCTAGTAGTCCCCTTTGAGAACCCCCACCGTTCGTCACGGCGCTGTTTCAACTTCCTTTTGTCTCTTCTCTGACATCTAAACCTTGTGCACCATTTTCCATCCCTTCTTCTATCTTTCCTCACCAGCTTCCTTTTTCTTGTGTGTGTTCTTCCTTTATTCCTTAAGGGTTGAGTCTTGAAAAACAAAATTTTGTTTCTCTTTTTTTCCTCTCAGGGGTCGCACATTGCATGCATCATTCATCATGAGTTCCGTTGACGACTTAAAGATGAGCAGTGCCGAGCTCAATCGGATTGTGCAAAACACGGCTAATCACCACGCTCTTGGTATGTTTGGGCCATTCCTCCCTCCCGCTTACACTAGACTTCCATCTCGGCGACCACAAGCTCCGCCAGCCTTGTGTGCTCCCCTTTTCCCCCTCCCTTTTCTTGAACCATTGAGCTTACGATCCGCCTCGTAGACACACCCGAGTACGCAGGAACGCCCAGCGAAGAAGTCGGTTTCGAAGGCCAGGAAGCCTATGTTTCTCGAATTGCCTCTCCTCGAGCCGGCTTCGCCTCCCTCAAGGCGGATAGCCCCCGAAGAAGCCCTCTCCTGCTGAGGAGCGGGAATCGGGGATCCTCGACGACGCCGACGTAATACACGTCGACGAGCCCCGCCGGAGCGCCAGTCCCGAGGATGTTCGGGGAAGCGCCCGACACCACTATACCGCCCCCATCCTGGCCGAGGATGAGGTCGCTAAAGCTAGCCCCCGCCCCGACCTGCAGGCCGCGGTTGAGCCCTCGGTCGATGCCGCCGCCGAAGACGAAGAGCCCCTGACGGAGCCTATCCGAAGGCCCTCGATCAACTTTGAAGTTCTCCCGAGCGATTTCCCGCGCCCCGAGGCTCGCAAGGTGCCGCCCCCGCCTTCCAACTACGAGGCTCTCTTCAAGGACGGAGAGGAGGAGGCTGTTGAGGACGATGATGAGAAGACGAACACGAGGGACTCAGCTATCCACAAATTCCCCAGCAAGGACATTTGGGAGGATGCGCCTAGTAGCGCCTACTACACGACCGAGGTGTCGACGCCTGATATCCCCAGCGAAGATCCCCGTCTCAAGGCCATCGATACTCCCGAGCGAAATAACCCCACTCCCGTGCAGGCATTTGCCCAATACCAAGAGGAGCTGGCGGAAAAGGAAGCGCAGAGGACCAAGAACTTTGTGCCCCGCGGCGACAAGCCCTCGCAATCCTGGCTTCCCGTGCAAGAGGTACCCCAAGTGCCTAAGCGCCCTAACCAGCAAAAGCGGTTCCCCAGCCGTGACGTGTGGGAGGATGCCCCCGACAGTGCCCTTTACGAGACCACCGTGTCGGCGGATCAGCAACCAGACGCTAAGCCCGACATCCCCTCCCGACCCGCCAAGGCTGCGGAGAAGCCCTCCATCCCCGATCGTCCGGCGCGAGGAAACGAACCCCCTGCCATTCCCGATCGCCCTGGCCGAAAGAGCGTCGACAAGCCCGCCGTTCCAGAGAGGAGACCGTCCATACCCGATCGGCCTGCTGTTCCCGATCGGCCTAGGGTTAAAAAGGAGCTCAGTAATGAAGGCAAGGCTCCTGTGGTTGACAAGCCGAAGCCCTTCCTGCCTCCTCGCCCGGCGAGGCCCTCGTCCACATCTCCGGTAGAGGCGAGCGAGCCACCCGCACTGCCCAAGGCTCGGCCATCCATCCCCTCTCGCCCGGCAAAGGCCGCCGCTGCCACCGCCGGCACTGCCGCCGCCCCCGCGACCGAGACTAGAGAGCCTCCTGCCGTCCCCAAAGTGAAGCCCGCGATCCCAGCTAGGCCCATGGGCAATAAGATTGCCGCGCTTCAGGCTGGATTCATGTCGGACCTGAACAGGCGGTTGCAGCTCGGGCCGCAGGCGCCCAAAAGGAGGAGCCCGAGCCTGAGGCCGCCGCGGAAGAAGAGAAGCCCGCCGAGAAGAAGCCCCTCGCCGACGCTAGGAAGGGACGTGCCAGGGGCCCTCAGAGGAGAGCACCTGCCAAGAGCCCGGCGCCCCCTGCTGCCACAGCCCCCACGGATGCCGAGAAGCCGAGCGCGCCATCGCTTGCTCTTTCTACCGCACAGACGGTCTGGAGTATCGATCCGGAGAGTAGTGATTTGGAGGTCAAGCCCGTCGAAGCGGCTGCTCCCGAGCCCGTGGCCGAGTCGCCCAAGGATGAGCCGCTGACTCGCGAGTCATCTGCCGTCTCCGCTGAGAGGGGAGCGTCTCCCGCAGCGCGGTCCCCGACGAGGAACCGCTGACGCGTGAGGTATCGGCCGCGTCCGTTGAAAAGGCGGCGCCGTCCATTGTTTCGGACACTGGGTCTGCCGAAGGGGCGCCGTCCGAGAGCAATGGGCCATCCGCGCTTGATGCGGAGGAGGCTACGACGGCTGCACCATCCGAACCGAGAAAATCTATTGATGAAGAGCCTAAGCTGGACGCCGCTCCTGGTCCTGACCTCGGGGTCGAGGCCGACGACGCTTCAAAGGTTAGTGACCTCAACGCAGTTTCCGCGGATCGCGCTGGGTCTGAGAAGCCAGGCGCTGCCGTCGCTGCCACTGATGCGGAGGAGGCGGGTGAAGGTGAGGAAAATAATTTCCTCCCACTAAACGACACCAAGGCGTGATCTGGGTGGAAGGAGGGATAAGCCAAGCTTGTCTTTTTCTTTCTCCCTCGTTGACTTTCCTTCTACGTCCATGTCTCCTCTCTCCCACTCTCTCTCACACACACATTCTGTATTCTATCATCATTTGCTTTTTTACGCTTCTCGCTGGTGGCATGTGCAAGCCTTTGCCTGGTTTATATGAGTTTTCGGGGTGTTTTTTTTTTTTTTCCTTTCGAATTCTTTCTTGGTTCTTTTCATTCTTTGCCTTCATTTTTCTCTTGGGCTATAATCGATGGGGGAGGAAAAAGTGTACGCTCCTTTAGGTGTGGATTGATGATGTTATTCCTTGCTTGGTAGATTGGCGCTTGATCCAAATATACTTGGCCACTCTCGAGTGTGCGCCGCCATAAGACATATTGATGTTATGCCTCAAACTATTCTCTTCTTTGTGAAAGGTGTTCTTGCGATGTGATCACGGGGTGGAATATAGTTCGAACACTGTAGTTATTACTGGTGGTTGAGGGGTCACGAACGAGGACATATACTGCCAGTGTCTCTGGGTGGTCTATTGTCAAAAGTCCGAAAGGGCGCGGCCGAGGGCCGGCTCTCTCGGAACCTAGGTGATATACAGCTCAAGGGCGAGGAGGGGATAAAACTAAAGTACATTTGGATATTTTTTTCCTGTGACATGGGGATGATCTAGAGAGGGAGCGGCACGAATCCTTTTGTGCCGGGCTTCTTTCCTTCTTCTTCTTTTTCCATCATTCCCCCTTTCCTCACCTCCGTCTGGTAGGTTCGTCGTCGTTCTTCTCGGCCTGGGCTCTTTCTCGGAGGCGATCCCAGGCGGAGACGCCGTCATCGGAAGGCGGGGAGCGGGGCGGCGCGCCCTCTCGGCCCGCTGCCTCTTCGCTTCTTGCGATCGAGCGGACGGGGCGACTGGTGAAGCGTTGTCTTCTTCGTCGCTCCCTTCGAGCTCTTCTAGGACGGAGTCCTTGTCCCACGAGGAGGGCTCCGATGGCGCGGCGGCGGCGGCGGCGGCGGAGCGTCGTGGTTGGTACGTATAAGGGTCAGGTTGAGAGGCGCGCTCCTGCGGGGCATCCCGGGTGGTCTGGGAATGGCCCGTCTCGGAGAAGCGGGAAGCTTGAGGGGAGTCCGAGGTGCGACCGCCCCAGCTGTCCGAGCTTTCCGTGGAGTGTTCGCCCTCTTGGTCCTCGTTCTGCTCCCGTTGTTGTGCGGGGGAACTGGGTGGGAATTTGGCCCGTCCTCCGCTGCATGTGGTTGATTGTCCTCTGCGCCTGGATGTCCTTGACCGACTCCTTGACGGCCTCTTGCAGCCGGGGATCGGACGAGATGCTCACCGTCGCCCTCACGCCGGCGTAGGAGAGGAAGAAGGGCGTGACGAACCAGTTGCACATGACGGCGTAGACGCCGAAGCGGGCGGTGTGCCAGGCGATCCTGGCGGCTTTACCCTGCAGCATGGGGCGGCTGATGGTGGGAAAGACGTCGGGGGAGGTGTTGACCCACTTGGGCTGCCAAAAGGAAAACGGAAGCGGGCGCGGCCGCGCCAGGCGAGAAAAACGGCGAGGGACCAGACAAAGGGCTTGGCGGTGAGGGCGATGTTGGCGGAGGCGCTCCAGTGGTCGGCGAGGGCGCCGATCTCGTCGTCGGTGAGGGGACGGCTGCGCAGGACCTGGGACTGGAAGTTTTGCAGGTTCTTGGTGATGATGGTGTGGTGGAGCTTGGGGGCGTCGCCGTACACCATGTTGATGAAGTTGGGGACGTGGCGGTTGCGGGCGTCGAGGACGGCTTGTATGCGCTCCGGGGTGAGGTTGGCGGCGGGGTCGGCGTTGGGGTCGGAGGGGAGTCGGGAGCGTCGGACCAGCCGTCGCTGGGGGAGGATCGTTGTCGGGGAGCATGGCTTCTCTCTCTTTTTGCTTTGTGTGAGGGGAGTCTGGGGGAAGGGTTGCGAGAGGGGAGGGGGCCAAGGTAAACGACACAGATGATGAAGCTAAAGAAATGAGAAAAGCAGCAAGATATAGAAGCTAATTGGTTGCCGCACGTGTTCAATTGAATAGGTCGGGGTTCTCTCTCTCTAAGTGTGGGAGTTTCTGTCTTTTAGCTGTGTTGCGGGGAAGAGGTGTGTCTCATGATGGTCTGCATCGCTGGCGGAAACCAAGCTCTCGACCGAGGTGACGATGTCATCCAAGCTTTTTGCCCTGTAAAGATCCAGCCACTGTGGGTGCTGCATTGGAGTAGGAGTGGGGCGAGAGGTTTGGGGGAGGGAGCAGCTGGCAAGTTCCGGCAATAGCTCGGCAAATCACACCTCCAAGAGGTACGGATGACTTTGGCAGGACAAGTACCTTTTTCTGGAGAGTACTTTCTGCGTGTGCTTCAGCAAAGGTCGCGCCTGGCGTTAATTGTTATCGCGCTGCCCCACCAACGCGTCCACTTGGCTTCCTAGTCGCGTCCTCTCAACTTAGAACCCATGTAATGGGGCCCAGGTTGAAGTCAAGGTTGCCGTCTTCCCGTGTTCGGCTTTCCCCAACACCTGGGCTCCTTGTAAACTTTTTAGTCCAAATTCCCAAGTAATAAGTTTTAAAGAGAGAAGAAAAAAAGAACATAGCCATTCACGCCCTAGCCGAGTCTATCCCAAGCTTCAATGAGATAGACCCGAGTCACCCCTTCAAGGCACACACAACAATCCCCTTTGTGCCTTGAATCAACATGCCTCCTCCTCCTCCTCACCCAGCTGTTGGCAATGCCAAGGTAAGCTGGCCCAAGTCTCCAATGTGACGGCCTGGTGTCTCCTCCGTCTAGCAATTGTTGCCATGTATTTGATTAACCTTTGATGTTGTTCACAGAGATCCCCGTGGCAGCGATCATACAGCACACCTGTACCCAACAGGCTCGAGAGGACCCCTTCAACCATTTCCGAGGCGACGAGGAAAAAGCTCGAAAAGCTCAAGTTCCGCCACAAATCCGACTCGCCTGCTGCTGCCGCCGCCGCCGCTCCTACGCCTCACGACTCTGACAAGGAAAACTCCAAACCTAATACTAATCATGCTAGACCCTGCGAGAATGAAACGAACGTGACGGGGAAGCCGACCTCAACTCCTGTCAACACGACCGAAGACGCGGCGAAGCCACCCCAATCGCGTGAGCCAGCCCCCGACGACGATTTGCACAGGTCCCCGGATGATAAAGTCATGTGGGCCGCAGCATTGCAAGACGACCGCGAGCTGTATATGCCGCTAGGCGGCGTCGTCCGTCGCAGAAAAGGCAGGAAGAGGGCGAGGAGCTCGTCGCCGACTTCATCACCCATAACTAAGGTGAACTCGCCGGCGGTGAATATCAAGAAGCTCGCCCAGGCTCTCAGGTCTCCTCATCCCGACCCTACTCTGGAATTGTGGGACCGCTATACTTTCAAGGGCGGTATACGCGACGGTTCTCCTCAAGAAAGGGGTGGTGGCGATCTCGCCGATTTTCTCGTGGCATCCTCGCCGAGGCCCCCTGCGGAAGGTGTGGGCATGACGCCGCAAAGGGAGTCTGCGCTACGCCGAGCTGTCGCGTCCAGCCGCCTGCACTTTAACAAAAGGCGGAAGGTTGAGGCGGATGGCTCACCTACGTACATGACTGGCGGCGGCGGCGGTCCTTCTAAATACTCGTTGGTTACCTCGCTTCTTGACTCCGTTACCTCTAGTATGCAAGAGGCGCCCCAGAACCAGGACCAAAGCCCTCTTCACCTGAGAGAGGGGTCACGGCTTTCCCAGCCGCGAGCCCCTGCGGAATCTCCCTCACCAGCCAAGCGAACCCGACCCGCCATGATAGCCCCTCCCCTCAACCGAAACAGCTGAGTGCCTCCGCCGGCGGTCATACCCAGCTACCGACCGCGGATAACGATTACGATGACGACGACTTCGACGACGACATGCTCATGGAGATCGATGCTAGTATAGAATCGGCAGGGATTTCCGCTTCCCATACCACCCCCAAACAAGCAGCTCGCGCACCCAGCAGGTCTCCCCGCAAGTCCCCGAGAAAGCAAACCAACCCACCCAAGACACCCGCGGCCGCGAATATTCTCGACGACCAGGAAGACGGCAATGATGATGACGATGATTATGGCCTTGACGACATTGATGATGACGTGTTTGTTTTGGCTGAGCAGGCTGTAGTCAAGGAACCCGTCCCAGTGGTGGAGGTGGACCTTGTGAGCCAGTGGGGCCACGCGCCAGCGCCAGAAAAGAGCGTGGTGGTTGAAGAAGACCTGTTAGACGACGATCTAGGCGACGATGACGACTGGAATGCAGTGGAACTAGCTGCTACACAGGCAGCGGCTAGCCAGGCTGTATTCCAGGACATTCCGAAGCTATCGAACGCCGTCGGGTCGATTCCTGTACGTCTACGACCGTCACCGCGAACCGGTTCATACCACGCCCGTACTAAATCCTGAGCGTAGCGTGCCCAAAAGTCTAGGACAATCCAAAGGTACCTAGTCACCTCCGTCATCGAAAGCGATTATGTCGACAAGCATGGAAGAGAGCTTCCAGAAAAGGTGAGTTCATCCTCAAAACAAAAACGCACACCCCAGTCCTTGAACACTCCGCTGACGCGATCATCACCGTGCGCTAGATGCTCCTCCTCGAAGTTGAGAGCACGGGTAAGATGCAGCTAGCTTCACTTAGGGAGAATGGTACGATACGGAGGTTAGCGAAATGTCGTACGTCCACATTATTGGAGAGTTTGACAGGACTGGTCGGTGTGTCATCGACGATGACCAGAACATCTTGATCCTTGACCCCGATCAACTCATCTCGGCGACCGTCGTGGCCGATTCTTTTGGCTGTATGCGCCGCGCTGTGCTTCAAGAGCGTGTCAAGGCTACGAGCGACCCAACCCCGCCCCTTGTCTACGGAACCCTTTTGCACGAACTCTTTCAAGAGGCTCTCACAGCAGGGCGGTGGGACGAGAAATTTCTCACCGACGCGATTGCCGCAATCACGGAGAAGCATGTTCAAGATTTATACACCATCAAGGTGGACTTGCCAGCTGCTCGCCAACACCTTCAGTCCAAGATGGGCGAGCTCATGAACTGGGCTAGGACTTTTGTCGCGCCGTTCCCTCGAGTAAGTATCGGCGAATCCTAAGTGATGGATCGAGAAAAAAGGCATTGCCAGGGTTCATTTTCAACTAACTATTGGACAGCCCGACGCGCACGTACAGGATCGGAACCAGAAAAAGTCAATATGTGCATTAGCAAGCTTCTCGATGTCGAAGAGCACGTCTGGTCACCCATGTATGGACTCAAGGGAAACATTGACGCTACTGTCGAAGTCACTCTGAGGGACGGGCACCAGATCCAGACGTTGACGGTGCCTTTCGAGGTCAAGACTGGAAAGCACGTGAGCGCCAACCACGCAGCTCAAACTGCTCTCTATAATCTGCTCCTGTCTGATCGATACGATATCAACATCGCTTCCGGACTTCTATATTACATGGAATCGTCCGTCACCATGCGTGTGCCGACTATCAGGCGGGAGATCTTGCACATGATCATGCAGCGCAACCGACTCGCCTCGTATATCCGCAAACGAGAGATTAACCTGCCGCCCATGGCAAAGAAGCAGAACCTATGTGGGAGGTGCTATGCTCAAACCTCTTGCTTCATCTATCATAAACTGGCGGATGAGGGCGATGGGGAAACCAGCGGAATGGGTACCAAGTTCAACGAAGTTGTCAAGCATCTCACACCGGCCCACCGCGACTTCTTCGTCAAGTGGGAGAACCTGTTGACTGCGGAAGAGAAGGAGAGTCGCCGGTTGAAGCGCGAGCTCTGGACCATGCTCAGCACGGCCCGCGAAAAGGTTGGACGCTGCTTCTCGGATGTGATTATTGACAAGGTCCTGGAGCAGACGGATCACTCCAAGATCAACAAGTTCCAGTATTCGTTTACCAAAGGCTCCCCTACCCCAGACTTCTCCTTCCTCGAGTCGCAAATCGCCGTCGGCGAGCCCGTGGTCGTGTCGGATGAGCAAGGCCACTTCGCCTTGGCCCTGGGCTATGTCACGTCAGTTCGGAAGAACCGCATCACGCTCGCGGTGGATAGGCGGCTTCACAACTCACGAATTCGACAGCCTGGGTTTGACGAGGTTGATAACCAAGTCTTTACTGGTATCATGGACGTCAATGCACAGGCTGGTCAGGATTCCTCCAGCACCGCCAACAGTCCGCCGTCGATCCGATACCGAATCGACAAGGATGAGTTTAGCAATGGCATGGTTGTCGTTCGGAACAACATTGTCCAAATCATGGCCGACGGCGTCTTCGGGTCCCAGCAGATCCGGCGCCTCGTCGTGGATCTGGAGAAGCCGCAGTTCAAAACGACACCCACGCAGTACCACGTTCCTGGGCACGAAAGCCTCAACGTTGACCAGAAGCGCGCTGTAGAAAGGTGATGAGTGCGCAGGACTACGCCCTCGTTCTCGGTATGCCGGGCACTGGCAAGACGACTACGATTGCGCACATTATACGCGCTCTGACCGCGCAAGGCAAGAGCGTCCTGCTCACGTCTTATACGCACACGGCTGTGGACAACATTCTGCTGAAACTCAAGACGGACAAGATTAACATTCTTCGTCTCGGTGCTCCAGTTAAAGTGCATCCAGAGGTGCAAGAGTTTGTCACCCTTGCCGGAAACCCCATGACATCTTTTGAGCAGATCCACGAGGCATGGCATGGTACCCCTATTGTGGCGACCACCTGTCTCGGGATCAGCCATCCGATTTTCAACGAGCGAACCTTTGATTACTGCATCGTCGACGAGGCGTCCCAGATTACCCTGCCTGTCTGCTTAGGGCCAATTCGTATGGCTCGTACCTTTGTGCTCGTCGGCGACCACAACCAGCTGCCCCCACTGGTACAGAACAAGGAAGCGCGCGAGGGGGACTCGACATTTCGCTTTTCAAACTTTTATCCGATACCCACCCGGACAGCGTCGTCAACCTCGAGCATCAATACCGGATGAACGAGGACATTATGACTCTGAGCAATACCCTCATCTATGATGGGAGGCTCCGCTGCGGTACCGAGGAGTTGCGAACCAAGAGCCTGGAGGTGACAAACATGGCGGCTCTAGGGCGGCTACACTACAACGCCACCGACCTCGCAGCCCCGTCGATGGCGCCCACCTCGGTCTGCACTGGCGGGCCCCTATGCTGGCTCCGGCAGGCGCTCGAACCGGAAGCTCGCGTCGCATTTCTCAACACTGATACGATTGCTCCCCGGATTTGCGAGGAGGCCAAGGGAAATCGTATCGTCAACCCGTCCGAGGCCCAAATTGTGACGCAGCTCGTAGAGTCGCTCATTGCCGTCGGCGTGCCGACCTCGGAGATTGGGGTCATGACACACTACCGGTCCCAGCTATCCCTGCTCAAGCACGCACTTCGCCACACGAGCGTCGAGATGCACACAGCCGACCGTTTCCAGGGCCGCGACAAGGAGGTCATCGTGCTCTCTCTCGTACGTTGCAACGAGAACAGCAACATTGGCGATTTACTCAAGGACTGGCGCCGTATCAACGTCGCCTTTACCCGCGCCAAGACGAAGCTCCTCGTTGTCGGTAGCAAGGCGACGCTTGGGGGCGCGGGGAAGGAGATGGTGGCGCGCTTCGTGCACCTCATGGAGGAACGATCGTGGATCTTGGACCTGCCAGCGGATGCGCTGGGGAGCCACCACTTTGATGAAAACCTAACGCAGAGCCTGACGCAGTGGAAGACGCCCCGCAAGGCTGGTGCCGGACTGTCCCCTGGCAAGCGGAGAAGTCCCCCGGTAAGGCCACGTCCCCCAACGGCCACGGACACGGGCCCCGAAAGAGGCTGTTTGGCCAGGTGGGCGCAGGCAAGGAGAATGCAAGCGTACAGCAACGGACAGGCCCTAAAAGGTGGGCCTGAGCGATAAGGCGCTGAGTGGTAGATTTACCGTGGGCAGAGATGTGCTCAACGAGTTAATGGATGGGCAGATGGGACGGGAGTCGTTGTAAACGACTTTGAACGACCCAACGACTTGATGTTGTTTCTTCTTTCTTTTCTTCTTCTTTTGCAAGTCCTGTATCCTTCTGAAACCGCGCTCCCTTCTTGCCCTTTGGTTTCCTCCGTTATAGAGAACGGAGTCAGGATGGATAATGATTGGGTGCATGAGCACGGAGTCTTCTGGCGTTTTCTTTCTTGGTTGACGACATGTTTTGCAAAGGTCGCAGTTTAAGGGAGCTGTGAAGGCGATCTTGTATGGTTTTTTTGGGGGTCTTTGTTCGGATAGGAAACCCACGCATCACTAGCTTGAGACCATGGTCGACAAGCAAGGTGGCTGAAAGTATATATACATATCTATATATTAAAATCAACATCTTCTTCAAGTGTGTCTACTACATGTCCATATCGTCGTGCACGATCAACCAATCCGGGGTATGTAAAAACGCGCAATAACTACCAACTGTATCCAGTGGAGAAAATATTCAATCTATTCATCTTGGTCTGATTCAGATTCTTCATCGGAGCTATCTTTAAATTCGCTGTCGAAGCTAGATTGTGAACATTGTTAGACAGCGTCGAAGCAGTTGGGCAAGGCTACATTTCATGGGTGGTCAAAACGGCAAGGAGGGTGTGTGTTATACACCTTGGTGGCTTGGAAAAGAAAAGGGACAAGGAACGAAGGAAGGAAAAAGAGCTTACCCCATCTCCCCGACAATAAGCTTGGTGTACTTTTCCATGGACTCGAGATAGGCGACGCATCGCGTCAAGCTCTCGTTGAAGGAGTAGCGATAGACGAGGGCGAGTTTGCCATGCTCTGTCTGCTCGTCGGCGGTGGGTTGGATGAGTTCGTCTTCGAACTCGGCGATGGCGTCGATGAGGCGTTTTCGGGCGATGGCGGCGCTGGGAAGATAGCGCTGTTGGGAAGGAAGAAGTGAGATTTGGGTCGAGGTTAGCGGGGACGAGGGAAGGGGAAAGGGGGAATGAGAAAGCCAAAGGGGAAGAAGAGGATGCGAGAGAGAATGGGGAAAGGAGGGTTGAGGGAAGCATACCGGGACCTTGCTGCCGGCGTAGAGGGCGCCGGAGAGGACGTAGAGGTTGGTCAGCATGCTGGCGATGGAATCCCTGCGGAAGCCGAGGATCTTTTTCGCAGCGTCGCCGGCGCGGACGAAATCGGTGGCGTAGAAGAGGGCGCACTGGCGGACGACGTAGAGGTCGTTGAAGTAGCCCTCGCAGGCGTTGATGAGGGCGGCGAAGGGCAAGGGGTCAAAGGGCCCGCGGAGGCGGAGCTCGTGGCGGGTGAGGAGGAGGAGCTCGCGGACGCGGACGAGGCTCTCGCGGAAGTGGGAGTCGAGGATTTCGGATTCGCGCATGTCGGCGGGGGTGGCGGGTTGGGATTCTTGGTAGTAGATGTATTTGGTGACGATGTCTGCGAGCGAGGGCGTTTTATTCTTCAATTAGCCACACACTCTCTGCCGTTTTTTGGGGGTACCCCTCTGCTTGCGGGTTGACCAAGGGTTATTTTTGTACGTTACCTCTTGATATGATGCCGAGGAAGAAGAGGATATAGGACAAGGATGTTCGGAGCTCGTGTCGCGCGATGAAGGGCCATACGATCCAGTTGACGATGGTGGCTGCGGTCACGCCGACTAGGATGGCTAGACCGCGATACCAGGCCAGTATAGGGTGCTGTCTCTCGGCCACTAGTCCTAGAGAGACGACGGCAAAGTCAGGCATCCGGCGAGACCGGATCGCTAAAATACAGAGAGTGTGCACGTTAGAAACCCTGGTTTCGTTTTCTTTACAGTCGCTCGGCGAGGTTCCTGAGGCGGGGAGAGGGGTTTCTGGTTTGACTTACAGCGTGGACAGTTCGGGTGTAACGATACATCATCGGGAGCATAAAGGCCGGAGCAATAGGGATCATGTAGTAGGGGTTAATCTGTCCGGCTTGCCATATGGCAGCGCTCCAAAGCGTAGCAAGCATAACGCACACCACTCGGTTCACAAGGTCTAGGACGCTCCCACCAACCCTAGGCACGAACCAAGAATGTTAGCCAAACCGTCCCCAAGATTGCCAACGAAAGAAAAAAAAAAAGAAAAGGAGAAAAGGCTGGCAAGGCTAGAAGCGGTGGCCAACTCACATCGTGTGGCACAAAATCCACGCCACGCAGACAGCCCACCACGCGTCGACTTCATTCCACCATTGCACCTCGGAGAGATAGGCCGGGATGGCGAGGCACCCCGTCACGGCCACTACGCGGGCGGCGTATCGGCCCTCGAAGCCCTGCAGGTGATGCAGAAATCTCCACACCTTGTGCCTGGTCGTTTGGGGGTTTGCATCCCCTGAACCCGTTCTTGTTGTCGAATGCGGGCTTCGGGGACGGTTGTTCATCGTCCTCTGCGTTGGCGGGGAGATACTCGCGCGCCTGTATGTCCTCAACGAGCCGCATAGTCTTTACAAAAGTTTGATGGTACGCGCCTATGTTGATATTGGAGGATGATGTTAGTGATTCTATTCCGTCGGCTGGCCGAGGAGTAGGAGAGGTAGGAGAAGAGAGAGAGAGAGAGAGACGGTACTAACTTGGAGTGACTGCTCCGCGGTCATGGCGCACTTGAGAATTGGTGAGGGTCAAGGATTTCCAAAACTTGTAGGCAGGCGGGTGAAAGTGAATGTGACTTGACTGCCCTAGCACATGGCGCAGGTTCGTGATCAAGCTGACGATGGGATCGGCAGCCATCCGCACCGACTGGGCGAGGCTAAGCATCCTCACGATATCAGGGTTGTAGTCCCGAATCCCCTGGATGTCCGCAAGGGTGGTCTCGACGGCGTCGAACGCGCTCATTGCCGCGCACAACACCTGCTGAGCATGGCCGAGGTCCGACGGAACGTCGTCCGGGGGCCCAGAAAGGATCTATACCTGGTGATGTCCATAAAGGCAGCGTCGCAGGCTCTTAGGCCATCCCTCATGCCATCGATCAACGCCTGCGTCGGCTCACGGAGCGTGTTGGTTCCCATCTGGATGACGCCGTCGTCCGACATGACGGACACGCGGCGACTGCTCAGGCCGGACCGACCCATCGTTCCAAGACTTCGATCGCTGAGAAGGGACGTGCGGCTTCTTCCCGTCATTGGCCGTCCGCAGAGCATGTCGTTGAGCAGGTCGGAATCTAGCCTCATGTTGAGGATGCCTCGGATGACGCTCTGCATGCGATTTCGGAGCTCTTCGAGGTTATCCATGCTGCAGCGGATGATGGTGATGTCTAGCTTGGTGTCTCGGTAGACCGTCGACAGGTCGAAAAAGGCTTGCGAGAGACGCTGACGCATTCCGTAATCCCTGGGGCGGGGCACCACGAGGCCTTCCTGTTATGGGCGTCAGTACCGAATGGCCATAACCTAACGTTGATGATCTTTTAAAAACAAATTTGGTAGGGGGTCGGCTTACATCCATGGCTGAGAATGTTCGGTGGAACACTTCGGCTACCGGAAGCGTCCCGGCATCAGGAAAGATGCAGAGACACACTAAAAGAGCAATGGCTTGACCCAACACCCAGGGAGGGCATACTGCCATATCTTGTTCCACTTCACAACGTCTCCATCAACCTCGGCGAGGCAAGTGTAGCTGATGGCCATGCCCGCACAGACGACCAGCTGATATAGCCGGATGAAGTACGATCGGAGATAGGCAACAAAGGCCATAAACGTGCCGAGAAATACGGCCAGGGTCAGGTTGTAGAGCGAACCGGAGAGCGCCGAGAGGGCCAAGCCGATGGATCCCCACGCCAGCCCGGCGGCCGTACCCACGGTCGTCAGAACGGCGCCGTCGATCTGCGCGCCAATGGTACGACCGGGATGATTGATAATGGCCGACACCGCCATGACGTACGCGTACCGGCCCATCCAGTCGGTGACCGCGGGAATGAGGCAGAGGATGTAAGCGATGTAAAAGGCGAGAAAGGACTTTATGGTGAGGATGCCGGACCGCGTCTTGAACGCATCCGTCGCGGAGGCCCTGAGGCCCTCCCACTGGCCCCTGACGTAGCGCTTGATGGAGAAGAAGTTCTTGGGCTGCATGTGCTCGGGAAGCACGGACTCGATATCCTTCATGAGTTCGCAGTAGTTGATTTGGGGCGGTTTCAGGAAAAAGGCGTCGAAGAAGCTGTCCCGCGACTCCTCCACGCCGTACGTGCTGGCCCCCGCGGTCGACTCCTGGAGCAGTTCCTCGATGAGGGCCAGGTTGATTGCCGAAGAAGCGCGCGAGATTGACACTCTAACCGAGGGCGGCGCTAGAGACTCGTCGCCCGGGCGCGATTCGCTCCGGGTTGAGCTCGGCCGTGGCGGCAGGCCCGAGATGGTGGCGCGGCGCCGCCGGGCACTCGCCGCCATCGCCTGCTTCCGTAGCTCATCAGGGAGCCACGAGGTTCCGGCTAGAGGGTCGACGCTGGTGGTGGAGGAGGAGGAAAAGGCAGCTTCGGCGTGCTCGCTTCCCTGCGATCCACGAACGGGCGACGTCATGTTCGCTCGACCCGTTGGTCCTTGGCTGCCCTACACAGATTTCCAGTCCCTTGTTTGTCTGATCTGAGTGATGAATATTGGAAAATGCATCTCAATTACCCCGAGCATGCCAAGTGCTTTCCTGAACTAAGACTTTTAGACCTGAAGGGTGGTAGAAGTAGAAGTGGCCTGTAACATCCACGTACAAGAAGACACTGCTCAATCGCAACGCGGTCTTCCCAAAAGGTCATGCATCTGTAAGTGGGATCGGACTTGTTGAAGACCCGCGGGCCGTAAAGAATGGTATTGTCTGCTACGAAGCGCGTGCTCGCATTGTGTTTAAAGCTCAACTGAATTGTAGATAGTATGGATGATGATCTATTACTCCGGCCGGCCTCCCTACACGTACGACTCTCGGAGTCACGAGTGGATCTCATTCTTTTCTCGCTTCACCACTGATTTCACTAATGGGCAGACGGCCTTGTTAGTGCAACCAACGTTCATGGATGAGGTTAGCCGGCCCCACCTCAAGTTCATGCGGTGCTGCGTCACGTGAGATACCACACCTCGACACTCAAGTCCGTCCGACCTTGAGCTCCCCTCCTTGCATGGGAGAGCAAAAGACACACACACTCGCTCGCGGCAGAATCTCGGTACATTAACCAAGTTTACTCATCCAGTCACAACCAAGCGGTCCATCATCAGAAACCTCACGTAGAAGAATCGACCAGCCAAGAGACAACCGCCATCTCCAACCCGTCCAAGTCAATTGGGGATCACCAACCGCCCAGACCAATCTCTGCTCCCTCCTTTCCCTCCCCGCCGGCCGAACGCTCTCACCCGCCACAAAGACTTTTTCCCTTCCTGTTCACGATGGTCCTCCTTCGCGCCAACACGGCCGTGCGGGCCGCCAGAACCCTCCGCACCCTCGCCGCGACACCTTCCGCTACTACCGCTGCTCGTCCCTTCTCGGTCTCTTCGCGCCGCCTCGGCGGCGACGCTCACGGCCACCACGAATCTCCCTACGATCCTCCCTCCGGCTACCTCTTTGGCATCAAGCCCGGCGAGAAGCACCAGAAGGAGGGATGGGAGAACCTCATGTTCTACGGCTTCGTCCCTAGCTGTCTGCTCCTCATCGTTGCGCTTGCCTTCAAGCCCGATACTTCGTAGGTTTTACCTCTTCTTCTTTCTACTTTCCCCCATTTTACTGCGCAGTAGCCGTGGGACTTGGTGTGGAAGCCGTGCCCAGATCCGCCGTGGGGGAGGGACCTCGGCCTCTGCGGTATTTTGATAGTGGATGTATAGGCTTGATAACTAACCACTTTCGCCGTATAGCCTCGATACCTGGGCCCTCGAAGAAGCCCGCAGGAGGTTAGAAGCCGAGGGTCTCCTCGTGGATCCTCATCCCGAGCACGTCCTCCCCGTCGACGAGTACACGAGCACGAGAGAGGGCAAGCACCCTCCCGTCTAAATCGACTGTATATCGTCTGAGCAAACATTAATTCAGAATACAACCAATAAACAACCAATAGAAGGGAAGATTACAGTGGTTTTTCTACGGAAATAGGTTCTCGAGCTCGATTAAAACCCGTCTCTTTTCTTTGGTTGCATGCTTCCCCCATCCCACCTAACTCTTTGGTCAATGCCGCCTGGGAGGGAAGACTGTGTATCATGGCCAAGATTCATTACATCCTTTGTTTTGTTTTCCTTCCTTTCCTTCTTCAGTCATGTCTGGATTCTTCCAATCCCTGTGTCTAAATACGCCCCTCTCCGATCACGCTACAGTTATTGCCGGAGTTGGTAGACGCTGCATAGAACGGCGGTCGGTCTTGGCCGCCACCTTTTTGTTCCTAGAATCTCCCCTCCCACCCTCTTCCCGCCACTTGAAACTCTTGATATGAAATAAATAAACAAATAAAAAGAGGAAGGACTCTAGAAGGATCCAATCGTCCACCCCTCCCCTTGGACCGGCGTGAAAATGTGTAAGACACAGAATGCATGTATACGTTGCGTGCGTGTGTTGTGTGGGCGTGGACACAAGTTGGTTCACAAGTCCAGGTCAAAAGACAGATAGATAGATGCGTAAAGAGCATTTCACAGTCACCCAAAAAAACCAAAATCCGCTTTAAATTTATACACAAATGGTGCCATATTCGTTTGACCATCGACAAGACGAACACGGTCAAAAATCTAGGTGCGCTACCCGTGACCCCATTTTCCCTCCCTTCTTGTCCTTCTTTATTTTTAAACAGCGACGTGGCTCCACTGGTGATCCTCATCACCGTACTGCCTAGCCTCAATCCACTCCTTCATCTGCAGGGCAACGGGACCCGTCTCCTCGCTATCCTTGAGACCGCAGTTGACGAGCTGGCCCTTCCAGCTGATGGCCCTGACGGGGCTGACCACGGCCGCGGTGCCGGAGCCAAAGGCCTCGAGAAGACGGCCCTCCTTGGACGCGTCGGCCAGTTCCTGCATCGTGTACTTCCTCTCCGAGACCTTCCAGCCCTGGGGGATGAGCCTCTCCCGAGCAAGGCTGAGGACGGAGTCGCGAGTGACACCCTCGAGGATAGTGCCGTCAAGCGGAGCGGTAATGAGCTCCTTCTCTCCGGTCGCCTTGTCCTTGATGGCGACAAACATGTTCATGGTGCCGACCTCGGTCACAAACTCCTCCTCGCCAAAGAGCCAGAGGTTCTGCTGGAAACCGCGGCTGGCAGCATCCAACTGGGGCACGATGCAGGGGGCGTAGTTGGCGCCGAGCTTCTTGTCACCCACACCACCGGGCCAGGCGCGGACGGCGTAGTCGGTAGCCTCGAGGGAGACGGCCTTGAAACCGGTAGGGTAGTAAGGACCCACGGGAGAAGCGATGACGTACAGGAGAGCCGAGCCGGGAGGGCCGACACCGAGCGTCTTTTGCGTGCCGATCATGGTGGGGCGGAGGTAGAGAGAGTAACCGCGCTGGTTGGGGATGAAGCGGGACTCGAGCTTCACGAACTCGGCGATGAGCTTGGTCAGCGCTTCGGGATCGATGGTGGGGAGGGCGATGCGGGCGGCGGACTTGTTGAGACGGATGGCGTTCATGTCGGGGCGGAAGAGGCGGAACTGGCCCTTGGAGTCGCGGTAGGCCTTCATGCCCTCGAAGCACTCAAATGCGTAGTGGAAGACGCAGGTGGCGGGATCAAGGGACAGGTTCTGGTAGGGAGCGATCTTGGGGGCGGACCAACCGCCCTCCTTGGTCCACTCAATGGTGAGCATGTGGTCTACGAGGTTGGCGCATATACAGTCAGCTTTACAGGTACCACCCAGACTTGGGGAAAATGTGCGCGTCAGGCGGGGGTGGAGGCTAAGGGGGAACAAAGCTTCGTACCAGTAAACGTCCTTCCGAAGACGAGCTCCTCGGGGTTCTTCAACGCTGAAGGCTTGGCCGTCTTCTCAATGGAGAGCTTCGAAATGTCGACAGGCAAGGGCTTCGCCCCGCGGTGCTGTATAACCTCGAAGCTTGCCAGGCCAGCGCCGGCGCAGTTTGCCTCGCCAGTAACGTCGCCGAGGGAATGGCAGAGCGCCATCGCGTAGCAAGATGACGCATCTTGAGAAAAAGATTAGAGTATGGGAGAAGGGAGAGCGGAGAGGGTGCGCAAAGCAAAGAACAAAAAAAAGAAAAAGGGTTGGTTGGGGTCAAGGAAACAAAGGTTGAGGGTTGTTGAAGGAAGAGTCACCCGGCGCCGGAGCCAAGAGATATTCACCGCCAAGAATTGGGAGCAGGGGCTGACAGAAGCACGGCCTGGGGGCGGGCTTGCATGCAAAAAGGGTGCGCGTGGTCGGAGCAGGCTTTGCCGGGTTCGAAATTTCGCAATTTTTAGTGGTCAATGGGATTCCGATAGAGGAGATAAGCAGCGGCATTTGCCGGCCGTTTAGAGGTGCGACAACCGTAGGCCTCACAACCCAACCAATAATCGCCAATAACCAATAACTGGGGAAATGTGGATACATGCATACCACTTTTCCGGGGAAAGCTTCGGATCCGCTTATCGTAATATTCTATCTTTGTATGCGATATATAAGACAGGCTCTCACTCTCACGAGCTTGTACGATGCTTAGACTCCTGTCTGGTACATGCTTTAGAGAGTTCATCGTAGAGTACAAGGGGTATCGCGGCTCTTCTGCCACTTCTGATCCCGGTCGCCAAAGGGCCATGAAAGTCTTAGCTTCTAGAAGAGGCCCTCAGAGCAATAGCGACGAGTTGTCGCAAAGGCAGCTAGCTGCTATTTAAAGAATCCATTTCATGCAGGCACGAACCTTCTAGATCCGAACATGCGGCTCTAATACTTGAGATTAGTTTTTAAGAAAAATAATAGAACAAGGCACTTGGACCAATCCTTCCCCGCCTTGTCCTAGGATTAGATGCAACGCTATGATGTGGTTTTCGCCTCCCATGATCTCAGCCAGCCAACGCCTCAAGGATCAAGCTAAACGGCGTCCAAGAAAACACATCGCCCTCGCAGCCCCCTTCGGTGCCCTACCCCATGGCTAGAGTAGGCTCTCGTACTTATCCAAGCCGCCTTTAGGCTTTGCCTGGCTGTTAACTTGCCCCATGGTCGTCCCCGAGCCCATTGAGTTGCTTATCGCGGCGCCAGAATTCATGCCCATACCCATGCCCATACCCATACCCATACCCATATTTGTGCCCATGCTCATGCCGCCCATGCCCGAATTTGGTGGGTTAGAGATTCCTGGCTTGGCCATCGGGGCCATTGCCGCCATGCCCATGCCCATGCCCATTCCCATATTCATTCCTCCAGTCGCACCGGTGCTCGCCCACGCATTGCTACTGCTAATCTGCGGTTTCGGCTGTGGAGGGGGTAAGCTGAAAGAGGAAGATCCACCAAGGTTGTTCGATGGTGGTGGCGGTAAGGAGAAGGAGGATGCGGAGGAAGTGGAGGCCTGCTGCTGCAACGTCATCGGGCGTTGCGCATTGAGAGAGAGATTACCCATCGAGGTTCCCATGCCGCCAAAGGCGGAGGATGACTGTTGCTGCTGACCTATCGCTGCTGGGCTAGCCATGGAGGACCAAGGGCTTGATGCCGGCGCAGCTGCAACTGTGCTGCCGGAGCCCCAATTAATAGACGAAGCTGAGGCGGTGGTTGTGCTCGGCGAGAGCGTGGGCGGTGCGAATGCTGACTGCTGGGATACCTGAGTCGGCTGGAGGGGCTTCGAGAACTGAGTCGAGGTGGGTGTGAGAGCCCCAAAGGTGGAAAGGTCGGGCGTAACAGTGCGGAAGCTGGCCTGTTGTGCCTTGACCGCCGTAGGCCCCGCCCGTGCGGGTGCTGGAGTGGTTGACGGTGTGGACCAGGCAAACGCCGCGGGCTGTGGGGAGCCGCTGGGACGTGATATTGTCGACGCCGCGATAGCGGCACTCGGTGGGTTGTCGTCCCAGTTGGAGAAGGACCCGCTCGCATCCTTCGACGTCGAGACCCTCCCCTTGACCAATGCCTCGAAGTTGTCTTCATCGTTACCGCCAGAGGGGTCAAACGCCGTCCCCGTGAGCCCTCCAAAAGCAACGAAATCGTCGGTAGGAGCGGCAGTGGCACCATTTGATGAACCGGAAAGTTCTTGCAATTTCTTAGAATGTTCGTCCTCGACCTTTCTTGAGAGGCCCTTGATGAGGTCCATGAACGCCTGGAATTGCTGCAGGCTCAGGAGCGGCCCGAGACTCATATTCCACAACACGGGAAGGATTTCCATGGCGACAAACTCAATGTCGGCCGCATCCCCAACTACTTTGAGGACATCGTGAGCGGCCATCATCACCGCAGGCTCCTTAGTTTTGATGGCCTTGACTAGGGGCACAATCTTTTCCTGCATTGTGTACTTGTCAAGCGCACTCGAAGTAGTTGGCTTCTTGTTGTTTCGCAAGCCGTCAAGCCCATCATCCGTGGTCGAATCAGGGGATCCCCACACAAGATCACAAACGCGCGCAACCCGCGAATCTTGATCTGCAGACTATTGGTCTTGCTAAATACCGTTGCGATGATCGGGAATAGCTCGTTCTTGATTGTGCTGAAATCAAGGATAGGGAGGATAACAGGCAGACCTCTAAGGGCGGCATCTACGAGCGAGTGAGTAGCTGACTCTATCGCAGCAACAACAACGGGAAGAATATCTAGCGCCATGTTAGTCTTGCCGAACCAAAATCTAGGGATCCAAAAAGAAAGGGGGGCCATACCGTCTTTGAATTCTTTTCCAGACGAGTTTTTACAGATAGAGGACATGTTCTCCAACACAACCATGAGCCCGGCGTCCTTTGCCGGGTCCTTATCCGGTGTAGGGGCCTGAGCTGACTTGGAACTAGGCGCGGGAACGGCAAAAGTTTCTTTTAAGACCGGGCGGACCTTCTCCCCGAATGCACGCTTCGCGGACGGGAGCAGCTCAATGATTTTGAAGACGTTCTGGAGGATGAGGGAGATCAACTCCTTGTCCTTCATCTCATCCAAAAGCGATGGTAGCAGCTTCTTTTCCATGACGGATTTGGGGAAGCTAGGCAAGACTTTGATTAAGCCGCGTAGGAATTGAGACTTCTCCCCAGGAGTCTTAGCGGGGAAAGTGTCGAGGAACCGGATGGTAGAGACAAGGATGTTGTCAAAGTATTCGCTTTCTTGAAACTCTTTGGCCGACATGCGCTGGGCGGGCCGGCGTGTTATGAGACGAGGCAGAACATGGTTGGCAAGATCTCGAGGCAGATTGCCTGAGCATAAAAACTTGTTCGACGTTGACGGCACCGTCGAAGAGGACGAGAAGAGGCGCTTGTATGTCGACACGCTCCCGTGCGCCTCTAGAGGAGACCGGTGCGGGGTATTATATAAAGATATGCACAAGACGCCCAGCGAGAACATATCGGCGGAAACATTGAGATTGGTGTCGAGGACGAAGTCAGGTGAGGTAAAGTCGAGATTAAGCTGGACATGACGGGGCAATCTCGGGTCGATGTTGAGTACTTCGGAAAGGCTGATGGGCTGAATGGACGTGGGCTTCGTCGAACCGTCTGCTGGTGTACAAAAAGAAAGACCGCTGATCTTCCAGTCCGACTGTGGAGGTGTTAGAGGGGACTTTCTGAAGGGGTAGAGGATGATGGCTAGGGCTTCGCACGTACCTTTGCGTTGATCAGGACAGCATCTGGGGTAAGATTCCCGTGGACCAGCCCCGCATTATCGTGCATAAATTCTAAAGCCTTGCTGATTTGCAAGAGGCCCTTCTGAATTTCGAGTTCGTCTATCTCGAGCTCTCTCCTCCTCCTCACTCCATCAGCATCTTCGACGACAAATCGGCTAGACCGGCCGCCGCTCGGCCGGCTACTGGTCTCTCTGTCATCTTTCTCGGCCAGAAGACTAGATAAGCTTGCAGTGACAGCTTCCGATACAAATTGTAGTCCTCCCCTCTCGTATCTTCAACGGGTTCAACGAGTTCTAGGATATTCGGGTGTCGCAATTTGGCCAGGCTTGACGCCTCTTTTCTCAGCCTTTCCACCACCTCGTCGGCGGCGCGCTTAAAGGATGAGGCTCCCGACCGACCAAGGGAGCTTCCATGCGAGTCCAAGGATTTCCTGTCAAAGATAAAAACGCTGTAGACCTTTCCGCTAGACTTCTTCTTGGCATCGTGAATCTTCCATGGACCGGCGGTAGAAGTGGCTTCGGGGAGATAGAATAGTTGCCCGTGATATTGGTAGCCGATATGGATTTGAAGGCGGAGGAAAACATGGACATCGTGACGAAATTATTCAGAAGCGGGTCGTGGAGGGTATTAACGCATGACCGTTCAGGAAGCTACTGTCGCGGAGCTTGTCGGCAGGCTCACGATTAATCTCTCGCCCCTAGTCGTGGATCTTATCAAACGACTTGATAACGAAGGCTTCGGCGTACACAGTAAGCAGATGAGGTTATTCGATCGTGAACCTCCAAAGGAAGTATCCCGCTTTTGAATAGGGAAGATCGACGATTCTGGAATCGCTGATGAAACGGGGACGGTGGCTTTGCAATTCGAGCTGATGATATCTTGCCGTCTTGCGCGGCACGTCAGCCCGATGCGATAATCGCGAGCTCAATTATTTTGTGCCTTATTTCACCGCCTTTGCCCCTAAACCTCGACAGTTTATTAGTAGCATGCACACCTTGCTTGTGAAGGGCAGTTTGACGCACTATAAAATAGCATCAATCAGCTCACACTAATATCTATCCCAAGGGACTATTCGTTCTTTACAAAGAGGGTAGGACCAATGAGTATCAATTGACCCTCTTGCACCATTCCTCGGAGAATTTGGTCTGCACTTGACTCAGCTGGGGCCACTCCGTGTTAGGCCGCAGTGTCGTTGATTTCCCCACCATACGCACATACGCGTTGATGACGGGGGACTGAGACATTGATAGCAACCAAGATCCCAGCCTACTGGGGGTTTGCCTCTAGATACTGAGATCCATGGATCCATGTATCAATATAAGTCGGCACGATTACCGGATACAACGAGCCCTGCTCAGCCTAGCTAAGTCAGAGCATATCCTTATGGGTGTTTGCTCTCATGAAGTCTGCCTCAAAAGAAGGGGAAAAAGAAGAAAAATGTAAACACAAAAACAGGCACACAAGACTGGTCTAGGCCTCCACGCTCTGCCAAGCGAAGTGGCCTACTTTCCGAGATCTATAATAATAGGTGGCTTACCAAGGTACTCGGATTCAACATTGACCAATATCCTCTCCTTCTTAGGGAGCAACAAACGTGACGGGAAGCGCCACTGGGATCGTAGGCTGCATGGAAAACATGCACTTTTGGGCCCCCGAAGGCGTTGCGAGGTTGGTCGGTCAGCCAAGGACAAGGGAGGTTTACATCACGCTGCCATCCGGGAGGAGGTGATGGTTATGCGCCGAGACTTGGGAGATGCGGGCTTTCGGTAGGTCCAGGCATTGGTTGATCCTGCTCGCTAAAAAACAAAACCAAAACCGGAAGAAAAAAAGATGGCGGGCAGGGGAAGAAGACGCTCCTGCCCAGGTCTAGGTGGTGCACCTTCCCGAGGGCAGTCGATGCAAGGACGGCACATCGAACAGGAAGGAAGCTCTTGCAGCGTGTTCCACATTGTGCCTTCCTGGCCCGAAGCCCGCGGAACCATGTGAGGTGGCGACAGGCATCATGGATCCGACGGTTAAGCTGGAGAGATTGTTAGATTAGATGCCTGGATTTGATCAATGGCAAACCCATGTTTGGCGACCGAGTTCCGTAAACAATCCCACACGCAGGGGCGGGTTGTTCATTAATCGAGACAACCAGGGACTTTCCCAAACCCCAATTCTAATCTCCCGTTGATAATAACAACACGTTAACGGATCCTCTGGTCGTATTATCTCCTGCTTGATACCCTCAGCGCATCAGCTCCTCGACAATTTACACTAGAGATCCTTACGTCCTCGGAGTGAAGACTATCCCTGCTTGACGGCCAGCTGGCTCGGGCGATTTTGACCTGTGGAGCAGAAATGGATACGTTGCTGTGGCTCAACATCCTCCCGGCTTGCTCCTCCCAAGCCGCTGGGTCGGGGAATATTCATCTTTCCCACCAAGCGGAAATGGGGCTCTTCCGCTCCACAGGGTCCGTGGGGAAAAGGGGGATAGACTCCTCCAGCGTTATTAAACGCTGGCATCTTTAGTTTGGTCGACCCTCATCAGCTTGCCAGTGGTGGGAACTCAGACCAGTGAGGAGCAACCCATTAGCGAATCCTCCGCATTAGTTGAATAACAGGCGAAGTTCACATAGGAGGTAACCCTTGAATCATGCCTCATGCACCACGACGATTTGGTCACCGGCCTGAGCAAGTTTTTATCTCATCTTGCTTCTTAAGAAGAGCTCACATCCCTGGCATTGGATACCTCACCTCCGTGAAAGGCGTCTCCTTGAAATACGGGCAACTTTTCTGATTTGAGCGTGTGCCTCGTCCAGCCGCTCTTTTGGGGAGTTGTCGTTACATAATTTAACATCTCCACGGCCAGGATTGTCTCGGTGATGATGCTTGTAGGTAGACGACTTGGAAGGTCTGGGGCACTCTGGTACTTCAGCCACATTCTCACCTCTTGTCCGATCCCTTCCGGGGGATATTAACTCTGAGGCATTCGCACCTCCTCCATGCCAGACCGCCAACAGCCATCAATGGAAGCGGTGCTGCATGGCTTTGGCAACGCACGCCACAGCGTAAAATCCCGGGCCCCTTTAAAAGGAAGGATGACAAGCTTCATCCTCGGCGTCGAATCGGCTCATCACAAGGCTTCACGTCTGATTTCTCTCTGTGAAGTGACCAAAGGAGCGGAGCCTTCTGATGTTGCTCCAGCAGTCACGCATGGCTGTTACCGAAAACAATTTCAGAGGTCCGGTGAGTGGCTGGCTCCCCCTCCCTCCCTCCCTCCCTCCCTCCCAAATGAGGTTGCATCGCAGGAAAGTATTACACCAGGGTGTTGGGCGTCCCTCTTCCAGGGGACGATCCTGCCATCACCTTCACAGCTCATCGTCTCTCGCGGCCGTGCCTCTTGTCAGTGAGCTCGCTTCCCATATCATACCAAGGAAGTGTACCTGGATGTTGAGAGGCCAGTCATAATACCTCGCATCCGATGGTCACCATAAATCATCTCGGAAGATAAAACAGGGCGAAAGCTTCCCAACGGCGCCTCCCGCATCATCGAAGCATGTTGACGAATATCAACATTTCCGAGCCGCATGGAGATTACATGTTTCAATCGAGCTTAATAGGAGGTAGCTTTCATGGTATGGTTTACAAAGAGGCCAAACTCGTCGAGGTCGGAGAGGGAAGTGTTTCTGAGGAGAGGGCAAATATTATTGACCTCGAATTGATGTCCGTGGTTCCCGGATTTTTGGGAGAAGTGCGAAGCTAGTCCCGACTAGTGGGGAAGGAGATCCTCGATTCTCTCCCGAGCCCACGAGATTGGAAGTCCGTGACGACGGACCAGGGTGTTTGCAAGCCGGGACACCATTTTATTGACCCTCCACGGCACTAACCCCCACACAGACCCTAGTCAATACAGCTCGCTCCTATAATCTTTGCCGTAATGAGCACAGCCATGAGAACAACACACACAAGATGCGATGGAAGAAGAGCTGAGTAACTTCCACCCGAGACTCATCGAGTTGCGCCTCTTCACCTTCCTCTTTCTTCCCTCACCCGCCTGGCCAAATCAATGAGAAAATGGAGGGAAATAGGAATAAGGATTAGATTCCCCATGATTTTGTAGAAGCTTCACGGATCTCTGCCCTTCTCAAATTCGCGAAAGGCTCGCAAATGAGCCTCTTGGCCTCGATCTCCTCTCTCATGAGACCTCTCCTTGAAAAGCAAGGTGAAGCAAACGACCCCCACACTTTCATCTTCACTTTGGCAGACCCTGTCAACCCTCCGGTTAGCGATTTGAGGCTGTCCTCACAAAGAGCTAGGGCGGGCAGGGCGAAGTATCCGCAACCTATGGCGAACGAACAGCTTTCTTCACCCCTTAAGAGTATTTTCCCATCATGAATAATCTTCTCCAATATTAGCGGTCAAAGGCAAAGGACCAGCTCCTTTAACAACCCCGGGCGCTGTAAACGTTTACAAGTACTAGTACCCCCTCAGATGGTTGTCTAGGGAAGTACCCTCTACCTTCTTGTTGGCATGAGGTAGAGCCTATCAATCCTGCCCCCGGCTGTCCCGTTTTAAAGGTCTAGGACGCCGAATCACCGGCCCGCAAAGAGAAAAGCTCACCAAGAAGTGTTTCACCAAGCTAGCGAGACCGGTATGAGGTCTTTGCGAGGATGTCGCCAGGCCCTGTCCTCTCGAAAACGAATGCTCCCTTCATCCTGATGCGGTCCCAGCTAGGCATGATGCCGGATATGGAACCCAATGCACAGAGCCATCCCCGCGTGCTTCTTGCAGCGAGTCTCACTACCGACCTCAACTAACCAATCTCGACGCATTTCTCGCACTCCCAGTCTCGTTGGTGACCAAGGAAATGGTCCTCTTCCGAACGCCACCCCCGGGGCACTCACCCCCTTCTTCCGGCTCAATCTCCAGGTCGACGGCGGCGGTTTACCTCACTGACAAGAAAAGAAGTCATTCCAGGGTAAAGAGGTGTGAGTGCCACTACCAGTCCGAAATTATACCTTTAAATCCTCCCATATCTACTTGTATTAAAGGTACCATGATATTATTACCGACCTAGCCCCATCTTTGTCGGCTCTCGACCCTCGCTCCTCTCTCGCCTTACATTGTCATGCGAGGCCCTTGTACTCCGGAGTCGCATGTCTGAACGCGCATCTCATCCAGGAGCCAGGGTCACTCACCCTGTCCCTGACCGCCCGAAACCGCCCATCTCTCGTGGAGAGTACGAAGTATTACGACATGCTCAACTCTATCTCCTTGGCATGGTGCCTGCCACAACCCCGGACCTGATCCAGGGCTGGACATGATGGAGGGGGGCTTTTTTTTCTCTTCTTCCTTGTTGTAGCCCTCCCAGCTAGCTGTCTTTGGGCTGAGGGCATCTTTTCTTTTAGTTAAATTGCGATGATCCCCCTTCTCGAGTCGCGTCGAGATTCTTCTCCCCTCGATTCCGAACCCGTTCTCAACATTTGTCCCGTAGTCTCGCTCTCCGAGTTCTTGCTGTGTTTCCCCATCGATCTCGAAGCCTTCCCGTATAGGTCTGAAGTGCTCACTTTCGACTTCATCACTCACTCCCCAGCATTCGGCCACCCAGCCTCATCATACGACTAGGAAAACAACCTTTTGGGTACCGTTGTCCCGCCCTCCTCCCTTGAACGAGGCTCGCCGCTTCATATTTCATAGAAATCGGAATTGCTCGTTCACTAGACAACATGTCACCCCATAATGATGCATGTTCACCTCGAAACAGCTTTCATGGTGGCCTTGAAAACATACCCGTGACACACTCCTCGGGTCTCCGAGCCGTGGACCTATCCGCCGGCACATCCCTTTCGCCTTCTAGTAGCTCTTTCGACGTCTCGTCCGTGGACACAGATTTCCACAGGACGGAATGTCGTCGAGAGCTCCGGAAGGAGTCTACGTCCCAACAGTGTGTTTTTCGAATCAAAAACCGAAAACATTGACACGGATACCATTGCCCAGCATGCCGTAAGACTAGCCAAGGCCGGTGTCGCGGGGCTCGCGACGCAAGGATCAAACGGCGAGGCCGTGCACTTGACCCACTCGGAGCGGCAGCTGGTGACAGCCACCACACGCAAGGCCCTCAATGACAATGGCTTCCAGGACATGCCGATTATTGTCGGCTGTGGTTGCCAAAGCACGCGGGAAACCATCCAATACTGTCGCGAAGCCTGGGAAGCGGGCGGCGACTATGCCCTCGTCTTGCCGCCTTCGTATTACGCCCCGCTCTTCGCCCCTTCATCCCAAACCGTGCTTCAGTACTTCCGCGATGTCGCCGACGCATCGCCCATCCCGATCCTCATTTACAATTATCCTGGCGGCGCGGGTGGCCTCGACCTCACCTCGGACGTCATCATCGCGCTGGCGCAGCACCCCAACATTGTCGGTGTCAAGTTCACTTGCGGCAACACGGGCAAGTTGAACAGGGTCGCCGACGCCACGCAGAATATGGGGCGCAGATCCGGCACTGGAGGCCCGAACAAGGACGTGCCCGGATTTTTGGTGCTTGCCGGTTCGGCGGATTTTACCTTGCAGGCGGCTGTTGCGGGCGGACACGGCATCCTGGCGGGGCTCGCAAACCTGGCGCCCAAAGCGTGCGTCAAGACCCTGGAGCTTTTCGAAAGTGGAAGGGTTCAGGAAGCGCAAGAGATGCAGCGGGTCCTCTCCCACGGCGACTGGACCGCGATTCAGGGCGGCGTTGTGGGCATGAAGGCTGGCATGGAGTCGTGGCTCGCCTACGGGGGTTCGCGAGAAGCCCGCTGCCTCGGCCGACACGCCATCAGTCGGAAACGTGGAAAGAGGGCTTCCGAGACCTCGTGTTACTAGAAAAGAGGCTTTAAACCGGCGAGTTTGGGGTGCATATCTCGGACTGTGTAAGGCCTACTACTGCTCGGATATGCGTGTGTGCATGCCGGTGTGTTTTACGGCAACCCAAAATTCACGGCGTTGATTCAAGATTCTTCGGTACTCGCCATTGCTCACAATGCATCAAATACCCCTTTCTAATGTTTAACATCCTTGACGACGACTTCAATAATCATCCATTATTTTTTATGACGAACGAGAGCAACTCGACAAAGAAATGAAGAAGGGCAAGAAATCTCGGTCTCTTTTGTTGGGCTTAAAAGCACCTGTCCACAAAGAGAACGGAAAACTCGGGCTCTCTACAATACACGATTTCGGGCGAGAATAGGCGCTAGCAGAGAGCAGAAAGCCAATATGGTCCGCCTATCTTTGTGTCCCTTTTCTTTTTACCTCGCCTCTGCTTTCATTCAAATCTTCTCTACTACATTTCACATTCTCCTATCCGATTCTGTCAACAAAAGTTTGAAAAATTCTAGTCTTGATTAAACAAAATCACAATTTCAGAGAGCGACCTTTGAAGGGGTCTAGAGAGACTGGTCGGCGTTCTTGTGTCGGAAAAGAGAAAAAGGTAATGAGTCGATTGGTTGGCAGTGGCTTGATGATCACTCGCGAGCTCATCACAAGCCCGCGGGATCGCATCACATTTTTAAGCTTTCCTTTCCTTTCTTTTTTGCTTTGTGCCCACGAAACGTTTTGCTTCTCTTCAAGGCGATCTTTTGTGGGCTTATTCTACCATTCTGTTTCTCGCGGGGTTTTTCTCATTTCAAAATCATGCTGGGGGATGGAGACTCGGTCACTTGTTTTATAGAGAGACGGGCTTCTGCAAAGTAATAATGCATCTATGTTTTAATATCTTTCCAAGGCGGATATATATCCCCAGTCCCCGTTCGTTCTCCAACGAGGCACTAATATCATCTCGGAGAGGTGAGACAGAATACGTGGTGAAAGGAGCAAAGATATTAAGCAGAGGCAAACTCACAACCCTAACCCTAACTTGAGCGGCGATATGCGAGATAGGTAGGATCCGCCGTCTTATTTTTAAAAGACAAGGTGACTGTGAAGGGAAAACAAGCGACCGGAACTCGGCAACGGAATGCGGGAACCCACAGCTGGTGCTGGTACCGGAACCGGGACCGGAATGGAGTAAGGGTCACGGACTTGGGACACGGACACGGGAGAGTGGGGATGGGGGCGGAGACGGATAAATTAAAGCACATATTGATATAGGTTCTATTAATATCAATCCGTGCCGAGGGAAGAATAGATTAACCAAATCCAACGTCGACTCTAAAACCTCCTTCTCGTTCTATTTTCTTTCTTTTGGGACAGCTTGTCCTTCCTTCCATATCTGCTAGCCTAAGAACGCTTCGCTAGAGTTGGCCGTGAAAACATACGCAATGCAGACCGTGAAGACGACAATGCTGGAAAAGATTTGCTTGGAGTTATTTAAGGTCCGAGAGTTAAGAGCCGGTAGTGTCGGCTTCTTGTTGCGCCCATCCTCTTTGAGCTCTCTCGAAGAGGGACGCCCATGACTTCTTTGTGTCTCCATTTCTGAGCTCTTCGTCTCCGGTCAATACTTCGGAGGGGAAGGCAATTTTAGTTGCTTCTTCCCAATCACATGGCTCGGCTTGGTTTAATCGAACCTGTCCCAGGAAGCACACGACACGCCGACGGCTCTCTTGGCTACTTGGAAAGGGATCTATTGGATTCGGACGAATATCAAATGAGGATGCCCCATTTCCAGGTTACTTTGCAGACAAGTCTCGTGGGCAGCGGGGCGGAGCAGGCAGTCCTGAAAAGCCAAGTTCTGGGAAATTGAGATCGCTGGCTGCTGCTTTTCATTTGGCGGCCTAGCCCTCGACGCTATGAGGCTTATCTCCTTTTAAGCTTTCTTTCCCTTTCTTTCTTCCTCTCCTTCAAATCAGATCCTCTTCCTTAGTTCTCTTTCCCAATTTTTTATCACATGGAGTAGGTATGGCTTCTTGCCTCCCTTTACTTTTACGTCTCTCGTCGAGGATAGCGGACAAGTCGACTTCTAAAAACCTTTCAACGTTTCTAGAGGTTCTGGTCTCCCTCGACCAAGGGGCTGTCGTAGGCTTGCCACCCTTTGAAATTGAAGGAGGGATTTCCATGTTTCAGTGGAGTATGCTAGGGCTTTGGGGGATGCTTGTTGATCTTCGGAGTGATGTTCGGGGTCCAGCTGTTTACTGTTTGAAGCGGGTGGCAGTGTTTGTACCAAGGTAAGCCTTGATGGGATCAATCAATGGGTTTCAATTCCCAAGGGAGCATCATGGCTCTATCGCAAATCCGAGTTCCGTTGAGCAGCGAGAGGGATGGGATGGTCGTACCCAGTGCCATGGATGGCAATGATGCTTTCAATGTTCTTTCTGTTCTCCCCACTTCTGCAGCCAGCCCTCCCGAGGGACGTGGCCGGACAGCGGCAGTAAGCAGCTCATCCTCCACCTGAATAAACCTTCAAGGCCCGAACGAAACCTCCTTGATGCCTACCATCAGTCAGTGGAATAGAGGCATCGTGCACGGCCATCTCTCTTTCATTAGGCCTTCAGCCGGTGAGCCGCTAATACACATACGAAGTACAACTGAGAAAGGCCAGGGAAATCGGGTCCCACGGTCGGTCTCGGTTGTTTGCAGAAAGACAACCGTATTGCACTTCTTCACTTACACGCATGCATCTTCCTTATTCTCTCTCACCAATACCGCATCGTACTTTCTTTTCTTTTTCTTTTTTAGATGTGGAGGACACGATGGCTATGCGCGGCTCCGTCGCACCGCGTCCTGCCAGCGAACCTACGCCACTGGTAATCTCATGATAACACCTTTTTTTTTTTTTTTTTCTCTTCCTCAGTTCAAGAAGGGGAGCTGGACGTCTGGAAAATTCTCGTCCCAGGCTTGCGACGTTCCACAAGCCCTTCGTATTATGCAACTTGGCACGGTGAGGAAGGATGGGGGAAAAGATAGAATTCGAGACCCTGGACGATTATTAGTCTTGATATCCCATCAGTGGATGACAATCGACCAAGGGGCCAAGCTAAAAGTAGACGTGATCTGCCGGTTGGGCGAATAAAACGCCGCGAACCTTGGTCAACTTTTTACAGATGAGAGATCAGCCATCACCCAGTAAGGGCCGATTTGTTCCTCCTCGTCCCCCTCGTCTGATTGTCTGGGTAGTCAGCTGAAATCTTGACCTGTAATATTGCTTGGACCTGCGGTTTCCCGCAAAACCACGAAAGAAAGGAGGAGTGGACCAAGCTGTCTCCGTACTTCTTAGTTCCCCTTCACAGGGGAGTGAGTTGTGACGGGAGACGGCGAATGAGCCGCAACGTAAAAATCGGTGTATGAGCTCCCCGCCGACCACTCGCTAGACACGATTCTCCTTACCAAGAGGACTTTCGAGCCTTCATTTTCGTTTTCTATTGGATTTCCGAGTAATAATGTACTCTTACCCTGACGTGAGCCTATCTCACTCCCTATCCAGTCGTGCTGTGGTCCCATCTTCAAGCGCACATTGCCCCCTTGTTTAGCGTGCCTCCTTTCTCGCGAGGGCCGGGCCTCTGAACGAGTCAGTACGCGGGGAAAACGCGCGCGTCCGGGACTCATAGAATCGGAGAATAATCCACAGCCGTGCAAAGAAGCCCGGCGGGACCAATAGATATTCAATGTTGCTTTTCTCTGAGTTGGTTCTCTGATTTCCCTAACCGAATCTTGGAGAGTGGAAAAAGCAGTGCATCGAACCAGAAAGTAGTAGCCTTTTCCTTTTTCTTCTTCGAGACAATTATGTCCCAGCCCCGGAGCTCTCCGCGACCCTGATTGCCGTCGAGACATGCATGTGTGATGAGGATATCTTGCCCCTCCCAAAAACAGGGGTAGGCTTACAAGCAGGAACGACGCAGGTAGCATGAAGAGGTTCAAGAGGAAAGGGAAAAAGGAACAAAGAAAGCCCACCGATCGTCCCTTCCTCATCCTTCGGGGACAGGCAAAGATCCTTGAATGCACGAACACGAGCTTTTGACACGGAACATTCAAGCGGAGAGTATGCCTCGGGACGGGTTTTTTGCTGCTCTTTGCCGGGACCCTGGCGATCGCTGGATCCCTTCCGTATTGAAGTTGTTTTTCCTCTCCACTCCACTTCAAGCACTTCAAGGACCCTAGCCCGGTGTTGGAAGTCCCCGCCCCCTCTACCCCCTAAGAAAATGGCAAAAGAGCAAAGAGCAGAGAAGAGAGGCGCTTGATAAAAAGCAAAAAGAAAAGAAGCTGGCATACACCTCTTGTTCTCAATCTGGCCAAGATCCCTTGTGCATGGAAGAGGGCGGGTGGCTGACTCCTCCAGCTGCCTTCGTCGTGTCGGGGAAGCGCCATTCGTCAACCAGGAAATCAAGGTAAGCTGATAGCGTCCCACGCGGGACGCAGGAACCCTTTAGTGCCTCCCAGAGGTAACCAAAGAGCCTTTTCGAATCCCCTTGACTCCCTATTTCCTCTAGGCTTAGCAAGGATCGACCAATGGTATGGGCTCGGACCAAGATCTTCTCTGTCGGTTGCCGCAAGGCTGATCCTGTCGTCCCCCGCAGCTACACACAGGAGAAGCGACGGCGCCGGCTAAGACGGAGTGCCGGAAATGATGGGTTCTGTTCGTTCCACGTCATTGGTACACCCAGGAGGCCAAGAAGGGGACAAGAGGAAGGGCAACAGATGAGAGTGGTTCCCTTTGCCCTGGCCTCCAGCCTCTTCCAATCTCTCGGCGTCTCCCCTTTCGCGACCTAAGTCGTACGTGGTGTGTATCATCTAACGGTTTGGCCCATGCGGCCTCCTTTCATACATGCTCGGCGCGTTTAAACCATGGCAAACCGTTGATACTATATATAATACGGGAAGGCAGGCGTGGCTTTCGTCCTTCTTCCTCTTTTTGATCTTCGCTTCGATCTCTTTTTCCTCAAGCCACCCGGTGATGTGTTAATCAGGAGCAGCTTAGCTTCAGTCACTCGTTTCAAACACCTTTCTCTCCTTCTCTTCCCCTTCTTTTTTTCTCGCTCGTTATTGCAGATCATTGAAATCTGCTTCCAATCGTTTTCGAAGCCTATCCCCAGTTTCTCTTAACACTTCCCTGCCCTCTGAAGAAAGTTCGTCATGGTGTCTCCAACAAAACTTGTTCCGCTCCTGTCCTTATGTCTGGCTACCGTTGTCTCCGCGAGAGTGTCCATCACGGGTGCCACAACAGGATTCGATGCTCTTAGCGGTGAGCCACCATCCAGACTCAACATCAACATCCTCCACACTCAAGGGGGACCAGCATGGTAAGTCTTGGAGAACTATAATGTCGTGAGAGCCACTGGAGCCCATCGGATGGATAACGACCGTTAGACTGGCGAGGGACTAATCAACCAATACGATCCTTCATCATAGGTCGCTTTATGTACGGGCACTAGCTGCGATGCAGGCCGCAAAAGCGGATGACGTGCTATCATACTTCCAAATCATGGGTAAACTCTCTTGCTTCCCCGGTCTTAGTCGATAAGAAGCGATCCGATATTCTGACTATGCTTTCCCTCAGGTATCCATGGTCGTCCTTTGATTCCATGGGATGACAAGAGCCGAGCGATGGGACCGAATGGCTATTGCCCTCACGCTGTAAGGGCAGACCGTCGTCGTTGTACTAGATTCAGCGCTTTTCTAATTCCAAGTTTCTAGGAGAATCTCTTCTTGCCGTGGCATAGGTCATATTTGGCCCTCTTCGAGGTTCGTGCCCCTCAACGGGTGCCTCTCATGGCGCCCCGGCTCCCTCTCCTAACCCTAAAAACCCGCACAGTTATGAGCCAGGCGCGTGGAGAAGGAAAATGGATTGTCACTTACACGCTGTACAGCAAGTCCTCGTCGACCATGCCATCACCCTTGCAAAGGAGTATCCCGAGGCCCAGCGGCCCGAGTACCAGCGCGCCGCCGAGTCCCTCCGCGCCCCTACTGGGACTGGGCCGAAAACTCCTCCCTGCCTCCTTCCGTCGGCCAGCCAGAGATCCGTGTCGAGACTCCCAAGGGACAGCAGACTATCCGCAACCCGCTCTATAGCTACAACTTCCCCCAGGAAGCCGTCAGCGGCAAGTACGGCTCTATCACCGGCGACAGGGACCGCACAAAGACCGTCAGGTGCTCGTCCGTCGAAGCGAACGCCAGGATGGCAACTGTCAACTTCAAGGGCCTTGTGGTAAGTTACTGCGTCGTCGTTAAGTCCCTAGTTTGTTTTTGGTCGAGCCATAACCTGCCTCCGGTGGCGGCCTCAGATCCTCTAAATTCTACACTGATGGACCCGATATTCTAACATGACGGTTCCACACATTAGTATGATGCCTTTACCCGAAGCGACACTTTTGCCAAGGTCGCCTCCGTTGGAAGTGACAGCGTTGTGATGTCCTTTGAACAGCCTCACAACTCGGTCCACATTCGTGCTGCCTGCGGCAACAACTTTGCGTACCCTCAAGACGCTGCGTTTGACCCTCTCTTGTGAGTCGCCCCCATCCCGCCAAAAGGAAGAAAGAAAAGATCAAGATCTTGGCTAACATTCCCCGTTCGAAACCCCCAGCATGCTCCACCATGCCAACGTTGACCGTCTTTGGGCCATGTGGGAAGATCTCTACCCGTCCGAGAGAGCTCTCAAACCTTCTTACAAGTCGGGCGGCACCTACGCCATTGCGCCCGGCACGACCATCTCGAACACATCCCCTCTCCTTCCCTTCCGCGGACCCCGCGAGGTCGCCCATAGCAGCGCTCAGGTCCAGGATACCGTCTCCCTAGGCTACACCTACCCCGAGACCGCCGGTGGCGTTCGCAGCCAAGATGCCCGCCGCGACGCCATGCGCATCACCGTCAACAGGATGTATGGCCCCCTACCTCCCGAGTCGCCGCCGCCGCCTCTTCGACCGTCACTACCGTGACTCGACCCACCGGCCTCAACTTGACACGCCGCGCGCTCGAGAACACCGCTCCCGAGGAGGATAGCTATGGCTCGGGCTACGGAGACGACAACGAGGAAGTCGAGGGTGCTTCGTACGGCGAGGACCACGGCTACGCCGAGGGCCCGCCTAACGCCGTCGAGTTCTTCGCCCATATCCGCGTGAACGGCGCCAACGTCCCCACCCCGTGCGAGGTCAACCTTTATATCGGCGGGCAGGTCGCCGGCAGCTTCGACATCCTGACGGCGCCTCAAAGCGGCTTGGTGGAAGGCCAGATCCCCTTGAGCGACCTCGTTGAGTCTCTTGGCTTCCTAGTTGCGCCGGGCGATGATCAGGGACGCGACGGGCCCCTTTCGCTTGTTGGGCAGGGGGTCCAGGTCGAGCTGTTACATGTGAGTTAACATCCTTCATCTGTCTTTTGGCGGGTGGTTTTCTTTTCTCCCTCCCCTACCCTTGACTTTGCGATCAACGCTCCCAGCACATGCGAGAAGAGAAGAGAAAAGGAGACTGACACAAAGAACTCGGTACTTTCTAGCCCAATGGAACCGCCATCCCCTCATCTAGCTTTGAAGGCCAGGTCGAGGTCAGCCTCATCGACGCCGACGTGACCCTTGACTCACGCCCCGAAACCTTTCCTCACTACGGCGAGGCTCGCCGAACGTCTGTCCGCACCAAGCCGGCCCCTCCCAGGTCCAAGTGCGGTCGTCGAGGATACCGCCGGCACCGGGGTCAGAGCCCCGCCACGTATAAAATCTGCTCTACCGTCGGTAATATAAGAAGGAGATATGTCGCGAGTACGTGGCAATGGAAGTGCCGGCTCGCCTTTAGAGAGATTGACGGCTTGTCAGGTTCTGCGAACAAGTAGGATCTATGCAAGCTTCTCGCATCATTTTTTATTATTATTTTGACATTGATATCCTGCGGATTTCGCCGCCCCGGCTGGACTTGATAGATGGGCTTGCTTCCAGGAGAGATTTGTATGATTGTTACCCACAGCTTAATACCTTTTTTCTTCATTAAACCAAATACAAGGGGTTTCCCTCGTTTTAATACCATGCATGCTTAAGGAACTTGGAACGAAATCGCACCCGTTGATTCACAGCAGGTAGATTACGGCTAGTCCAACTTTTAAAGATGAATAAAAATACCGAAATAATAAACAAACAATCTCTTACTCAATAACTTGGGAGGCACAGCTAGAATTGCTCACACCTCAATTGACGAAATGGTAATAGGGCCTGCGCCGCGTTCTTTTCTTCGCCGTAAGCCAGCGCTCGCAAGCCGTCAACCCCTCAATGGAGACACATATACAGATACGCTTAGACGGCGCGTTTCCTGCGGATGAACCAGATATCAAAATGCGGCCCGATACCCTGGTCTTGGCAAGCAAGGTATTCAGAACCAAGATGGATGCGGGCAAATTACCTCTGGGTAGTAACACTATAAAAAGCGAAGAGTCCGGGGCACCCCTTGAACCACCGCCCGTCTCGGTACTTCATCTGAGAATGCGAGTGGACATGATGATCCGCAGGCGGATTCATCAGCATGGCTCAATTTCAGGTCTTCGTACCATTATGCCACAGACCCAGCGGCCCTCTTCCCGTTTCGCTACCTTGCTGCTTTTCTAAAGTTCCCGGCCTGCAGACAGACCAGCCTAGGAGACAGCTGGTGGAAATGGAAGCGTTAGTGGTGTGCATTCAAGAGTTGGTTAATTTAGCCACCAGCTGGTTGTGCTGCCTCCCCCACGGGCTCATCTGCGTCCTATAAGGAAGTGGGTTTAGGTGTTCTATGGTTCTCCGTTTAAAAGCACATCTCGCATTAGTTATTGCTGCAAGGAGCGCGGTGCTGTGTAACGGCTTCTTTCGAGCCTTTTTTCTTTTTCTTCATACCGCTCCTAGTCAAGAAGCACAACGGGAGGAGGGCAACAGGAGCGTGCGTGCTGCGCATCTAGTGTGGCCAGTTGTGCAAATCCCCCTAGGGCTCTCCTAACAGAGCTTGTGCCCAGATAGATGTCAAGGACCGGCCCAGCCATGTTTTTTTTGCAGAGACTCGGGGTCAAGCGACGTGCGTGTTCCGGCCGGTTGCACAACCTTTCAACCTGGCCTCGCCGGGGAGCGACGGGCATAGGCAAGGACAGCGCTTTCGGCAGGTACACACGTGCTCAAGGGTCCCTAGGTGTTCGAGCCCCTACAGGATCCAGATACCGGCGAAGAGAGAAGGCCGACACATTCTTAGTGTGAGACACTTGCATCTCACTTATGTCTTCCCATTACCACAATGCTCTCTATCGGGCATGACGGCAGAGACGAAGGGCAGGCTTGCACTTGAGTATTGGACGACAGGAAGTCATCGCTTATCACTTTAGGTGCATTTTCTTCACAATTGCTCGTAAAGCTAGCCGTAACAAACAAGTAGGTGTAGGTGGCACAAAGAAAAAGGAGATGCATCTTCACCGAAGCTCTAGATATTTCAAGTAAGTCGAGGCGTGCTGCTGGTGGCGTATTGGGCGAGAGATGTAGGTCAACTCTTATGATTTCGAATCGCGCCCGCTCAATGGCCAACGTATCTCGCCTGCGTCTCCAACAAGTTGTGGGGTGGCTGGCCTGGCCTTTGGGACACATCTACCCCGCCATTCTGCCGCCGACAACTTTGGTGAGAGGCTGTTTCCATTGTCTTATCAACGCTGTCCTGCCTCTCCTGGGTGTGCCTTCCTAGGTCCTGAGTTGCCTCTACGTCATAGGGTCCTAAAACAATGTTAGTGCCTTCTGAATTGGGAGCCGACTAATAGCACCGCCCCAAATCCAACCTCCTTCCCAATCGTTGCTTTTGTGGAGGTTTTATTCCAGTTTGGGAAGCGGTGTAATAATGGGTTTACAAGTATTCCCCCAAGAGACTATGACTCGGAAATACTACGATGTAGGGACGCGCAGTGCTCCGCATCTGCGATCCTTCTTTCTCTTCCCCCAGTCTCCCTCATTGGCTCTGCCCATGCTTCCGGAAATGCACACTTGACGCCGTGATTAGTGGCCAAGCGGCAGCAGTGAGAAATGCCATGGGAGGCGGACGACTCCTGGTTGGGTCGGGCTGGACTGTCCAACTCTAGTCTTGCCTACCTTGCCCTTGCGTTTGGATCAAGCTGATTAATGCGTGCTTATTAGCCATTAGACATCTTGAAGGGCATTCTTGCATTGATGTTCCGTGCCCCATGCGCGGTCCTCTCCCGCCTTTCCCTATCTGTGCGATTATGTATTTTAATCTGCAGAAAATAAATGGCGATGCCCTAGAGATAAGAAAAAATCCTTGGGGTCCTCTTCCCCCGTCCCATCCCATCGTTCTGCAATGGTTAGCAAGGGACCCTCTTTTCCGTGTGCCAACTTTCTGCGACTCGAGCCTAAGATCAATGCAATCGTTACACATTTCGGAAAATACCGGAAGCTTGTGTGCGTTGGCTACTTTTCGTCTCCTCCACTTTTTGATACTTCCCCTTCGGCACAGAGGCTATATTTAATTTTGCGGTGTTTTGTAGCCTTTTGTGCGCACTCGTCTCCATCTCCAAGCACGAAGGAGATAGATAATGCGTCTGACGAGGACCGCAAATAGGAAAGGGTAGAAGAGGTTGGACACAGAGAGGTCTTTTTTTCTTCTTTTTTCCCTCCTTCTTTTCTCCGCCCCCAAGATAACTGATTTTTGATACGTAAACGTACACACCATGGAAAGATCATCCTTCCATGGCCCGCTATTATTGGTCATTCCTCTGGAACGAACTTCTTGTCGTTTTTAGCCTCCCTGGACCCTGCGTCTGGCTGGATCCAGACACCATCAAACATTGTCCAGTGTTGGAATGTCGCATGTCTGTTAGCCCACTTTCTCCCACTGGGAATTCTCGAGGCGATGTCAAGGGACTTTTAATCCGACGAACTGAGTTTGTTGGTCGCACCGTCTACTTCCACTTTAGCCTTCTATGATCTTCAAGGACTCGTCCACGGCGGTTCTCCGCCTAAACCGGCTCCACTTACATACACCAACATAACATACCGGGTGCTATCGTCAATGACACTTCGTTGCCCCTTCTCATTTGGCTGGCGCATGTGGCGCAGGTGGGAAGGGCTTCCGGTCTCCTTGGCAAGATCCGGCTTGGAAGGAGCACGTGGAGCCCCGGCATCCACTGGGTTCTTTCTTGCCCGAGGTTGGGGTCTTACGATAGGGCGATGATCACATTTGAAGAGATCCATTTGATGGCGAAATGGTTAATGTTCCATCTATTTGATGCTGCTCGTTATGGGACAAGCCAAAATCTCAGGGCATTTGGAAGGTGCTTCCGCTACCACTGGTCTTATAGCCTTGCTTGATCAGTTCAAATGTTCAATACGCGTGGAATGGGGGTACCGGTACATCCAACCAAGCCCAAGAGACGCTGACAATAGATGACTGATTATGGGCTGGATGATACGTAGCGGAGCCTTTGAGGTCGGCCCCAGCCTCAACGCCATGATTCTGATGCCGTAACTGAAATCCCTAATCATTCCAGCCAAGCCTGAAAAGATCCACTCATCCCCAGTCCGCTTGCTCTCCGATTCATCGATTTTCTAGCAAACGAGGGGCAATCCTTCGGTTGTTTTTCTCTCCCTCGAATGGTCACCTCACACCCTCCGGGTTCCCGGCGGGCTGGTATCAACGGATAGCAGGAACCGTCCTGCCATCAATTGATCGATACATTGGAATAACAGATATATGGATGTCTTTGGGAGATTGTTAACAGAAGTAAAATAACGGCTTCGATGACAAGAGCTAGACCATTTTGGCCCTGAGCTGCGCAACATTTTCCCAGTCGTGACCCCGGATTCCAGATTCCGTCACTTTTGCCCTTTCGAACTTAGACCACCGGCTTGCTTTCCGCCGTATGTATGTCACCCCTGCCGTCCCGTCTGCCCTTTGCGGTACACTAGTCTACTTTCATCAGTCCTTTTTTTCCCTCCGTCTCTTCACCCTTCTTTCTCTGTTCTCCCTCCTCTTCCCATCTTGTAAGCCCCCAGAAAACCTTCCTTCTCTATCTCTACCCTTCAAATAGTCTTTCTCTCCCTCCGTACAAGTACGCACCGCACCGTCATTCTTATTTCCTCCCAATCCGCTTCCCCGCTCCGCTCCCCAACCATTCTTTCCACCACCTCCTATAGACACGCGCACACCCGTACGGAGGAGTGTAAATGCCTACACTAGATCAATGTGGATGGTAGAGTTTAGTAACTTGGCTGTACGCGCACATCGAGAACCGACCGAAGCTCAACGGGGATCCACCAGTCTAGAGCGTTTGAATAATAATCCAAAGTCCTCTAGCGTTTCTGAGTCTTTTTCCCTTTCCTTGTACAAATACTTTAGCGGCTTCGACATCGATTTTCCGTTTTCTCATTCTTTTATCTCAACACCAGCCGCTACTCCATGAGATAAGGCAATCTTATCTCTCGTCTTTCCCTAGCCGCTATCACTCCACTTAACCACACACCCCCTTCGCCCTCCTGTCTCATCCATTTCTCCTCTGGCTTCATCCCTTCGCCTCCTCTTCCTTACTTCCAACCCTCCCTCTCCATAGTTCCTGCCTTGACCTCCCCCTAGCATTTTCCCACATCGGACAACCCTATCAATAGCCAGGGTGGTCTCGTCAACATCGTTTCTTCCAGAATTCGACAGCAGTCGGCAGAGACATTGACTTTCGAGACATCGACGTCACCTTCTCAAAGCACACCCAGGCACAACCTGTGCTGCTTGTACACGCCCCTCCCCCTTCCTTAGAACCTAACGTGGTCTAGCGTGTTCTTCTTTGTCAACATTCTACCGCCTAGTTATCGTGGGGAAACACATTCCACGAGGCACCTCGCCGGCCCACGACAGTCGAACCAAGACCACACTCTATTCGCGAGCTTGGGAAACAGTCTTTCGTTGGGAGTTCTTATCTCGACTTGGATCCACACTAACTGGCGCATACTGTGCCTCACTCAAGAGAGCCTCGGTGCCGTCCCTTCCTTCTTTCCGCGGGCGACTTTGTTGTTCCTGCGTTAACAACTAGGAAGGCAACTTACACCTCTTCATGGGTGAACCTTTACCTTGGGGTTGTTAAGACACATTTTAATATACTTTGTATTGGAAACTTGAATCTTTATCTCTTACGTTTCCCCATCAGTATCGACGGGTGCAGGTGCCTGTTTTGACTGGCCAAATTGCAAGCCTCTTGAAGAGAGGGAAGAAGGCACCTAGCCTCCTTCTTCCGAGGAGCAGTACGTCTCCTGCTGTCCTTGTCGCCATTCTTCGTCGATCCTTGCGAGTTCACGCCCCTTTACGCCACTCCCAACTGCCCAACTGGCCCTTATCGGCTCCCCTGGGAAAGGAGGTTCCTTTGTTGTTCTCCCCTCACCTCTCTGGCTCGCAGTCTATCAGCACGCGGTTGCATCACACCCGTTTGAAGTTTGCTAGTCTCGGAATCAAGACAGGGGCCTGCTGCTTGTGGGTAGCCACACTTTGTTTCCGAACTGTAGCGCTTATCGAACTTCTTATATTCCCGGGAACTTGGGTTGATGCTTTGTCCACCACCCTTGAACACGAAGGCTTAATACCCTGCGGGACTGACGCAGCTGCCGTTGACTGTTTCGTTTGAGGGGACCCTACACCGTGGCCGTATCATACATTGGCCGTCTTGTCTCGAGAAAGCAACCATACCACTCTCGAGGCCCGGCCATTCGAGGTTGGCGGAAATCTTAACACCGACTTCTTTTCGTGGCCAACTCACGACTGCATTTCTCATATCTGGTAAGAGATAAACCCGTCTTTGAGGTAGATTAGCCTTGGGCCAATCCCATCCCCCAAGTGTCCCCTTCTGTGACCAACGTCGCTTACCTACGTCTCTTTGGTCAAAGGTCTCTCCGTGCTTTTGCTTATCCTCTCACCGTAGCCAACAAATCTTCCCCGCGCCCGCTAACTCTCGGCCCTACTCCATCTCCGAGAGGGCTTGAAGATAGTTCCGATACCCCTTGCGCTGGGACTCTGGTCCCTTGCCTGGTCGGAGCCCACCCCACACCACACCTCCCTACCCCGGCTCTGCGCATGATTGCCTCGCCTCACCCACCATGTCCAACTCTCCCGCCGTCCCCAGGACGGCGCCAATCGCCATTGCCCCCAAGCCAAGTGGACCTGTTGCCGCGGTATCTAGCTCGGCGTCGTTATCCGGATCGGCTAGTCGTCGCCAGAAACACCAACTCGACGGAAACAACAAGTTTGATCTTGGTAAAGGTAGCATGTCATCTTTCGATGCCTCCGCGCCCCACTCCCTTGCCAGTTCTCCTTCTAGCCCGTGCGATTCCTGTCGTAGACTTCGACTCAAGTGCACCACGGCTGGCGACGAAGACGACGGCGGCTGCATCCCGTGCCAAAGAAGTGGCTCCGAATGTTCACTGGTCCTCAGTCCCCGACCCAGGAAACGTAAATTGACCAAAGGCTCGGCTGCTCTGAATAGCATGACCGCGCAACAGCGCAGGTGAGCTTTTCTTTTTTTCCTTTTTGCTTTTCGCCATCACCGTAATCGTTATCTGATACCTGTTCCCAACCCTAATCTACCCCTACACCCCCTCCCCTCCCCTCCCCTCCTTCCTGTTACCCGTTCCGGGCCGCTGCCCGTTTGAATCTTTCGTCACGTTGTTGCTCTCCCGTACTACAAGCAATCGCGGGGCACGGGGTGCCGGTCCATACGTTGCCAGGGGAGCTCTGCAGGCTGGTTGGTATCCACCAGTATATATGTATATACCGCGTACATGTCTCCCACGCGGAAGTGCATGGTGTCCCCGTTCCACTCGGCACGGTTGTATGCCTCGCAAGCTCCGAAAAGCCATGAAGATACCTCTCTCCCCCACACCTAGTTGTCATTGCCACGCTCCTGCCTCCCCCGAACCTTGCTCTCCCCGTCGTCATCATCGCCATGGCACCTCTCACATAAAGCACCACGTCGGCGCCCAACGACGAGTACTAACAAACGGCCTGCAATGCAGTTCACCCTTGACCCAGGATAGCAGGAGAAGGCGCCAGTCTCAGCCGAATTCCGCCTTATCGTCGCCGTCTACGAGCGCGTCGCTCGTCGAAGAGATGGCTAACGTCGGAGGCCCAACGCTGCTGAAGCGAACGCTCGGCATGCAAAACGACCGCTACAGCCAGCATATCGGACCCACGACCGATTTCGAGCCCTCGCTTATCAATCTCTCTCCATTCAACCCCGAAGATGAAAGTCTCCTCTCGAGGGGAACCCTGCGCAGGGTGGGCGAGCATGATACCTTTTGATGTTGCCCGATCATAATACCACGGGCTACGAGCACCAGCTCAAAGATGTAGACGAGGTAGAGAGGCTCGTGGCACCTCATGGAAAACACCTTATCGACCTCTACTTCAGGGTGGTCCACCCCGGGTTCCCGATTATCCAAAAGGGCGTCTTTTTGGAAAAGTATGAGCGGTCCTATCGAGTTCTCGCCGCCCCTCTTGGCAGCGGTCTACCTCCTCGCCATCAACTGGTGGCACCACTCTGTGGAGCTGGCACCCTTTCCGCGGCCCAACATCCCTTCGATAGAGAGACTTGTGCGATCCACCCTCGCCGACGCCATGTATAGGCCTAAGCTCTCGACCATCCAAGCAGGACTTCTGCTCTCCCAGCGGCCTGAAGGCGACCAATGGGCTCCTACCGCACAGCTGGTAGCCATCGCCCAGGAGCTGGGACTCCACCTGGACTGCACAAACTGGAAGATACCGCCGTGGGAAAAGGGCTTGCGGAAGCGACTGGCTTGGGCACTCTACATGCAGGATAAATGGGGCGCCCTGGTTCACGGACGGCCATCCCACATCTTTCCGACAAACTGGGCTGTGCAGCAGCTGTCCGAAAACGACTTTCCCGACGTTGATTGGGACGAGAATGACATTGAGGAGAGGAGGGAGGTGGAAGCCGGCCGGCTCATCTTTTGGGTATGGTGCGGCTCTCTCAGATCCTGGCCGAAATCTTGGACACTTTCTTCACCATACAGGCCATGCAGACGGTCATGGATGCGGGGGCGCAAGGAACTCACATGGTGCTATCCCTCGCGAAACCCGTGCAGCTCAAGTTGAAGGAGTGGTTTTCTAGTCTTCCACCGGTGCTTCGCATGGACTCGTCGTACTCGGCCAAGGGCAACCCGGGCGGACGGCTCTCGAGCGTGGGATACCTCCACCTGGCGTATTTCGCGACAGAAATCACGCTCCATCGACGAATCATCAGGTCCCTCACCGCCGCGGAAGCAGGTGGAACAGTGGACCCTTACCTTCAGCACATCTGCCGCAACGCCGCCAAGGCCCGACTGATCTCGGCCATGGATTTTGTCAATCGCCTTTCGCCAAACCACCTCCGTGCGTTTTGGTATTTTGCGTCCAAGACAAACTTTGCGCTCATTGGCACTTTTGGGTCGCTCCTGTGGGCGACTAGCCCGGGACAGGAAGAGGCCGAGTGGTACCGTCGGCGTCTCGGCGAGTATAGGTGGACGCTGAGCGTGAGCTCCAAACCTGGCGGATCTAGCCGTCTGACCGAGTTCGCTATGACCATGCTCGATATCAGCACGGGGTTGTTGAAAAAGCTCCCGGAGAAGCCTGTGCTAAGCCGTAATGGAAGCACGGCCGACATGGCAGGACTGAACGGCGTGGCACCGGCCGGGCCGTCGAGACCGAGGAACCAGGACTGGTTTTCTCCCGAGGGGTACAGCGGATTCCCATCGACGGAGGCGAGCGAAGCTGTGAGCCCGAGGAGCGAGAGCGACAGTAGCGATGACGATATGTACGACAATGCTCCCGGCGCCTGAGCCTAGCGCAGGCCTTTTGGATTAGAGGGAAGGGAGGGGGATATAACCCATTTCCCGCGTTTCTATTATATCGTGCCACGGGTTACAGCCCTCTCTATTTCTCTTTCTCTCCCTCCCTCCCCCTCTCTCTTTTGTTTTTCTTGGAAAGGCTTATGTGACGACACGACATCCGTCGTCTTCGTGGAGCGAAAAGGTTTCTTTCCTCCCGATATCTACCCGAGGCATACTTTTACTCGCTCCCAACTTTTTTCTTTAGAGGTTGAGTATGGGACTTGACCAATCATTACTTGCGGTCAGATGCTGTTTAGGATGCTGTGCGTGCATGTATGCACGTTGATGTGTGTGTTTGTATGGATGATGATACCCGACGCGGATGATTGTCCGGAACGCCGCTAGACTTTTTTTGACTCGATTTTCTTCCCAAACTTTTCTTTGCGGTACAACTTGGTTCTTGATGCGAGGTTCTTGTTTCTTTTTCTTTTTCCAGTTGGAGGGGGATGGGGTCGGTTTTTGGTTCTTTCCTTCTCTAACTGGTTTTCCGGTTCTATTCCTTGCACTTGCACATTTATCTAGCATGTTTATGATGTTATGTCTGAGGAATGAACCGAGGGGTTGTTCAATCAAAGAGCTAGATATGAAAACATGGGGCCCCGAGGGGTGGCAGATCAGATTGACGAAAAAAGCGGACAAGGGTTTTGGGTGACGATTCTACGCTTGCGATGGCAACACGGATAGATAGACCTGGGCGGCACCTTTATTTCTTACACCATTTCTAGTTATTTTTCGTCTATCTAGCACTCTATATTTCAGTGTTCTCTTTGATTCACAGCAGCCCTCATCTCGTTGTGCCTTTCCATCTCCATGCTTCTCGTTCTGTTACAAGTGTTGATGGGCTTGCCTTGGTAGACTGCGATATAGAAGGGCACAATAGCTGGCTATTCTAGGGGTATAGCTCCAGAGGTATTGATCTTCTCAACCCGATTCTCCGCTTTGATACATCTTCGTTTTGCTTTCTTGTTCTTTTCTTTTTGGGGGACGATTCGGGCTGTCTATCAAAGGGGGATGGATTTATACAAGTAGCACAGATGCCGTGGGGAACCAATCTCGGGTAAGGTTTCTACCCGGAAAGTGGTTTCATCCACAATCGATTTTTTTGTTTCCTTCAATGGTCCTCGCAGCCAGTAGTCGGCAGCCTCCCAGAATAACAGACGTTGAGCGCTACCCGGAGTCACGAGGTCCGGGCCGTTTGGATGACAGGACCACGGACGGGCCACGACGATTCGAAGATGCGCGTCGAAGGACTCTTGTTTGGCGAGGGCATCTACTACTCTGCCAGTCTGCCAGCACCTCTCTGCGCTAGGCTATGTCGGCAAGGAAGCGCCGCAGAACTTGCCACGCGCTGGTTGATGGCCTCGAGAAACGTGGCGTAGATCTGCACTTGCCCTTTTGGCCCTTGTCATCTTCTTGACATGGCAGCACGTTCAGCTGTGGCTCTTTGAGAAGAAGAAAATATTTACAAGCAATCACATTACGCTAGACAAGGGTTAGAGGGGAGAGAGCATGCGCGGCAGTACTTCGGTTTGAGAAAAGGCTCTCGAAAACGCAATCATGTATGAGTATAATTGTCACCAATTATTACATGTATGGTATGGAGGACGCGGTCTGCGGGAGATAGATTAGACGAGAAAAGACGACGGGAAACGAGTGGCAGTGGCGCACCCGTCTTGCCAAAAGCGGCAGAAGATGGCAAGAAGCGACCAATGCGGCGAGGCGATCTTAATATACTTGTCCCCGCGAGGCACTAGTGTGCACAATCTCCCCAACGTCTTCTGTCCCTTCCGACGACACTATTATCCCTGTCCCCCAATCGCAAAAAGGGACGGGAAGCAGAGTACTTGAGCTTTTTCTTCTTCTTTGTTTCTGTTTCCCCTCCCTTCTTTTGCCTGGATATTGCATGGCGAGTGATGGCAGTTTCGCCCAGATTGGTACCGGACACACGCCTCCTCATTGCGCGCCCTCTCTTCTTTATGCTTTCCCGTTTCTTTAATATTCCCCATTCCTCGGTTATCTCGCGTCGAAGCTTGCGGGCTTGCCACTCTTTTTTTTTCGATTTCCTGCGACTAAAGTGGGGAGCAGAGCGAGAGATGAGCTGGATGCTTGCGTGGATTGTACACGGCACGCCACTAACACACCAACACGCCTCTCTTGACGAAGGGAGAGTCAATAGAAACAGGAAAGGGAAAGGAAAAAAATTGTTTGGAGGGGGCAAAAGATTGGGAAACCTAGGGATCGTCGATGATGCTTGGGTCCCGATATTCGGTCTGCCCAACAGCTTGGACAGGTTAGTTTAGATTAAATAAACCCTCCATGCAAGGGGACGAGGGGGCGTGAGGGTGGACGACGAGCCGAGGCCGTTTTGTTCTGCCCAGGGATAGATCCGGGTTCAGACCCTCCGAGTATAAAACAGCCCCATTGCCGGGGTCGACGATGGGAAGAGGAAAAGGGCGGACAAGGGGGGCCAAGAGAGAAAGAGAGGCTGAACGACGCAAAGAGACGAAGAAGCTTATTAGTGCGTGCAAGCAGGTTTTGCCAACAAACGTCGTCGATGATCAGCGCGGGCGTGCATCTCTAGCGTATCCCAGCCTCGTGGTGCTCGTTCGCCCAGCTTGTTTTCCAAGAAATCTTGCCTCTTTGGTCCTTCTCTTCTTCTTCTTCTTCTTCTTCTTCTTATCTAGTAGCTTCTTCCACCTTCTCCCTCTCTTTCCCCTTCTCTCTATCTCGTTGAGCTCGTCCTCACGTTGATATCCATAGCCGCAGGAGAGCTCCTCATCTTTCACCCTGCGGGAGGGCTTTTCTTCTCTCGTTTTCCCCGCCTTCACTTTCCGCCCCTCAAAAACCTAGAACCTAGGCCAACCTCGCCATGTTGATCCTCCCCACCACCTACTCCTCCTCATTCCCGGCGCCGCGGCCGCCGCGCTCCCCGCTACCGCCGCAGCCGCAGCCGCAGCCGCAGCCGCAGCCGCCGCCCCGCCGACAGGCTACCAAACCACCCTCTTCTACGAGGACTTCACATCCCCCACCGCCCTCACAGGCAGCGACTCCTCGTGGATCTTCGACCTCGGCACCTCGTACCCCGGCGGGCCCCGCGGTGGGGCACCTCCGAGGTGCAGACCTACACCGAATCGCCCTCCAACGCGGCCGTGCAAAACGGCGTCCTGACCATCACCCCACGACTCGCCGGTAGCAGCAGCAACTGGACCTCATCCCGCCTGCGCACCCACCCCCGGCACGACTTCTCCTGCGCCGCCAACACCCGCCTCCGCATCGAGGCCCGGATCCGTCTCGGCACCGCCCCGAGCACCCAGCAGTCCGGCATCTGGCCCGCCTTTTGGGCTCTCGGCTCCGCCTACCGCGGCGTCTACACCAACTGGCCCGCCGTCGGCGAGGTCGACATCCTCGAGTCCCCCAACGGCCTGCCCCGCGTCTGGCACACCCTTCACTGCGGGACGAACCCCGTGGACCCTGCGACGAGACCAACGGCATCGGCGCCTCGGCGGCCTTTCCCCGCGACGGCGCCTTTCACCTCATCGCCGCCGAGTTTGACCGCTCTCCTTTGCTCCCTTCCTCTTCTTCCCCGTCTCCGTCTCCGTCTCCGTCTCCGTCGCCGCGCCCAGTGCCGGCCCCGACACCGACACCGGTACCGGCCCCAGCCCCAGCCCCAGGCACGGGGTCGGTCTCCTCCTCCCCGCGTCCCTGGCAGAATGAGACCATTACCTGGTTCGTCGACGGTGTTCAGACCTTTCGCGTCACTGGCGCCACGATTGGTGACGCCCGCGCCTGGGCTGCCCTCGCCCACGACCCCAAGTTCTTGCTCCTCAACGTCGCTGTTGGCGGTTCTTTTCCCGATGCTGTGGCCGGGGCGAGGACGCCCAATGCTACGACTCAGGGCGGGCCGGGGGCTGCTATGGAGGTGGATTATATAGCGATTTATAGCTCGTGAGGAGGAGCGCCTTGCCAAAAAATTTCCCTTTCTTTTCATTGAATGGTGGGAACACTCTTTTCTTTTCCGCCGTGTTTACTTATCTTGTGCCAACATTTCAGCGGGCACCTCTTTTTCCCCTTTGGAAAGCGTTTTCCAGGTATTTCTACCATATAAGTCGAAAGGGAGCCGAGGCTGGGGCACTAACCATGATGTTGCCGACGGCTTAACGTGAGATCAAGTAGTGCAGAGGTTCGACTTTTTGTATATATGTTGACTGATAGGTGGATGGGAGACGGCCATGCCATTGAATCAAGTACTTGGTTCCTGGGCTCAGCCCAACGCAAGGAACAACCTAGTTTTGGCAGCTCGGTCCGCGATGAAAAGACGTGATACAAGTCAGTCCACTGGCAAAGACAGCTTAGCACAGGTATCCTCATATTTCTTGTGAACTATCATGAGCATGCTCGCGAGAAAAATAACAAAACAAAGGGGGTATACGGTCGGTGGAGAGATATATATATACACATTCTCTCACCCACACACATGCCAATACGCATGTGGCTCATGTCTAGCGAGAGTCCATAGTGGACGGTTGAATCCAAGCCATTTCCTTTCCCGGCATTCGCACGCTCTTCCTCACTCTCTCCCACGCACACACACACACAATGTCTCTCTCCCTCTGTGCTTGTTTCTCTATATAATCCAGGCCTTCTTCCCTTTCGTGTTAAACTCTGGTTTCTTCCCACTCCCTCTCTCTCTCTCTCTTCCTCTCACCTTAATATCACGAGCTCATCATCGTCATCGTCCATGTCAAGTACCACTTGTCTGCTCACCAACTCCTCCCCGAGGCTCTCCCGCCCTGCTTCGCGGATACCTTTCGAAGTGACAAATCGCGTTTTCTTCTTCATCGGAGATGCGGCTTCTTCCCGCACTAGCTTCTCACCCTCCTTCATCCGTGCTAGTTTGTCCTTGAGCGAGCCGCCCCAACCTAGCGCCGACACCGTGCCCCCGAGCGCGACGATTGGGAACTATCCGCTCGCTTTCGCTTGATGGGGCTCAGATGGATAGACCTAGAGGCATCCCCACGCGGCAGGAGAAGGCCGAGACTCCTAGCGTCCGGTGGCGGTTTATCCCCCTCTACGACGGTTGACTGTGACTGTTGCTGCTGTGACAGGGACGCCGAAGAAGCCGTCGACGATACTATTCCCGCCATGCGGCCCGCTTTGCGCATATACTCCTGACCGGCCCCACTACCGGACTTGCTGAGCGCCTGCATAATCTTGGCTTCCTTTTCCTTGGCGATAAGCCTGCGCTTCAGCGCCTCTTCCCTCTCCTTTCTGTCGGCAACGCCGTCGATGAGGGTTGCCGCACTCATCGACTTGGTAGCATACCAGTGGCTATGCGTCTCTCGGTCGTAGGATGCGCCCGTGCTAGTTTTTGGCCCGAACCAGTCCTTCTGAGGCTGTTTCTGTTTTTGGTGTACTCGTTACCAAAACCAATCTGGTTGAGCTCGGATCTCGTTGCCCGTGATTTCCTCACAATCTCGTTGGAGTGGAACTCGCAAAATTCCGTTCGCTTCTTGTTCACCCACGAATTGCATAGCTTTCCATCCTTCTTCATCGACTTGCAAAAGCCTAAATCCCGCGCTGTGCCAATCTCGATGATCGTGTCGGCGTCCGAGTTGATGACTAGACTGAATTTGCCCGAATGCACGCGTGACGCGGGCGGAGCCATAACGTTGGGATTCAGTATAGCAACCACAGTCCCCTCAGGAATCTTCCAAAACCGGGTAAATCCCGAATTGAAGAGGAACAATTCTAGTTCCCATTGCAGGTCCACGAGTGTGACTACCATATACTTGGTCCGATCAGCTACCTGGGTTCCGTTGTCTGTCGGCTTGTGGGACCTAGGTTCCGACTTGCTAGCGACGATGGCGAAAATGACAATGTCTTCTTCTACGTCGGGGAGGGCATAATCAGGCGACTTGACCTCTTTTAGTAGATCCTTGATGCCGAACATGGCCTTGCCTTGGAGCTGCCGAGCAAGTGCTGCATGGGGTAGGATGCGCTTCGACAGGTGGAAGGATGAGTATGCCTCAAAAGATGCACTCTCTGCTTCCTGGTTGTCCTCGGTCGCTTTCCGACCCGCCATTGCTGACTGCGACCTCTCGCCTTGGGAGGAAGTGATTGCAGATGTTGAATTGCTCCTCTGCAAATTACCTCCGGCGGAGCTGGGCCGAGCGCCTAGGATGTCAGCACGGGAAAACTCGAGGGGTCGGAGCTCCTCTGTGGGTATGGAGACTGCTGAAGCTTTGTACTGGTCGAGCTCCCCTTGCGACATGCCAAAGGCGTTGGATCGAAGCCTTTGTATCCTTTCTTGCCGCTCTCGCCGCTCCTCCTCTTCGCCTCTTGCAGCCGCAATCCTCTCATTGAAGCTCCTGGGGCGAGGCGGCTCAATAGAGGACTGCGAGGAGTCTGGGTTGGATTTGGTCCTCAGATACTTTGGTCCAGTGACATTTTCCGTCGGTTTCCGTAGGCTCGGTGCCCGCCTTAGTGAAATATCCTTTGCCCTCAAACCCTTGTCGATACCTAAGAGTACGCGGCTAGGAGATGTTTGCACTGCAGGCGGTTGGACCCTTCGAACAGGAGACGCAGGTATGACGGTGGGCTGTGGTGCAGCAGCAGTGGCTGCGGCGCCGGCACTAGCACCGGCACCAGAAGAAGCGCGCACTTCTCCCCCAGGTTGCAAACCGGGCTTGGACCTTGTCGATTCACCTCTTACGAGGGCGGCGGCAGAACCTAAGCCCGACATAGCCGCACGATCAGGGGTAGACCGACCCTGCAACCTTTCTTTCTGCATCTTTTTCAGCTTTAACCTCGCCTGGATTTCCGCTAGCTTGAGTTGAAGCGTTTCTTCGTCGTCATCATCGTCGTCGTCCTCATCCCCGTCACCCAGCGACAGGGCATTCGACAAGCTTCGTGTACTATTCATTGCCCTCGCCCCCGTAGGGGAGAGGGAGACGGCGACGTCCGTTCCGCTATGCGACGAAGTTTTTCTCGGCCTCCGGGGTGCTCATCGCGGCTTCGTGGGGAGATCGGGGCGGCCATTGTGGCTCATCGGTGGGTTGTTCTAGCTGGAGTCAGTTGACCAAACACAGACCGATGCCCAAGGCCCTCCACTCAGCCTTGGTTGAGACGAAGGAACATACGTAGAGGCATGGCGACAGAGATCGAGGGGAGGAGCACGAGAGGGTGCGTCGATAACGACAAGGGGCTTGTGGGAGGCGGCCTCGGGCTCTTTCGAGACCCTTTGGGCCAAGAGCGCCTCAGCGCAAGCGGTCAAGAGTGGATGCAAGTCAAACAGCCGGCATCAAATGGCAACCATGCCGGAGACAACGAAGGAAGGGAGTTAAAGAAAAGAAAACAGAAAAAGAAAAAAAGGGAAACGCCTGAAAGTTTTTAAAGAGGTCTTTTTCTTCCCAGCCTTAAAGTGGGAAAAGGAGACGGCAAACTGCCAGTCTCAAGCCAAGCAAAAAGTGCAACCTCGACTGTGACGTCTTGAAACTTTCGAATGTCAAAAATCAGTGTCAAAGATCGGTCAGTCCAAGTGCTGCAAACGCTGCTGACAGCGACACCTGCAGGTTGCTTGACTAATTGGTACCCAAGTGCCCACTCCTGCTTTTGGCCATCGGGCAAGCGCAGTAGTGCCGGGAATGGATTAAGACAACATACCAAGCAACAAGGTGATGGGGTAAAAAGACACTGGACCCAACACACGTGATGCTCCAGAAAACATACAACTTCCCTGGCCGGTTTTTCCAGAAAGGATCAGATGTCATGCGAGACAGTTTTAGCCGTTTCGCTCGAAATGACGAAGGACCCTTTTCCCGTCAAGAAGCTGATTTCAGAGTATGGAAGGACGCGAAGATTTGGTACTCCCGCGCGGACGCGTTAATTTCGTGTCCAAGTTAAATTGATTTGGTTAGTCAGCGAATATCTTGGGCACTGTGATACTTCATCCACAGCCTCAGAAAACTACAGCTAACATCTCAGCACGTAGAATTGATAGCTTCGTTCCCTCCAATCCTTGGCACGCCTACCGTAACGTCAGCACGATCTGAGTCTCCTCTCGATCTCACTTGTCTCTGTGAGTGTCTGGCATGATTTGAATAAAGTAAATTGTGTGGCCTTGAATATAAAGTGTAAAGCAAAAGTCAGTCTGATGTGGGTGGTATAAACCAACGCCGCTTCGGCGCTCCACAAGTCTGGGAGAGAACTTGAGCCGCGCGACTTGCAAGCCAGATATCTCATGATAAACGCCTGTAGCCTCACTTCTAAAGTGAATTTAAAAAGAAAGAAAATCCTAAGCTTAGGTGAAGATACTGAGCTGCGGATGCTGGGAACCTTGCTTGCGACTCTAGTTAGCTTTCGTAGAGAAATAGCCACGAGTTTGCGTCCATAATACGCGTCTCGATTTTTGGAGCTTGGTCCCCGCGACGCACCCTTCAACCACATCCCTCCACCAAACTTCTCTCCAACAGCAAAAAGCTTTGCGAGCTCCTCTCTTTTTCTCCTCGACGACGACCTTTCCATATATATCTTATCAGCCAATCTTTTTACAGTACCCTATTCAATGGCAAGAACCCGCGCATCGAAGCCTGCAGCCGCCGACGCCGAATCCGCGCAGGGCGGCGCCGAGGCGACGTCCATCTACACGCTCCCTCCCCGAGTTCGAATCCCGCCCACGCCTTCATCCTCCCCGTGCCGCCTCCTCCGCGGCCAAGATCGTTACGCTTCCGAATCCCCGTTACTCCAAGCCCACCCGATACCTAGTATGTCCCGAATCCGGCGTCTACGAATTCACCCAAATCTCCGCTCCCTCGGCGGCTCCGCGAAGCTGGCTCTTTGAGCAGCAGCCCACCACCACACAAGCAGACGACGCCGACGAAACGACGACGGAAACGAAGCCCAAAGACATCAATGGCTACATTTCCAAAAGCGCCGACCTCTTCATCGCCACCCCCTTTGACCCCCTTTTCCTCGTCATTCCCGCTCTCCTCGAGACCGCGCCCAAGAGCGATGCTAAGCGCCTGTTTTTGGCCAGCGACGACCACTTGGAGAAGCTCCCAGAGGACGACTCCCACCTCAACGAAATTCTGAGAAATGACGAGACGCGTGGATTATTCGAGTCGAGGATGAAGGCCGTTTGCGATACGGTCGAGGCCGGAAGCGAGGTCATGTTCCGCATCAACGAGGAGAAGCTATTCCGCGTGATATTAGGCAAGGCGAAGAAGCTCGCCGAGTGTTCACTACCGCCCTCCATGGAGGAAAAGTTCGTAGCCAAAGTTCTCCAGGCCCCCATGATCGCCAGGGTGCGCCGCGACATCCCCACCGCGGCGTCGGGCACCTCGACCCCCTTAACGGAGTCGGCCGAGTCCCAAGCCTCCACCGCCACCGCGGAGAGCAACGGGGCCTCTGCGGCCTCGCAGGCGTCGACGGCCGCCACCTCTGTCGCGGAGGAACCCGCCGTTGCCGAAGAGGACATCGCCACCGCCATGCAGGCCTCGCCCGAAGTCTTGGCTCTCCAACGCCTCCGCGTCGCCTTTGACTTCATCTGCGGTAGCTATATTCCTGTCCGCCTCGTCGCGCCCCTCAAGGAAAAGTTTAGCGACAAGGCCGTGTCCGGGACCGACTTCGCTCCTCTGGATGACTACCTGACGGAGCTGGCCAAGATTCGCGCGGAAGCCGTGGCGGTGCGAGGCGGCACCTATGGCCGGAAGCACGGGAGAGAAGAGGACGAGGATGTAGTGCAGCAAGAAAAGAAGCGCAAGCTAGAGGAGGAGAAGAAGAAAAAGGCCATGGAAAGCCGAGGCGTCCGTGACCTCAAGAAAGTCGACACGACAGGGATGAAAAATTGAGCCACTTCTTCAAGAAGAAATAGGCCATCTCTTATCTTTTGGACGGTTTTCTTTCGCGGCAAGGACGGCGCATGGGTGTCATCAGGAAAAGGGGTATTCTTTTAATTTTTATTTGATTTTCTTCTTGGAACGGCAATCGGAACCAGACATGATACGTCACTTCTTGGAATTATCTTACACAAAGCTCTAAATGGTGCAATAACGCTGTCGTGAGAGAAGGCATTGTCCAATAAAGTACCTTCTTATTTCGCATCTCCCCTTGAACCTCTTGCACGTCCGGTCCCTCTCACAAGGCCCCGGCTTCTTGCAATGCCAGATGATGCCCGACGGCCCGCGCCTGCTCCCGAAAGACTCCTCTGCAGTTGGGTGCCAGATGATGGCGCTGAGCTGGTGCCCCTCCCAGTACCAGCGATGCGGCTGACGCCGCCTCGGCCGCGACTCCGAAGTCCTCGCGTCGCTCGAGGAGCGGCAGTGGTACCAGCTTGTCTCCTGCGCTCTTCCTCTTCCGCGCGGCGCTTCGCCTCCTCGCGCCTCCTCTCCACTTCGAGTGCTCGGCGCTCTGCCGCTTGCTGCTTCTGTATCGCCTCGGCCTCAATATCGAGGATATCTTGAGTCGAACCCTTCCAGCTTGGGTTAAGAACCAAACGTTGGTTGTGTTCCGTTTGTGATAATATCCGTGTCCAGGTGTTGAGCAGCGCCGAGGCATTGGAAACGGTTCCGGACACAGTCTAGAAAAGCACATGACAAAGTTAGTCGCTGTGCTGTACCCCGGTTTAGGTGCACACTGAGAGAACTGAAGAAGAAGGAAAAAGAAAGAAGAAAAAGAAAAAAGGCATGCGCCCCACGCCAGTCTCCCTGGCGTCGAATATCGAGCAACGGAAGGAAATGTAAGGGAGAGAGCATATATCTACGCACACCCATGTTTGCTTGGGCCCGCTCCAGTGTCCCGATAACACCCTCAATGGCCCGGTTCACATTTTTAACACCTTCAAGCTCTTTACGCAAGGCAGCTTCATGATCGTAGGTTGGCGACGCCGCCCGAGTCGGTGTCTTAGGCGTCTTGGGCGTCTTGGGCGTCCGAGGCCTTTCCACAGACTGAGAGCGAACAGGTTTATCGGCCGTGGGCGAGGCCCATATGTCTTCTGTCAAGGAGTCGTCGGCGAGGTGGTCCGCCATGGTAAAGGACTCCCGGGGTCGAGGCGTGGTGATCAAGGATCTCGCGACAAGGCTTCTATGCAGGAGGAGTGGGCGCTCAATCACCTCGGTGGGCCAGCCACGTTTACCAAAGGTCAAGGCTGAGGCAATGAGTGGCTCGCGATAGGCTGGAGGGGTCGATGTTGGCTCAGGGCTTGGTATGTTGAGACCAAGCGCGTGCTCTATTTTGGTGGGGTGGATTGTCTTGAGGCCTGATTGCGGGGAGCATGTTGGAGGGGTTGGATGAACGGTACCCAGTGCGCATTGAGCTTCTATGGACACTGTATTTGTTTGAGGACCCGCTTCGGAAGGCGCGTTCGAGGGTGTAAATGGGCAATGGCCACGTTTCATTGGTCAAGTTTGCCCTGCCAACACGAACTCCGCGCGTGGTGGTCAGAGCACGCGTTGACTGGCTGACTGGCTAGGCAAGTCCGCCCCTGCACTGCATGCTGCAGGGCTTTGCTGGAAAATTCCTCCCGCCCAACCCCAAACTCAAGCCAACACCAGCCACCGACCTTTCCACCCTTTCCTTGGTTGCCCACCCACCTTGATTAAATCCTCATTCCACCAAGTCCTAAACATACCTTGTCCATGACTCCATAATCCTGTAATATCCAACCTTCTACACTAGTTCATTGCTCCCTCGATATTGCTCCATATCCCCCTTCAATCCCCGTTTTCTTTGCATTCTTTCTTGCTCCTGTGTTCTATTTTCTTGAAATCCGACAAATCCAACTGCCCGAACCCCTTGTGAGTGGCCGACAAAAGCTCTCTTCACCGACTTCTCCATCAACAGCTCGGAACCCGATAGACAATCCCAGCGACTTGAGTAAATTCGATACTTTACTAGATACACGGAGAGGGACCTTGCGGGCTTCATTTGTTATCATAGTAGTGCTTCGTCGTCTCCATTCTCTTCTCACTTGAAAGTGCGGGCACCTTTTCCAACCTTCACCAGCAAACCAACATCCCTCCAGTCGGTATTCCTCTTCGCCATGGAGCCCTCAACGCCGTCACCCCCGCCATCCGGCGTTCGCACTCCTCCCACCCCTAAGCATGGCTTTGGCGACCACTGGGATCCTTATTCGCCTCGAAAGTCTGCTCGCATTTCTGCCCAGCGCGCTGGCAACCGAACCCCCGCCTCGCACCTCCTCTCACATCAACCACGACCCATTTGGCCCCGGCCCCGCGAGGAAGGTGCGCACCCAAGCAACCTCCGTGGCGGGCATGGTCTCGCCTTTGAGTCGCCCAAGAAGAGAGTGCGAACGTCTGCTGCTGTTGATTCCAACTCTTTCACACCCCCACAAACTGGTCGCCTCAGTGCTCACTCTTCAGCCAGAGCGTCGTCCTCTCTCGGTCTCGACAAGTCTTCCACCCTCCAAACGTCAAGCACAACCATTTCGCGCGTCGCCGGAATGATTCCTACCCCAGCCAAAACGCCCAAGAAGGCGCCGGTGGAAAAGAACGCCGGAATCCAGGCCATTGCCCGAAATCTATTCGCGTCTGACGAGGAAATTATGCCCAGCCCTTCAAAGGCGCGCGCCAAGAAGTACACGGGCATTTCGCTCGAAAGCTTCACAGCGGAGGAGGATGAGACTCCTATTGAAATTTTCACTGACTCAAAAGAGCGCATTCCTAACAAGGAGGTGAGCGCGGACAACCCATTCTACGGAAACGCCAGCCGAGATGCGCAAGAACCCGTAAAGCGGCGAAGCAAGCGCAACAAGGTCCACGTCCCGGGAGAAGGTCGCCAAACAATTGAGGACGCTATGGGGCGAGAGGACGGCCTAGTTTACGTATTGTGAGTATCTCTCTTCGTTTACCGTTTCCTTAATTTTTTTGGTTTCCCCGGAGTGCCCAATTCTTTTTCCCTCATGAGGAGGGGTCGAATCCCAACTCGTACCTTACTAACTGCTTAAACTTCCATAGCCGGGGAAAGAGGATTTTCCGCAAGTTTGCAGAGGCGGACCCCGCTGACGCTGAGGCGCTTGAAGACGGCGAGGAGCCATCTATGCGCCGCATGACCCGATCCACGATGAAACCGCGCCTTCTCTTCCCCACCAAGCCCCAAGAGCCGAGCGAGCTCGAGGCAGAAGAAGCCGATACCGACGTCGAGCTCGGACCAGAAGACATGGAGACGACCGAGGCCCCCGACACCCCCGTGACCAAGAAGGAGGAACGACCGACAACCCCCAGCGCACCCGGCTACTCACCCATGTCCCCCTGATACCCGCCGTGTAACCCGCGCGCGGGACAGCAAGTTCGATGATTCCACTCCTATTCGACCTCAAGGCAGGACTAGTCCATTCGATTCATGGCCGCGTGTCAAGAGCAGGTCCGAGACTAGCCTCCCTTTGAAGCGACCTGGGTCAAGTCTGAGTTCCGATACAGCCAAGAAGATCCGCCCTTAGACGCCTAATAAACGGTTGTCACTCGTCTCTTTATTCTTTCGTTTTGCCTGTCACCAGGGGCTACTCGTTGATCTTACACAAGTACCGCAAGCCTTTTTCTTTTTTTCTTTTTCGAGAGCAGCTACTCTCGGCTTCTTTTCTCAATTCCCTTGTTCACTACGTCGCCCCGTGATTTCTAGGCCAGAGCTTGACAGGATGAGGTTTTAGTTATGAATTGTGTTTACTTGTCTATATGGATGGTCACCCCTCTTCCCTCGAGTGAGGGCGAGAGAGCAGGGGTAGGATGAATGCTGTCAATGGAGGAAACTGCCTAGGAAGCACAGGAATGATGAGTACAAGGTTACGTCTACACAGAAGGGATACGGGCGTTTAAAGGTTGAATGAACAGAACACTTGGTATTTTATTTTTGGCAAGGGCTCGAGTTTGTCATTGCCAGATCGATGCCCAGGATAGGGGCACAATACTAGCAGTGAGCTTAGTCTAACAGAACCAACGAGAAGAGATAGAGCTGCGAACGGCTTGCCTCTCAAGTTAATACCAACCATGATTTCTCAAATGTTTGCTTTGGCGGCTTGGACTGTCCTGAGTGCCCTCGTTAAAGCCAGGCTACAGGTGCTCCTTCGAGATAAAACTACCTACTCGTAGAGAAGGGAGTTTGTGAGTCGCAATCAAAGAATATGATTTGCAAACACCACGGTGAGAGTCAAGCCTCAGTGCCCAATGCGACCGAGGCCGGAGCTTTCAAAACAACCTCACCGATTGTAGCCCGAAGCGGCTAAGCACCGTACCAGTCAAGAAAACCTTGCCATGCTTAACGAGTGTCTTTGCAGGCACCAAATAAGACTGGGTTGGACCTTCTTCTTCCGTTTCGTTTTTTTCCTTCTTTTTCTTCTTTTTCCCCTCCCCCATTTGCCCCTCTGAGGACTGGTTGTTGCCATGCCCCGCCATGGTAACGTAATAACCACTTGCCGGGGGAAGGTGGCGCCCTCACCTTATCGGAAGAGGAAACCCCCACCATCGTCACCTCCCGAACCCACTTTCCTTCCGAGGCTTTCACTCACCCATTGAGACGAGAAATCATTGCGTATCGATCGAAACTCGCGCCTTCTCTAGATCTGTAGCTTGCGTGGCACATTGCGAGAACCCCTTCATTAGAGTTGCCCTCGCCTTCACAACCCTCTTCACACATCATAGCTCCTTTGCCAACGTTTTCCCGTTCGAACGGCTTGTCGACCCGAACCCCACCAGACGTCCTTGACTCCACCCGAAAGTCGAACGACGGCTCCTCCCCACCTACCCAGACAGAACTATCTCTTTTGACCAGGTCAAAAGGCAAGCCCTTTTTCAACGAGCTACTCCCTCCACCAACAAAAGCGCAAAGATGCACATTCTCTTAACTAACGACGACGGGCCCCCGTCCCCGCACTCCTCGCCGTATATTCGCTGCCTCGTGGACAGCCTTCAAAAGGCAGGCCACACGGTTTCGGTATGCCTCCCACATACGCAGCGGTCCTGGATTGGCAAGGCGCACATGATCGGTCAGACTGTGAAGCCGCTGTACTACCGGCCGAGTGAGGCCATATACGGCGAGGAAGCGCAGGGGACTACGCACTTTAAGCCCTCGCGCGACGGCAACGTCGAGGAGTGGATCCTAGTCGACGGGACTCCAGCCTCGTGCGTGCAAATTGGCCTACATCACTTCTTCCAGGAGCGCGGGCCTATTGACCTTGTGGTTTCGGGTCCCAACTACGGCCGCAACTCGACTGCGGTGTTCGCGTTGAGCTCGGGCACCCTAGGCGCCGCGCTCGAGGCCGCGGCGTGCGGGCAAAAGGCCATCGCGCTGAGCTTTGCCTTCTTCTCGCGGAACCACGACCCCGTCATCATCGATGGCGCGTGCAGGCATAGCGTCCGCGTTATCGAGGCCCTCTATAAGCAGTGGCCCCAGGACCGGAGCTTGATCTGTACACGGTCAACGTGCCTCTTGTCGAGGGCGTCGAGGAGCACAAGACGGTGTGGACGGAGATGCTTCAGAACTACTGGACTGGCGGCAGCTGCTTCCAGGAGGTTGAAGGGAGCATTGGTGACGAAGACGAGGAGGAGGAGAGGATACGTGAGGGCGTGACTGGGGAGGTCGCGGCCAAGCCCGGCAAGGACCCCAAACCTAGTTCCGTTCCCGGACACACACACAAACACTTCAAGTGGGCGCCTAGGTTCGGAGACGTGTACAAGAGCGTGGAAGACTCCGGGCCTGGAAGCGACGGATGGGAGGTCAAAGAGGGAAACACTAGGTATGATCAAATCGCAGACAGTTCCTCCCAGAACGCGAAATGGAAGTGGAAGTACTCCAGCTAACACCTTTGTTTTTAAACCCACAGCATTACGCCCTCAAAGCAAACTTTTGGCAGGCCGCGACGCATCTTCACGGCAAGGAGCTGGAACTGTAAGTTATATGCATGACATTCTCTCCATTTCTTCTTCTCTTCTCCGTCTCTTTCTCCTTTTCTTTTTTTCTGCTTGCAGACGCACAACATACAGGAGGGTCTCTCCGGATGCCGCCGCTACCTGCTAGGAGGGGTAGGCTTGCAAAGGATAATGAACGGCCTTGTTGGGACGGCATCAAGAGAGAGAGAGACACAGGGAAGATAAGAACTTCGTGTTACCAGGCATTCATTCCGTAATTAGTGACGCGCTTAGTGAATGCCTCGAATCTCTCCCCCTTCTTATTGCCCGTTATCAAAGGATGATGATGCGTAGCCTTTCCTGCTCGTGTACCTTGGTACGCTGTTATGGCTTCCGAAATAGTTCGAGCCTCGTCGTGATAGATCCACAGTCTCACACTACTCTTTGTCTTCCCATAGTCCACCACCGGCTCCCAGGCCGGACGTCCTTGAGAACCCGGGGACCGGCTCGGTGCAGCATCTTACCGGCAAGACGAACTCCACAGAGACGATATACGCCATCGTGGCGTACGAGGATCCATATGTGCAGCCCCTCATCTTAGACGCGATATCGAGTCTCTTCCCGAATATAAACGTCCTGTCGACGCTGGCGCCGACGTCGAACGATGGCGAGCCGAATCTCGGAAGCTACTTGCCTACGCCAGCGGTCAAGGTCCTTAATATTACATCCTACGAGGCCATCGACTTTAGTTTCGCACAGGAGCATCGGCAGACTTGCCTCATCAACAGCTACGCTATACGCAAGGCACTCATCCGCAAACACTTCCTATCGACGACGGTGGATATTTGGGTCTCGAAGCGACCCAGGAGCGTGCTCCGAGAGCACGTCAAGAGAAGCGAAGCGTTTGAAGTAGACTATGCCGAGTTCCTAGACGACGCGCTCGTCGAAGCATGGGACCTCAGAGAAAGCATGGAGAAGAACGAGGAGGGGCAGGGGCAGGAAGAGGATGGCGAGACGGTCGGCTCGAGGGCTGGAGAGGACGGGAGCGGCGGGAACCATGACGATGACGACGACGGTGGCGGTGAAGGCAAGGAAGCGGAAGAAAAGTCAGCTCGTCGCCGCGAGTGGTGGATCCTCAAGCCGTCCATGAGTGATCGTGGGCAGGGCATCAGGCTATTTAGCACGATGGCGGAGCTACAGTCTATTTTCGACGGCTGGGAAGAAAACATGCCCTCGTCGGATGACGAGGATGAAGATGATGACGCGCACTCGACGGATGCGACTGGCGGGGACGAGACCGGCGATTACATCACGACGTCTCACCTCCGCCACTTTGTCGCGCAACCCTACATCCACCCTCCTCTTCTCGTCAACGGGCGCAAGTTCCACATCCGGACCTACGTTCTCTGTAACGGTCGTCTCGATGTCTACGTCTACAGGCAAATGCTAGCCCTCTTCGCAGCCAAAGACTACGCGGCGCCGTGGGAGGAGGATGACCTGGACAAGCACCTCACTAATACATGCCTCCAGGGGCCTGGATCGTCGCCGTCGTCCGTGCAGCTCTGGAACACGTTACCCATCGACGATATACTCAAGACCAGCGTGGAGCAGCAGATCTTCGAGGTGGTGGGAGATTTATTCGAGGCGGCCGCTGTGGGCATGCCAATCCACTTCCAGCCGCTAGGTAACGGGTTCGAGGTGTACGGGCTAGATTTCCTCGTAGACGAGACGGGCACGACGTGGCTGCTCGAGGTCAACGCGTTCCCAGACTTCAAGCAAACCGGGGGCCAGCTCAAGCGGGTGGTGGCCGGATTCTGGGAGCAGGTGGTGAGGGTGTCGGTGGGCTCCTTCTTCGGCGTAGAGCCCAAGGCGGGGTCATCGGGCTCTAGGTCGGGGGCTGAGGCGGCGGGTGACGAAAAGAAGAAGGAGGAGGATCTGGTCCTCGTCAGGAAGATTGACCTACCTGGGATGTAAGAGTGGTGGAGAAGAGGGGGTTGGAGATGTGATTTCGGGGCCCAGGTGGGGGAAGAAGGTCGTCGGCGGTGTGGGTGTGTGTAACAGGGACGGCCTCCCGACTAAACAACTGTGCAATGCAAAAAGGGAATCTAGAAGTGAACATGAAAAGACTGGATCGGGAAGAGAAAAGGAAAACCCCAAAAGCATGGGCATGAAGACTAAACGGTAGCGACACAGATCAAAAGAAACGCAAAGAAAAGAATGCAAGACGGGTTGTTCGCTACGGCAGCAGCTTAATAAGTTGCTCCTCCTAATTTAGGAAGTTGACAACAATTGACGATAGAAGCTACAAGAGATGGCTCTCCTACCTTCCCCCTCTCTCACTGCAAACCGAACAATCTATCGCATCGTGATATCGATCTTGGCATATCTCATATCTCGAGATGAAGTTTACGCCTTGGCCATTGATAACGACATGGCCGAAAGCAGAAGAACCAGAAACGGACATGGGGGCGTGTCGTTTGTCTCCTCTTGTCTTCCAAATTCTCTCCCACCTCTGTCGTACTCGCCCTGCTTCACAAACAACATGCATTTTTGTCATCGAGGAAGAGGCAGTTTTTGTGTGGGAAAAAGCCGCCAGGATGTCATTTGGAAGGAGGCTTAGACGTCTGTCTTGCAAGGGGACCAAGAAAAAAGCGGGCGAGCAATTTTTCCCTTGACCACCGCGCCGCGCGAGTGCACAAGCCTGGATGGTCTCATCTTCATAGCCAAGAGAGCATAATTACCGATCTGCCTCGAAACGAAGAAGAAGAAAAGGAAAAACTAAGGGAAGACAGAGGGAAAGAAAAAAACCCGAAACAAGGGGGTCGGGGCCCGGCGGGAAAGAGTGCATCAGTGCATCTCACGACGGGGGCGATGCGGGGATGGTGTTAGGCAGGTGTTTCCCCTTTGTTTCCGGCGGGCCAAATCACGTCACGGAGCTAGCGCCGAGGGTTGTTGTTGGTGTCTGGCCGGGCTGTACCGTGATTCCGGCGGCGGCGGGGACTTTGGGGGATCCTTTGTAGCTACGATGGATGGGCGTGTTTATGGGAATGAATCTTTTTCAACTCTCGCGGCCGCTTTCTGGCGAATCTTGAAGCAAAGGGAAACGAAGCTCAAATTTTGATGAACGAGACTTTGTGTTGGAAAACAAAAGATCCCCTCTGGTGTTCAAATCTCCCGTCGTCGTACAAAGTAATTCCTGTAAACCGATCGCCCGTCTTACAAGTACCTACCAGTAGGGTTGCGCTGCCCTGGGGCTTAGACGTCGGGCCCCGCCAGTCAGGATGGGTCAACAAGAGAGACATCCATCCATCAATAGATTAACAAAAACGGGGTAATCAAGCTGGTAGCAATCGTTGGGCCCTGCGCACGTTAGTTTATTAGAGAGGTCCTCGTCCGAAAAGGTTCAATGTCCCTTTTCTCGCTCGTTGGGGCTCTGCCAAGATAAAAAGATGGTTGCGATATCAAACAAAAGTCTGGCTGGAGATTACAGTCATCTTGCCGGCTTGATACGGGCATATCCCCTTTTCCCCTCCGCATTCTACTCTACGCCATAGAATCAAACAAATAAAGATAAAGAAAGAAAAAAAAGCCTCACAGCTGAGTCTTGGCAAAGGTGGGAAAAATACGAGATCGGCGAGGAAGACTAGGGGTGAGGGAGATGTCATTCCAGCCGTCGGAGGTGAGCTGAGCTGTCGTGACGAGGGGGAGGATGAAGGTCGTCAACGAGAGAGGTCGGGGTGGCGTGCGCATCAAGGCCACTTTTCGGGTTTTTCTATAACACATATGGGAAATTGTAGTTAGTGGAGGGCAATGTGAGATCGATCAGTCACTTGCCGCCTCCTTCTTATCAATCCGAGTAGACATATGGGGACGCAGATGGACAGGCTCAAGGGCCGCCGAGATGATCCACTTCCCCTTCCCATTGCCTTCCTCGTATCTACACGAGTGTAATTGGGCTCTGGCAAGGAGTCAAATGGCTAAGCCTGCTCCTGGTCTGGCCGTTTCTGCCTTCTCCTAGCACGGCGGGCCTCTTCACCAGGAGTTCAAGACCCAGGGTTGACGATGCCTTGGCTTTCTCATTCCAGAGCCCGGGGCGATGCAATCCTCACGGTTGAGGAGCCAAACTAACCTACTTGTATCAAACGGAAAGTGGAAAAGAGGCGGCGATCCAAGGAGGGGCTGCCAATTCTATGCAGGGCGGGACCGAAGATTATCAGATCCGGTACTGCCCTTTTTTATCCTCTGTGGAATATTCGGCTTGATTTTGATATTGTCGAAAAATGTGTTGGACGCACATCCCACACACAACGTTGAAACCAACGTACAAACAAACATATAGACACAGACACACCTCATATCCCTGTCGGTTTGTTCATTCTTGCGTCGGGTAGCGAGCTAGCTTCGAGCAGGCTGACTTTTGTCTGAGGGGAAACCGACGGAAGCGAGCGAAAAACAACGAGTTAGGGGGTGGAAGGACACTGACAAGTGGTTGTTGGTTTGCCCTCCTCCCCCTCTCGACGTCTTGCATTCGTTGGGTCATCGTGCATCACCTCTTGTTCATTTTTGACTCGACCCCCAGAACCGTCTCCGTTCGGCGTGGAAAAAGGGCGCAGCACATCCCGTTCGCATTACTAGCGCGTGCATGACAACTTCGGAGGCACAGTCGAGTCCAGCCATTCCTGTTGGCTATCCTTCTCCCTCCCCTCTCCATCACCCAACCGAAAGGGTCATCTTTAACACTGGTCTGGACCCCATCTTCGGGTAGACTTTGTCGCGCGGCTCCCGTCTGGGGGAAAAGGGATGTGGCTTTTTTCTTAATTTTCTTGTTTGCTGTGGCCGGCTGCTATTATTACCCTTTCGCATCCCCAACGGGATTTTCATGTAAGGTCAAGGTTTTGCCATATTGCGGCCCCCAAAACTTGGGGGCGGTGGTGGACGGGGCCGTCCAAAGCATAGCAGTCCGTCGTTCTCAGGGCGACACGGGTTGGCGTTCAGGTCCGGGGTTCCGATTCCCTTCGGAAGAGGCTTAGTCTCGACAGGTCTAAAGAGGCCATCCTTTTGATACATGATTTCAAGTACATACAATAGACAACCCCTTCCTCTCCCCTCGCCCCGCACTTTCATCCCCAGCTCCCGACCCAAGGCAGGCAGTCGGGCACGTAGTATACAAGACATACGTGTGTAAACCCGGCGACATGCCTTCCTCCGAGTCGGGACAAGGATTGCACATCTTACCTTGCGTTTTTGGCTGGATGCTGCAGGAGCTACCTCGGTAGTGTGCCTGGCTGTGCTTTCCGGCGGGACATTATCGGGTTGTCGGCGGGTAGGCACGGCGACAAGCCAAAGGTATCAATCAACCTCTGGATGCGTGTTATTTCATCGTCGTGGCTCGAATAGGGAAGCAGGGAAATGGTAGGTCGTCCAGGCTTGAGCGTAGTCCGCCCTGCATATTTCAACTTCTGTCATCAGCATGGGCATCAGCACCACCATCAGCACCATCCTCACCCGAGCACGTGGTAGTAATGAGCATATGTTGTCCGAGGTCAGAAAGGAGGGCGAAGCTGTGTCGTGGGGTATAGTGAAAACTGAACTTCGGTACAACTAAATATAGATGCGGAGCCAACCGTTCGAGATCATTGGAAACAAGATGGATTAGATGCTTTCCAGATTTGTTCGGTGGCTCCCCGCGTGAGAAATCATGCTAGCCTTCAACGATCAAACCCCACGGCACAAGCCCCCACGGCTTGATTGGGCATTTTTTGGTATTTGGAAGGGCTCTACGTGGTGCCCGGGATGCCTTTTAAAGTTCGCCTTTTGTAAACTGTCGAGATGTGGTGAACGAAAAGCAGCCAGACCAGCGGCGGCTTTGGCGTGTCTCAGCTTCCGTTTCGTTCCCTCGCCGGGATAGAAAAGCCCTGAAGTAACTCTGGGAGCCTGTGTGCCTTGACTTAAACGATCGATCGAGCAGGCTCGACATGTAATTCCACTTTGCGCTTCCCGTTATTCCCTGGCGTACCGAAACCATTGGTGGTGTTCAAGGCAAACGCCTTCCCGGCCAATAAGGACGAGTGGGAGACGCAGTCTTGTTAGTTGACTTATACACGAGGCGGATTCGGAGTTTTAGTTAACCACACATATCGTGCATGTGCATGTGGAATCTGCCAGACCCACCCGCATCACTCATGGAATTAATGGGGGAAGGGCTAGGTGTCGTTGGAGAGGAGCCTCCCAACATGAAGCTTTTTGGAAGCTGATCCAGTGTTCTTCTTTCCTGATGCGCAGGCACGACGGGGAAGGGGCTGGAAGTGCTGCACAACCTCTATTGTCCCTCTCGTTTCAATATCATTGGTGATAGTTCGTTGCCCTAAGGATTGAGGATCTGGGCTTTTGATATGGACTGGACCAAGCCCAATGTTGCCTCGTAGAGGGATACGCATTCCTCAGTCCATTACGAAGCGCCAGCCTCGCTCGAGGATTGTTTTGAAGGGCGGTGCAGGCAGACCTGGCAAGAGCACCTGGATGCCTAATTACGGCGGAAACACACTTTTGAGGTCCAAGATATCACAGCGCCAAACTCTTCCCATACGCCTTGGCACGCTGCTCTTTGAATAACACGACCAAACTAGGCATGAACTAGAGCAAGATGCATTCTGCACGCCCTTTTGGCGGCAAGAAATCGAGTCTTGCCCCCGGGCCTTTCCTCAAACCTTGGTCTGAGCTTGCCTAAGGTGCTTGGAACGGCTCTCTTGTCGCAAAGATAGAGTTGAGGGGTGGCCACGAGGGGGATCTGCAGAAGAACGGTTTGAGAATATCCTCATCCCAACTTCCACGAATAGACGTAGTATTGTGGGAAAAAAGGAAAAAGGGGAAAAAAAGAAAAGAAAAGCCACATGTAAGAGTCGATCCCATCCAAAGAAGGTGTGAAGCACAGGCCAGGGATATGCATCTCTGGATCCATAGATGCTTGGCGCAAG